TTAGGTATAAATCGCTAGTAGAAGTTGTAAAATCCTAGGAAAGACTATATCCCTTTGACTATTCTAGGCTCTTTCTATTAATCTATAACTATAACTTTCTCTAGGTCCACACGAATACCGTCGATGCTAATAATAAAGCCTAAATACTTCGTACTAGTAATGTGGAACTCATACTTCTTAATATCCGCTTGTAGTCTAGCGTCCTGTAGCCGTTGTAGAACTTTCTTCACGTGTAGCTAATAGTCTAAGACATTATCCGAGTATATGAGAATATCGTCTAAATAAGCCGTGCAAAAGTCGTCCAAATAGTCAAACAAAACGTCATTCATATAGCGTTAGTACGTAGCCGGACTATTTATTAATCCGAAAGGCAAGACTTTACATTTGTACGAACTATAGTGTGTGCGAAAAGTAGTTAGCTCTTCCGAATCGGGTTGAACTCGGGTCCGGTGGAAAGCTTGTTAAATGTCTAACTTAGTGTATATCTTAGCTATAGAGATCCTAGCCAAAGTCTCGTTAATTAAGGGAAGCGAGTATCGGTCTTTCTTAGTAATAGCGTTTAGCTTTCGGTAGTCGATGCAAAAGCAAAGAGCTCTATTCGGCTTCTTAACGAATAGAATAAGGGCTACGAAAGGAGATTAGCTAGGAGCAATAAATCCTTTATCTAAGTTGTCTACTAAGTATTACTTAGTAACTTCTAACTCTTTGGCACTCATTTTGTATAGTGGGCTAAACGATAATTCCGATTCATCTTTCTCTAGCTAAATCTTGTGATCGTACGAGCGATAAGGAGGTAATTTGTCTGATTCACACTAGGAGAAGACATCACTCCATTCTTAGTATTCGAGAGGGATCTTCGACAAAAGCTCTTAGCTTGTGCTATCGTTAATCTCATTTATCTCTCCGTTTGGACTTAAGAAATCAGGAAATCGTCCAAGCATAGGGAAAGGCTAGTCGGTCTCGGGATTACTTTCTTGGGGCGTACCCATAGGTACGTCTTCCTCGGCCCTCTTATCTGAGATCAAGTGGTCTAGCTCGTACAAGCTTAGACTAAAAGCAACGTTTTCTTTCCTTTGTAAGTTTGTGGAGAACGCTGCGGCTAAGATAAGGTTCAGATCTACTCCTTGAGCTAGGTATTACAGTAGTGCCCAAACTTTGGGGCGCTTTTTTAGGGTTAGTCTTTTGTTCGGCGCTCTTTTTAACTCGTTCTCCATCTTTAACAAAGATTCTTTATTATCGGACTTTTGGGTGCGCCCTAAGCAAGGGACGTACGCGCGAACTTCCTTTGTACTCGACTAGTTGTCCGACGTGTACTCTACCACAAGTAGTGCTAGCGGAGCCAACTTAACAGAAGGGGGCGGAACATCACCCTTAGGAGAGGCCGCTGCTAATCCTTCTGGATCTTCTAAGCTTACTTCCTCAACCGTAACTTTTACAACTCTTTTGAGTATAATCGGTGGAGAACGTAAACCGGCTGTTTTTCGTTATTTGTCCGTAGCTAGGATCATATCTCTCCGATCTACGTCTAGCTAGTGTTTTGTACGATCCTAAATAGGAAGCATCTTCAAATGGAATCGCGGTACAATCCTATCTTAAGATAGAGAAATTGGGTCGGAAGGGCCGTATCCTTTCGGCTAAAGAATCGTGCGATTCGCTACATCTAACTTTATTTAGCATATTTCCATCTATGTTTTCCCTAGAATAACTTTATACTAGCCTAGTGTAGCGACATAAAAAGGGACTAATAATTGCTTTCTTTTGTCGATAATAAAGTGCAATCGAAGAATGTGAGTAATAGAGCGAGCTTCCGCTCCGTTGAACCCTCTTATAAGTATAAGGCTAGTCAAGCGTTGTATACTTATGCCCATAAAATTACAAACCTCTCGAGCTAACTTGTACGAGATAAAGCAAAAACTATTTGCTTTAGTATCGAGTAACGCGTGAACATATAAACTTATTCTATTAAAACCTATCGTATAAGGATAGGAAAAGTGTTTTCCACCCATAAGGGTTTGCAAATTTAAGCGCGAATAGTCAATAAGACGGCCTAAGAAGGAGACTTCTCTTAGGCTTTGCCATTTCCCGAGACAAGAGGGCGGGCGGACGACTCGTCCTCTTTATCACTACTTAACAGCATTTCTCCCACAATAAATCCTCCACTAGACTGCTCTTAATAACCGTACGGAGTAGAGTAGCCAACGCTAGTCTCGTTTACTTGTACTATACTTAGCTCTTCGGTCTCGAGGTGTACTTTATAGAGGGTAGAGCTCTTCCGAAGGAGTGTGTAGTCACGGGCCCTGTGACCGTTCTTTCCGCAATTGTAACAAGGCCCAAGACTAGAGGCATCCCGTGGAGGCTCGGTATCTTGGCGGGGAGGTGGAGTGGTTTGTACCATAGGGGCAAGGGGACGAGACGGTGCGAAGTTAGGCCCGGGGGAAACTAAGGATTGTCCGGCTAGGACGTGCAAAAGGAAACGTCGAGTCTTAGAAGCTAGTGGTCGGGAGTCTAACTAACCTAAAGGAGGGCGCTAATTGGCGGGCAATCGCCTTTCGATCGTACGCAGTTGGATGTCGCGCAGTTCTAAGTTAGTACTCTCGGCAGCTATACAAAGGAGTTGAAAATTCTCTTTGAGCGTATAAACTTGGGGCGCTAAGCTTATACGAATCCTTGTGGATAGCTTAGCTCGAAAGTCTCGGTAATAGTTACGGGAGGATACTCTAGCTTGTGCTACTAGAGTAAGAAAGTCAGCCCGGAACTATTGATCCGTCTGATTTTCGCTCATTATTAAGTGTTAGTATTCGTCCCTCTTCTTAGACTACTTAAACTCGTCGGAGAATGCATTCTTAAGGTCTTATAACATAGATTCTACGTTCTTGTACGCATATCGTACTTTGAACAAGATGTTCGGGAAGCGAGCTTCCAGAATCATACGAGCTATTCTAGTAGTACGGCTAAGGACGTAATTCATACGCTCTTCCTCAGACACTTGGCTATCTATGTATCCCGAGGCAAGGAGTTTTCCGTAGAGGCTAAGGATCTATGACTAAAACGTAGGATTAGTACTATCGTCTAGCTAAGGTGGGTCCGGGAACCGGGTGTTATACTGTTCCTTTCTCTTGTCGGTGGGCCCAGGGGTAAGTCGCTCGGACCGATAGCGCCTTAGTATAGAAGGGAGTGGGTCTTTGCTATTGTCGTCGTCGTTGTCGGACGAGGAGTCGTCCGAGGAAGGATAATCGTCGTTGTTAGGGAGGGCCCCTAACATAAAATGGGTCCTTGGGTTCGAAGCAAAGAGGTCCGCGTCCCTTACGTGCCCTAATTCAGAGCGTCGAGATCCGGCTCTGGAGGGCTATTGGTGGTGGCGAGAGGCGCTTCGTACGGCATCCCTTGCTTGCTTCTAGAGAAGGGGTCTCTCTTGTTCCAGGAATACAAGACGTTATAGGATAGCGTCGTAGGCCTCTAGGGACAATTCCAAGGTTTGCGTAGTAAATTGTCGGGAATGTTGGGGTCCTATACTTAGACTAGTTCCTGCAAGGGAGCGTCGACTAGAAGACGTACTAGCCACAGAGATTTCAGGTAGTTAGGCTTTCCCCTTTTCCTTGAGATTCTAAGAAGGTCTAGCGTCTTCGACTAAGGGCTGAACCGCAGGAGAGCCGTTCTTCCTCGTACGGTTTCCGCGTCTTCGACCGCCTCGTCGTTGCGCAACTCTTGGATCAGCCGAGAGAAGATTCGGAGTAGCGGGCGATGCTATGCTTACTCCGATCGATTCTCCGGCGGGTGCAATAGGCGTACGTATGTCGGCCATTGTAAAGATATAAAATAAACGCGTCAAGTGCTATTATCAAGGCTGCAGCGAGCCTAAAACAAATCGTACTAGGTGGGATATTCTTGAATTGCCTTCCCAGGCAAGTAGGGTTAAGAGCTTTAGATAATGTGACAGTACTGTGACGATGGTGTGAGGTGGCGACGCAACGTCGGGCTATTCATTTAGAATCTAAAGCTAAGGAGAGAAGAAAGGAGAGGAGGAGAGATCTATATACATATATATGTTAGAAGTAAGGGGATGTCATGTGAGGAGCTAAGCCCTAGTAGGCTTAAAGCTCGGGAACGCCACCATTCCCGGCCTGGCCTCTGTCGCAGGCGATTGGCTCAGGCGATTGGTAACAGCTGGCGCTGTGACAGCGACTAAGCAGGCGATTAATTTAAACGATCCGTAACAATTGGCGTTGTGACACACGTGATCTTGTTTATCAAAGCTTATCAGCGTTTATCAGCAAGCAGGTGATCCGTAACAGCTACGCACTCTGGACTAAGTATTAAAACGTACGCATTAATCTGTGAATAATAAACAAAGAATTAAAAAATTGGAAAAATGCTGAAGCCAGATAAGCCGAATCTTTAGCACTAGCTCAAACATTAAATGAAACATTTCACGTGATATACCCGATAATATCACCAGAACCGTGATAATAAAGTTTCTGCATTTTTATTAAATATGAAATTTTACAAACTTCAATAATTATCGCAATTAAAAGTAAACTTATTTATTACGTTCTAGAATTATTATAATAAAAATATCTATTTTATATTAATTCCGAGTCTAATTATTCTTTGTTGATTTTTATGAAAGAAACATAACTTACAATTCATAACAGCGATTCCTATTGTTAATAGCACCATAAACAGAGTTGATGTATGTAATCCCCAATTCTCTAACACCTGAGCTTGCTCTTCATGGGCAGTCATGGTTATGAGTCCCATGGTTATCCCTAGGAAGCTCGCCAGAGCGTTCCATGGTCCCGCTAGTCCACCATCAGTCGACTTATCTCTATCATACCTCAAGCCTTCTCTCGATCGCCTGTTTTGAGTGGTCGAGTATGTAACAAATACCACATCAAGAATTCGACAAATCCCTATCCCGACACTGAAACAACCGAGTGCCCGGTGTAAGGCGTTTAAGATGTAATTCGATTTGGCTGGATGGGAGAGAAACGTATAGCCTGCTATACAGGAGACCTTGGCTCATCAGTGACAGACCACAAAAGGTAGGTTTTATGACTAACGAGACCAGGAAAGATATTACGTTTAGGTTTTCCACCTAAATCTCTTGAGAAAGTACCGATGACAGTTGCAAGAAGACCGAAAATGCCAACGGCGACATGTTGGACGGACTCGTCGTCCCAAGGGTAGCCCCAAGCCTGTTTCGAAAACGACATCAGAAAACCGGAGAACTTTCCACATGAAGGTTTCATTGAGCCTGCACACTTACATGACCGAAAACTATAGATTTGAACACAGAGTCAGCATCACGCCGCAATGAAGCAGAATCAGTGTTTAGTTTACGTGAAAGACCCAAGGCAGAGGGTACAAGAAAGGCAGCATCCAGGACCTCCGATGTTAGCATCGGATGGGAGATCACCCATGCGTTATGAACAAGAGCCGCCCAGAATGAGAAGTAGAGAAGGTAAAGACTGCCAATTCCTAGATGACCGAAGCATTGTTGGGTGTACGGACTGGAACAAAATCCCAATCTGTGTCCATAGAGTTTAGTCGCAACTCAAAGAAAGAGTACGGTATGGCAAGCATGAACTCACAAGGTGATCACCCCTAGGAGAATTTCGACGTAGAAGAGTATCGGGAGGACGGCGAAAATTACGTGTTGAAACACGAGGCGAACCTTATTTGTAAGTCTAGGGATGGAAGACCTCCTATGCCACACATTATTGAAGAGATATGCCACGACAAGAAAGATGACGATGTATCCCATGGCGCCATGAGATGATGACAGTAGTCCGTTCTTCTCGACGTAGGTCGCTGCAGTTCCAAGCACCATCGAAATGACCGTAGCAACCCTACAAGCAATGTACCAAGGATGGTTTCTATCTCTGAATACAATGATCATTGGGAGCATAAAAATCGAAGCCGCAGTCATGAGAATGATGTGGACCCATAAGGCTGCAGCAACATGGAATTGCGCATCAAGATAATTAGTTTCAAGAGGCACAGTGTTGTTGTGCAGCTTGTGTGACGAAATCATCCAGATAGCCATCATAAAATTGAATGCTGTATGCATTTAGCGAGTCATATCACCAGATTTGAGGGCAAAACTCAACGTGTATGGATAAAATTGACTTGGAAGCAGAGGAAGATTCGGATCGGTCTGCGAAAAACAAAGAAAGGATAGAAAGATGAAATAACCATAAGGCGCTCACACGGAATGGAATGCAACCCATGTGGATTTATTGATTTGGCTCTGCACACGCTGCTCTTGTGTGGAGCTGATTGAGAGTAAGCCCTAGCAAGAGTATTTATCCGAGCGCAGGCCCTTATTGGAAGACTTTCCGACGACTGCACCGAGTTGCAACTCAACAGGCGCGTTATGAGCCCAGTTGATTTGTGTTCAAGACAACGTTATGAGTGGAAGATCGTGCATTTGTGGAAAACTTTCCCAGCATTCGCAGCGAATAGTCCAAGAATCGCCCTTTCAGTTCGGAACAAGAGATGCACCTGCATATCGCCGTACTCGAGCCACATCTATAGAAAGATGCTATGCAACAGTAGCCATTGGATATGGTGACACAAAAACAGAGAGATCCAATTGAAGGTTCCGAGTGGTGAAGTAGAACTGACGAATCAGCTTGCTGCATGTCCTGCAACCCAAGAACCAAGAAGCCTTGAAAGCAGATACAAAAACTGTCGCTGCACTTTCCTGCTGATGCAAAGTGGAAATGCAAATCTCCCCATCTCGTTCCCTTGTATTTCTCTAGTCAAATTCCAGGTTCGGAAGGATGTGGTCGCTTCCCGATTCCAATGGGACCAGGGTCTTTTCGGTGGAGCACGGTTGAAATCAGAAAAATTGTGTAGAATACCACAGCGAGTAGTACTGTGACTACAGTACGCCCCCCTGATCCTTTGTTAGTTTCTTGCCACTCGGTTATTTTGAAGTAACTTGAAGAGGAGAAAACTTATGCTGCTTTCAAGATTTCCGTTGCTGTGGAAATTTTAATATTCACACAGAATCTGTCCGTGCAATCCCATCATACTTTCAAGCAGCAAGTCTCCATATTTGTGGCAAACTAACAAAGGATCAGGGGGCGGGCCGCCGGGGGGGTGGGAGGGGTACTGTAGACAGGGAGCCAATTCTTCTCACTTGAGAATCCTATCTCTGTACGTAGGTAGATTTTAGACGAGGATTACCGGGGGCTTTGGCCTTTAAATAAATGGGTTCCCTTCCCTGCATGTAAAATACCACGTGATTGGATACTTTACAGTGATTCTATTTTGAAACTAAACAATCGGCGGTATAATGGATCTAGAATTATCCGTAATTGTTCCAAAATCATGAAGTGCACTGGGTGACACTGGACTAAATTCCCGTCATGTTGTGAAACTTCGCCTCACTGAAACAAGCAAAGCAAATGCTTTTAAAGATGAGAGAGCGACTCTTAGTAACTAATTAAATATCGTGTCCAGAACTTTCTAGACCAGGCAGTTTTGGGTCCAGCTTTTAGCATCATCATCCTAATAAATAAAGCATAACCTTAAAGTCAAAATACACAGAAATTATTTAGTGAGTTCATTAAGCGAACCCCCTGAGTTTAGCGAGATTATGACGTGGCGTAGTCCAGTAGCTTAAGTATGTATATTTAACAATGAATGTATCAATTGTCCGATATTATGTTAGAAAACTATACACAATCTCTATATGAATTCTAATAAACTATAGAGATGGCTATAGGGAAGTTCTACGGATCTTGGGCTACCTACCCACTTATTGAGGAGTCGACTTTTGGTTCCAAACTGCCGTATTCCCCAGAGCAGATTTTACCAAAAGTTGCCCTTCTTCGCTACATCTACACGACCACATTGCAGTTTGTGTAATTTTGATTTTCAAACCGACATTGATCGAGTATTGTGGGCCGTATTTATGCATGAATACACTGGCGAACTTAACTCCAATGATTCGAAGGTGGCGTTTCAAACAGGGATTGTACATCTGACTCGCGATTATCACCCACTCCTTCACACACGCAAGAGCAACAACCCAATGGTTTGAACCGTACCTATCGGTCACTCTATCAACACTGCTGCTAGTCTTTCCATACTGAACTGCAAGGAGCAACAAGCAATGTTTGCAGGTCGCTTCCGCAATTTTCAGGTCTGATATAGCCGAACCGTAGAGCTTCGAATATAGTAGCTTCTGTACTTAAAACCTAGGCGTTGACTTATTGGCATTGTGGGCCGGGGGTGGAAACCGAGAGTTGATGCGTGTTCTATTTAATCACCAGACAAGAACATCTCTTTGGCAATTGCGAGACACTCGGAGAGAATCAGCTACAAGAGACGTCAACGCGGAGGTCTTGAGATGGGGGAAGCAATTCACACAGCTCAGTTGCAGCCTTGTCCCAAGCTGCAACTGTCATGCTTCGACGCATAATCTTCATCAACTGCATTATCCGGTACTTGACTCGCTGCCACTAAACGAATTTCTTACATGGAAAGGTTTGAATGATTTCATAGCCGGTCCTCTGCTCGCTGATCTCTCAGAAGCGAACTGGCGGCTATTATTGATTCGGGAGTCGGTAAACACTTACATGGATCAATAGGTGAGTAAATATTACCTATCATGGAGTGTTGTTTAAGCACAACCGAGTTGCAGTGGAGCGCAAAGAAGCCACATCGTTGTTCTAGACTGCATTATAGTGGCTTGACCAGCAGCGGACTTGTTCTATACCCACAGTCGGATGATATGCCATAATCGGACGACCTGTCATAGCTAGCTTGATTCATTACAATAATCATACATACTGCCGACGACATATATAGCTCTGGCAGATTCAAAACATAGTAGCTCTCGGTACCTCCTCGACCTCAGAATATTTTGTCGCTAACAAGGCTACTTCTGCATTGCTGTTTGTCTTGAGGAAAGCACTACAAAGTATGCCGGCGGCCACACTGACGTTCAAACTATCAACATTGTGGCTCTGGCCACATCCTTGAATGTACAGGTCCACATCGGCTTTGCTTCTCAGATTCCAGCGCAAGCCCTCACCCTCGCTACCCAACATGAGAATGCAAGGTGACTCGGACAAGGGATCCCCTAATTCATCAGTGGACACTGATCGTGGCGTTGTTGCATCCTTGTTATTCAAAGGCGCCACGCCGGCAAAGATTTTCCAGCCAGCATTTTGGGAGTCGACTATAAAACCAGCAGGTGTACTGACTGAGAACAATGTCACGTTCTCAGAAGCACCTGCGGAAGCCTTAAGCACAATCGGACTGAAAGGTGCACTGTTGCGAGTAGAAATAGCTACGGCTGAGACACCGAGGAAGCTTGCGGTTCTTAAGATTCCACCTGTCATCAGAACAGAGTCAGTTAATGTTCCAATGATTCAACTTAATGGGGAGTCGAGAGGTATTGTATTAAGTGACCTGTAATCTTGAAGCACCTTTGACCTGCATGTTGCAGAAGAAGAAGAAGCGAGTTATATGAGGAAAAGACGACACTTACCCATATTCCCTGGATCAACGATACCATCGAGTAGAAGGACTAATGGCATTTTCCCAGAAGATGGATTCGTCAGTTGGAAGTCGGAGACCCCGTTGACAGCAGCCTCCTCTCGTGACTGATGACCGAGAGTCGCAAGAAAGCCATTCCGACCTTCTCTTGTAGCAAGTTCTCCCAAACTTTGAACAGGCAATCGGGGCAACGGGGAGGCTTCCAGAATATAGCCATTGTGTGGGCGCCCTGAGCTCAGCTTCTCCATCAGACGCAATCCTTCGTTTCCAACACGTACTACCTCCACGCCATGCTTTTTGGCGAGCCGCTCAAGCTGAGTATCACGCTCACCACCTTCCCGATTCTCTCCATTGTAGATGTATAGCTTGTATAGTTTTCTTCGAGGTATCCGTCTGCTCATTAGAGCTGCCTCAACTACTGATGTCCCGTACAAGAACTCAGAAGCTGGGGTAGTGTAAGGGATTACTACAGGTGATTTGTCGGCCGCATGGGGAAGGCGAGCGCGGTCTGGAGGACCACGAGCATGAGACGAGCTATTTACTGGTTCCCTCGAGAATGATTGTGTCTTGCGTTCAGATGAAGCATCTTTTAGTCTCAACGATCGAGATTGTCCTTCACCCAAATCGCGACCAGAACGGTACTTATTCACAAGACTTCTACCAAAGTTCCTGTCTTGATGTGTATTTGCCAATGTCTGGTGCCCGGAAGTGTTCGGGGACCCACCAGAAGTCCGAGGTCTAAAAGGCCTCTCGCGAGAGGACAGAGAAGGATAATCCAATGATTCAGAAGCAGTTCGTTCCTGGCCAGACGACGTGCGTATGAAAGGAGCCTTTTGATCTTTGTACGAAGACCGGTCTGGCCCTTTTGAGAAGTGTGCAGAGTGAGTCTCCCCACGGGATGGTCGAGGTCGATCGTTGAATTTTGAGGATTGTTTCAATGAAGGAGGATAATTTTCGCGCGATGGACCAGAGAAGTTATCTGATGTTCGATGGAATGACGAATGTGTCCCAGCTCTTGTGTCGTCGAAGCCATTGAAAGATCTCCGTGGTTGAGAAAAATGGTCTCGCCTTCCAGCGAAGCCAGAATCTCTTGATCTGCTCGTTGCTGCCCGTTCTTCCGACCTCAGTTCGTTCTTCACAACTTTCTTGCCCGCAAGAGGAGCATGGTGCCGGAGGACGCGCCCAATCGCAGTATTGACCGATGCTGCCTTGCCTACATGATAAGAGCGATGTAGATTCTTCAAGCCGGTGGTCCTCGTTGACAGAACATAGTTGTGCATTGCCTTGCACTACAGCCGCTGCACTCTGAAGTGAAGCTGCCGGCTCCCTATTGAAAAACTTCCAGGCGTGAGTTTTCAATTTCCTATCGAGGCTAGCGTCACTCCTTATCTTATCTGGCCTGGTCTCGGTAAGCCTGCAAGTATTCTGTCGCGTCGTCTCGTCGTCGCCAGAGAAAAAGCGTGTCTTACCTGTGCATGCATCATCACCTATTGCGCGGTGATGTACAATGTCCCAGAATCACCAGCATATCTGACACTCGGCTCAACCGAGAACGGTCGGACGCAGAGAAGTGCGAGCGCAAGGGCGCGGAGGGGTGCAAGTAGGTCTTCCACGCTGGTGCTTGCTTGGTTCTCGGCAGAGACATTAACGGCCATAGCTTTTTCGACAACATCGAACAAAACTCGATTTCTAACGCGTCAGAATGACTTCCAGTCGGCATGTATCTGATTCTGAGTCAGACTCCTCTTCCGAATCGCAGGCCGATAACATCCACACGCCAGTGCCGGATGAAGAGAGTGGCGTTCCTGGTCCTTCATCGTTTCTTTCCCATCGATTTCGAAAATCCCCTCCTAAACCACAATCTGAGCGACACGGGTCTGCTGTTGCGGTACTGCTATCTCCTCCTAAGAACCCCTGGGAATATCAACCGTTTAAGGGACACACTACCGTAGACTCGATTCTAGAAGTTTTCGAAGGCACAAATGGTGAACACCGATACAAAATCGAGTATGAGGACGGCAATCAAGAAGAAGTAAGTAGCTAGCATTCTCGATTGTATCTTGGTCTATGTTCTGGGCGTTCCGAAATTCAAATGAGGTTTATCCACACCGGCATGTACTGGCAAATATTTTGCAGATTCTCCACTTCAGAATATGGACCATGTCTGCCAAGATGGCGTACATGCCTTGTATCTCTGTCGCAATGCAAATGTTCTTGTTATATTTTCAGGGGTATACACCATTTCCCTTCAAAGCGTGGGCACTTTCTTGTGAACAGCCATACATGGTTGGCAGAATGGCAGAAGCACATTGACTTTGCATTGCAACGGAAGTGTATTGAGCACGGATCCCTTAAATGCACTTCAATTGCAACTCAGTTAGCCGTATGATTGAACCTCAACTTTCTACCGCCACATTCGATCAAGTTCAAGATATGTCACCTGTCAAGTGATTTATTTACGTTCCGTTCTCTCTGCTCGGCTCTGCTCCAGCACATGCAAAGGCTTCGTCATGCCCTCAGATCAATTGTAGCAACAAGAGGCTACTGCGTGCCAAGCGCTCTACTTCTTGCTCCAATTTCAATTTCAATCTCAATCTCACTGCTGAACGCCGGGAGCCCCCAAAATTTACTGATCGCGCGATCACACCCAAGATCTGTCAAATAAGGCGGGAACCATTATCACCTCTTCCCTCTTGTTTTGTCCGTCCTTTCCTTATTATTCACCAAACCTCCACTCATTGTTGCTCCACTGAACTTCATCTTACCTCGGCACATGTCACTTATGGATGGAACACAACTTCGTTTGACCTTCGTTACTCTTTACCCTCTACCCTCGTCAACGGACCCACACTGCAAAGAAAAGCGTTGCAGCTAGATCGCTCAAACAGGGCATACGAGCACGCACAAGAACTTGCCTTCCTGAGCGGCGGTCTCTCGTGTTTTTCAAACCTCTTTCATTATTTGAGTATTTTCTCCTTCGCTTCGCTTCTCGCTAAAGCCCTCACGTATTGCCCTCGCGTATGGAGACCCCTTTCGCCACGTTACCAGATATCAGCGCTGACTTTCGTGCAACACAGGTATCCGAGCACAAACTCTTGAAGCTTCGCAACGGCCAAAACGCTCTCGACTTCTACAACACCAATAAGGTTGAAATCTCAGAAACTAACAAGAGCTTGACCGAAGGACCAACCATGAATTCCAACGGTGTTGGCAAAAGAACGCGGGTTCAGACAAGCAATACCGGATACGTTGACAGTTCCAACATGGAATTCAACTCCGACGAAGATGAACTTTACGCTGGCCAGACTGATGTTAAGAGGCGTCGTGTGGACAAGGAATCCGGGAATCAGTCAACCAGGAGCAGTACTCGCCAGAGTAGCAGAATCCGGGAAGGGGGAGTCGCAAATCCTAAATTCTACGAAGAAGAGAGTTCAGACACAGATGATGCTCCCTCCGCCAAACGAGGTCCTCAATTGAATCGCGGTACATCCTTGGGTCCCCGCAGATCAACCCGAACCACTCGGTCAACCGACACTCACTCTCGCCAGTCAACCTTGAAATATGCCTATGAGACTGGACCATCATATGAGGACGAAGATGCCGATGAGCTGGCGAACGGGGAGCAGGATGAGAGTGATTCAGATGTTGGTTTCATGCCTTTGAAGCAGCAACGTCGCACAGGACACATCAAAGGCAGATCCCTTTCGAAAGGCAAGAGAGGAAGACCGCGCAAGCACAGCAGTTCATCTGCTTCACCAGAACGACCACAGCCGAGTCGACGCTCCGGACGAGACAGGGCCATCAAAAGCATGAAGGAACGAGATGTGGATGAAGAGATGTACGCGGACGATACACCCCTGAACAACGACCCTAAAGTCATCAGCGTGCGTGAGGTCTTTCAGCCTATCTCAAGCAAGTCTCCCTTTGGCTTCCTCCACAGACAGACCTGTGACGTCTGCAATGGCGTAGGATCTAAGTCTAACAAAGGCAATAGTCCTTTGGTCTATTGTCAAGGTTGCTCTACCACAATCCACAAAGTCTGCCTTGGGTATCGTAGCGGTAGAGAACACTTGGTCACCAAAGTTGGCCATGAAAATTTTATTTTGCAGTGTCGCAGATGCATCGGCACTGCTGCCAAGAAAGATGAACTCGCACCAATTTTAGGTGCCTGTCAGTCATGCAAGCAGGACGGCTTATCCTGTGGGGCTTTCACGTCTAGGAAGACGGCAAAACAAGAAGAAAAGCTGAGGGAACAGAACAACGGGGAAGACCCAATCACCAATGTCCCCGAAAACTTGCTCAATAATCCTGAGAACGTTTTGTTCAGATGCACTTCTTGTCAGCAAGCCTTTCACTTTGAGCATCTTCCGCCGTTGGACAAGAAGTCGAAGACCTCCTCGGATGTGGAAGAACTTCATAAAGACCGATTCCACGAATACAAAGTCCAGTGGCGATGCAAGGATTGCCTTGATACTTCTGCGAAAGTGCAAACACTAGTTGCTTGGAGACCAGTCGATCAGTTGTCTTACGTCAACGGCCAAGAAGCTGACGAGTTCCGAGAGGATGAGAAGGAATACCTTATCAAGTGGGAAGCTCAATCATACTTCAAGTGCAGCTGGATGCCCGGAGGCTGGGTATGGGGAACCACAGCTGCTGTTATGAGAAAGGCCTTCTTCAAGCGCGACGAAGGTGCAAATAACCTCCCTAAATGGACAGAGGAAGAAGCCATACCTGAGGACTTTCTTTGTGTTGAGATTGTCCTCGATGTGGACTATGACGACGATTTCGAGCCCCAGTCGGAAGTAGCTGATAAGGCCGCCATCCAGATGGTCGATCAAGTCTACGTCAAATTCAAAGGACTCAGCTATGATGAAGTAGTTTGGGAAGATCCTCCAGACCCTGACGATGGAGAGCGATGGACTCATTTCGTGGCGGCTTACAACGAGTATGTTGCTGGGAAATATTTTAAACAACCCTCAGCTGGGACAATGAAAGAGCGTACTGATCACTTCCGCTCGATGGACTTCGACGAGCTTAAGAAGCAGCCTTCTGCCTTAAGTGGAGGAGACATGATGCCATATCAGCTGCAGGGCTTGAACTGGCTGTTATACAACTTCCATCAAATGAAGAACGTCATCCTGGCGGACGAGATGGGCCTCGGGAAAACTATCCAAATTATATCGTTCATCGCCGCACTCGTCGAAGAAAATCCTCGGGTAAATTCGATCCTAGATGAGCCCCCAATTTTTTGCTAACAGAATTAGTGTTGGCCATTTCTGGTAGTCACCCCAAATTCAACATGCCCAAATTGGCGGAGAGAGATCAAGAAATGGGCCCCCAATCTTCGAGTCGTTGCATTCTATGGAGGCAAGAAAGCTCGTGACATGGCAATGGAGTATGAGCTCTATCCAGGTGGCTGTTCCGATCTTAGAGCTCACGTTGTAGTCACGTCCTACGAAGGGCCCGTTGACGACAGCAGTAAGTCATTCTTTCGTCGAATTAAATGGGCAGGTATGATCGTTGATGAAGGCCAACGTCTGAAAAATGACGGCAATCTACTGTACGGTGCCTTGAAGGCATTGAAGGTCCCTTTTCAAGTTTTGTTAACAGGTATGCGTCTCAACATTGCGAGTCTAACCCTGCATTCTAATTTTCACAGGTACTCCACTCCAAAACAACAAGCGCGAGTTGTTTAATCTACTTCAATTTCTGGATACCTCGATCAACGCTACTGAATTAGACGAAGAATATGCTGAATTGACGAGAGAGAACTTGCCTGGATTGCATGAACTTATCCGGCCGTTCTTCTTGAGGTATACAAATGCGCCTCGCTTGTCCCATGTCTGAGCTAACGTTATTAAAGACGTACCAAGCGTGAAGTCCTGAAGTTTCTGCCTTCAATATCACAAGTCATCTTACCTCTTACCATGAGCGTGCTGCAGAAAAGACTATACAAATCAATTTTGGAAAAGAACGGGCAACTTATCAAATCCATCCTTGGCCACGACACACATTCTTTGAAGGCGACGGAGAGGGGCAATCTGAACAATATCCTGATGCAGCTGAGGAAGTGCCTGTGCCACCCCTTCGTCTACAGCGCTGCCGTTGAGGAGAGGAATTTACCCAAGGACGCGCTACATCGGAATCTAATTGACGCCTCTGCAAAACTCCAACTTCTTGAGATGATGTTGCCGAAATTGAAAGCACGAGGCCATCGAGTTCTGCTATTCAGTCAATTTCTGAATCAGCTTGATATAATTGAGGACTTCCTCAACGGGCTTGGCTTTAGATTTCAACGCTTGGACGGAAACATTCCAGCGTTGGAGAAGCAAAAGCGAATTGATGCGTTCAATGCTCCCAATTCTCCTGACTTCGCATTCATTCTCTCGACTCGAGCTGGTGGCGTTGGTATCAATTTAGCTACAGCAGATACCGTTATTATCATGGTATGCGATCGCTTCATGGCTTCTTACTCAGCTAACTTTAACCTAGGACCCCGACTTCAATGTGACTATTTCCAGTCCGCTCGTTTGGTGATTAAGCTGACCATTTCTAGCCTCATCAAGATATTCAAGCGCTCTCTCGTGCCCACCGCATTGGACAGACGAAGCCTGTCCTCTGCTTTCAGCTGATGACAAAGGACAGCGCCGAAGAGAAGATCGTACAGATTGGTCGCCAGAAAATGTCTCTTGATCATGCTCTTATTGAAAGCATGAAGGAAGATGACGATACCCATGTGGACCTGGAAAGCATTCTCAAGCACGGGGCAGAAGCACTGTTCAATGACGATGATCGAAATGATGTCCACTACAACTCAGCATCTGTAGACCAGCTCTTGGATCGAGCACAGGCTCAGACAACGGTTACAGATCTGGAGAAGACCGCGGAATCTCACTTTAAGTTTGCCCGAGTCTGGGCTAGTGATAAAGGCGATCTCACAGAAAATATCGAAATCAATGAGCACCAATCAGCTGCTCCAAATTCCGACTTCTGGGACAAGATATTGAGGAAGCGCGAAGCAAAAGCCGCTGCCGAAGCCGCCCGAAATATGCAAACATTCGGCCGCGGAAAAAGAGCAAGACAGGTCAGTAAGAGAAAGACCTGCGACAGAATTCTACTTACATGAAGACAGACTATCGACTATCAAAAATCCAATTTGGATTTGGATGATGATATGCCAGATTCGTCTCCCCTCAAGCAACCGAGCAAACGCAAACCAGCCGACTCTGCGAGTGACCTGGACTTTCCCGACGCTGATGATTCTGACGGAGATGATGATTCGGATATAGAGCCGGTCGATGCTCGAGAACTTCATTCTGGCACACCTTCCAAGTTCGGAAGCTCAAGGAAAGGTACGCTAAAGAAACGCGTTCTTACACCTCAAAAGCGTGTCAATTCTTCCAAGCAAAAGCGAAGCCCTGCGGTGACAAACAGTACCGGGGGCGGAATCAATCTTTTACACTACCCAGCAGGTACACGAGAGCAGCAAGGCACTGCAAGTAACCGCAACAAGATGTCAAAAGGTAGCAAAACAGAAAGCTCTGTAATGCAGATCAAGCTCCGCAATGTCAGTACACCTGAGATCGACAAAGCAAGACGTCCAGCCGCCATTCCGAAATCACGCACTACGCAGAGCATGGAGGCCAAAAACATCCAAAAACCTTCGAGTAATGCACAACTGCGGAAGACTACCAGCAAACATCACTCATCTCAGCCTGCTTCTCAAATCGTGCAGGATAGCAGCAAGGCTCAAGCGAAACCTAACTCGGAATCTGCTACATCGTTGAAAAATGTCAAATCAAGAATCTCTTCTAGTATCAGTTCAGTGGGAACTCACGAGACACGTCTGGACCTTGATCAAGCAAAGGTTCCCATGTCAGATAGAGGCATGGCAAAGCCATTCCCTAAGAAGAGACCCCAATTTGAGAACAAGAGTCCTATGGACACATCGCAAAGTCTCAAGAAGCTGTTAATTCCCACTTCATTTGCGCATTCGCTTAGCAATGATTCGTCTCTTGACCATTCTGCATCGATCGTTACTAACGGAGATTTTACGCAGACGACCATGACGGATATGACAATGTCCAACAATCCAAGAACGAAAACATCCCCAGTCGCAGCACGGGAAGTAGCCCCCCAGGACGGCTCCAGCCCACGGCAGCCAGGTTCGGTTCCCCAATACAAGAAAAACTCCTAAGTACTTCTCGAAGCGGTCATTCTACGAGCCAACATTCGAGCCGTCCCGAACTCAGCAGCACCAGTCATAATCGCAGCCATATCAAACCTTCCTCAAACCTCCCTCTGCATGAATACAAAGATGGAAACCTGCAGAAACATTACTCTGACCGTCCCATCCCCTCAAGTACACCAACCTTCTGCCAATCATGCAGGTCTACTCATCCGATTGGACCGTGTCCCCTACAGGATCTCTGCGGTAAATGTGGCCTTGCACACCTCAAAATCTCTCGCACTTGCCCCAAGTATAGCTCGGAAGTTCGACTGCGCCTCTTACTCGATAATACCCGCTCGTTAGCAGCTCAGGCTGGTATTGACGATCTCCGTGCAGTGTTAAGGCTCGAGCTCTCGAAAAGGACACAGCGAAGGAAGATTTAAAGTTTGGCTATGATCTGGGATCTTTCCTATAACTTGTTTTTGTACTGTACACAAAAGCTACATTTCCTCTTTCTCGAAAAGACTGGCCACTTCGCCAGCACAGCGAGTGCGAGACTCCAGATCTTGTCACTGGAACTTCGGCCCTACTAGACTTAGCGAGCGCTAGATTCGTGGATTTCTCATCACTGCACCCGCTTTCCATAGCCGTCACGTTATCAATGAAATTAGAGCATGCATGCCATAATGTCTACGAGTATCTTGAGCTTGAGCCCGTGAATTCATAGAATAACCCATAGGCGCAATGCATGCAGCGCAGAATATAGCATTGCATTTGTGAAATGCCAATGTAGCGCAGTACTGCTCCATGGTGCTCACTTCCACTCGACGCTCCATGTGCTCTGGCCTCGTCTAAAAGGTATTACCTCAACCCCATCACCCTTGAACGATTCTTGGATGGTCTCGCTTCCCTTCCGCAGTATAATCTTCTCGTTACTACCATCAGTGATGCCATAGAATCTCCTGCCATGTCCACCTAGAAAATCCCTTAGGATCTCCTTTGACACATCTCGCTCTGAAATCACGTTTCGCTCTATGGCTAGCTCCAATGCGTCCAAGACGAGCTGGGTAACGTATGGTTGGGTGAAGACTCCTGCTGCCGTCTTCCCTCTTCCTCCTTTCTTTTTCGCCAGGTCGTGTGGAGCCGAATCGCTACCTAGGAAGAATTTGGGACTTCCACTAACGGCAGCTTTGAGAAGAGCCTCTCTATCACGAGGGAGCTTAGCAACTGGTTTGCTGCAGGAGACACACTTAGTGTAAGTAGATTGTATGATACGAATATATCACCATGGGACTAGGAGTCTGTCACTTACCAATAACAGAATGGATCATCTGCCCAATCATCAATTGTCAAGAAGAGATGGTGGGGTGTTATAGCTATTGACAGAGAATACGTTGTCAGTAGGTGATGTTGGACGTGTGCCACAAATATTTCAACTCACTTCCAACAACGTTCGGGCCACATTCCTTGACCGCTTCTATCGCGTCATGTGTCGTACAATGCTCCAGGACGATCTTGAGCTACAGTTGAGAGATAGATTAGTCCATTGCCCCATATATATGGTTTACAGGTAGTAGATCTGCTGAAGTTGCTCTGCAACACCAAAAACTGAGACGGATGATAGAACTGACCTTAGGAAACTTGTTGTGGAGCGATTTGAGTGTGGGAAGAAAACTCGCTATAGCGAATTAGTCAATACATTATCACTCTGAAAAGTAGGTAGAGGGACAGGAGCTCGTCAGAAGCACATATGAGGGATTAGTTACATTCGGCATTCAAGATGGTGATGTCTTCGCCACTAGGACATTCTCCGTGTAAATTCAGCACCATGCCGCATTGCTCCATGGCTTGGAAGACGGGGTAGAATGGCTCATATGAGATGACACCCGAGGATGAATTGCTAGTAGTTCAGCAATTAGCATCTCTCTTAGCCGACAAAGTTTAGTGGCAACTAGGAAAGGTTTTGTTGCGGAGGGAAAGAAGAATAGACAAGTCAAGCCCCGGCTATGCAAATGAGGCAGTGAATCCACTTACGTGGTGACTCCAGCTGGATATGACTTGATGCCGACAATGCCCTGTGCCTTGGCTGTCCGATGTATTAGCGCTGGACACTGCTAGAAATACAACTGAGAAATAGGCTTCAAGTTTCTGAGTCCCAAGGAAGCCACCACCACGGGCGAGAAAGCAACAACAAGGCAGAAAGGGGGAAAACTTACCACCTTTCACCACGGCAGGCGTGATTTTCTCGTGGAGATAGAGAGTCAACAGGTAATTGATCTTGCCACTTGAATCTTGCTTCTGTAGTCGGTCCTTGTAGGCTAGCGCATCTGAAGCGGACGTGAGGGGGGGGATGAGGTTTGGCATCACGTAGACTGTGTTCACTCCGCCTCGTCGGATAGAAGGCACGACCGTTTCCATCATGGCTCCATCCCTTCCAGCGGAATAAGCACGTTAGCAATATCCTTCTGAGCAAGACAAGAGTATCTTTATCCGGGATGCCGATACTGGATTCTAATAAGGACGAACAAATTGAAAAAGGGCCACTCCCGAACCATGGCAAACTTACCGTAAGTGGACGTGGAAGTCGGCTGAAGCTGGAAGTTCTAGCCCATCAAATTTGCTGAGAGAAGCCATATTTGGTGTGAGAGGGTACTGGCTACTAGTCTTCGAAGAACCCGAGGAAAGGACAAAGAGCTGTGTCTAGAACTGGGCAAGATTCGTTTGGAGACCGTGACAGCTGCAGCAATGTGGTTCAGATGGGTTCACTTTTGAAATCTGTGCCAGGACAAATGTCCTGTCCTTGAACAAGAAGTTCAATTTGATCCTTTATTCTTGTGCTGGCTTCGACGCGTGGACACTGTGAGCTCCTCACACACTTTCAAGGAAGTGTTCAGTGATCAGGGCGTTGTGTCTTGATTCAAAACTTCGTTTGCTGTCGTGAAATATTTCTGAATTATTCGCTTCAAGGGTTAGTGATCGCGGCCGCACCAAGCAAGACCTCGACACGAATCATGTAGCACCCTCACCTAGCTGCTTTCGGCTAAGTCCCTATGGGCTTGAATCAGTGCTCTACCACCGGTTTTCAAGTCTCCCTGGGTAGACTCGATGAATGTACTCGATTACCAAGTCTTTGCTTCGAAGCTCGGCTTTTTGCACAATCGTTATTTATTTTACTTGATGAGGTCAACGATTTATTCATTTCTATTCTCTATGGTGCCAGTCATCTCTATTGGACGCGACAAGCAGTGATGAGAGAGCCTCCAGCCAAACAGAATATGAATCCTGACGAACGCCATTGAGATGCGACGCAAATGCAGACAAGGAAAAGGAAACCTCTGATCCAGCCAATCTATCGCCCAAAGTCGAGAACATGTGAAGGGAAGGGATTTCAGGAATGAAAGCAAATGCAACCAAACCAGCAAGCCCCGTCCACTCCAATTGCCGAGACCCAACTCCGGTGTTTTGCAGTGAAGACAGACTAGAACCAGAAAAACAACAACGAAAGCATCATAGAGGGAGCCGAGCTAAGAAGTGCAGGCCGCCAGTGAGGTTCCAAACGACAAGAAGTCTAGTGCCAGCCACCCCTTGAAATGATTTTAAAAAGAAAGGTACGAAAGCAAGCATAGTAATCTTCCATATAAAGCGAGGAATGGCAACGCCGGCGAGGCCAAACCAGGCTACGAAGAAGACAATACGGTGGAAGGTCGGATATAGAAGCCGATGACATGGAAGAGCCTCGATCTCGCTGATAGATAGTCCGAGCAGTAACCGGCAATAGGAAGTCGTGATATTTTACTTGCGACGGCCTCTCCAGGTGACCGTGTCGTCCTCCTCCTCTTCCTCTTCATCTTGCTCCTCGACCTTTAGGCTTGAGTACGGGTTGTTGGAGGGAGAAGTCTGAGAGCTGGCAGGTGGAGCAATCGGTCCAAAGGATCTACTGGCAGTGCCAAGGGCTATTACGTTTATCAACAAGAGATTCAAGGTACAGAGATTGTTAGGTTGAGAACTTACAAGCGCCAGAGTGACCATTGCCGGAGTTTGAGTTACCAGTAGAAGGGGCTGCCTCCAATTGGGATTGGGCACGGTTACGCCAAGAACCCTCAGCACGAGCATGGCTTGGTGGGCTAGAGATGGTAGGAGGGGACGATGACTCGGGGTTGAGGTTGACAGCATAAGCACGACGATACCAACTTGGCAAACCGTGGTTGAGGCCGAGAGTTAGTTGAGTAGCCTTATCCATCGGCATCTCATGCTTATACTTGCAACCCATTTGTGTAAATGCACAAACACCCTCGTGGATCCACTTGTCACAGTAGATCTTCTCTCGGCGGCGCGGTGGAGGAGAGACGGACTCGGACGGACCCGCATGAGCAACGATTGAATCGATTTGCATCTAAAATGGTGTCAGAAATGAGTCCATATGAGAGCCATCGGAAGGTACAATCGCCTCACCTGAGTAGCATCGTAGTAGTTGTGCTCAGGGCGGTAGGGACGATTGGTCGCAAGCTGCTGGACAACCTGTTGAGTGTGTTAGTCCACGTGGATCACAGCTTTAACTTTGGTCAGATTGCGTACATCACCGGGGATCATGACCTCTGCGCCCATGCGTCGATTTGGGGAGACTTGACGAGGGGTAGGAACGATGATCAAGCCTTCCGGGCCTTGTCGAGGTGGAACGCTATGTTGTGGAGGCAACTCATCGGCTGCGTAGAGTCGAGTAATGCTACCATCCTCACGACGGATACCATAACCATAAGAAGCACTCAATTGAGCCTCAGTTGGCCAGACAGTACCAGGGCAGATGGTGCTAAGCGGGACGCTATTCTCACCCATCATCATGACAGAGTTTCCACGTGGGCGAGGAGGACCATAATGACCACCCATCATGGGTGCATGGGGATCATATTGGGGTGTATAGTAGTGCAACTGGGGAGGTCCATTGGGTCCTGGAGTCTCATCTCTCCAACTGTTGGCTTGACCTGGGTGGGAATTGTTGTGGCCAGGATTGGGGGGACGGCTGCTAAGGCGCTCTGAGCGCTCTCGAGCGGATTGGAAGGACGCCATTCTTTCGGTAATTGGAGAAGACGAACGAGATCTGTTGCACCGCTCTTCGATTGAGGTCAGCGTACAGGCCATTTCAACATCCGCAGAAGAGCTCAGAATGCTAGGAGGGCCAGAGGAGTCAGGGGACGAAGCGAGAGTTCCCTGCTTCGCTGACATATTGATAACAATGCGACAGGTTTGAGATATGAAAGGAGGGGAGTATGAAAGAGAAACAAGAGCAGTACGAACAAGTGTATCTATACAGCCTATAAAGACTGTAGAGGAGATACTGTTTGTGGCACGTCCTGATTAGCTAAACCCGACGTGAACTTGAAAACGGTGTAGTAAAACATACATCGGGAGTCAAATTGTCAAAGTAGAATGCTTAAGTAAGTATTCTGCCTAGAATCAACCGTTTGCTGGTAGCAAATAAGGTTGTATGGGCGCGGGAAACTGCAGTGTTTGACCCGGGAATCTGCACGTGATAGACATTAGCAAGTCGAAACGCACAAAGGCAGCTGCAGCTGTACAAACGGCATGGGTGTACTTACAAGGGTTGTCTCAGATTGTCGGTGAGGATTCTGAATCGTTCCAAGCTTCTAGAAGAGTTAGTATGAAGCTCAATATCTTTGTCCGTGTGTTCAATCATCGAAGCTGGTGGTCGGGTAGGTAGTCAAGGCTTTTAAGTATTGCTCCAAACATAATCGGACTCGAAAGCCTCCGTCAATGTATCCACAGTCTTGCATGTATGTACAAGCAGATATCTGGATGCATGATCCACTATGCGTGATGATATCTAGCTTGACAGAGAGCCACCAAAACAATGGCGCGATTTGTTTATTGAATGGAACAGAACGGCAAGCACAGAGAGGAAGTTGGATAGATCAACTCACATGCGCTTTCTATTGTGTTGTCAGCCAATATTACAAGATAATCAACAGTGTCCCAATCCCCGACATCGGAGACTTCCATGTGCTGGATATGGCAAAGTTGAAGTTTCCAACCCACAGGACGCGATACGCACCTCAAAATCCCGTCGACGCGTTCTCTGATACCACTCGCGTTGATGCTATGGCCTGAGACTAATCAGCAAGAAGGTGTACTTCTGGATCAGTAGTATATACGTGTTCGGGTTGTCTTGAGGATCTGAATGGAATGTTAGTCGAGCCTAACAGACAGAGGGCTGGGCTGGAGGAGAAAATTGTAGAAAACGCAAGGAAAGAGGGGTGTGCTGAAACCGACCTTCTAGATATCGGAATCAACGTCCCCTATCTGCGCAGTATGTGAGATTGCGATGGATTTCGGAAAGATCAAGTTCGGAAGTGTGCTCGATGACAAAAAGTAATGAAAGGATGTGTTGAGTTGAGAAGGATGACTAGAGCTTACCACGAAAACTGCCCAAAAGACAAGCGAGCACAAAGTACAAAATTATCGTACGATGTCGAACGATGGAACTTATTCACTTTCAGGTACCTCGATACTAGTGTCCAGCTCCCAAAATTTGGTTTCGATTTCAGATGGAGTCGGTCTGTCGTCAACGATCATGTTCTGTAGAGAATGAAGGCCCGAGAAAGCTAGCTATCTTGGGTGATGACGGATGGTTGTAGGATGTAGCATTGTAAAGAAGTTCCAAACAGCTCGGCTGGGCCTTTTTGGGCCTTGCTCCATATCGGTGAAAGGACTTCCTTCTGCCTTGGCCCTAGTCTAGCCCCGCAACGAGTGGCTAGAAATTCCGAGTATCATCGGCGTGTGATTCAAGGCCTCTGCTGAGTCACATACATTGTCACAAACAGCTTTGCCGTGTTCCGACTTCTGCTTGAGTAGGCTTTCAATGACTCGAAAGCTACTCCCTTACACCAAAACACACAATCTTGCGACAACGGCAAAAGGAAATCATCAACGGAATACATAATAACTACTGAATGTTCAAAATAGTCTCTCCAGAATCTAGACTCCGCATGCATAGACCTTCCGTGCTTCATGGCCTCGAACGTCTTCTCCATCAAGAGCTTATTCTTCTCCCGCCACACTCAGAGCGAGAACCCAGAACAAGTCAGCCAAGTCTGCACTCCTAGACATCAGCTCTTGAGTGGTTTCACTGCCTACAAAGACCATTCGCTCCGAAATATACCGCCATACACAACTCAGCGCCCTCCCTTATTAAGCATGCCCACGACCTGGGGAGTCCTCAATCGCAAAAGCCTTGCTTAAAATGGATACATACACCGTCAAGTCAATCACAAGGGCTAGAAAACACAGAGAGTCGGCAAGTTATGGCAATACAGGATCGCTATGATCAAGTGGTTATGGGAGGATCATCTAGTGCAGGTGATACTGTGCAACGCTAAGGGCGCTGGAAGCAACAGATAGAGGCTTCCCGAAGCCAGTCGGTCTGTTCGGCCAAAGCAAGACTGCAATCACTCTTGTACGACCTTTTAAGAACCAATGAGTTGTTCAAGGCGATGAAGCAAAGGGAGTCGCAATGAACAGCTTGCTCTGGGACGTACACGCAGAACTCGAATGCATACATTGACAATAGGGGACCGGGTATACCAGCCACGGATTCCGTATATATGATGTATCACAGATTTCCAAGGATAAGAACGTATACTTAGCTGGACGAGAAGTGTCAGATGCTCTCCTTTAACACCATGTCAACCTCCACTCTAACGTGATGCCAGCCTCGACCTTCGTTGAGATGTGCCGGAAGGGACTTGGAGATTCTCCTTTTGGGAGGAAGCCATGCTGGTGTAACCATCGGTCCAAAGGTATAATGGCTGAGTAAGGTCGAGGACCGTTGCGTCCTATGGCTTGGTGTTGGTGGATGTTGACAGCCGGAAACCTTTAAACAGGTGGAAGGGTAAGAGATGGGCGCAATGCCGGAGGTGTGGAGCTGAGATTTTGTCAATCCTTTCATCACATGTTCAAGCGTTTGCAAAACGTACTGCCCTTTGTGTCCCATTCGACGCGTGGACATTGTTGGGTGGCATATTTGCTTCTGTCCTGCCCTGCCCTGGGTCATGTTATAACCTACAAAGAGAGGTAGTGACCTATGGGGATGCGACCAATTGGGAGTGTGACAGGACAGTTACCAAGATCATCAGGTAATATGTCTGGCAAGAGACGCTGTGAAGGGGTAGAGGAAAGGACAAGGTGCCTTAATAGGACCTGTCCGAAAAGTGGTCTCGTTTCCCTTTGGCACGGTGCCACAATATGCACATGGCCTGAGGCCGAGTGGAACAAGTCGGATTGGGTCGTCACATTTTGAGAGAGGCTGGCACACCCGGTGGATTTGGGGTCGTTCTGCATCTTGACAATTGGAGCTGCTCAAGCCTTTATAAGTAGTAGGTCAAGGACCATATCCGGGAGAGCCGCAGATAAGTAAAAGGAGTCAATGCTCTAGCTGTGGTATCTGTTGTTAATTCCTAAAAAGAATCTCGACGCACTTGGACTGTACAATAATTATTAAAGTTACATCGTGATCGTGTCCTGGTGGCGCAGGAGATTACATAAGTCAGTAAAACATTTAATGCACTAGACACCAGATTCTGACGCCACACCCCCTTCGTTGTTTCCTCCAGCCAAATATTTCAGAGGGCAACAGATCAAGGTCACAATAGCCCGAGGGATACGTCGTTAAAAGGAAAATTTAAAGATCACAAATACATTGAGTTGACTAGGCAGGCGGTCTCACGAAAATCTCCTTGTTAAATCCCACTAGAGGGCGTCTTCGCTCCCACTCGCTTAGATGCAGTCAGGGGCACAACAGATGGCGCGAACATGTTGGCTGGGGTGACAAATTCCTCCACGTACTCCCCAGGGTCGTAGCCCAGTCCAAATTCTTTGCCTTGAAGGTGTGCTCTGACTTGAACCTGAGGAACAACGGCTACTGCTAAAGGCTTAGCAGGCTTCGATTCTCTTGAAGATCTGCCTTGGGGAGAGGTGTTTGTTTGCTGGACTGGTACCGGGGGTTTGAAAGTTTTCGCCGAGAAACGGTCATCGCAGATGTTCGCTAGCATTTGCATTGCGTGCGGACGACGTGAAGGGTCCTTCAGATGTTTTGCTATTCCAGTCAAGACTGGGGGCCCTTTCCTGACCTGCTCTTGCCACTGCTTCAACTGCCACTTGGGGGCCCGGTAAGACGGGTCCTGTAGACTCTGACTTGCTTGCTGCGATTGGGCTACTCTATATTCCAGTCGCTCCAAACCGGTAGAGAAGGCTTGCTCGTCGTGACTCTGTATGAGGCGGCTTATTTCTCGCAGGTCGTTGTCAGCAAGCTCGAACCATGCGCTTTTTTCAACACTCGATCTTCCCTAAAAGTCAAGTCAATGCAGCTCTCTGATAGCCTTAATACAGAGGACATATTTGAATAATTCGGCACCATAACAGCATGCATATACGTTCGAATCTCTTGACTTCCAGGTAATGGCTTACTAACGTGTTGCTCATTCTTCCAAATTTGCCCTGGAAGTCAGAATTTCGGAGTTAGTCAATCTCTTGTATGTATTTCTGGAGTGGATCTGCATATCTCAGAAGTACATTCAGAGAAGAACTCTGAAGCGTGACTCCCTAAGACAGCAAGGAGTAGCAAGAACTTGAGACTCACAAGCACCTGCTGAAGCCGCTCTGCCTTCATGGTACTCTTTGTCGGAAGAGTAGTATCGTCTAGGGGCCTATCGAGGCTTCTGGTCAACTGACGATGGAGTTTGGTGGAAGTGTTACCTCAACTGGTTCTTTGCTTGATCTACGGCGAAGAAATTTCTCGCCATTCCACAGACCATAGCGTCCGCAAAGCGTAACTAGATTTGGGTGATCCATAGAGAATGTGGTGCAATCACGAACTTGATTTAATTTGACCAAAGTAATAGATTGATAGGGAACGGTTGTAAGCGCTTGCTTAAATATTCGTTTCTTCAAGATTCTCTGATTCAGGCGTTTGAACAGTGCTTAACAAAAAGAGTCAAGGATCCGTTTTCTACAGTGAATTCAAACTTAGCTTGATCAAAAAAGAATCATTGAATTCCTTATAACCATGTCATGACACCGTTCTAATGGGTGGAGGCAATTTATTTCTAGAACAACTGCACCGAGATCCTCAGTCTAATGTCTTATGTAATTGTCGCTGATGATGATGATGATGTGTCATGCCCCATGACAGACTCCATGCAATGCTGTTACCATGTTCCTGCTGTGACCATCCCAATGCCAATATTAGCAATCCTGAAGGGCGCTACCGTCATCAATCATCATCGATCCATAGTGTCTCCTACAGCGCTGATGCTTTCTCAAGTCTCAAAAGAAAATGGATCGCTGCAAAGGCAATGAATGGGTATCGAACAACCAAACAGGAATCGTGAAAAACTCATGCATAACGCCCTCGCTTGCCACCCCCACCAAATCCATCCTTGTGCCCCAAGTTCCCAATGTCGAAGAAATCGCCAAAATTAATTTTTCGTTTCTGTCCTGCCCCTCTGCTTATTGTATTCACGGATCTGGTGTTGACTCTTGCGGGATGGCTGTTATGCCTGCTCCGGGAGGCCCTGGAAAGCGTGATGCCTGTTGTACTGGAAGAGTGCGTGGCGTCTTGGGTTGGCGGTCGAGCATGGTCAGATGAATCAAGGTCCGACAGAATTATGTCTGCGTCTGGTGGATATGGATGTGAAGACCGAAACGTAAACGTGGCCTGTTGAGGCACTGAATCCGTGGTGTAGTCAGAGGTCGTAGGAGGTATGAGTGACGGCGGTGGTGCAGACTCTGTTCGGATCGGCGATGCTGTCCTCGTGGTATGTAGGGTAGAGGAAAGCCGAGTTGCGCTTTGTGACCGCTGAAGGACCGGAGATGATCCACGATCTGTCTTCTCCGACAGCTCGTCATCACTTTCCATGTTCTGTGAGGTCGAGTCCCGCCCATCCAATCTCTCCGTGGCCCAGCTCCGGATTCTCCAGCCTTCGCCGTCACTTAAACCAATATCCTCCTTGTCGAGAAATGATAGTAGTTCAGATAGAGCATCTTGGTAACCTTCTGCTCGTGCTCGACCTTGGTCGACGGCGGCGCTCTTGTAAAGGTTTGTCACGGATAATGCGGCGGCTTTGAAAGCCGACAGAAGTGGCTCTGGCGGATCCTGGTGTTTTGAGGGCGCAGGAGTCGATCTTGGTAATGATGTATTGAGACTCCGCATAGAATCCATGGTCGGAGCTCTATTGTGTGGTGTTCTGTTGTGGTAGGGGGCGTTGTGGGTATCCAGAAAATGTGTGTTGTTGGAAGGCTGACTTGATATTAGATGGATTGTTCGGCTCGCGATTACAGTAGGCGTTCTCCGCAGGTAAGGAATGTGATTGTAGTAAAGTCGGGAGACTCGGGAGCCGAGGTATGTACTGTACAGTACAGATCTGGTACCAGAAGGAAAGAGGGCAACGCTGCTGCTGGCAAGTGTCTGAGATGCGCTGAATGAGGGCGAAGGAAGATGATGGCGATGGTGTTTCCTGGCGGGGCTAGTGCCAGTGCACCGTACAGTAGCCAAAAGCAGCAGCAGAAACAAAAAAAAAGATATCTCGGCAAAACGATAATCCGCAATTTCCCTTCCTAAACCAAATGGCAAACCTACTCTAAAAGCGCGTTCTCAACGAGGTGAATTTCTTTTCTACTTGCCAAACCATCGGCCCATCTCGCGACACATCCTTTCCACCACATCCATCCCCATCACGATCGCGATCACCTCTTCTTGTGTTCGCGTTCAGTGCCTTTCGACGCGCATTAGGGCGTGTAGCCTGGTGTGCTTAACTGTACTTGCCTTACTCAAATCTCGAACAACCTCACACGATGGCACCGCGATCCTCTCGCGCCAGCGGCGCCGACACCGACACCTCCATGGCGGATGCCTCTGAACCCATCCGTCAACTTCCTGTTGACCCAATGGTACGTGAACACGAACTCTACTTGACCATCATGCACAGTTTTGATTTTTGATATTCACCAACATGGACCCATACTAAACTGTTCATAGGAAGTTGACGAGACCCCCGACTACACCGAGGATTCAGATACCAACCCCAATACAACTGCAAGCAGTGTTGTTGGGGACTCTCTCAACATGGACGGCCGCAAGCGCAGATCAGAAGCTACACAACTTCGACGCAGTGTCTTTGGCAAGAAGCATGACGTTCTGGGCGAGAATAAGGTAATCCTTGACACTTCTTGTGCTGCATATTTCAATAAAATTCGAAGGCTGACTCCTCTGGCTGTACAGGAAGATGACTCCATTCGACGCTTTCGATACTTATTAGGCTTGACCGACCTCTTCAGGCATTTCATTGAGACAAATCCCAATCCTCGAATCCAAGAGATCATGCACGAAATCGATCGACAGAATGCAGAGGCTGAGAAGGTCAAGAAGGGCCGAGATAGGCAAGGTGGCGCGGCCAACGAGCGACGCCGAAGAACTGAGGCAGAAGAAGACGCGGAGCTCCTGAAGGATGAGAAAGTAGGGGGCTCTGCCGAGACGGTATTCAGAGAATCTCCAGGATTTATCCATGGTCTCATGCGAGACTATCAAGTTGCGGGACTCAATTGGCTTATTTCGTTGCATGAGAATGGTATCTCTGGTATCCTTGCCGATGAGATGGGTCTAGGCAAGACTCTTCAGACCATTTCTTTCCTGGGATACTTGAGACATATCATGGGCATCACTGGTCCGCATCTCATCACGGTTCCCAAATCGACACTCGACAATTGGAAGAGAGAGTTTGAGAAGTGGACCCCGGAGGTTAATGTCTTAGTCCTTCAAGGTGCTAAGGAAGAGCGCCATCAGCTTATCAACGATCGTCTCATTGATGAGAAGTTCGATGTCTGCATCACAAGTTACGAGATGATCCTACGAGAGAAGGCGCATCTCAAAAAATTTGCCTGGGAATATATCATCATTGATGAGGTATGTTTTCCTGCTTAAAGTAACCATTGGGAAAGCTAATATCAGATAGGCACACCGTATTAAGAATGAGGAGTCATCGTTGGCTCAGGTCATCCGTCTCTTCAATTCCAGAAATCGATTGTTGATTACGGGTACTCCCCTTCAAAACAATTTACATGAGCTCTGGGCACTGCTCAATTTCCTGCTTCCAGATGTCTTTGGCGAATCTGAAGCCTTTGACCAATGGTTTTCAGGGCAAGGAGAGGATCAAGATACAGTTGTGCAGCAACTACATCGTGTACTTCGACCCTTCCTGCTTCGACGTGTCAAGAGCGATGTCGAGAAGAGTCTTCTTCCGAAGAAGGAAATCAACTTGTACATCGGTATGTCTGACATGCAAGTCCAATGGTATAAGAAAATTTTGGAGAAGGATATCGATGCTGTTAACGGTGCAGGTGGAAAGCGCGAGTCAAAGACCAGACTCTTGAATATCGTCATGCAACTTCGGAAGTGCTGCAATCACCCCTATCTTTTCGAAGGCGCTGAACCAGGACCGCCATATACAACCGACACTCATCTCATCACCAACGCTGGAAAGATGGTGATGCTCGACAGATTACTTGTCCGTCTTCAAAAGGAGGGCAGCCGTGTTTTGATATTCTCTCAGATGAGCCGATTACTCGACATCCTTGAAGATTACTGTGTCTTTCGAGAGTTCAAGTACTGCCGTATTGATGGTGGAACTGCGCACGAGGATCGTATTGCTGCCATCGACGAGTACAACAAGCCCGGCTCAGAGAAATTTGTCTTCCTTTTGACTACCCGAGCAGGTGGTCTTGGCATCAACTTGACCAGCGCCGACATAGTTGTGCTTTACGACAGTGATTGGAATCCCCAGGCCGATCTACAAGCTATGGACCGAGCTCATCGTATTGGTCAAACCAAGCAGGTTGTTGTATACAGATTTGTCACCGAAAATGCCATCGAGGAGAAGGTGCTCGAGCGTGCTGCTCAGAAACTTCGTCTTGATCAATTGGTCATTCAGCAAGGTCGTGCTCAAGCTGCTGCTAAAGCTGCTGCAAACAAGGATGAGTTGCTCAGTATGATCCAGCATGGTGCGGAGAAGGTTTTCCAATCCAAGGGACCCACTGGAGCTCTGGCAGAGAAAGGAACCGACCTCACTGATGATGACATTGACGCCATCTTGAAGCATGGCGAGAAGCGGACCGCCGAACTGAACGCCCGATACGAGAAGCTTGGAATTGATGATCTTCAAAAGTTCACGTCCGAATCAGCGTATGAATGGAATGGTCAAGACTTCACCAACAAGAAGAAGGAGATTGGCATGAGCTGGATCAATCCTGCTAAGCGTGAGCGAAAAGACACGTCGTATTCCATGGACAAGTACTATAAGCAGGCGCTGTCAACTGGCGGTCGGGTTGCGGATACGAAGCCCAAGGCCCCTCGTCCCCCGAAGCAGATTCTTGTCCACGACTATCAATTTTTCCCACCCATGCTCCGAGAGCTTCAGGATCGCGAGACTGCAAACTTCCAGAGGGAGCAAGGCTTCAAGGTCGAGCTCGCCCCTGGTACGGAGGAAGATTTGTCCGATCGTGAAGCTGAACGAGCTATTGATCAAGCTGAGATTGACAATGCCACTCCACTCACAGAAGAAGAGAAAGAGGAGAAGCAACGTTTGAGCGAGCAAGGCTTCGCCGATTGGAATCGACGAGACTTCCAACAATTTGTCAATGGCTCCGCCAAGTATGGCCGAAAAGATTACGATGCCATTGCAGACGAAGTTGATAGCAAGACAGCAGATGAGATCAAGGCCTATGCTAAGGTCTTTTGGCAACGATACACAGAGATTGCTGATTACAACAAGTACATCAGCTTAATCGAGGCTGGAGAGGAGAAGACTAGGAAGATGGAACATCAACGAAAGATGTTGCGCAAGAAGATGCAGCAATATCGCGTCCCTCTTCAGCAACTGAAGATCAATTATTCAGTCTCCACAACAAACAAGAAGGTTTACACGGAGGAAGAAGATCGATTCTTACTTGTTCTCCTAGACAAATACGGTGTCGATACCGAAGGCATATTTGATCGTATTCGGGATGATATTCGCGAGAGTCCTCTCTTCCGCTTTGATTGGTTTTTTTTGAGCCGAACTCCAATCGAGATTAGCAGACGTTGCACCACCCTTCTCACAACCGTTGCTCGTGAATTCGAAGACGCATCTGTCCCGAAGACCACCAACGGAGCTGCCAATGGCAAGAACAAGAGAGAACCAGAAGATGATGAGAATGATGAAGATAGTGTTCTGGGTATGGCGCCTGCCAAGAAAAAGACCAAGAACGGTGTGAAGGTATGTTCCCGAACAAATTGTCAACCTGATCCAATACTAATCCGCCCCAGAACAAGGCTCTTGACAACATCAAGTCCGGTGCAGGAAGCAAAGCCACTTCAGCAGCACCATCTTCTAGAGCGTCGAGTGTCATGTCCACAGCCTCCAGCCCTGCCGCCCCTGCTTCCAAAGGCAAGGGCAAGGGGAAGAAGAAGTAGAATTTTCCGAGGAACATGTAACGAATGGTTTCCTTCAAATTTGTGTACGAGTCAAAAATCGGTGGGCAAGGGGCGTCAAACAAGAAACGGGTAGTGTCATTGAGGGGCGTATTAAAGGGTGGATTTTTGATCTCATGATATGACCTCCACTGGGAAATTCTTCATGTAACTTATACCGCATTGCTTTTGGCCACAAGTACCTAGATCAATATAGATCGATACTGACAGAAGATTGGACTTGCGACATTGTGACGTCTAATTTCTGTTTTGCATACGTTCATTGTTCTTCAAATCCAACCACGCCGCTATCTAGTCCAACAGTGCTTTGCTTCTAACCTATAATAAGCATCCCAGAACGCCGTTCGCACCACTATGCATGCTTATATCACAAGCAGTGAAGCTTGCCAAGTTCACCGGTCTAAAGTGCGAGAACATTCTCTACGCCCATCCACTGACCTTTTGCTCTTTCCTCCCAATAACCCTCTTTGCCACCTTTCAGCTTCCATACTTCCTCACCATCATCACCACCCTCGACTTTGACGAACCATCGTGGCTTGTGAACTTCACCTTTTTCTTCAAGATGTCTTCTTCGGTTTCTTTGATTGTCTTCTAGTGTCGATTTCCATTGCTCGGCTTGGTCGAGATCACCTTGTTCTGCAGCACGCTGGTCGGGTCGTAATCTACAGTCTGTAGGCGGGAGTTTGCCTTTTTCGATCTCGGTAACTTCGTTGAGGCTTGCTGCGAATGTCGTGAATCCATACCTTTGTGGAGCATTATCGACCAGTTCGCCAACATGCCAAATCTCGGGGCCCGCAGCTTTGCCAGCTTCTAGTATCCTCAAATGCGACGTCCAGTTTCCTGTTAGGCCAACGCCAGTGTGTACACCATCTGCGTCATAACTTTCCACTTGCACATCCTCACTACGACCTCCAAACATGCCTTTCTGCTTGAACTCGGCCGTAGCTTTGCTACCAATCGTTTCATTGGTGATGGTCATGCTTCCAACAGGTTCGACATACTTCTCCCCCATTACAACGTTTCGTAGAAATGCTGCTGCTACGTTCCAACTGTAGAGCTCGTCGCTTCCATCCAGTAGATGCAGAACCACCCTGACACGACCTTCTGTGACAAGCTCAGCACTCTTGCCCCAAAATTTCTGTGAAGGAGCAGGAGATTGACTCAGTGACCATTTTGACGAGTCAGCTTGGCAAGCCATCCTCACGGGGCGATGTGAGACTTTCTCTACCAAGGCTCTGAAGCCACCTGGAACCTCTTTGTCTGTCCTCACAAGCTCGTAGGTTTCTCCGAGCATGGGGTTGAACGGTTTGCGAATCGCCCTTTCTCTCGCACGATTCATACTGAATTGGGAGACAGCAAAAGCAGTAACATGCAGGAGTCTATGAGTTGCGGACTTTTGAGTGGCTGCTGTATCTAAAAGATGAGCGTATTCCAACTGTTCGGCAACACGTTGTACTAAAGAAGTTGGCTCATTTGCGCTGACTGGCATGCTAATAGTGCTTAGATCTTTGCCAACATTCTTGCGTAAAAAGCCGATCAGACTTGGTGGCATGACGGTCGCTACTGGGACAACCTTCCTGCGTTTGACAGAGGTAGCTATTGGGAGAGGATCTAACGTTTTTGGTTTCGTCGGGAAGAGTGCAGCTGTCCCATTGAGATGCACAGTCAAGTCTTGCTCATCCCCGGATGAGATCGAAGAAGAATCTGTAACGAAGTCGTCCTCTGCATCTGACGGCTGGGTATCTTCTTCGCTATGACGCTCGATAATCATTACTTGTGACCGGTCTACATCTCCTACTTCGGCGTCAAAGAACTCTGCTGTGGATGTGGAGTCTAAGCTGTTCCTTGAGGCAGACTTAGGAGGTTGGATCCTTCTTCGTTTGCTATTTGCAAGAAGGGTAGAGAAGTCGTCAAGTACAGAGTCGAGATCTTTTAGTAATGCAGAACAGTGATCATGTATGCTATACTCTTCGTGCATAGACTTTCTTCCTCGCCTGGAAGCAGACTTGCCGGCACTACCGCTACCAGAAAGAGCTCCACTTGCTGTAATCGTAGTCACAGTTGCGGGCGAAGGTACGGCAAGCTGAGAAGAGACACCCTGCTGTAGCATTCGTGGCGTGGAGGGAGTGCTGGCTTTTCGCTTCCAGAACGGTCGTTTTTCGGGGGCAGCTGCCCCACCAAAATAGTCATTTCCCTCTTCGACATTTGGACTGCCGGTAGAAAGTCCAAGGCCTTGTAGAGTATGCCTTTTCGAATTGCCTGGTGCAGTATCTTTGGACAGTCGTCGAACGGCATCCCGGGTGCCAACAATCCTACTCACAAGCGCTTCCACCTGCTCCCATTCCCGTTCCTCGTCCTGATGAGACGCCACATTCTGCAGGCCAGTAGTCCGTACTCTTAACCGCGGCTCGGATATGGCCGGCAGCTCACTCTCTACATTTCGGGCCGTGTTGCTGGCCTTTTCTAGAGCGCTCGTCCAATCCTCGAAATCTTTGGCGTTTAAAGCCTTCAAATGCCACACCTCCGCACCCGAGTCGATACTGATTTCTCGTCTTCTCTCATCTGCAGCGATAGCGGCCAAGCTTAGAGGAATTGCGCCTCTGAGGGCAGAGGAGTTGCGGCTATAGTAATAGGATAGTGTACACGAAGCAAAATCCAGAGAGAAGAAGCGCCTTGCGTAACCTTGACCCTTCTTCCGGCGTCGTTTCGAAAGAATGCCCACATGATAACTCGCTAGTGCATCTCCACTCTCATTCCTCCCAACAACCGAATTGCCTCTACTTCCGTTGGTTGGTGGTCCCAGATGACTTTGCAAACTGTCTACCGATTCCGATGCCATCGCCGTCAATTTTGGGCTTGGCTTATTGCCAGATCCCCCAATTCCAGTCGTACTCATGGCATTTTGAAGATGATGTGTAGCATGAGGTGGGGCATTTGAAGGATACGTGAGAAGCACGAACGTGGCAGTCTTCGAAAGTTGTCTCGAGAAAGTATTGTCGAAAACGAGGCCATACATTCCTCCCTGTCCTGCCACCACTGGAAAAGTTCCCATTGACACCTTGTCCGCTTCACATTTGCCATACCACATAATCGGAAGGAAGCCTTTTGCCCTGAGCTGGTCCTGTGCGGTCGAAGCATCGTTTAAGGAATTCGTTCCCGAGGCACGTCTCTGTGATGTGGAACTAGGATCGAGCTGAAGGAGCGAGACAGCAGCGTCTTCGAACGCTGGAGCCCCCGCGTTACTCGTTCCCGGATGCTTGAATATCCCAAAGTTGCTACAGCGGCCTCAGCAAAGCTTTATGTGTCCGGAATCTACTGTGCTTACATGGATTTCTTGTGTGGCTGCACGCTCCAGGATAGTGTTTCCCCTGGGTCCATCTTGATCCATCGCACCAGATAGGACTGTCCGCATCAGCTTCCGCTCTTGTGCTCTTGTGCTCTTGTGCTACTGTGCTACTGTGCTACCGGGACAGGAAGAGGGCATACCTTGCTGTGAATCTCCAAACGCTCTAGGCCCGCCATTCTGTGAGCGTAGGCGACCAGAAGTCTGGCTGTAGCTGGATGTGGACTGTCGAGGATCGTCTCTTCTGGATATGGGCTCTGGGAAGATCAATGGGTGAATGCCGGCAGCTGTCGCGCGTACGAAAGAAATGAGGAAGGAATGGGTTGGTCGCGGCTGCCGGATGGCGGATGTTCATGAACAGAGGTTCCAGCTGTTGTTTTGTAGGTAGGTAGGTAAATTTCGAGGGCTCATGCGAGGAAGGGGAGGAAGGAATGCCACGCAGAGCGCGAGCGCATGCATGCATGCATGCACATGAGATACCAGTAAAGTGAGGATGGCAGTAGAGACAGAAAATAGATACTGGACAGGTCTAAAGGGAATCTGTCTTTCTCCGGTGTCGTAGAGTATCCGTATCCTAGGCTCGGCCGGCCGCGAATGGTCGGTCCCTGGACCAGAGAAAGAGAAAGATACGCCGTCTCGGGAGCTCGCTCAGCTTACTCTACAGAGAACTGACTTCTCATGCGGGAGAGCCGTGGCAGCGCCGCGCGGGGGGTGGCTTTGTGGTTGGTAGGTGGTCCTGGGAGTGTGGAAGAAATGGAATGATGCGGCGACACAGTAATATCAATTCTTGTCAGAGTAGGTATGGAAACAATAGAGGACATGATGTCCTCATCATCGTTATAGGTGGTACGTACTGTACAGTACGGAGGAACATACGGTACGTACATACCTTGGTAATGTTAATGTTAGCTGCGGCGAGCACGGGCATTGAAGTCGGCGCGGGTCTAGTCGCTGCGCTGCTCTGCTCTGCTCTGCTAAACTACCTAGGTAGTCTACGTGTTTCATTGTCCGGGCACTCACTTAGGCACCACGACCACACAAAACACACACCACTGAAGCTGACACACCCAGACCACAGCCCTGGGATACGGACACGGACACGGGCCAAATAGTCGCTTGGGAAAGGAAGGAAGGTTCAGCCTTGCATATCACCACATCGTATGAGAGCGCAGGAGGTCACTTTTGCTGATGCTGACGGGAACCCATGCCAAGCAAGCACGTGTGAGTATTATTTTACCAGCACTACCTAGGTACGGGACCGTTGCTAAAGGATTGTGTTTCTTCAAATGATTCATTCCCATAATGGCCTCCTTTGAAATTCTTAGAAATATCTATAGATAGGATCTTATATGATCGACAGAAGAGAAGGGAGCAAGAATGATAAATGGAATAGGGGGACTTGGACGCCCTCTACAATCATCAGGGCCCGATCACTTCCCCAAGAAGAGAAACAGACTATCACAGGCCGTGTTGGTTGAAAAGTAATCTCTTGAGCAATGCAAGGCAAAGTAAAGTATAGGCAAAATTTGTTCCTTTCTGTGAGATCAAGGCTATTTTGGATGGATCGATGCGCTCCATGAATGATCACCGCATGTTGGTACAAGTGCAAGAATGTGCCATCATGCCAGTCTAAAAGTTAACTCCCCCATCCAACCTCATGCTGTGATGAATACCCATTTTTATGTCTTGCCCCGGGCCATTATATCGTTCCTCCACAATCCTCTGCCACGGAAAGGACTTGATTCAGTGTCTCCGCGACTCACCCTGCGAATGGCGCATCTTGAATCCATTGCACAAAGCCTTCATGTCAGGGTACGGGCTCTTCAACAGCTCGTATGCATTGGGGACAACGCGGACTTGCCATGCTTGAGGTTTGGCAGCCTGGCCAGCCTTGAAGCACAGCCAGAAATACCCTGGGTGTCGCGTGTCGAGGCAGAAAGCGTAGACAGATCTCTTGGGATTAGCTTCCGTGTAGGTAGTCAACCATCGTTCTAAGATCACGTCAGCCTTGATCATTGCAAATGAGGAACAGGGAATGCTAAGAACGTACCTGTGTCGGCTTTGCTGCCCGACTGGAACTTTTCATGCTGCGTCATCTCATCCACTTTCTTGGCCATAGCCTTGACATGGTCTACAATCAGTTCATCGAGATCACTGTAGTTGAACTTGTTAGCGATCCGTAGTTGTCGCCCAACAGAGAACTCGTTCTCTTTCTGCAGCTCGAGGACATCAAGATGCTGATATACTCCATCGGCGACCTTCCAAGTGACTGCTAAATGGTCGTTGCCTTTGGATGATGGTCGGATGACAGCATCGCCAACCGCTTGAGACCCCAAAAATTCTTCGGCCTGTGTGGAGTTGAATGGCTTGAAGAGAGGATGCTTGACGACTCTTTGGGTGCGACCCGTCGCCTTATCCTTCTCGCGAAGTTCCTCCTTATCCTTATGTTCCTGAACTACATCCCATGAACCGGGTTCGTGCTCTACGCGCTTCTTATAGTTTTGTCTCAACGCCGACTCACGCAAAGCCAACCTCGCAGTGAAGTTGGTACGATCAAGGTCAAGAATCTTGGCTTGGGCGGTTTGTCCTTGGGCGAAAAGTCGGCTAAGTGGGATATCACTATCAGAACCGTCTTGCAACTCAACCCGGCCTTCCATGCCCGAGTCAAGCTTCACAATGACAAAGTCGTCCTTAGCGAGTCTTATATTGACCGAGACGATCATCCCCTCACAGAGCTGATCACGCGTCTCTCCTGAGAGCATTGTGAATATCTCGTTGCTGGTCAAGGTGACAAATCCTCTTCTCAACTCTTCGTATGGCAGCTGCAATTCGGCTCGAATGGTCTCCAGTGTTGCACGCTTTCGTTGGTTATAGTTACGCTCCAATTGCTCGGCGTATTCTTCCAGAATGAGATCGTTGACCTTCTCTTGCTCGTCGTCCTTGATGAGCTTTCGTACAATAGCACCTGGACCACCCTCGTCGACCTCCGCCTTCACGTCTTCTTCGTCCAGTTCTAGAGCATCAGCGGCCATCTTTCGACCCAGCTCGTAGTCCTCGGGGTGCACTCGAGTATTGTCGAGATAGTCCGAAGTTGGATTGGAGCTATCGTATTCAATAGACAAGAAACTCGCGCAATTGTTCCACACTCTTGGACCTACAACTGGTAGCTTGCCACTGTCCGGATCACCCACAAGCTCATCGCGTGTATTGACAACACCACCATTAGCGTTGATGGTCTTGAGTACTGCAGTTGCCTTTCGTGGCCCAAGTCCACAGATATACGGTAGCAGTGCAGCTGTATAGGGATCGCCAATTGCTTCGTTGATATCAACCCCACATAGATTGACCATGTCAACCATTGCTGTCTCGAGCTGCTTGCGAAGCTTTTCTTCTGGAAGAAGTTGTTGACAGGGATGGAAGGACAGAGAGACGATATCCTTTCCAAGCGCCGCATACTCCTTGAGTGGGTTTTGAAGGTATTTCGCCAACGCTACACAATACTTCGTTAGAGAGGTGAAGGTCGGGTGCTCAATAGATGCTCGTGGACTGTCTTTGTAGAGGCGCGCAACCTCATCATTGACGACGACAATCTCCAGTGGGGCGCTCGAGTCGTCGCCTGTGTCTGGATCCTCAAACTCAGCTCCTCTCAAGCCCTTTTCTGCCACCAAATCACGAAGACTGGTGACCAGCTTGTGAGTATCGACACAAAATCCACTGACACCAATTACGTCTGGCTTCCTTCTCTGCACCAGCTCTACGAAGTCCTCCCTCGACTTCTCATCTCTAGTCAATCTGTCGAAGCGTCCATTCTCCAAGACTCGCCCATCTTCCTCCACCCAAGCCCAGTTTACCGCATCCCTGCTTGGATCACTTTTGCCGTTGGACAGTGCTAAGACGCGAGGAACTGTACCCAGAACCATGCCATGAGGCTTATATGGAGCTTGATCTAGCTTTTTCGAATACTCTTCGCGGCAAATCTTGAGAATCGAGTCTTGACATTCAGTTCTCATGCTCTCCTTGACGCCTTTTGTGATGATACGTTCAAGCTTCGAAAATGCCAAGTCGAGAACTTTCTGGCGCTCATCATTCCAGGCATCTGCCAACTCGCTATAATTCTCCGAAGAAAATTCCGTGAACAACTGTTTGCGGAATTCGCGCTCATTCTGCATCACTACCTTGACTTCGAGGAGGCCTTCTTCTTCAGCCTTCAGCATCTTCAAAAAGATTTCAGGCTTGTTAGCGATGTCGTTGAACGTTTGGTTCTTGAGGTATTTCAATTCGTAGTACGGATGTTGCTCATCAATCTTTCGCAGACCTTTTTCTGTCCGTTGACAATTGACGACGCCCATCATGTAGTAGCCCATCCGGAAATGCTTTCGCATGCGCGGGTTGTTGAATAGCTCTTCAGCAAACATTTGACGGGCGGCCAGCAAAACCTGCTCACCAGTGTTAAAGTCGCTATCGCTAATCAAAGAATCCGCAAGGTCGATTGGGGAGAGTGGTGCATCTTCAGTGTACTCCTTTCTAGCCTCTCGTAAAGCATTCTGGGCCACTCGATCAGGTGATATGCCGTAAGCCTTGACAAGGTCGTACGCCTTACTCTTTCTGATGCGATCGTAGATTGATGTCTTTCCGCCCGGACGTCGTTTCTCCTTGGCATCACCATTCGTAGCCGCCACGTCTTTGATCTCTGATGAATAGTGGAAGTAGATGTAATCTTGGACATCCTGTAGCTCCTCCATAGTTTGGGCAATTGGAAGCATGGCATCTACCACTGGATCGTCGATTCCGGCCGCTAATTTCAGGTTGTCGAATGTCTTCTCGAGGACGTTTCTCTTTTCGACAAGAGCTCGGAACTTCAGATCAAGCTCCAGAATCCTCCAAAGATCATCTTGATTCAAGAGCTTTTCAGCATTGACGTGATACTCCTCGGTGTCGGCTGGGTTGGAATCGCGAACTCGTGTCTTGATTGCATGGATCAGGTAGTCCTTGCGGTGCTGGAACACGTAGGGAACCTCGACCTCATCCACAACGAAGAACTCCAAGACTTTACCAATAGCTCGAGTGAAGGATGTTTGCAGATCGCTATGAAGTTGCTTCTTCGGCCATATGAGACTTGTGATCCATCGAGATTCCTCTCTGGATTGCTCATCCGTGAAAGTAAGGTTCTTGTACGGCAGCCTATCCAACTGGAACCGCTCCGGCTCGTCAGCCCATCGTATCAGATTGTCCTCGTCGGTGAGAAGCTTCTCTGAAAGTTGAGAAGGCTCGAAGACGTCCTTCAATTCCAGATTGTGGTCCCCAGCCTCTCTGACTTCAGCCTCATCCTCCAGTGCAAGTGCCCAGTCATAGTCTTCACCGTTCCCGAAGATGGCCTCCATATCTTCCAACGCATCCTTATCCAGCCCACTGACTTCAGTTCCTCCAACGTAGCCTCGCTCGCGTGGTCGAGCCACCTCCATCTCCTCTTGATGTCTCTGCCTCTCGTCCTCATCTTCGAGATCGTCTTCTTCGATGAAGTCGGCAAATTCGTCAACTCTGTGATGGTCAGGTCGTGCATACCCGCGATCCAGGTCATGCCCAGCATCAAGTTCCTCGTCCTCGGAGAAGATCTCGTCGAGGCCACGCTCTCGGTGCTGGTCCCCATCGTCACGGTGGCCGCGCTTGAGTCGCTTGAGTTTTGGCTAGAGACTTATCAGTACACCGCTGGTAGGTACATGTGGCAATAGATAATGCATACCTGTGCTGCTGTCTTGCGCTCCCACTCTGGGTTGGCTTCTCCAATCAAATCCAAATCCTCTTCATCCAAAACGGCCTCCTCCTGCTCGCGTTCGGCTCGATTGCGCTTCTTTCGGCGACGGCGTTCTCTGGCCTCAGCTTCTTCATCCTCATCATCCTCTATAATGAAGCCCTCGCGTACCTAGAGACAATGTCAGTCAGAAGCCCTTGTCGAATGTAGAGCCCTCCGTCGCATACCGCACGAGCAGCCTCCTCATCGTCGTCATCATCTTCTTCCTCGCTGGAATCATCGAGTTCTCCATTGAGTCGCTGCTTCCTAGGCTTCGGCTCCCCAGTCTCTTCGTCGAAGGACTCATCATTCTCCTCGTCGTCGAGCTCGGCCTCCCCGTTGATCAGATCGCGCATACTCATCTTGGTGGTGGTATGAATAAAGATTGGAATGAAGAAAGAAATTTGGGAGCCTGTGAGGTCCTCAAGTAGCCGAGAACTTAGTGTGCTCTGCGGCAAAAGAGTGAATACTTCATGCGCGGACGGTACCGTTGAATCGAAGGTGTCGAGAATTATAAAATCGAAATCGCGTTGCAGCTCACGATACGGAATGAGCCTAAGGCTTTGACGCTAGTTTCTCTCACCGCCTTCTTTCTGCCCCTTATCAGCCACATTTCTCAGCCACATATGTGGCATGACGGGACAGGGCTCGAGCGGAGTGGAGTGCTGGGCTCTGGGTTGGGTCACAGTCGAGTTATGAGGAATAAACAATGCTCACGATACGATGGTAGATATAACAAGTATAATATGGGTATTTGTCGGGTTGCTATTCATGAAGACTTGCACCAATCCGGCAGATGGCGCGCGGCAAGGTGCCCTATCAATGGCCCGCGTGAAAGCCATCCACTCCCTTTCGCAAGCTGGACGTGCCCTCAAATCGCCGCCCAATACCGTGTAGAAAGTCTAAAATCATGAGACAGCAGTGCTTGCGACTCCGGTCCATGCGGCGGCTGCTCTAAGATCGTTGCATCAAATCGAGATTTACCCCTTTCATGAAGAAAGATAACCTTTTTCTTTCAGCAGCACTCCGCAACATATTCATTGTCATTTTTGGTCTCGGGTCCATTTGTTTGGGACAGACAAGACAAAGTGTGATTTTCCCCACGTTGTGTCTAGAGTAGCGCCAGAACGCCAATCTGCTGCTGTTGGTTCACCTCTTGCTCTGCGGCTACACCACCGATTGTCGACCTTGACCTCCAAACTCACCCATCAACCTCATCTGCAACCGCGTGAATATCTCATCGCAGGGAGATACCGGCAATATTGCTGTAGGATATCCATAGCTGCCGGCTTTCTTCGACCATCGTACGACGGCCGACGGCGATCTCTCGAGCTTGCACCGCCCGCCAACCTTTCAGCAACGCATCTGCCCCTCATTTGCTTCTGTGTCGGCTTTCACTGCACCCCAGATTTGCAGACAAACAGTCCTCACGATGTCCGAAGCTATTGGTTCATCGGAAGGTATTGGTTCGGTGCGAACCTTGAAACGAAAAAATATCAAAAAGCTTGCCCTCGCAGCACCGGCCCCTCGCACAGTAGCACCCTCTGAGAGCGACCTGCAGCTTCCAGGAGATAATGAGAATGCAAAGAACACCGCGCAGCTGGAGATCGGTATAGAGTACAAGTTAGATTTGAAGAGAGAGGATCTGGAAGTATTAAAGGATCTTGGCCATGGAAATGGAGGGACCGTCAGTAAAGTTCGACATATGGCCACTGGTACAATCATGGCCCGGAAGGTACATCCATCTGAGTGCTATCGACATGTTGCAACAATTACTGACTTTGCTTCCGTCAGATCATTCACGTAGAAGCAAAGAAGGAGATGCGCCGTCGGATTGTCCGGGAGCTTCAGATCATGCACGATACCAACTCAGAGTACATTGTGAACTTTTATGGAGCCTTCCTGAGCGACACCAACGACGTCATTATGTGCATGGAGTATATGGATGTTGGGTATGACTTCCCATGAGAAATTGGTTTGCCATTGACTGACAATCTTTCAGTTCTCTGGATAGAATCTCGAGGAAGTTTGGTCCTGTTCGAGTGGATGTTCTTGGCAAGATTGCAGAAGCGACCCTAGGTGGCCTCACATACCTCTATACCAAGCATCACATTATGCATCGCGATATCAAGCCTTCAAATGTTCTCGTCAACTCAAAGGGACAAATCAAGCTATGCGATTTCGGTGTTTCGGGTGAGCTTGTCAACTCGGTTGCAGATACCTTCGTTGGGACATCTACATACATGGCTCCCGAGAGAATCCAGGGCCAGAAGTATACTGTCAAGTCTGATGTATGGAGTTTTGGTTTGACTATCATGGAACTTGCTATCGGCAAATTTCCATTTGATGCTAGCGAACACCTATCGGACGGTGATGGGGCTCCATCTGGTATTCTTGATCTTCTGCAGCAGATCGTCTACGAACCAGCTCCAAAGCTACCTAAGAGTGAAGCTTTCCCTCAGATTCTTGAAGACATGATTCAGAAGTGTATGGCTAAAGCCCCGGAAGAGCGGCCTACACCACAAGAGCTTTACGTAAGGAACCCCCTTTCAATGACAATATGGTGGTGCTGATAATCTTGTAGGAGCGTGAGCCTTTCGTTCAGGCTGCCAAGCGTACACCTGTGGACCTGAAAGAGTGGGCTGTGAGCTTGATTGAAAAAGACAATCGAAAATCGCATTTGGCTCCTCAATTATCTCCATCAACTCAGCAACTTCTCCGCTCGGGAGATTCACCGACAGGGCCTTATGCTACGAACTCTCCAGATTACTCCTTACCCACGCCTACCTCAGGTGATATTCCAATAGGTGGTGGCGATGTTCGTTCTGCAGTCACATCTCCCCAGCATGGCGAGAGATCACCCACCAAGAACGGTAGCATCAGTCTAGGTCGTTCATCTGGAGCTCCTTATCATCCCGGATTACCTCCGCGGGGAACAACTACAAATTCTGTCCCAAAAGTCACTACCCTTAGCGCCCCTGATCATGCCACCAATGGGCCTTCGAGTGCTAATGGTGTCACGTTTACAACCACCACGCTTCCCATGAGACCAGCGCCACCTGCAGGACCGCTACCACCGCCTCCTGTACCCAAGAAGGAGAATGCCGATGTTGACCTGAAGAAGGAGAGCAGAAGGCAGGCAACCTTTGGCAATGACCTCTACGCCTCGGGTTATCCCGCTCCGGGAACTGGCCGCCAATACGACTACTGAGCAAATAGCGGACTGGTTTTTCATGCATTCTTCTCATCCACTTACATTTCGAACCTGCAAGCAAGCATGAAGCATCTCCCGGCGTCACCACCTCATCGTATCTCAGATTCACGTCTCAATCGTCCTTTTTGAATGCATACCTCTCTGGTGGGCGGGAAGCTGCTGTTGAAAGAATATGAAATAAGGGCTCACTCGATATTGGAAACGTGTAGCAGCAAGTTGGGGCGTTTTTACCGGCGTATCTAGACAATCCATTCTTGCCATCACTTCAAGGTGGTCCCTTCCGCTCTTCCCTCTTTTAAGACTTCTTCGGCTCGTTTTCTAGTATCGCTCTCCTCGTCTTCCCTTCCGATTCTACCCACAAATCCATTTTCGAGGATGTCAATTAGCTCGTCCAAACGAGACACAATTAAGTCTGTATGTTCGTGCCCAGCTAAGTGTGCATTCGCTTCGTTCACCAATAACACTGTAGCTGCCTTTGCTCCGAAGCCAGCGGTAAGATCGTCTATAGAGTCGCTATGTGGACATTGTCAGATATAGTTCGTCATGGAAGTACTTGTTCTTATGATACTTTGTAAATGAATAATACACTTACCCAACCATGATCATATTCGAAGCATCCCCAACATCTCCCCCTTCGCCGACCTTGACAAAACCCCAACTTTTAGCTATATGTCTGAAAATAATTAGTATCGGTAGTCATCGTGTGAGAAACACCACATCACTGCTATTATAACTATTGACATCACAATCTCATATTCAGATTCAACTAAGAGGGGCAGAAACAAGACTCACAAAATTCCTGCCGGGTCTGGCTTTGGCGGTCTGAAGTCTCTTGTTACAATAGGATCAAACTTTTTCCCGGGAAGGAATTTCTCCAAAAGATGAGCAACTGGCGTCTCGAAGTTTCTGGTACAGATTCCTTTAGGGATCTCTCGTGACTCGAGGTATTCCATTAGTGTAGCGAGACCAGGTTGAGGTTCTTGTTTAGTCATGGCTGTTCTTTCTATGGTACGGATCTTTTCGAGGGCGGCTTCTTCTTCGGTTGGGGGCAGGGAATGGCAGTGGTCGAGGATATCAGTGCCCTTGTCGATTCCGAGTGCTCGACGCATCTCCCCAAACATGTAATTCTGTTGTAGGCTAAGATGGATTAGATTCTTTCTTGGGAACATCGAAGGGCAGCAGAAACAGGAGGCATGTTGAAAGCGGTGAAGTGGTATACTTAGTCTCGATCAGAACACGAGGACTGCTCCATTTATGAGACGAGAATATATACTAGAACGAAGATTATAAGGATCATCTCAAGTTGCTGTTTATCGGATGTCTGATTCCAAATTCCAGCTTTTCGGCGTGAAAAGACATCTCGCAAATACAGACATTGGAACTAGTTTCAACTTGACATTAAATGATTCGTAGAAGAATAGCTCTAGCCACCATAGTTCTAGACTTTATATCACCAGAAAGATGCACGTGCAAGCCATCAGCACTTGCTAGGAACTCTTATTATGCAACTTGTTGGGCAGCTAGAACGAACACACAAATTGAATATCAAATGAAAAAGACATTGGAAACCTACCACAAAGTCCCATCAACATCAAAAACAATCCCCTTCAACTTCGGTAAGACCTTTCCCGCATCCTCACTCTTCTTTCCCAGGGGAGCAAACCGTCTCGGCTCTTTGGACAGTGTACTCGTCATCGCGAAACACCTTGTAAAGACCTTGGGTTGCAGGAATTGTCTAGGCAAGGAATGAAAAATATGAGTCTTGAGCATTGATGGCCAGGAAAGTATGTGTGGGATTATGGGTTGAAGATTAACGTGGTGATTAAGGAAAGAAGCAAAAAAGGGAAGAGTGGAGGGTCAAGTTTGACCAATCATGTCGTTTGAGGCCTGAGGCAGAAGTACTTCACTTCCCATTGCCTTATTGCACCTATCATAGGCACCTCTCTTTTGGGTTTCAATGTTTAAACTTTTCCGCACACTGTAAAGTCCATTTCCCTGTGACGCTGGTGTAATCATTGCACATGGTTTTTGGGGCTCTAGATGTCTTATGTTTTTCTGGATATTGAGGTATATATCGATGGCACTCTTGTCTCTGTTGTGGATAGGCAGCTTCAGTGTACAATGAGCTTTTTTTCAAGGCTCTTTTTCGCCTTATGACGGGTAACCTCGTTGAACTTTTCTATTCTAAAACTACTATTCTCTACGATGCAGAGAAACGTATTAGTTAATGTCTAATGCAAGGCATCCTCTCCAGCAACAATTCCTAATATGCCTCGACCTAGTTCGCAGGCTCATACGCTGCGGTTCCATTTGGATTTGCAGCCAAAGCCGTCATGTTTTTATTCCCGGTTTTGATGTATGATTTTGATTGCGGCAAATTGTCTAAGGTCTCATCAGGCAAATGTAATGTATCCTTGATTATCTGTCTGGGTGTCAGTGCCAACCATTGGGCTACACTGATGTCCGTGAACTTCGGCTGCTGCAGAACTTCAAGGAAGATGACATCTTCTGTCCCTGTATTCTCGATAAAATGGGAGTTGATTGCGGGAATGTATCCAACATCACCAGCCGTGAAATCAAAAGTGCGGGACGACTCAGGAGCAGCGAAGACGGTGATTCGAGCCGACCCTTGGAGGAAGTAGTTCCATTCGTCTGAGTTGAGATGCCAGTGTAGCTCCCGCATCGCACCAGGTTGCACAGTCACTAGTGCTGCAGCGAAGTTACTCGCAATAGGGAACGTAGTTGTGTCAATGATCTTGACAGATCCACCAGGGACAACGTAAGGTTCTTGTTGAGAAAAGTGGTATGTATAAGACTGATCGTAAGGTAAGATGCCCGCTGGTCCCGTGATATTTTGCTCCGAAATATTAGCTGGCGCAGGTGTACCAGTGAAAATGTAGAGCTGATCAGTCGGAAGGTTATCGAACGCTGATACTGGTGTTTGTAAATCCTTGGAAAGCACTTCTTTCGGATTTCGAAGGAACATTTCGGAGATGAGCGAGGTGCCATCCTCAGAGAAATCACCTTGGTCAAAGACAAGCAGGAACTCGCATCCTTCATCTAAAGCTTGCTAGAATTTTTTTAGTATAGATTCTTGACAGAGAGATCTGACGCCAGCTCTTCTAAAGAGATCGACAAGGTATTCTTTGATTGGCGGCTCCTGGGAAGATTTTTGGACACTCAACTCCCCGGGTGAATATGAAACAAGAGTATATCTTACTATGCTATGCGGCACCCCAGCAGGAAAGAACCACACATCACCAGCGCTAATGTCGTCTATGAATGTCTCGCCGTTTTCATTTACAGCAGAGAGCCTCACACTGCCTTTGAGCATCAAGGACCACTCGTTTGCCGAGTGCCAATGAAGTTCTCGATAAGCATGGGGAGCGAGGCGCATATCTACGCCCGCCATCTCTGTTGCCGCTGGCAATTGATCGGTGTTCTGTTGTCTCGCCCAGCCCGACTGCTTCCCAGTACCAAATCGATTATGGCTGAGGCCCAGTGGCCACTGAGCCTGTGGGACATCACCTGAGTCTGTTCCAGGGGGAGCAAAGATATCTGGGTTCAACTTCTCATACTCATAAGTCCCTGTTTACTATTTAGTTTGGTATTTCGCAGACGTCGGGTTAGGACGTACTTGGACCTGGGTCGGTTTGGCCACCCGTGCCCCTGAGAGGCTGGGGGTTCTCAACGCTGTTAAAATCTAGATACAGTCCAAGGTCGGAATCTGCTTCTTGTCCATTGACAAGAGGTGCATCCGAAACAAAAGCTGAATCACCGCCAGAGATGGGTGATGGCTTAGCAATCTGAGAGAGTATTAGCTGTGTTGGATATTTTCCCGTATGTCCTTACCTCTCCGAGTAGATCTGATGGCCCATAGAGAGATCCAGATGTTGTAGTCACGGTAGGAGAAGGGGGATCAACGCCACCCACGGCCCCAGTATTTTCTCCATAATTCATCTGAGGAGCTGGTGCTGCCATGACGGCTGGAAACAGGCCGGCAGCTACCAAAGAGCCGATCATGCGTACAACTTGCTGCATATTGCCTGGTAAAGGATGATAAGGGGGCAAGTGGAAGAAGAATGACATCGAGTGACATGTGGTTAATATATGAAAGGCAAAGAAAGTCCACGCAATCCGCGGACATTTAAAATAAACATGTATTGCGTCAAGCTTATGGCTGAGGCCGAAAGCTCTGTAATAACTCGCTTTACTCGGTATGAAGAGTAGTGGGAGGTCTAACCACCGATGCAGAATAGGCAGGTCAGACTTACTGACAGACAGCACAAGCAAGCACCTGGGTTCTGGACTAGTTTGCCACTGGGGTGCTACTGCATCAGATCTTCAAGACAAGCTTTTGAAGGTATCTTATTGGCCCCGAGATCCTGGGACACGGAGAAAGTTAGACAACCGAACTGGATACGCTGTGCAGTGCAGCAAGCGGACCTTGCCAGGTCCCGTTCGCCATGGCTGGAGATCTAGGAAAGCTTCGGCCAGCAAGGATGGAGGGGGATATCAAATCGGATGGAAGGCAGGAGGTCCCCTCACGGAAGCAGCATCCGTGTACATCGATATTGTATCAACATTGGAACAAGAACTTTCAGGTTCGGAAATAAGTTACTGGTATTTGTAAGCACTTATACCGCGAATGCCATACAGTAAAATTAGTTACCTATTTCTCATTCTCGAGAGTAGTGTCATTTCTTCCAAGCGTCACCACCTTCGGATTCCAGAAGAAGTGCCGCACACGAGGTTCAGTCCGAACAGGGTGGTCTGCCGCGCAGCCGTTGAAAGACGGAGACTAGCTTCCTCCCCGGGAGTGATGACGATTTTCAGCAGCGCAGTGCACCAGGGCACCAAAGCACCTTTTTGGCGCTGTGGTGTCCAGTAGCTCCATCGATATCCCGGGGATCTCATGGCGAGCACGATACAGTCCCTTCGAAAGTAAGTAGGTACACACACGCCATTGAAACCTCGGAATAGAAGCACCAATTGTGCTTGTCTGCCATGCACGCAAAAATAACTCGGTGGGTGGCATGCTGTAAAATGGTGTGGCAGCGAGTAGTAGGTGATGGTGGTGGACTCCGGTGCGGGACTGTAGACTGTAGACTGTAGTGGCTTGTTCCTGGGACCAAGAAGACGACATCAAAGCGCGGCGACGGTGCTGAAGCTGCTGGTACTAACGAGTAAGTACTAGGTGCTAGGTGCTAGGTGCTACTCCACAGGCGAAGCAGACCTACCTGGCCTGGCCCTAGGAGTATGTACATATGCAGACTACTGCAGTGCAGTGCAGAGTAAATTGTATTGATGTCTTCCCCGCTTGCTCGGGAGCGCTTGAGATGCCCCTGCGCTGCTGCATTCAATAGTGGATCAGGGCAATCTTTCAAAAGGGACGGACTCGCAGTTTGTGGGCGTATTATTTACTATCTGATCAAAGGACATGAATACTAGGTAACGACAAGTGGGATGAGAGGAGATGAGAGGACGACGAGATGGACGAGATAATAAAGTACAGTGCGTGCTTGACTGTTACTGTTGTCGTGTCACTGCCGTCGCTTCCAAGTACCGACCCCATGCCAAGACTCGGCCCCGCTGTGCTGCGCTGAAGTGTCCGCCGTCCCTTTTTTATTGTACTGAGCTCCGTCGCTGCATTTCTCTCTACCTACTTCCGTTCGACTATCCATGTTCATATCGCAGTGTTCACAGTTCCCAATTCCACATTCGTGCCAAAATCCGAATTAGGGGACATTAATCTTGATGTGTCCGCAGCTTAGCTTACGCGTCGGGTGGCAGGCATTACATGGACTGCATTGCAAGTGCAAAAACTTGATTGTCTCTTACCATCCCGTACTGCGGATGTTGACTCTCTTCTACGCGGGAAATGAATTGCCCATTTTCGTGAGAAGTTACCTCAAACAAGCAGCAGCTTACTGCTTACTCGGCGAGGGCGGCTGCTGACTCTCTGTCTTGCATTGCGCATCAGAAGCTTCAATTCTTAGCGGCGCTTGGGTGAGGCTTATTTTGATGTCAAAAGCCGCGTCCTCATGAGAGATATGCATTGTCAATCTAGGCAGAGCAACTATCCTAGCGTGTGATATAATTTAGTGTCCACGGACATATCTCGCTATGACTCGGCATCTTTTATTTGTCTATGCGACATCATCATCTTATGCGTATGATGGTACTGGGACTTGATTGGAGGCTTGAATATTTCTTACAGGTGTGCTAGTAGGTACAGACTGCACTCTGCAACCATGACTCCTCACACAGGAAGATGTTCGGATACAGAGCCATGCCTTAGGCACATGAGTTGAGATTACCTTACTTGTTACACCGTATCAGACATTTGTCAGATAACATGGTTCAAACTATGTCAGGCGAGACGTCAGAGCAATCATTAGACACGCGATGGAACATTCACGGGACCACCAGGAAGTATCCTGAACAGCTCTAATACCCTCTCATCTGCAAGCCCCAATCCTCGCGAGTTAGTCAGGAACATTTACATGGATTGGATGTTTTCAGGTTCCTCGTGAATAAGTGCGGATGTCTTGCAGATCATTCACCATTCGAATCGGTGTCACACTTTAGCTGGTGGGAATTATTATCAATCTCATCACATCTAGACAAGCAGTAATTGAGGTGTAACCGTATTTTTTCGTCAATAATATCCTCAACAATTGAATTGGTCTTCTTGTCAGTTACCATCTCATGCTTTGTCCTATCCACCACCCTGATTGTTGGCTTATGACTCGGAAACTCTTACTTGCACAGGCCATTTAAGCAGTCGTAATGACTACCAATGTGGTCATTTGATCCATTCACGTCTCATGAACGAGCTGTGTTCTTTTAGCAAACATTTAAACCTATTATTCCATTCGGTAACGTTCGAACTACCAGCAGTTCACAAAGACGGCAGAAATATCAAATGCTTATCAAGATACCAGACACCGACAAGGAAGATACAATGCGAGATCCCATTCACAATGCTCTCGACGCAGGTCTTCGAGCTCTAGGAGGAGAGAAGGGTGCGTTGGCAAGTTTCTGGCGAAAGTTAAGGGAGAAGGACAAGAAAGGTTCCCGGGTTCATAAAGAATCGGACGATCCAAGTGACGATGGCAACTATGAAGGCTATTTGCGGTCCATGAAAAGAGAGAGACGCTATTCCCCGCCGATGCCCGGCGTGGGACAGCGATACGGTGGTCGGGCATACGGCGGACTTGGTCAATATGGTGGATATGGTCCACCGCCCTTCCCCTTCCCAAACCAGGACAGAGATGCTCTTAACCCGATGCCTAATGAACGGCCAATCCCATATGGCCTCGGTCGTGACCGGGACCGTCGCGACCGCCGCCGTGGTCCAAATACACCATACGGCCAACCTCCCCTGCCAATAGATAATTCCTGGCGTCCATTACTCGGTTACGGAATACGCGATCGCGGGCAGATCGATCGTGCGTTACTTCAATATGCTCAACAAGAGCAACTCGCTCGAGCAGGTAGGGGCAGGGGACAACTGCCTCCCTTCATGCCACCACCTGCTTATGGAAGACGAAGCGAGCCGATCTTGAATCCGAGAGATTTGTTGAGATCTCCACCACGGGAGATTCGAGAACCAGCAGGAAGACCTGACAAGAAACGTCGCAACTCACCAGCTCGAAGACCAGTGCCAGAACCCAAACGTACAGTCTCCGCGCCAGCGGAGTCAAAACGACCAGAGAAGACTCCAAACAAAATATCGAAAGGCGAGAAGAAGAAAGAGGAACCGAAAATGCGTTCGCCTCCTCCTGCCACACCACCGGCACGTCCTTCGCCCGAGAAGTCAGTGTCGACTCATTCCTCGCAAGATGACCAGTCCTCCATTGCTACCAGGCGCCGACTTGGGGATATGAACAGAACCTTCATTGAGGGAATGGTTTCAAAAACCACCCTTGGTAAGTCTGCGCGCAAGCGTTGAACACGGCTGTCGGAAGGCACAGTAAGATCGCAGTGTGAATGGCGACAGGTGCTTTTATGAGCCTTAGACGGTTTAGATCGAGAATTGAAATTTGCAAGATGTCTTGAAGTCTGGACCGTGACTTGCAATTAGAGACTATCTCTACTCTTTTAGTCTTCATTGTGCAGATGATAACCCTCAGGTGTCTATCTTTTGTATGCAATGTTAACAGTATTGATACCTAGCCTTTTCAAGTGTCATCGAGTTGGTCTGTACCCTCGCTGGTGAAATGACCATGGCGAACATCGAAGCTTTTGTTTTCAAGTCACGAGTTACTTTCACTCCTGGAAAGCCTCGTTCAATGAGAGCAAATGCTGCCAAGTTTGTTTCAAGTACGACATACAGTTGGTGCTTTAGACGTATCGCGCTTGAGGGGAAAGGGGTAGCGAGACCTATCACGTGTTTCATAATGACTTCTACCACAGGTAGGATTCGCCCCAGAATGATTCATAAATTCGCATCCGAAGAGGAAGGTGTGTATATTATCTGTTAGAGTCAATATTCGATAACGCCTGGTGATCTTACAGTCGATAGTAGGATGTTTCATTGTCACAGGATTATTCACAAATTCATAGCCCAGTCGCGACGACATCTTATAATCTCAGCTCAAAATCAAACCTGTCCACTTGCCATATTTATTGCAGGGTGTTGACACTGCTTTGAGCCACAAAAAAGGCAATGCATCAATATGCTAAGCATCGAGCAGATGTTTAGCCAGGACATTGCCAGAACCAACGACAGGATCGTCGAAGATCTAGAGCGGTTCCTGAACAGCTTCAAGAACCGTAAGCAACAGTCCAGAGCAGCTTTCTCCGAAAGCGATACCAATATCGATACCGATAAGAGTCCACGACAAGTGCCAGCTCGGGAAGATAAAAGCACCGAGGGCTATAGAGAAGAGACACAGGATCGGTCTAAGCAAAGACACGACAGGAACCCCCACCTAGAACACAGCACCGTTGTAGATCTAGCGCCGCACAAAATCACTCGTGCTGACAGGAAGAGGATTAGCCAAGACACACACAGCAATCACTCGGACAGAGAAGTTCAATCCCGAGATTCATCTCCTCTGTCGAGTGGGAGTCCCGGCCCTCATTCGGACGAAGATAAGATGGGAAGCTCATCCAGTAAAAGGAGTGACAAGTATTCGGCACGAAATTCGGACGGTGATGCTTCCAGGCGTGATTCTCGGAAGCTACACAAAGAGCGACCCGGAAGCAACGCAGCAAGCGCTGACTCAAGAAGGCGGGCTCGCCTCAAAGAACAGGAGTTCGAGAGGGCACACATTGAGAGAAGATTTAGAGATCAAGAACGGAGGCTAGAACGAGTATTGTGGGAAAGTCGTCAGGCTGGACATCGCTCGGAAGACTCTCAGAATGCAGGGAGGCAATGGAAGCGAGAAATGGAGGCAATCAAGGACAAGCGAGATGCATATGCACGAGATAAAAAGGTACGTGAAAACTCCGAGGAGCATTTGCGTCAACGGCGGAAGGATGGAAAGGAGGCACGAGAGTCAGCTCAGAGAGATACGTCTGATAGGTTCCGACGCGAGGAGGAGAGGATGGCAGCCAGGCAAGCAGCTTCCGATGGAAGAGGGCAGCCAGTACCAACTCGAAGCAAGGAGACACCAGGTAGAGCCGCCTCTCCAAGATATTCAGCAGAGAGGGTAGCAAACCGTAGCAGGGCATCGAACTCTGCCGCAAGACGGTCACGGCCAGTTGTCTCCCAACTAAGCGAGGAAAATGTGAGAGCCCAGCAGGGAGACTTCATTGATAATATTCTAGGTCGCACGGAGCTGCACAGGGGACTGGGTAACATGGACCGCACTTATCTCGAAGGCATGATTCTATCTGAAGAGTGTGAACTAGCCGAAAAGTCTCTAAAGCCCCGGAAGAGTGAACAATCCAGGGAGCGGAAACTGGTGGAAGCTCAAACACATCAGCAAGCCACAAGAACAGACACCGAGCAGGAGACCGCTGTCCAACAGGATGAACAAGAAGTTGCTATCCAAAAGCCTCTCGCTAAAGAACCTGCCAAGAAGACCAATGCGGTAATTTATCTCCTCGAGTAAGTACACTTGCTTCCTCTTGCTTATTGATCAAAGATTAAGTTCATTCCAGGTGCAAGCATACTGTCACACGATTGCTGGGCGATTCAATTCTCAGGAGTGCTTGCTTGAAAAAAGCGCAGTGACTAAAATTTCTGAGCAAGGAGATGACCTCTCCAGAGCAGCAAACTCATCTTTCTTGTCCTGTTCCGTACACTAGCAGTAATTCACTACTGTGAACGGACGTCTGAAGTTCTGGAACAAAATACGTGAAGGTATGCTGACTATGCAATTTCTCCTAGGCCCAAGTAAACAAAGCTGAAGAACGAATAAAGGAACCACGGAAAGCGAGAGATGGATTGAAGGAAGGCGCACCGAGAAAGGCTGCCGAGGACAGGGAAAGGAGACGTCAAGAACGAAACAAGAAAGCTGAGCTGAAAAGAGATGACAACGAGAAGCGTCTCAAAGAGCAAAAGAAGAGAGAGCGAGAACGCGCGGAAGCTGCGAAGAAAAGAGCTGAAGATGTAAGACAAGCCCGAAGGGTTAGGGATGCCAAGAAGAAAAAAGATGACGAAGCAAAACGTCTCCGGGAGCAGCGGGCAAGAGAAAAAGCCCGTCAAGCTGAAAAGGAGAAAAGGGCTGCAGCAGAGAAGAAAAAGCGTGACAAGCAGAAGCGTCAAGAACAGGAGTCGCAACCAAAAACCATATTTAAGCGGAAGCTAGGTGATATGGCCCGAACAATGTTAGAAGGGATGGAGCCCAGAAAGGAACGAAAATGAAAGTTCCCAAGCCAACGTGATAAGGGGAATCCCAAGTACAAAGGATTTGGCAAGAATTATGGTATATTAAGAAGTGCCATTTGAAAGTAGCTGTTGTCCCGTTTGACTGACGTGCTGGTCTAAATTGGAGCACAGTCCGCAATGTCTTCCTCTATTTGAGAGAATGTAACACGAGCGACTCACTGGGTAGTTTATAGAACATGATTGAATAGACTACAGCGATTCAATAGCCTAAGCAAATTGAGTAAGGTTCGTAGATGAGCCCCATCAATACAAACCGAGTCTGTAGAGCTAGCAAAGAGCAGTTCTTCATGGGGTTGATTATGCTTAGGGAAGCAGCATAGAGAAGGGAAGGAGGTGTCGCTGAGCCATTGCCTGCTTCTTCATGATTCGACTTTTTCGGTAACGAGTGGCATTTAGAAACGTGAAATCGTAAGAAATCGGTCCTTCCTATAGTATATTGGTACTTCGGACGATCAATCCGAAGTCCAACGCCTGACGCCTATGCTATGCTATGCAAATACTCAACACCTTATCTCGACGCCTCGCCTACTCACGGTCAAGTACTTGACACCCTTGTATGGCTTCACACCCTCACCTAGTCCACGGCTCTTTCTAGTGTCGATAACTAAACTCTCAACCTTGATACCAGAGGCCAGCCAGCCCTTGACTGAAAAGCTGACAGATGTAGAAGTCGGCATCAGAATTTTGTTCTGAGCAACTTTCCGAGCATCTTTCTGCTCCTCGGTTTTCTCCGGACTCGTGTCTTTGACCGGAGCACTCTGGTACGCTTCCTCCTGGTAATCATAATTTCCTTCAAGCTTGAAGCCGTTTCCTTCAAAGTCATCGTCATCCGAGAGAGGTCCAACAATGGTACAGCGTAAAGTGGCTCCTCCGGCTGTAGCCTCTTTCGCCGAGATGTGCCATTCCAATACTTTCTCTCCAGGGTTATAAGTGGTATCACCTCTACTTGCTCTAATTTCAGAGAGATTCCTAACATCTGCTGGCAAGGGTATGGTTACTACCAGATCTTCCAATGCGGGAGTCGATGAAGTCCCCGGATGACTGCCAATTCCTGCGCCGAATCCACCACGTCCTCCTGGTCGCCCAATACCCTGCGATGAGCCAGATAAGGAAGAATTGCCTTGTCCAGAGACTTTAGTAATGAACAACCTGACTTCGAAGTCCGATCCCGTGGGACCAAGGCTGGTCTTGACTTCGAGGCTGACAGGTAATTTCAGATTTGATGCATTAGTCGATCCAACTTTGCCATTCTGAAACGGCAGTAAGTCAACACCATATCCTGCCAGAACAAATCTTCCATCAGGGGGCACAAAGCTCAATTCTCCTGGATTCTCCCGCCACCTTGCTAACCTGACACATGGATGAAATATTGGAAGCTCCATGACGCTGTTGATATTCTGTCTTCCCGAGGGTGTGGATAGATGCAATAGAAGATCTGGGACCCCAGAGATTTTAGAGGTGAAGGCAATGGTGCCATTGGCGAAAGCGGCCAATGGCCGTCCAGACGGCGCAAGTGTCACGGAGAGAGTCTCGACTAGATCCACATATAGCTCGTTGGATGTGTGTCGTACATTTGCTCTACGCCAAGGCAATGCTGGAGTATTTGCAGCTAGTGTCCCCGTGGAAGATATTGCAGACATGTTGGAATTAGAAGATGTTGACGAGAACCCCGGCTTTCTGAATTTTGATTGTCACTGATGCACAACACGTCAAGTAAGAGGAGTACATACCCCGGTATATTTATGCCCCCAAGAAGTTTGCCAATCCAGCCCTCAACTTCTACCAAATCCCTTAGAGCGTTTGGCTCGGTGGTACTAACAGCACCTCCATCACACATCTCATTCAGAAGTTGTGCAACGACATCATAACTGCTCTCTACCTTGTGAGAGATCAGAGGTGCACCCACGAACTCTTCCAAAACATCTATTACTCGGTGTAGAAACTCGAGGGCTAGTAAAGGTTCAATTTCGGAGGATGAGGTTAGGAGGAAGAGTAGGTTGGAGTGAATCAGACTGAAGACTAAGGTCGGCGGAGAGGTATTTGGCAGATATATCAGATTGGGTCGCGGACTCGGATGACCTAGGTAAATTGGGAGAAGTTGAGTAGCAGTGAGTGGTCTTGACGTGTATGCGTGGGTGAGTATTGGGCGACTGTGACAAGAATTAGCTGAGTCAAGGTGGCGGCTGAACAAGAGATGCATACTTGTGTTCATCATAGATGTACACGGCCTCAATAGCTCCGTTCATCGTGATCTTCAAGTTATTATCGAGACATTGGAGAGTCTGCAAAGTTTCTCGTGTGAACGGTATGAACAAGTGCTATGTCGCGATTGTGGGGTGCAGAAGACGCGGCCGCTTCGCCGACTTGAAGTCTCTCAAGCTTCAAATCTTTCTTTTTGAACGTAACCGCTTCACGTATTAAGGCAAACTCCTCCTCATTAACGCGCGCAAATTCCATTTTGATTTCATCATGGGCTCGGGACTACCTTCTATCGGGGAGCTCCAGCGTCCAGAACGTTTACATGATGTTCTTGCACAAGACAAAGTGGATGATTGCACCCCATGGTACGTCGAGAACCACCCTTAGTTTCAAGTACCACCAGGAAACCTGGGAAGAAATCACGGGACGCTTGTTCGGGACAGCCCGATGCCTCCTTGATATCTTTGTAGAACGCATGCTGATATATTAATAGCAGGGTCACTGGTATATTCTGACCCTACCCTCAAAGCAAGCTCAGGAGATCACTAACGTTGTTTTCAGGAGCTGCTGCCTTTATGGGGCTCGGTGCGTACAGGTAATATGACTTCTATACTCAAATACTTTTCTTTCGTATGATAGCTTGGGTGCCTAATTGTTGGCCAGTATTGTGCTATGCTAAATCTGTTTTCCAGTTACTACACCGGGCATTCACAACTCAAAATGCAGGAATCTAAAATTCTTGCCAGCAAAAGTGCCTTTGGGCTGAGAGCTCGACGATCGGGAGTCACTGGAATAGCTTTAACCCTTGGTTTGATGGGACTGTACAGACTTGTCAACTAAGACAGCTTCAATTAAGCTGTCCGTCAAATCAGCTGTACAGGCCATTTCTGGATCTGGCAATTCGGCCGAAATGGAAAGTGGTTCTCATAACCAGTTCGTTGCACCTGGTGGACGAATTTTTACACCACATTTGTTGACAACACAGATGTCCTTACACATACAACTTCCTCTCAACTCAGATTTACTTTTTTTCAACGACTTCTTGGCGACACTACCGTCACTGTAAACGAGCCTAAACCCCATGTTCATCAGCACAGCCTATTCGATCGAACCAATGACCTCGTACTTCCCGTGACCTATCCTCTTGCCTAGGTACACGCGACCACGTATCCAAGAACGACCGGATAGACTCCGAGAAGTATTGGTACCGCGTCAAGCTCAAGAGCACACGAACGACTGGAATGTTCCACGTAATTGGACTTGAATGCAGCAAGATGTTTGCATGGATGAGGGCATACTACCACTTCTGGACTGTGATTGGTGGTAGGACGAGAGGGAGTTATACATTAGAAGCAAGGATCAAGAACCGACTTAAGATCTCGAATGAGCTTCTATCCTTGGTGAAGGATGTGGCTCGTCCATTATTCTGCGAGACAGGCCACATGCAAGAAGGGTAGATTATTTGAAGCAACATTGTGGCAGTAGCGGAGCCCGTACCTATTCGAGATGAAAAGTGGAAATCAAAGATACATGATCCATAATTCTGTTTGAGATGTTGCTCTATTACGCCAGTACATAAGCTTTTGACTTTACAGATGCGTGACTCTGTACTTCGGATCGGGAGTCTGCTGCTCAGCTAACAAGAGCAGAATTATATTGGATATCACGTCCAATAATTTCCCAAAATCTTTCCTCTGGTAGATAATTGGATATTGTATGAAAGTTTAGTTGCAGACATTCCAATGCAGGCAGAATGGAACCAACCCTCCAATTGGTTGGCGAGTGATTGAAAGTTGTGATACGGTAATTAATATCTTGCTTTCTATAAGGACATTTGGTTGTACTGTAGCCTCGCCAAGCGGAAGCGGAACACCTTTGGCCGAGGGGATATTTTTTGTTTGCCTCAGCCTCGTCTGATTTACACACATTTCATAAAATCCAGCAATAATGACCATAACTATTCTTGCTCCAGCTCCGGCTGTCCCGTATCACACCACGGATGTGTCAGATGATGAAGACCATGAAGATGGCGGAGTTGATTTGGAGGGTGATTCCAGCATGCGACCTGCGAAGCGTGCTCGACGCAGCTCTGCGAAAGACCTCGTCACTCCTGGAGAGACAGTCACCGATGATCCTCAATGGATGAGGTATATCACATTGGTCCTATTGTATCCGGCAAGCAGTCTACTAACATTGTTTCAGAGGCCATGGTACATATATTGCCCCTGCAAGCACGGAGATCATTGCGACAGTAGCAGGCACAGTCCAGAAGACCAACAAACTTCTCTCTGTTCGACCACTTCGCGCACGATACACACCCGAGATTGGTGATCTGGTCGTAGGACGTATCATCGAAGTCCAACCCAAACGGTGGCGAGTGGATGTTGGAGCTCCGCACTTGGCTGGCCTGCCTCTCTCAGCTATCAATCTACCTGGTGGTATTCTACGAAAGAGAACAGAGACGGATGAACTACAAATCAGAACTTTCTTCTCAGAAGGAGATTTGTTGGTGGCCGAAGTGCAATCTCTACATCAGGATGGAAGCGCTACTTTGCATACCCGCAGTCTGAAGTATGGCAAGTTAAGGAATGGAGTCTTCATGAGTGTGAGCGGAACTGGCGGAAGAGGAGGTGTGGTTAGGTCGAGAAGACAAGTATGGACTATTGATACGATACGGGGTGGAGGGAAGGTCGATGTCATTCTCGGAGTCAATGGGTATATTTGGATCAGCACACATATTGAAGTTGAAGAAGGCGACACGGCTATTACGAGGATAGAAGAGAGTATCAGCAGTACGGTCTACTCGAGCCAGAATGACGAGATATCACCGGAAACCAGGAGAGAAATTGCGAGGATACGAGGGGTCATTAATTTGTTGGTGGAAGAAGGCCTTAATGTTGATGAAGATATGGTTATGAAGGCCTATGAAGCTGCTACTCTCGTCGAGGAAGATGATGCGAGCGAGAACATTGTATACTTGGGAGGAGAGATGGGCAAGAGAGTCGTGTTGATGTTGGGTGGACCATAGCCAGGGTTTGCCTCGAAAAATGCACACGAGTCATGCAAAGATGAGGCGGTTCCATCAAAGCTGCACTACTGCAGAAGAGTTGAAGATTTGAAGCTCTATGTCGAGGTTCCGCCGCCTCGGCATATATGAGAGCAAGGGTTGGCGGACGTCTGGTGCCAAAAAGGCTGTGGTGCTGAATCTGAGTCGATCAGATGCTATCATGCTGTTCAATAGTTGTCCTGCTGCGTCAAGGGCATTTAATCGCGCCAATGTTCTCGAGCGACAATTTGGATTTCTTCTGGTTGCTGTGATTGATAATCCGTGTACAGGAAGTTTCTGTCCGTACGGTGCATTGCAGGTCAACAATTGATCCTCATTGAATGTGGAAGAACTTTTCGGTGTCGGTCTTCAAGCAGTGTCGGTGATAAGCCAGCTCTTTATCGTGGGTTTCGGATGAGAGACGTCACTGTCGATCTCGCTTCGCTCGTTTCGCTCGCCTCCTGTCAAAAATCTTTTTTCCCTTTAGGATCCATGCAGCTGGCACGCTCGCGGATTGGACAGGAAGTTCTAATCCCGAAAGACTGCCGGTTTTGTCATGCTGCTCCGGTTCCCTCACGGCCAATGGACGTCGAGGTGCTGGGAACCAGGCTGCAAGTGCATGGGATTGCTGCCATCAATCCTAAACTGCGAAAAATAATACTAGACAAGTGTCATGGAATTTTTCTGGAGACTTCTTGACACCAGGTTTCGATCAATTGCTTATCAATTCCAAGCGGTAAGGGTGACGATGATTTGGTTTACCTGATGGTACGTAACGGAATGAGTGAGTTTGCTCTGTCTATATAAGAGTTGGTCTTTCTCTAGTCACGTCCCAATTTCAATCTGCTCCACTCCACTTCTACCTTCACATCTCTTTCTCACTCTCAGACTCCCACGCACATCCCTTATCTCAATCCCTCACAGGTGTATTAACATAGAACTCAAGCGCCATGGTCGAGTTCACTGTCTTCAAAGGCTCCAAAGAGGGCAAGATTGTCGAATCCAAGACTACGAAGGAACTCAAGGCGAATGAGGTTCTCATCAAGGTCACTCACTCTGGTCTATGCGGCACAGATGAGCATTACAAGCACGAAGATATGGGTTTGGGACATGAAGGTGCTGGTGTTATAGAGGCAAGCATATTGCTGCGTAAGATTTATATGGTATTCTAACAGCCAATTAGGAAATTGGCTCCTCAGTGACGACCTATCGAAAAGGCGATTCAGTAGGATGGGGTTACCAACATGACGCTTGTGGACACTGCAAACAATGTCTCACTGGCCACGAGACTCTCTGCCCCGAGCGAAAGATGTACGGTTACGCCGACCATGACCAAGGATCCTTCGCACACTACGCAATTTGGAAAGCAGATTTCATCTTCAAGATCCCGGATTCGATTCCTCGCGAATACGCAGCTCCCTTGAATTGTGGAGGGTAAGTTCTTTCCTCTATTATATTGCATTCTTTTTTATATACGAACCTCGGAGCCGCCAGCTGTCTTGGAAGCTTAAAAGAGACAATCCTGCAAAAGCTTGGGACAGCTCGGAGCTTTTCAGCTTATCTCACTACTTGCCAGCTTTTTACAATGCTAATTCATTGGGCAGAGCTACTGTTTTCAATGTCCTTCATTCCTTCAGTGCCAGATCTACACATCGCGTTGGTATAATCGGTTTTGGTGGATTGGGACATCTTGCTATTCAATTCGCTCATAAGATGGGTTGTCAAGTCGTAGTTTTCTCTGGAACCGACAGCAAGAAAGACGAAGCCATGAAGTTGGGAGCAGACGAGTTTGTCGCTACGAAAGGCGCCAAGGAACTTCAAGTATCTGGTCCCATCGATCACTTACTCATCACCACTTCTTTTCAGCCTGACTGGAAGCTCTTCCTCCCCATCATGGCACCCGGAGGAACTCTTTACCCTCTTACCGTATCACCAGACGATTTCAAGATCCCATATATGCCAATCATTGCTGGAGAACTGAAGATCCAGGGTTCGTTGGTCGCAGCCCGACAGGTGCATAGAGAGATGTTTGAGTTTGCAGCTCATCATCAGATCAGACCTATTATTCAGAAGTTTCCAATGACGGTTGAGGGGATTGAGGAGAGTATGAAGACTTTGGATGAGGGAAAGATGAGATACAGAGGCGTGCTTGTCGTTTGAACAGGTGGAGTTGTGACGAGGCAATGTATAATAAGGATAAGCATTGCGTAGGCGCAGATTGGGGTTATTCTTGGAGGATTGGTATAAAGGAGTTTATAGACTACACATGCAACTAATCATTAAATCATTGTTGCTCAACGTGGATGAAACATAAGAATCGCTAGTACTAAAGCGAATCAGCAAATACATAATTTAAAGCTTCTAAGCAGAATGAGCAACACACAAATCATAAACTTCATATCATAGGACCATACCTACATGTTTAGCACGAGGCTTTGGAGTTTTGTTACTACAGATGTACATTTCTCTCCTGCGCCAGAGAGCACATCAAATTTGTGCTCAGAAGAAACAATGTGACAGACATAATATTTCCAGACGATGTTACGTGAATTCACACCAGGACAGCAATATCTGCACTGATATACCCAGAGTATAGTTTACTAGCCAAGCTAAAACCAAGGACCATATCAAAATCAGGCCGTATGAACACCAGCAGAAAACTATGGACTGTATCATGTCCCTCTCGTCGAATATATGAGTTCTTGAATGTGTGCGTTATTCCAGACACTGCACACAGAAAATTGTTCCTTGTTGTGGTCGAGCTCGGCACGAGGCGGCATGTCCTCCGCAAGTCGAAATTTTGGAGACTTGACGACGACCATCACACCACGCGACCTGGCTACGCTCACCACTTGAGCTCCGAAGCTCCTGCAGCATCAATCGAAATCCTTCGATCCCATCTTGAAGGCAGACGGACCCAGGATAGCCTTCAGAGCTGTTGACACAGTACATCCGAGCTGCAATAAGTGTGATGGGGTTCACTAGCGGATTCGTGAGTTGAAACAAATTTGAGTTGTATCTTCACTGCTGACTAGGACAGACCGGCGGTGTGACGTTGACATTAGGCCTTGCGTATCTGACAGTTCTCGCACACGAACGCAACAGGAGGGCCCAGGCATTCGAGTTACGGGCTCAAAGCCGTGTGCTCCAAGGTCTCCTCGAACCAGCGCCTCTCCCACCTCCACAGACTCGCGCAGAACTCGCGCGAGAAGAAAGAAGTACGATTGTCGAGGCCGCAAAGGATCGATGGAATGCAGAAATCGAAAATGCGATACGATGGGTGCAGAGGACAGACTGGAGTGAGGTGAGAGAGGGTATGGAAGGAACTGTCTCTAGGATACTCGGCAGCGGATTACAAAAGTCACGAGAAGGCATCGAGGATGCAGAGAAGAAAGCCGGTCCTAAGATCCAAGAAGCAGTCGACAGGAGCAAAGCTGCGGCCTCTCAAACCGCTAATGTTGTTGGTGCTCAGGCAAAGGAGAAAGGGAATCAAGTAGGGGTGAAAGCTGCCGAAGCACACGATGCTGTGAGCGCAAAAGCTAGCAGAGTAGCAGCAGACATAAAATCCGGGGCACAAGATGCTGCCAAGTACAGTGGCGGTACTGTTGATGCTGCTCGTGGAGCTTTGAGGGACGCCGTTGGGAAAGGTATTGAAATGGGCAAGGATGCTGTTGGCAAAGCACAAGCTGCTGTTGGCCTTGCTACGGAGAAGCTCGAATCAAAAGGACAGGCTTCTGCGCTTAGCCATTCTTCGGCGGTAGAAAAGGCATTGCACGAACGATACGAACAGCCAAAAGCTTTACCGAGTTTGGAAGAAGCTCTTGAAGAGAGGTATAAGCCCATCGATGAGAGGGATAACACGGTTCTCCGCGGTGTGTAAGATATGTTAGATTATGATGATACAAACTCTTCAGCTCTCATGTCCTTCAAGAGGCAAGTTATGTTCGACCAGGGCACTCTTGATTACCGCACAATTAAGTTAGCATCTAGTAAGGAGAAGTCTCCAGTATCCACTTACTGACCCTCATTTGTTGAAGACTTAGTCCATTGTCGATATTAGTAGACCAACCAAGCATCTCTTGAGTTCGAATCGAAGTTGGATGGGCGTCTCAACGTTACATTTAATGTCCCCTAAGTATCCTCGCAGTAGTCGGACAATGAATGAATCTCTCAAGCATGGAAGGACACTAGTGTTTCCCATTGGGACATTCGATGGCGTTTCTTCTTTCTAAGAGAACTCAAAAAAAGTTCCCTTTGTGGTCTCATGTAGTGAATGGCAGAGTTCTTCAATACTCAGCCTTGTCTTATGGATTGTCTAGACAATTTACACTACTTCAACTCAGCATCGTGTTTTAGAACCTGGAATGCGTTTTCTAAATTCACTCAGAGCTGCAGAACACGAAGCCCATCTCTAGGTCTGAACAAACGCGTTCGCCACTATCACTACCTACAACAACACAAATGTTTACATCTGTCGTTGCAAGTGTCTTCATCTAACCCTCACCTTGAACCACAAAGACTATCGTTTCATATGAGCCTCCAACTACCAAGATGTCATCCACTCTCAGAAGATCTACTCGTCAATTCCACTCAAGATTCGATCCGGTCTGGGATTGCCCACAGTACGCACCGAATCAAGCCCCTCGCTACGAAGCCTCCACAAGAGATCAAAGAGAAGCAGAAGACATGGCTAGAGACATACTCGGTGAAGGTCTCTTCGAAGCTCCGACCGTGAAGATTATCCTCAAATTGCAAGGTGCTAGGACGGCTCCATTCGAGTGGCAAGCCATCAGACGCGCGCTGGAAATTGATGAGGGTGCTTTCACGGATATCGCGAGGTTATGTTTCTTGTTGCCACAGCCTCAGTCGGAACAAAGCTCAAGAGAAAACAAGGAGGATGAGATTGAAACAGGGGCTACGGGACATCTAAAGGACTCACTTGTTCAAGAACGTGGAGAGTCAAGAAGGCATGACTGGGGGAGGCAGACTAAAAGGAAGTACAACTGGGAGACGTAAGACTGCTCGGTGCATGAATCAAGTGTTTGATAGGGTGCTGGCCTCTGGGATCGATTGTGAGTTATGATCAGATTACTACTCCATCAAGGAGCTGAGGATTTTTCGAAGTTTCGATATTTCAATAAATGGAACTTTGTCATCACCCTCCCTGAGGTGAGATATTTTCACACGTTGGTCAATGTCTATCTTCTGATTGTAAAGGTATCATCATATTCAGTTCCATCCCCATGCAGCTTCCAATATGTTTGATCAACTTCAACAAGTCCCGTATCGCAGCCCGACGTCTCAAGCTACTGCTGTTCCACTGGCTTCGGCTTCAGAGCCTGGTCCATGTCGGACCGTGATGTAGGTAATGCTATTTGCTCTGGATCCTCCCCAGCGTTCCAATTGGGAGTCGATCTCGCCCACATCTTGAAATCCATGATCTCTGAACATCTTGATCGAAGTTGGCCGGCAAGGACACCAAGTCTTGTCGCCCGTAGTTTTATCCGCGATATCATTCCAAAACACGGTAAGAGCTGTGCCTAGACCCTTCTTTTGAAAGTCGGGATGGACAGTAGTGCCCTTTCGGTGATAGTCTTCTTCTGGGTTGTAGCCATACTTGTAGGCGCCATTAAGCATCTCAAATAAGCTTTGGAACGCTTCCATATTGGTTCCTGGTAGCGCTGGAGGAACTTCTTTGGACTGCGCTATAGTCTTCAACTCCGGAGTCATCGCTGAGACATACTTCCATGGTGTTTGAAAAGATGCCCAGGCGGCTAGCCTACTGTCTGCCCGTTAGAGTCATGTTTGAGATATGGTCTACATGATCTAACATACCCCGACTTCTCTTCAATTATCTTATAGGTCTCGATATCTGGCATCGTCCACCTTGGCGTGAAAGTCTTGAGAGTCCAGGGTAAGATCTCTTTCTGGTCACAATCCTTCACCGTCGTTTGCCAGACCTCGTCGTCAACGTATGCATCCATCATTAACGCAAAGACATCTTTCATGTCCTCAGGCGAGGCTTTTTCCAGTCTGAAACCTATAGGAACGGCCATTTCATGTGGGAAGAACGAGATCCAACTTGGTAGTTGAGTGAGTAGAATAGCGGGCCTGCTACGAAAGCTCGGAGGGGAAACCTGGAGACCTTTATACCACCTTATTTAAGCGACAAGGTCTCAAGCTGTGTTGGTTTTCTCGTATGAACAGTCCAAGCGAAAAGTGTCAGCATTCGGGCACTCGCCCATGAAAAGACAATCTCCGACTTATCTACCTTCCATTTTCAATCGACTTTGTCAAGCGGTTACGTGAGAAAGCTATCGTGAAGGACCCAAGCCAGCGGACTAGACTAGTTCCAGTAAGCTGTACGCCGTCAGCCAGCAGAACCGAAAGGATATGCTGGGGAGTAAACTGTGCAAGGCTGAAGGTGGGCTCACAATTCGGAATATGATCGAATGGCCACTTGAATAATCCGAGATGCTTTGTAGTCTCCGGCTTGCCGGTCCCAATAATACATTCAGCGCTTGGTTTACAGCGCCTTCTTCCGGGTACTGGTCTGGTTTTCTCTCGACCTGCAGGGACTACACGTACCCGTAAGATCTTACCAACACGCCGCAGAACAAGCGCGAGAGAAGGCGCAACACGGATCATTATAGGACAGAACAAGTCATGAAATGGGGTCTTTAGTTCTGCTGACAGGCGAGAACAATACCCAGGCCGGGCCGGGTATGCTGGTAAGAACTAGATCAGAAAGAAAGAGAAGCGTAGCATCGCTGTTTGCTGCACTTTTGCCTTTATAGACAGTCAAAGGCATCCGTCGAAGCGGGAAGGGGCAAGCATTGCATTGTCGATTGCAAGTAGCTAGGATACTCTGCTAGAAGGAACAACTGGTAGGCTCAAGTTCGCTCGAGAGATCAAACTCCAGGTCTGGTATGGCGGCTACATCATGACCAGAAATACGCACCCTCTCTGCCGTGTATCTCTCCGATGCGCCCCGCATAAGCCCCAGCCGCCCTAGAACGCCACGCGAATGAACGAAAGCCTTTAGAGTCCTTCCTCTTCCTCGACCTGGAGAAGTTCAACTTGTTTGACAGTCTTGAATTGTAGGAGTCTATGAGTCGTTGAATACTGAGGCGTACCCTAACGACAACCAAGATCAGATCAATCAACTCCACAATCCAACAGTTTATTCATCAATCCAACACCAATCTTGAACTCACATCTTCATTGTACCCAAGGACCTCGTCGACGAAAGTCTTCAGTTGGCAGGTTGGGGGAGCCCACGGCTTAGCTTGCCACGCACAAGCACGACGAATGCCCTTAGTCAGCTCGCTGTAGCGCAATTAGTTGAGAGGTCCTTCAATATGATCCCCAAGGTGCTGTGGTAAGTGTGACGGAGTAATAAGGATCCAAAACCAAAACAGAGCAGACTTACTGGACTGAGGCTGCAGTAGCATAATTCTGCATGTGCAACTCTTCGGCCAGCTCGTCCTGATGATTGTCCAGTAGAGAAGGGTTAGGAACGACGATCATGTTAAGACCCAATCTCATAGCATCCATGACCGTACCGGCGCCTGGTAGTCCAGTCAGCCCTGGAAGGAAGTACTGTATTGCATCTGCGATGCGGGTGCGGACGTACCTGCGTGCAAGATGATCAAGCCCTGCTTCCTCGAACAACCAGGTCCTTCGAGTGCTTGGCACTCTCGCATGTCCCTATGCAGATCCGGCTTGAAATCAAAAGCATGGATTGCCAAACCTTGGGTGTCGGCTGGCTTCATCGACTCGACGTTCTTGAATGTCTCACCACACTGGATGTTCAGCGTAGTAAAGCCTTCTTTCTTAAGGAGCTGCAGACATTGCGGATCCAGGACAGCTGCGATCAGCTCAGAGAACTCGGCTGTCGCACCTGTAGTGACAAAGCAGACTTTGCTCATGATGATATCGTTCGTCTTTTGGTGTTCTTGTTCTTCTGTCTCGGAGAGGTTCGTCTCTTCTTTGACCTCTCCTTGGGGCTGCGGCAAGCGAAGATACCCCAACATGTTCGCGACTTTGTTCGATCTTTCTTATCGATGGTGTCACGGAACGGATCAATGTTGATACGGTTGACGTCGGCGGAGAAGAAACGAGGTGTGGCCAAAAGACCGCACTAAAGCAAGGCTAACTCTTTTGGTCTAGCTCGTGACACGCTTGATTCAAACTAGCCTGTCCTGGCTATGTTTGTCAATGAGGCTTAGCGTACTTTGACAAAAACTTATACCTATCTTCTGGAGGTCCTTTGGGCATCGACTCAACAGCTATGGCAACTGCTGTACGGTGCAGCATACGACTTGCAGCCAAGGGTTGTAGTTGTAACTCGACTGCCAACCAGTTTGTGACGAAAACAATTGGACTCGAAAGGTCTTTCTCAACGACGGCGAGTCGATCCAAGAGGACTCGGTCCAAACGTGTTGCTGCGAAGTTGGAGAAGTCGAACCATCCACTTGCCAAAGAAGTCATCGCACTTGAGAAAGAGCTTGATGGTCTTACGAAGGATCCGTCCGACAATGCTTGGGATCCTATCAGTCAAAGGGCCCGAACCAGATTTCCCATAGCATCGCTACCACCAAGGGCAGGGAAACTGAAGCAAACCTTCATGAATGTAGGAGATCCCGACCCTTGGGAATACGAAGATACGCTGGAAGATGACGATGACGATATCAACGCCCTGGCGCATGGCGAGTTGGAACAGCATCGAGAGATCAGACACTATGCAAGATTGGCCGCTTGGGAATTGCCATTATTATCCAGTAGGCAGTCCTCCTACCTTCAAGTATTGTATTGACAGAATCGACCAGAACTTGCGAAACCTTTCCAACCGCCCACAGCAAACATGCCCCTGAGATTCAGATATAGCAGTTATATGGGCGAACAGCATCCTGCCGAAAAGAAAGTCGTGCTCGAGTTCTCTCCTGCAGACATGCCGAACCTGACCGGGCTCCAGAGGGAGAAGCTTAAGAAATTGGCGGGTGTCAGGTACAATCCAGAGACGGACATCGTGAAGATGAATTGTGAGATGTTCGAAACACAAGCCCAAAACAAGCGGTACCTGGGCGATGTGGTTGATTCTCTTCTGGCAGAAGCAAGGGTATTACTTCTCATGTAAATTCAACAAGACTCACGCTGACCTGAAATAGGACCCTAAAGACACATTTGAAGACGTGCCACTGGATACTCGGCACCATCATTTCAAACCGAAACCAAAATTTCCTGAAGAATGGCTGTTAACAGCTGAGCGCAGAGAGGAACTGCAACAATACAGACGCCGAGCTGCCATGAAAGACCAGCAGAAAGAGCTTGTTGGTCAAATCGTAGATGGAAGGTTGCAAATCGAAGAAGGACTAAGTAAAGCGGCTGCCGCGAGGCAGGTTATGCCTGAATTACTCATGGTTGGTGATTTGAAGCCCAAGGGTAAGAGAGTGGCTGTCCGAAGGTAGTGAGCAGATGATCATTTTGTAAGATACCGTGTAATCTATCATGTGTACAAGTACCAATAGACACGAACATAGACAAGCATCTGGCTTCCACCATTGGCTTAGAGCTTGCATTTTGATCAAGTATTTAGACCAGACATAATTTCATGCTCCTACGACTTTGAATTGTCTTTCTCACGGTCATACCATCGAGGAATGTTCACTGTGCTCTCATCCAATCGACCAATGTCTGAAGGCCTCGGTCATCAATGAGCTGGGGTTAATATATATGACGTTCTACATTCTACTTGCCTTATTCTTAACTTCATATAAAATATAAAGGATCATGTTGTAGCAAGCTACCATTATCAGACGAACTGTTCGTGTCCACGTTCATTTACAGTAGCCTTGGTGCGTCTTCGAGCGGCGGTCTCCACATGCGAAGGGTGAACATTGATCTGCACGGTTTCATCACATCTTGCAACCTCGGCCGGCCGGTTCCATTGGCCAATAATGCCCCTCAACACGAACCCCATCTCACCTCACCTCCTCACTGCTGATAATTACTCAAATCCCCCGTTTCCTTTCTGTTGTTATCTTTACGACGGAAACACAGTTGCAGAGTTGCGATCTCAGTTTAACCGATAGCTCTTCCTAAGTTTTTTCCGAGGTTCTGTGAGCAAACTTGGAGTAGCTCCTGGGATTCTAGCTTGTGAATGGTACAGGATTGGAGCTTTCGCAACAAAACAGTCGAGAACTACCGTATTTCTTCCACAGCTGCGAAGGCTGGACTGTTCAAAAACAGGCAAGTAATCCCGCTACGTATTACTTCACATGTCGCTGTTTCGGCAATAAAACATGGATTCAATCGATATTTACCTCCCCCTTTCCTGTGACAACTAGAAGCCTTCTCGACATCCAATACCCTTCTAAACTTTGCTAACAATCTGTTTTGCAGAATCACTATTTAAAATGGCCTCAACCAAACTCGAGCCTTTCGAGGCGACTCCCATCGATTCGATCCCTAGCACTGTGAACCTCTGCAGAACGACTTTTCAATCCCAAAAGACGAAACCTATCGCGTACAGACTGCTCCAGCTTCGGAAGCTATATTGGGGTATTGTTGATAATTCTGATGCTCTCGTCGAAGCCTGCAAGAAGGACATTGGCAAACCGTCTTTCGAAACCTATATTTCGGAAATCGACTGGTGCAAGAACGACATTATGTTCGTAACCAAGAACTTAGCCAAATGGATGAAAGACGAATCCGCTCCAGATATTCCACTCACCAACTCTCTGTTGAATCCTAAAATCCGAAAGGAACCTCTTGGAACGGTCCTCATTATTGGCGCCTATAACTTTCCAGTACAGCTGTCTATAGGTCCACTGATTGGTGCCATCGCCGCAGGCTGCACTGCTGTTCTGAAACCATCAGAGGTATCTCCCGCGTCAGCTATGGTTATGAAGAGGATTGTTGAAACCTACCTCGATCCAAATGCTTACGCCTGTGCCAATGGTGGCGTGCCGGAAACGAGTGCACTACTCAACGAGAAGTGGGATAAGATCTTCTATACCGGCAGCGCAAGCGTCGGCACCATCATTGCAAAGAAAGCTGCCGAGACTCTGACACCCGTCTGTCTTGAGCTAGGTGGTCGGAATCCTGCTATAGTCACAAAGCACGCGGACCCACGTCTTGCAGCTCGACGTCTTCTGTGGGGCAAGTTCCACAATGCTGGCCAAGTATGCATCAGTCAAAACTATATTATGGTCGAACGAGACATACTCCCAGCTTTCATCGAGCAGATTAAGATTACTATGAAGGAATTCTTTCCCAAAGGACAAAAGGCCAGCCCTGACTATGCTAGAATAGTGAACAACAGACATTTTCACAGAATAAAAAAGATGCTTGATGAAACCCGCGGCAAGATTTTAGTTGGGGGAGAGATGGACGAAGCGGAAAATTTCATTGAATTGACTATTGTTCAAGTCGAGGATATCAAGGACTCAATGATTGTGGACGAGTCCTTCGGACCTCTGATGCCTCTTTTGGCAGTCGACAGTGTTGAAGAGGCTATTCGTAATGCCAATGCTGTCCATTCTACACCCTTGGGTCTATATCCATTTGGTAACAAAGCAGAGACGACCAAAAGTAAGATCGAAATAATTTCGTAGAGTCCCTTACTGACATTCTTTAGTCCTTAACGAAGTTACAAGCGGAGGAGCAACCGTCAATGGTCAAGGATTCCCACACTCCCATTGCTCCCTTTTGCTAACTTCCCTGTAGACGCGTTCTTTCACGGTTCGATTCCGACTCTTGCCTTCGGCGGTATCGGAGACTCTGGTCAAGGTGCTTACAGAGGCAAGGCCTCATTTGATACATTCACTCATCGCCGGTCTGTAGTACAGACCCCTGGCTGGATGGAGAAGATGCTCGATGTTCGTTACCCTCCTTACGATGGCAAGCTCAAGAAGTTCAGACAGATGAGTGAGGTGAAGCCCAACTTCGATAGAGAGGGTCGTGAGATCAAGGGCGTTGGTTACTGGCTGGGACTTGTGTTCTCCCTTGGAGGTGAGAGTCTAAAGGGTGCTATTTTTCGATGGGCTTTTGTTGCTTTGATTGCGGTAGGTGCTAAGCGATGGCAGGGAAATAATGGTTTGCCTTCTTGGTTGCGATGATTGCTGCATAGTGCGGCCTTGTTGGATTATATGTTGTCAGGGAAGGGAAGTTTGCAAAAAGAGACTATGTATTCTAAACACAATGGCCACTGCCTGTTCGACTCAAATGGCAATCAAAGGTATCAGAAACGAGTTGTCATCTTGTGCTTATCTTCTAATCAGGCCTGTTTGTGTTTGTTGCACATCGCATTTCTTATCGATATCCTCGGAGTTGTCATCTTGATAACAGCACCACATTTCTTCTTCACCAATTTGGCTTTCGTGCGCCTCGCTGCGTCTCAATATAGGCTCGCTTTCCGCTCCTCGGAGAAAGTTCTTGAAGTCGTCGGCAAATATGGTAAGAGATTAAACAGCACGAGTATGAAGTCAGCACTCAAGAATGTAGCGCTGCATTAGCTCAGAGAGATTCGTGTCATCTGGCGAATATCTGAACATCCACTTCTCTTCATAGAATCACAACGGGAAGAAGGTCATGTCATGCACCATACACTAGAAATGTCTTGCCTTGGGTGGGTAGGCGACACATACTAAGGCGCAAGACTCTGTGTGGACGGAAGTGCCAGCCTGGCCCTTTTTCTATCCAGGCCATGCATCAGACTCGGAAGAGAGCCTTCTCCATCCTGATGAATCTACTAGGAGAGCAGATACTGAATATAGTGATGAGGACATGCTGTTGTTGAGGGAATAATTTTATATTATTTATTGATCTCGAGTCTGCCAACTTTACTCTACTAACAGCCTCTCGCTCCATTTCGCCCGATTGAAGCATACTGCAGAGGGAGAAGTAGCAGATGAACGGTTGTGTACATAGCTTATCCGTAGCTGGTGTGATATAACGTGGTTAAGAATGATGTAGATAATGCAAGGGAATGGAAAACAGATGTAACATTAGGTGGTGATATCGAAGCTCGCCTACGAGCAGTGTTTTCAACCATAATTTTGTGAAATTCGATAGGTAAATCAAGCAAGTTTTACGTTGAAAATAGCAAATGTGAGAAAGCAATTATCACAAAATTTAGACAGGCAGGTCACAGCATAGTGGTGACAGAATAGGGGAAAGCTCAGGCAAGAAGCGAGCCACCGGCAAAAGCTCGGACAATCAACCATGCAGTAATCTTTGAATTTTGACTACCACCGACATGCGAAGAGTATCGATCCACACCATACCTCAATTACAATGGCAGGTAGTCATATGCGCTACCGTCATTTGAGCCGTAAATCATCTCATCGCCAAGCTCTCCTCCGAAATCTGGTCACCAGTCTCTTCGAACACGAATCGATATCCACAACATGGCACAAGGCCAAGGAAGCTCAGCGACTTGCTGAGAAGCTGGTAACGCTGGGCAAGAAGAATACGGAAGCTAGCAGGAGGAAAGCATTGGGTATATTCTATGTATGCTTCGCTCAGGCTCGAGGTCCGAGAGCTATATTGCGACCACCCTGCTGACAATTGGCACTGTAGAAACCTCACGATCTCGTTCCCAAGCTTTTCGGACCTTTACGAGAACGATATGCAGATAGACCCGGCGGTTATACACGAGTTCTACGAGTCGAATCTTTGAAGCCAGATCAGGCACCTTCTGCGATTCTAGAGCTAGTGGATGGACCGAAGGATATGAGATTTGCGATGACCGCGAGAACGATAGCGAAGGATCGAGCAGAGGGCCAGGAATCCACGGAGATGACTGACAGGAATGTGGAGAAGGTGACTCGATACAGACCTGATGGCGAGAAAGACTTAGAGAGTATGGTTGCGAAGTTGAGTAACTTGAAAGTCGGGGATAGGAGTAACGCCTCGACTGATGAGAGGCGGTGGGGAGGCGATGTGTAGAATATATGAATATTGTAAGGATAGGGAGCACATTCTTGGTGTACATCATTGCATTGGTAGGCATTTACAAGATTGTGAAATTTTCCGGGCGAGATTTCAGGTACTTTACACAAAATCAAAAGTATCACCCTTCTCCCTGACCATCTTCCCGACTCTTTCAGTACCAGCAATTCTCTCTAGCTTCAAAACATCCCATTTTGAAAAGACTGCTCTCACACTCCCCTCTCCTGGCTCCAACTTTCCTTCCTGTATGCTTTTTCCAAGATAACCACCCACCATCTCCTTGTAGAATATTGGATTATCAGGGAGTCCATACATGATAACCTTCCGCACCCCGCGTAATTGATAACGGCGAAAATGATGGGCTCGTTCAGTATATAGCAGGACACTATGCCTGCCACTGAGGAAATGGGAGCGTGCTCTAGCCACATCTGGTACAGAGCTGTACTCAGAAATGCTACCAAAGGACAAGCTAGTAGTAGAAGTTGAGGTGGAAAAGTAGTTTCTTACTCGAACAAAGTCTAGGTACGAGGGTATGAAGACAAGTGTCCCAGCGCTATCCTTAGAACGACGAGTCAAGGCAGGGACAATAGCCGTGGTGAAGTAAGTAAATCGAGCATCTGGATCTTCAGCAAATGATGCGACATCAAGTCGAGAAAAGGTCTGCTTGACCTTGAGGCCCAATTCTTGTATTGTGCCTGGGTAAAATGCGTTGATCTTGACTTTACCAGCCCAGTTCTTCGACTGATTATAGAACATCGTATTGATCTCAGGAGTATTGAAAGCTGTCAGGGCGATAGTCTGACGAAAGTATTTCGCATTGTTGTCCAGATACCAGGGCCGCACACGACTGAAATCACAGCCGTGGGCCTCTTTCGGCTGTAAGTTGAGATGCTCAAAAATATACTCCATATGTTCCCAATTTTGCATCAGAAGTGCATCAACTTGGTCAACAACGACAATCTCGATCGAGCTTAGGAAGTCACTGTCTCCCTTTTGCTCGTCTTTTCCATCCAGAGCCATGCGTAGACCAAGTGGGCTGGCTAATATGATGTCTGAATTGTAAAATTGAGAGAAGTACTTGATAGTCTTGCGAGTAAACTTCAGCCCCAATCTGAACATATCGTCATCGTTGCCTCCGAAGAGTTCCCGGAAGTCGTCTGGCTTGTCAACAGAGAACTTCTCTTCCTTTTCCACGTAGGAGTCGTCGAATCTCTTGCGGTTTTCCTGCTGCTCTGGTTCGCATAGTGTCGTTATCATGCTAACCATTCTCACACAAGAATCCCGAGTAGGAAGAATCATCAAGACCTTTGGTCGTGTAAAGCCTTGGTCTTGTAGACTTAGATCGTCATTGTCTTCTTTTGCAAGCCGTGAATTATTCTTGATGACACGATCACGGGTCCTGAGCAGTGGTAAGTGTCTTGAAAACCGGAAGTTGTAGAGTGGGGCGCTTACTTGAAGATGTGGTTGACAGCGTGCAAGCAAGTCAATCGTCTCAAACTCTCCGAATTGCTTGTTTTCCGCTCACAGTGTAGTACATCTTGATAGTTGAATAGAAGAGGGGCTAAGTGTCTCTCGAGCATATCGAAACACGGTCTGCACTTCGATACCGCGGTGGCCAACTTTTGCTTCAATCTCAATTGGCTCGAGTCGGGGATTTCGTTGGGAGAGACATCCTGGATAATATCTTGTCGAGGAAAGCTGAAGAATGCCTTTCCAACTTTCTGAAATAGTACCTTTTGAGTTGACCACTGGTCTTGCTGAATAGATTTCAGCTTCTGGCCCAGTATGTTGTTGTCTGGATCTGCAAAATGCGCCTCAAAAGGATCAGAAGCATCCTCAGAATCCTCGGCAACCTCTTCCAGTAGACCATCCGTAGCTGTCTCCGGGCCTTCTTCAGCTTCTTCGACATCGTCTGCATCTTCAGCGGCTAAATCATTAACCTCCTGGTCATTCGCACTGTTCCTCCTTTCCGTAATAACGTCCGAAGGGTGATCCAACTTCCGCTTCTTGGACTGTGGTCCAGATTCCGAGAACAAACTTTGCATGAGAGCAGCATAAGAACGTACAGCCGGTAGAGACTCCTCGTCTTCATCGATAATAGATTCATCGTCAAGTTCCAAGTCCTGCTCTTCTTCGAGTGAGGATTCCTCTCCAGATTGGGCGTTGTTCTCTTCCCTATCAAGATGGATCAGTACAATGGAATTGCACAGAGCGTTCAAATCTACTTACACCTCTTTCTGCTGTGCAATTCTCGCACAGTCAAATATTGGTTTACCTGGTCCCCCTCTGAATCCGCTTCGTCCTCGAACCCTGCTATCTCTGGCTCCTCCTCGACCTCGAAACCCTGTAGAACTAAAGCCCCGTCCTCGAGAGCCTCCTCTGGGTCCATAGAAAGCCATTTGCGTAAGAAGTCGTGAATGCGACAAAGTTGCAGGTGGCACAAAATTTATCGCAATAAATCCTTATCGTCAAACCGCGCTAAGAGATTCTCTTATCGATGGAAGCGAGCGTTTCCCACAATCTTTAATGTTCGCGTCTAACGACAAAGAGGGGTGAAATTTTGATCTCAGCGCCGACACCTTCAAGTTTTCTACGACTCTTTCAGACCTGACCATAAATTCGCCCGGCATGGCGGTCAGTACTGAATCGTTTCTGCACCTAGCGCGACCTCTTGCGCCAGCAGTCATTGGAGTTCAGCCTACTACAGCCCCTCTAAATGTTATACTTCAACCACAAGTACGTTCAACCTTCACCCGTTAATGAGTATCCGACCTTACAATGCATAGGCTGTCTTCTCGATCCTCGATCATGCGATACGACGCGATATCAGGGATACCCAATCAACACGAGTGATTGGAGCTCTTTTAGGTATCCGCTCTGAGGATGGCATGGAGGTGGAAGTACGAAATTGCTTTGCAATCCCACATACCGAGAACGAGGATCAAGTCGAGGTCGATGTTGAGTACCAGAAGAATATGCTGGCATTACAACTAAAAGCCAACCCCCGAGAGGTGTTGCTGGGATGGTACACCACAAGCCTTGAGCTCAACAGCTTCAGTGCCTTGATCCAGAACTTCTTCGCCAGCCCAGAGACAGGAACCTTCCCTCACCCCGCTGTGCATTTGACCGTCTCTACTGAAGCTGGAAAGGAGATCGACGCGAAAGCATATATCAGTGCTCCCGTCGGGGTCAACGCCGAGCGTGCAGCAGAAAGTTGTCTCTTCATACCAGTCCCTTACGAGATCCGATATGGCGAAGCTGAGAAGAGCGGTCTTGAGTTAATTTCAGGTGCGAAGGACAGTGAGAATCGTGCAGCACCGGTAGTCTCGGATATCGAGGGGTTGGAAAGAGCAGTGGATCAGTCAATTGACCTTCTCGAACGGGTGTCAGAGTATGTCAGCTCGGTTCTAGACGAAGAACGAGAGCCGTCCAATGCATTGGGACAGTTCCTCATGAATGCTCTATCATTGGCGCCAAAAGTCGATGCTCAAGACATTGAGCGTGACTTTAACAATCATATCCAAGATGTGCTTGTGGTCTCGTATCTTGCAAATACAATCCGCACCCAGATCGATCTATCTCAACGACTAGCAACCGCTACGCTTACTATGGGAGGCTCGGACGCTTTAGCAGCAACTGGAGGTGGAGAAGGTGGAGGAGACAAAGGACAGCGTGGAGGACAGAGAGGTGGCAAGCGTGGTGGTGGCGGACGGGGTGGAGGGGGACGAGAACCTAGGGAACCAAGAGAGCCTGCTGAGTAATGATAGTCATGACTGAAAATAGTTTTTCGTTTTGACTGACTCAGCTGTGCATTTCTTCGCATTGTACAGGAATGGAAAAATTGGCGTTGGGGTTGGCTCGGGAGCCTTTCGCATAGAATACCGTTCTTCACACAAACATGGTCTTCCAACATTAAAATCACATCATTCTGAATATTGTATTTGTGGTCTATCAGCTCAATGTTGTAAACCTGGTACTAAAGTGCCACTTTATGCCGCAAGTCCCGCTAACTCCGCCAATGCTCCTACCATACGCCACTTTCTGATAAAAACATAAAAGGGTACGCCTTCAAACTCCAGTAGGTGGCTTAGGGGGAAGTGTCGAGGGATTACCATAGTTGGGAAGATGATTTCCAATGTGTGACATCGCCATTGGCATCACTTGGCTCACACCTTGGGGCATACCTTGCGAGTGAGACATGCCTTGGGGGAGGTTTTGAGGCATACCTTGATGCATCATTGGACGTTGAGCCATGTGAGGAGATGCATGGTACGACGGCAGTGAGTTATTAGAGCCTTGACGTGCCATGTTGTAGCCCATTCCATTGCCAAATTGTTGTTGAGGAGTAGCGAAGGCGTTATAAGGGAGATGAGGAGAACCGTGATGCGGGGAACCATGGTGAGGAGATCCATGATGAGACATGGGCTGCGGGACCGGAAGGCCTGAACTGCCAGGAACGAATGACTGTGTCTTCGGGTTGAATGCATGGCGGTTAAAACTTCCTGGGATTGGATGTTGGCTTTTTGGGTCTGCTGGATTGGCAGTACTTGGCAATTGACCAAACGCATATGGGATCGAATTGGGAGGCCCACGGACCATAGCTGTTTGAGATTGCTGATATGGGCTTTGATAGAGAGGTTGTGGCCACTGTTGTGGAGCAGGCGGTGGTGATTGGACGGGCGAGGCGAAACCACTGATTGGAGCACTATGGGGCTGTTGAAAGCGTTGTTGACCCTGTGGTGGATATTGCTACCGAAAGTTGTCAATGGAAGCACTAAATGGGGCCGGAAAAAATGTGTCACATACTTGGGGAGGGTTGTACTGCATATTAACACCCGTCATCACTCCTGGGTTGAATTGCTGAGGACCAAAGTGAGGCTGCATAGGATTTTGATAGCTGGGCTGTGCAGTACCACCACTGAATTGAGGAGGGCCCATTGGTGCATATTGTTGTGTCGGAACCCATGTCGGAGCTTGCGGTTGTGGGAAGTAGGGTGCGTACTGAGATCTAACATCAAAATTTTCAGAGTCGTCTCGTCGTTGCTTAGCAGGCTTGGCTCTTTTGTTTTGGCTAGTTCTGTCTTTTGTTGAGACGGAACTCGATCTGGACATCTCGTTTCCGTCTTCGGTATCTATATCGCCAATGAGTAAATAAGGAAGTAGCATAAGACAATTTCAGGCTTACCTGGAGTTACATCTCCCGCCTTATCATCTTTACCAAAGATCCGCTCTCTGGCTTTGTTATACGCCGCTTCTCGTTCCTCTCGGGATAGTCTGACCATAGTCAATACAGTGTCTCTAAGAACAGAAATGTGACATACTTCTCCTTCGCGGAGAGCGACTTATCCTTTCCGTCACTTCCTGTTTCAGAAGTAGCCTTTGACGGACTCGGTCCGGTGTCTCCGTCACCACCTCTGCGCATGATTTTCATCGCTGGCATAGTAGGTGGTGGAGTGTTACCCGATGTGGGAGGATTTGAGATACTAGTCAATGAAGGCGGCAATCTACAGAAAGGAGTTCGAAAAATGCGAACAGCACCAGCTATAGCATCGACCTGATGTGTCATATGATAGTAGTCCGCGAGCTTGTGGGTGAGCATTCTGCAGAATGAATTACATGGGGGAAGATCAATGAAAGGCTCCCTGTTGCTGGTTAGCATATTCCAGGCAATATGGACGGCCAGCAAAGGGAGAGCAGTCGTAAAGCGTTTCCAAGACTTGTGCAGAGTTTTATATTAAGAATGCCACAGAAAATCACTTACTTGCTGGATTTGACAAACTCAATCACGTCCTGTTCCAGGCGAAGCAGGAAAATCCGGTCTTTTGGTGACTCCAGTGCCTCGAGGAGCTTTTCGTCAGGTGTTTGTCGGTAGAATAGATTGAAGGCATCCGGCACTCCTGGTGTTCCAATGAGTGGCTTGGACTTGCCATCGTCTGTTGTTTGCTGTCCAGATGAGCCACTCTGAGGTGTACTCACTCCCTGGCTTTGACGCTCATGGATATTCTGCATGTTCCGTCGATCAGGAGCGTCGTAGAATTGTGCACGATAAGCACGAGCAGCAGCCTCACTGCCTATTCTAGATCCAGCCACAATAGATCCTCGTCCAGAAAAGGTGTCGTCATCTTCGGCTGCTTTGACAGATGCACTATCATCGGGGCGAAGTGATTCCTTTTCATCCAACGCAAACGTGGTGCCAGAAGTGAAGCTCGGAGGTCTTGTACCCAGATCGGATCCAGACTCATCATCAGGTCCCTCAGACTTGTTCCTAACTATTCCAGACCCATTGACGACAAGGCTGGGAGCAGCGTTGATACTCAGCGCCTTTACTGCTTCGACAAGATTCTCGTTAGACTTTCCGTCGTCGGTGCTGGTGTGTTGTATATCCGACAATCCATTAGGCTGAGTAGATGTCTCTGCCTGACCTGGAATTGCAATGTTCTCCTTCTTTAAATCCTTGGCCTGCGCAGAGGCAGCCACTTTAGCAAATGAACTGAGAGCAACATTGTCCTTGCCAGCAGATGCAGCTACCTGCCGGACAGATCGAAGTCAGTACGAGATCCTGGAAAGAGAACGAGAAGAGAAGCGGTATGATTGTGGGTGGTGAGGGGTACGAGTTCTTACCTTCGCAAAGGACAGTCTAGACTTATCTGCGGACATTTGCGCAGTAGTCATAGTGGTATATCGTCCAGTCCAGAACCCGTCAAGTCAGTGGAAATGAGTGTAAAAGTCCTGACCGGACAAAGGTGAGAATCGCAGCCAGGCGAGAGGCCGGGAGAACTCAGCGTCGTGAAGAAACAGAATTTTTAAGGAAGAAATTTAACAAAAGCGCCCGATGAAGAGAAGTGACTGGTCATTGTCGTGAATGACTAGAATCGGGTGTTTGGTGAGGTATTGTGTAGATTCGCAGAGTTCCGTTTGGAGTGCCGGGCGGGCCTAATAAGATGGAATACTCAACTCGTCCGCTCTTACACCACCTCTCCTGTCGCTGAACTTCTGACTGGACCTTTCCAGACTCTGCGAGATCGGCACAGATATGTTTTCTGTAAAATCGAGGAGGAACCGTGTGGAGGTCAGACCATTTCTTCAGCGCAAGTCCGTCGTTGAAATAATTTCAAGGCCCCTTCCATTCTGAGCTGCACAACGCTAGCGCTAGCGCTAGCGCTAGCGTAACCTTAATTTTTGTAAGGCAAGGCAAGGCAAGGCAAGGCAAGAGTTGACTACTAGGTACTTGTATTAGAACATGAATAATTTCAAAGCGTTTCTACCAGAACCCCTTCCAATTCTTCCGACAGCAACTCCATAATCGAAAATCTTGCATTAACAGAGCTTCTGCGTGCGAATACCTCCACTTCTTTCCATTCTCCTGTGCTTGCTCAAGATGAATCGTTATAGCAGAGGTCCAACTTCTGGCCCCTCCAAAGCTTCGCCGTCTACGTTGTGCCAGAAATGTCTCAAAAAAGATATGTATATCCTTCGTTGGATCGAGGACCTGACTGACATTCATAACGCCACTATTCTTATGAGTGCAAAGCCACTTCCCAAGACCGACCTTACACAACGCGCCCTTCAAGAACACAGCAATTGCTCAACCCGAAGCTAGTTCCGAAACTGACCAGCGAGGCTCCTCTCTTGCAGAAGTATGTGCCCGTCATCTTTTACTTCGCTACAATACTATTCCCTGATCTCGATTATTTGAGCGTTAAGAAGTAATGCTGATTGCTTTTCTGTGCTAGAAAGGGTATTGCGGATGAACAACTTGCAAAAGCGGACTTAGAGCGAGGGCGAAAAAGGGAAAGACAGAGTGAGGACCCAGAGATTCGGACGTAAGTCTTCTTTCCGGACATTGCGCAACGAGGAAGTCATGGAGGCCCTTAGCTATGAATAGGATTTCGACTACACCCGATGAGAACTTGGATTTTTATAAGATTCTCTGCTAATTTTATCTAGGAAAAGAATGCGCTCTGCTTCGTCAGCTTCAGTTTCGACAATCTCTACGAACATGTCTCGTTCACCATCTCCCAAGCCTTCGAGAGAGCCTGACAGGAGCAAATTCAGGTCTATGAGCATATCTGAGTCTCCTCGTCAACAACCAAAATCAGCCAGTCGCTCACCACGATCACATCGTCAAAGACTTTCTGACTCTGAAAAGAAAAGGAGAAGAGACTCCCATTCGTCTCTGGACTCTTATAGCTCCACTGAGAGGCGGCGCTCTAGAGAGCGGGAGAGCAGTCGCAGCACCCGAAGAAGATATCAACAAGCCAGCCCCCCTACCAGAGGACGAAGAACGACGGAAAGCCGAAGTCCACTCAGAGAAAGACGCAAGTTATCGAATGATCGACAGAGAGAAAAGGGAGATTTTGCTGTCAGCACGAACCCAAGCAACAGACCGCCTAATGAAAGAAGTCTAAGTCCCTTCAGTAAGCGGTTGGCATTGACGCAGGCGATGAACATGGGTCGGTAGGATACCAGCGAGCATCATTGGGATGGGTAGGATAATAAAGGATTGTAGAAGAGATACCCCTTGGCGACACCAACCGTTGTTCTTTATGATTAGACAGAGTCCAATTTATGACTCAATCAGCATCCATCACAGAATTCCTAGTTGTGGCTGTAATCATTTATTGGTTTACAATTATCATAAGGCTTGCTTCAACCCAAAAGATCAAAGCAAGACCTGAAGATGCAACAATATCTTGTTAGTGCTACGATATAATTTCTTGCTGCCTCCATGTACCAAAATTTGAAATGGTTTAAGTAATCCCGAAGTGTCCAGATTGCTTGCCTCCAATTGCTCCTCGTTCTCCACTCTATAACATTTTCCATAGTGCCAGATCCGTGAAGCAATGCTAAACCTCACAAAGTAGCGAGTACAAGATTGTTCATGATTCGCCATAATCTGGATCTGGAACCATCCACGGGTTGTGTGCCCCTTCACGATCTACTGACGGTATTTGCACTTTACTCTTGTGTCTAGCACACCTACTTGTGTGAGTTGGCGAGCCTGGGTAGTCTTGTCCTTCAAATCATTGCCGCAATTAGTACAGACCGGACTCTTCCCACGATCCAATTTCCTTATTTGCCTTGGTTTGACTGACCCAATCGACACAGCTTGAGATACCCTTAATTTGAAACACCCAAGCAGCCTCCCCAGTGTCTTGTGGTGTGATAGTACTGACAATAGCAAGATCCTGCTTGAAGTACGAAGTAGCTTTCGTGTTGCGCTTTCCACTGCTATGAAGGAAATCCCAATTTTGCGATTTGGCTGAACATTGCTTCTATAAATAGATGAGTTTCATCCAGACTCCCAAATCGTTCAAGAAATTATCCTCCTCATCTCGGACCTCAGTATCCTCCCACTCATCTTGCTCCTCCTCATGTCCTCCTGCTCGACTTGTCTCAAAAGTTGACGAGCAAGGTCTTTGGTACCAATTTCCACCGAATTGATCCTTTCGACAAAAGAAACAACTTGCCATCAGGTTCACACTGTGAAACATACTTGCCTAACTGCTCTGCATCGAAAATCAAACCATCTGACCTGCCGATCACAATGGCAGTATCCCGATAACGAAGGGCAGATTTTTGATGTGTAACTATTTGCTTATTTTCCAGATGTTCACTCTGTGGTACCCTGGGGTATACAAGTGAGCCAGTTCTTGGTTTGGCAATTTGATGGCATCCCATATACTTTGTAGATTTCTATGTGCAGTTGCCATTTGCTCTAACGAGCTATCTGCAAATGTCGAAGAAGTGCGAACGACAAGCCGGATCTTTTCAACTTAGATTCTTTCCAGTCCCAAGGCCCTGAATGCTAAGCTTTGCACTAGATTGAGGGCCAAGTCAAGCATTGGAACGAACGCTTTGGGCATTCAATTGAGAGTTGGATCACAGGCCAGGTAAAGGTGGTGATGGTACTCGGGAATGTTGAGGAATCGGAAAGTGTTGAAGTATAATAGAGGGACTTAGGGTCTGGATCTGTTTTGCAGGCTTCAGTAATGGCACAAACATCAGGATCGCTGGCTATTACTGAAATAGTGAGGGCTGGATAGATTCCTCGATTTGTGAAGGTTAATATGCCTTCGGCAAGCAGAACCTTCATATCTGATGCTCCATGATATTCAACCAAGCAGTAGACTCCACAACGCCTATGTTATTGGACCCAAATCACTGCATTTCGTCGTCTTCCCTTTCCCGTCTTTCGTCTTCCACCTCCTCTCGCTCCCGTAACTTAACTCCCTCTACAAGTGCAACACCCTCCATCCCCAGCTCTTCTCCCTCTCCACTCGCGCTAGCAGCTCCATGTCTACTCTTCGATTTCGCAGCTTTCTGCGCTCCCTCGATCCTTTCTCGTACCATTCTCGCGATAGCGTTTTCGGTCCTCACATTCAAGATCTCCAATTTCTTGTCCAAATCCCTTTTCAAATCCCAATTAGGCTTCTTTGGCTGCAGCTTGAACAAATCTACCCCTTTATCGTCCTGTTCCTCTTCTTCAGCTTTTCTCCTGATATCTTCCTCGACCTGTTTTGCCTGCTGTTCCAGAGTCTTCTCGACTGTTTGTGTTGGGGGTGCCTCAAAGCCAAGTTTAGGACCTTTGGCTTCTGGATCGTAGTTGCGACCTGATAGATGTAATTTCGCAACGTCTGGTTCCGCAGGTGGGGTAGGTGACCGTGTGGGTTCGTGGGCTTCAGTAACATCGTCGCCAGGTTGCTTGCGCTTCAAAGATTTAAGCTTCGCAAGGCGGGCTTTTCGCTCGTCGGCTGCTGCGCCCAAGGTCGCATGAGTCGTTGACATTATGTATGAGGTTGTGTACGATGTTGGAGGTCAGGGTACATAAACACTGTTCAGATTCCTTTTCGATGTTGTCTCAAGCTAATAAATTTGTCAGCCTTGCTGCGGCCGGCGGAGCCAAACCGCTAGTTCAGAATATTTTGACGAGGCGAGGCTTTCAGGGGACAAAACATTACTCCAGTTTCTATGCAATGACTTATCGGATGAAAAGCTCCTCTTAGCTGATGCCTCCCCCTCTAGGAACATTGAAGAAACGCTGGTCAACGTTTGAATTGCCAATTTTGCCATTTCTAGCACCCCGAGTCTTCAAACCATGGCCTTGCGACACACGCAGGATTTACCACCAGGGACAAGCAATCGAGAAGAGGCCAAAGATTGTTCGAGACGTTGCACATCTTCGATCAAAGCATCGGAACTATGGGCACCAATCGAGAGAACAAGTAATCGATTTCAGACAGGCGGATGGCATCTTGGGAGCATATGGGTCGGCGCAAGAACAGATGATGTATCAGGGTGGCATACGACACGACGAACAAGCAAAGAAGTCAAAGGGGGTCAGTACACCTCGCCGAAAGCTAGAAGAGACCGAAAATGAGGAATTTCTGCGCCTTTTCTCAGAAACGTGGCATACTCCTCTTGCCCCAGAAGTTAGAAAGCCTCCAGAAGATATGGGACCGAAGCTCGCACGCCGCACTCGAGGCAGTTCCCACGTAGTACTAGGTTTCAGAAGACTGGCATTTGGCCCTCTCAAAGCTGCAGCTCGGGATGTACCGAGGGAACAGAAGAAGCGTCGAAAAGCCTTAAGACGGAGGATGTTAAAACTCAGAGTTGATGCGGAAGTTGAAAGGCTCAGAATTCCGCAGACTCGACCAAGATATATAAGCCTACAATTAAGGGGACGCTACAGGTTTCCATGGTCCTATGGGGAGTGGAATCAACGCTTCACAATCCTCAATCTCCGTCATGAGAAGTTCATGCGAAGCATAAAAATACCGCGAGAAGTCAAATTTCATGCCCGTCGACCCACTGTCAAATTGCCGACAGCTATTGAGCAGGCTTTATCTCAAGATACTCCAACAGTGTCCTTTCGCCTAATCTGGGAAAATCTCGAGAGACGCACGAGATCAGTCATTTGGCCAGAAGTCATGTTGAGAGCTATGGAAAACCGACCTCAGAGCGCTTTGAACATCGTTGAAGCAACTTTCATGAACCCTTTTCCTCCCGCCTTCGCCGTGGCCGATTGTCTTCAATTTATCATCTCAGACAAATATTCTCACCCACTATCCGACGATTTCAAAGACCATTCTCGATTCGTGAACAGAGTTCGAACGCTTCTCTATCTAGGCGCTCAGAAGCGAGTGTATCTACCTCAGCATTCGATACATAGTCTGATGTCCCATCTAAAGGCAGCTGAGGTTATGCGGTTTTATATTACTTTGAAACAGGTCAATCACCCACTGCACGAGAATACTTTGCTTCAATTCGCATCAAAACTTAGTAAATCGGGATCGGCGGGCGTTCTTGCAAGTCTGAACATTCTGGAGGGAATGAAGGATGCAGGTTGGCCTCTAAATACACCGAAAGCATTAAGTGTGTTCAGTACCATGCTGAAGAGATTTGATCGAGACTCAGATGCTCGCCAGCTCGATTCAAGAATCCTTGATTTCATGATGAGTAGTGGTGTTTCTCCAAATATCATTACTTATAATATCTTGTTGCATAATTCCATTAGAGATGGAGAGTTCGAGACAGGCTGGAACATATACGACATGATGATGGAGAACGATGTTGAGCCTGACGCCTACACGTACTCCTCTCTCCTGAACGACGCTAAAAATCGAATGGATTCAGAAGCTATCAAAAAGGTGATCGGCATTGTTAAAGACAAGGGAATACGGAACGGGCACATTATAACAGATGTCCTTCATGCCATTTTCCTCCTTCATAGGGATCGTACGACCAGGATTCCACAATTTTCCGAACGTCACGAAACAGTGGTTAAACCCGCCTTTGAAAGCATGCTTCAAGTCTACTGCGAATACTTCGATACTCGACAATTACGAAGTCTCCTTCCCTCCTTCACGTCCAGGTACTCCGACGTGGTCCAGTGTCTAACGAGCTCTCAACAGCGTCCCTCTGTTCCAACCTTAGTTGTCATGATTACTGCTTATCTCGCAGGTCTGGGGAACCCAGTGGGTGTGAGGCAGTTCTACCTTCATTTCGTCAAACTCCTCGAATCGAGAGACTCGGTTGCTATTGAAGTAGCAAAGACGACGCACATCTGGAGTGTGATCATTATGAATTTGAGCCGGTTTAGTGATGGACTATCAGACTGTCCAGAAGTTGTCGGAACTATGCTCTCTAACACCAAATTACCGCCTCACTTTAATGCTGGACACGAAGATAACGATGCTTCCCTTCTGGATCCTCTGCAACCTGGCTTCAATGCCCGACTCGCCAACTCTTCCACCAGATTGAAACCCCGCTCAGCGGCTAGCAGAAGAGGATCGACACTGCCCAAAATGCCACAGCTTTCGCAAGAAGGCTCGTCTCATGGCAGCTCTGCCATTCCAAATGTCTTCATATGGTCAATACTTCTGAAGATCTTCATGGATTACCAACAGCCTCGAGCAGCTGAAAAGGTTCTCGAAATGATGAAAGAGCGTGGCGTAGAGCCCAATATGATCACCTGGAACACACTTGTTGTCGGATATTCCAAGATGCAGGCGATTCTTGATACAGTGGATGTCCTTCGACGAATGGAAGATGCTGGCTTCAGTCCTGACGACGTCACCATGAGAGCATTGTCCAAATTGAACGACAAACGAACAACGATTGCTGCTTTGGAGATGAATGAGCGCTTGAGAGCACAACGTGGAAAGCAGGAGAAGGAAGATCTTGCCCAATATGCCGAGGAGAATGAGGAGGGAGAATTTGATAGTGATGATCTAATCAAGCAATGGGACGAGGTCGGTAGCCAGTACAGACCAAAGCAGGGATAGAAGGGGACGCAACGACAGCCGAAGAAGCAGGAATGAGACCGGAGATCACAAGACGAAAGCCAGGAACGGAACAGCCTCGACGGGTGATTGGGGTCTCCATCGTATTTCAATGTATCAGTTATAGATATGTATCCCCTGGAAGCCAATTCTCTGCATCTCTTTGATCGAGATCTCAAAGTTGTCAACCTATGAATTTGTATTCTCTTCGAAGCAAATAACCGCATCGAAGTTACAAAGCACGCACTTGTCATAAGGTATACTCAGCAAAGCTCATACCAGGTGAAAAGAGACTGTATGTGCTCGCATTGCTTTACATGATCACTTTCCTATCTATATCAAAGAAATATAACAAAGCCCCGTTGTCCTCTAGGCCCTCGCTCAGATATAGGCCGTATAGTCCATCAAATTTCCCCTGTCCACCACAGCTCTAGTGGCTCTACTCGTCCTGTTATTTGCTGACGCATCAACGCTCAGTGGTCTTCTAGCGGCACCCATCATAAATCTGATGCCGGAGCTCGAGCCCGGTCTTTGAGAGACTGGGTTGGATGCTGAAGTCCCGGGTCTCAACGCTGATTCAATATCTGTTCTCGCTTGCATTGCTTCCGAAATCATGTTTGCAGAGTCTTCAGCATCAAACAGGACCACATTTTCTTGGCTGTTATGGAGACTGCCCTGCGTTTCCCAGCTCTCTTCTGAGAATCCATCTCGTAAGAAATCTTCGTAGCTGTCATCGCCAGTTGGTCTTTCGGGTGAATGCTGGGTTCGAGATTGTGGCAACGACAACATGGAGCCAGCCGCAGATTCAAAACGACTATCCCTTGATTCCGTGGATCTCAGACTACGCCTAGATTTAGCTCCAGCAAGTTGACTCTGAATATACGATCTTAGTTGCCTCGTTCCTTCACGAGCGAGGCCATAAGATATTCCAAAGGAGTCTCGAGGTAACTCGTCTATAACCGGATGAACCAGCCTCGGCAAGTTATTGGCCATAGTAGCCTCTTCTGGAACAGTTGGTGAGTCTGCGTAAGATGTTCTCGACTTCTTTGGCGACCTTCTCGAATTTCTGGACGAGGAGCCAGCAAAGAATGGCGACGACCCAACTCTTCTACTGAGAGGCCGCGGGCGTCTGGAAGTAGTCGTAGAGACTGGTTCGGCTGGACTCTTGGTCACAGCTCTAATTCTAGGATCAACATTGGCGTCGTCTTGTCTTGAGTCGGAGTATTCTGACAGAGCACTTGTGTTGCTGCGGCGGTTTCGTTCAGACATATCGGTAGTCCCTACAGTTAGCCAAGTTCTCGAGTCACGGGGAAGTCCCTGTCCGTCGACCTCATCCTGTCCGTGGCCAACACTACGCCGTCTTTCATTAAGCCCAGGTATGGAAGAATTAGATGGTCGAGCCCCGTGTCCAAGCCCGCTTAGTGGTCTACCAGAGGACGACATAAACTTTGAACGCCGTCTTGAACTTCTCTGAGAGGCAGTCGTCTTTCTGGCGTAGGTTTGAGGCGTGTCTTGAACAGCCGTGTGTCTTGCCAGCATGGAGAAATCATCTAGTGGTGTTGAAGAGAAATCGATGTCCTGCAGACCCAAGATAGACTCTTCCCTAGTTTTGGAGTAGACAACACTTTCCATCACTGGGCGAGGTGGATTTCCCGAGAAAACCATGGCCGAACGCCTAGTATGACCTTTACGGGAATAGTTCGAGTAGTTTCGAGACAATCTCTGTGTCCTCGCCGAGCTCGTCCCCGACGACCTCAGAGTTGGGTATGCGCTGCCCTGTGTTGACCTCCAGCTCGGGTCCGACCTTGAGAGTCTATTATCCGAGACCGCTCGCGCTCTGTTCCCGGAGCTTTCTGATTCTTGAAGTGGTGATAAAGGATTCTCGGAAACAGCCATTAAGCTTTGGGATCTTCTCAACTCCAAGTTTGTGGAGAACTTTTTTGAGACTCTGTCTGTCCTCGCATGTTCTGGATCCACGGTTGTTTGGCTAGCAAACCCAGAGGTGTCCAAACGTAAAGGTTCAGGTGGATTAAGTCGCCCTGGACGTATTATTTGTGCCATACTTTGTCTCCCACCCGTCGGAGACGAGATATCACTTTTGCTCGGACTGTCCTTGATTCTCCGCGCAGCGTGTCGCCTGTGGCAGCAGCAGATGACGGCAAGAAGCAAAGCCATGACTAATAGCCCTGTAGGAATGCTAATTGCCAGAATAGCGTTCGTACTCAGATGGTGATGAGAGTCGGCAATGGAGGCGGGAGCGGTGGGTATTGTTGTCGGAGTTTCCGGAGATGGACTTGGTAGCCTTTGAGCAATCGAAAGTACAAAGGATTGCGAATCCGTAACATGTTGGGTCTTCGAGGTCACGTTCAACGTGACAAGACTTACAGATGGCTGGACATTCGAGGGGACCTGCCCAGCGAAGACGAATGATTGTGGATCGAACGATAACCAAGATGCAGGAGATGAGAAATGCGCAACCATTATCGTGTCTGATCTATTATTAAGATATCTTCCCAGATCGTAGGAGAAGCTAAAACCAATCGTAGCATTCAGTTCGCCTATCAACCGATTGAAAATGTGAGATGTGAAGTTTGTGCTGCCACTGACGTTGACATACACAAATGCCGTTGCTGTGTCCTCATATATATCCTTAGCTTGGATGGTTATGTTGACCGAAGCTGCACCAGCAGGAACAATGCCATTGAGAGCAAGGGTTGTGTTATCAAAGGTCATCCAAGATGGAACTTGAGCTGTAATGGATGAAATGTCTGCTATGCTGGCAGATTGCCCATCTAGTTGTAAACTTCCCGAGAGTCCACCGAAATCAACAGTATCGCCGTCTGTCGCGCTGATCAATATCGTTTGGTTGTCAAAAGCAAACAAATGCACCCCAACCTCAATGTCGAAATCTATCGATGTCCCGGAAAAACCTTCGACATCGGACGCAACAAGCTGTATGCCAAATGTTTGAGGGGGCTCGACGAGCGAGTAGTAATCGGGGGTCTGGCCGCTGAACGAAAGTGTGTTCTCGTCGAAAGTGATCCATGCTGGCAGTGGTGTGTTGTCTACGGTAATGGCATAGTAGAATTTACTATAATTTCTACCGCTGAACGAAAAAGTCTCCGAGTCAAAGCTGATTTTGAATGGTATTGATGGATGGTAGAGAAGAGTTGAGGGCTGAGAGAAAATACCAAATGATGAGAGCTGTGTAGAGAGAGGAATCGTAATGTTGGGAGCTGGATTCCTAGAGACCACGAGTGTCGCATTAAGTGTAGTTGACCCAGACGCATCGCTGGCAGTCAGGCTAAATGACACGCCAAGTAGTTCTGCCGTCCCCAATGTATCGCTAGTTGGAGTGCCTTCCAACGTTCGAGTATCATTATTCAAAGATAACCAGCTGGGCGCATCGGTAAGAGAATAGGTGAGAGGTAATTGGGAGAAGAACGTCGAGGTCGAGAACGTGTATAGAAATGGTTCTGATACTCGAGCGACAGGTGGGACTTGTGAGTTGAACGGAAATGTAATTGTAGGTATCGCATCGACGAGACTTCCGAAGATGGCAGCAGCAGAAATTACTCTCCACAGTGCCATCTTACTAGCGCAAACTGTCGACGGAGAAATTGTACTCTCAAGATTTTCTGTCGCTGCAAACAATGTTCACGAAACACGCGAAGTGGAAAATCTCTGAATGCAGATGAAACTTAGAATTTGACGGATGAACAAAGATGCAAGAAGAGACAGCACTTGCAAGAGTTTCCACTGCCAAAATTCTGAGGCGGAGGATAGGGAGCCCTTCTACGGCATCATCGCCTTGCTTAAAAATTCGATCGAAGAGATATCTGGCTGTAAGGGATTTCAACCTCCCAATCCCAACCTTCTGAAGGTGCAACATAGCTTGACAAACACTGAATGCTGGAAAAGTGATGGTGGAGTGGTTGATTGGCATATTCATGGAAGGCTCGGATCATGCCATTCTCCAGCCATCTAAATTCCTAACTTCACCCTCAAGATAATCCTCGGAAGTTGGTCACATGCCACTTTCCGCGACATGACATATCTCAATGCCTTGCCCAAGCATTCAAGGAAGGCTAGCATAGTGTAGCTAGATAGAGATGTCCTTACGAGAGTTGAGGGAGCTCCGTAGGCCATGAAATTGTGATTTGTGAGGACAGGAAATGAGCGTCTGAAAGATGAGGAGCATCGGAGCCAGAGAATATGCGATGAGTTGCGCCTATATCGAATGTGGCAGTCTGGCAAGGGTTAGATTACAAGAATGATTTTACTAGATTAAGTTGAGCTTGGAAAGGGGTGAAGTAAGTAATCGAGTCGAGGGAGGTCTCTAAGCGAGCGGCTAAGCCTAATTTGTCATCCCGCCTGGCAGAATCGAGATCGAAATACATCGTGTCCATACTTCCATCAATAGACCCAAATCCCACGATATCTTCAAGATGTTATCTCGGTCTCCTTCACCGGAGTATTCACCTTTGGTGGTCGGAGAAGACCTTACACCTATCCCTCAATACAAAGCGGCTTCTACCACGAGCATAGACTTCTCCAATCTTCTTGAGATACCCTTAAAGCTCCACGAGGACCTCACCTCCGGATGCGGAGGACAACTATGGCCTGCAGGAATGGTTTTAGGGCATCACATGCTGCGCCATCACAAGGACTCTTTAAGAAATGCAAGAATGTATAATAATTCCTCATTCCTGAAAGCATGACTAGTAGAGCTGACTTGACAATCTAGCCTTGAGCTTGGATCTGGTGGAGGCCTTGTTGGCTTAGCTGTAGCTCTGAAGTTCCAGTTGGACCAACTAACCCTTATCACGGACCAAGAGAATATGATCGACCTCATGCGCAAGAATATTGCACTAAACGAACTGGAGTCACGTGCCCACGAGCTCGTTCTGAATTGGTGAGTAGGACAGTCTGGGCTATAGACCGTTATTAACGTAACTTTTAGGGGTGACCCACTGCCATTAGAAGTAATTAAGGGGAAGCCAAATGTCATATTAGCTGCAGACTGTGTCTACTTTGAGCCAGCGTTTCCACTACTTTTACAGACTCTTGAAGAACTGCTCAAGCTGTGTAATGAAGCGGTCATTTACTTCTGCTTCAAGAAGCGGAGGAGGGCAGACATGCAGTTCATGAAGAATGCTAGGAAGAAGTTTCTGGTGGAAGAAGTGGAAGATGAGGACAGGGAAACGTTCTCGAGAGAAGGCTTGTTTCTGTATACACTCAAACGAAAACATTGAACAACAGTATCTAATTGCCATTGAGGGAGAGGGATGCTATCGAGGATCGGACTCACCTAAATCTAACTGTGAAACCACGCTTCTAAAAGTGAACTGGTAAATTTGTCCTAATGTCTAACTGTCTAATCTGACCCATTTTACTCGGTACCATATTAAAGAATAGTTGAAACAGCATTAAGTAACAGACAATTTTTATGTACTTCTGAGCGTTGATTTAAAAGATCAATGTCTATAATACGTGTTTCTACACATTTCTACTACCTTCAATTTGATGTTTAGTAAGTGTTGAAGTGTTCTATTAGCCATGAACTGAAACTTTGATTGCAAATGAAAAATAAAAGTGTTGAAGATCTTAAAGATAGTTTTACCATGATCATTGTCCCAAAATTGAGGAAGATGCCCCTTCTTAGAGAGCTCTCGAGCCATCACCTCACTACTAGGCTATTGGGACTTCGACACCTTCTCTGTTCACAATTCAAATCAAAATCTCTGCCTTCCTTTGCCAACTTCGACGTGTACAAGTATCTTAACGCTTGCCATTATAAACATTATGTGAATAACTTGAGCTTTCGATATATGCAAGTATTGAAGCTTCCCCTTTCCACAAATACAGACAACAACTCGATGAATTTGGGCAGATGGAGCTCCGAAATGCACACTCTATTGTGATCAAAGGCTACTTCCTCTGCGCGTCCTCCTGATGGTCGCCTGCTCTTACCTACCACATACAGTATATTGAGCGAGGTACTGGATTGAATAGTATTTCTTGGTTTTCTCTAACGCAAAAGAACTCCTGTGCGTATGTGCAGCTGAACTTTGTACAAAAACGAAAGATGCCCTCTTGTCCTTCTTCTCTATCGCCTCACTTCCTATACCACATTCTAGTAATCTTTGTGTGTCTCATCTTCTTCTGAAGCTAATCAAAAGTTAGTCACTGGTATTCAAAGTCGAGAAGGAACTCAGAGCTTACCTGGAAGATCCCGTACATCAATGCCTCCGAAGTTGGTGGACATCCAGGCACGTAGATATCCACTGGCACGATTCTATCACAGCCCCTCGTTACACTGTAGCTATAGTGGTAATAACCACCACCATTGGCACAGCTTCCCATGGAAATAACCCATCTTGGATCCGGCATCTGATCATAAACCTGTCTCAACGCGGGAGCCATCTTGTTCGTTAAAGTACCAGCAACAATCATGACATCTGACTGACGAGGCGAAGCACGGAAGATTATTCCAAGGCGATCTTGATCGTAGCGGGGAGTGGAAAGATGCATCATTTCGACGGCGCAGCAGGCGAGTCCGAAGGTCATCGGCCAGAGGGAACCCTGGCGTGCCCAGTTGGCTATTTGGTCGAGGGTCGTTCTAGATGGGGATCAGCCAAAGGTTTTCAAGACTTGAGCGGTATCAGAACGTACAAGGCGTATTGCATAACGCCCTTCTTCCCCTCCTGACTAGGTAAAGGTACCTCGCGCCTCTCCTTGCCTGTCACGCTCATGAGTGGTGTGCCCGAGCTCCCCGGGACATTGTGAGATGTGACTGCGTTAGCAGGCTTCGCAGATGAGGATGAGATTGCAGCGATTGATCGGTAGGAAATCAAGGAGGAAGCTGGCTTGACTGCAGAAGTTCATTAGCTCTGGTGGCACCGGAAGCTTCGATTTGATGGAATGCATACCCCGCAGCGCCAGCGCAGCTGCTGATCTAGTAGAGGAAAGCATCTTGTCAATTGAATATGACAAGACAAAAGGAAAAGGATTGCGAGAGGGGATAGAGTGGAGAGGCGACGTTCGTGAGGTTCAAGAAATCGAGTCGTCTTCAATTCGGCAAAGCTTATAATCGCATTGCCCTGATTGGTCGTCACGTGTGGTGGCAAAGGACAAAAGACCGGAAATAGTCCAAACTCTTTGAGAAAATATGCAATCATTGAGTATTCATTTGAGTAGTCGTGTTTCTACAATTATACAGGTAGCGTATCTGCTATGAAAACATATGTACTAGAAGTGGTCGTCAAAGTCTAGCAAGTCAACGCTTTTTTCTACGCAGCAAGACGCCATAAGCCAAATCTTCTTCATGCCCCCGAACTCTTAGAGTTCTCTCCCATTAATGCATCAATCTGAGCGTCCACTTCTTGCTCGTCATCCATAGCATCTTTACTCTGAACGTTGCCACTTCTTCCACGTGGAGGAGAGCGGTCACCACTGTCCTCTTCACTGCTGTCACTGTTGTGTTGACTATCTCTGTTTGTTTGACGGCTTCTCATCATCTGTAGAGAATTAGTGAGGATTTCGAGAATTATCATGTCAGTCTTACCCATGAACGAACACCGCCAATCAATCCCAAGCTATACCCTGTAGCAAAGTCACTACCGGGACCTGGACTATCACCTCGGGGAATCTCCAGTCGTCGACTAAGATGTGACAGAGCAGATGGACTCGTAAGCGTCGGAGTCTTTGAATCATCATAGCTGTTTAGACGAGCTGGACTTGCGGGCCTGCTGGGTTGCCAAAATTGTCTCAACTCCTTGCCCAACTCCTGTCCCGTGGTGGCCCAGTTTGAGCGGATAGCATCTCTCATCTCGGAGACATGACGCTTGAGGTCCAGCTCATTCTTCTTCAACCACGAGACGTTCAATTCTTGTCTAGAAGTACCGCGCTTGAATTGACGAGCAATGTACTTTTCATAATCGCGAACAATCCTGTGCGTGATGAGCTTCATCCTAATTTTCACATATGACCTTGACTTACTTCGTAATGATGCCAGTCGTACTAACGCCCTCAGTCCTCTGAGTGACAAGGAATTTGCCAGCCTCCTTGATAGGCTTGTAGATATCGTCTCCCTCATCTGCACCGTATGGTAAATCGTCGTGTGCAACATAATCAATTTTATGCTCCTCCAGGAACTGGGGAGTCACAATCCAAGGGCAATCTTCGATGACTTCATCAACCCACTTGCAGTGTCTCACAGTCTCTGCTCGCTCTTGGCCAGAGAGGACTGTCAATCCCTTGCGCTTGTGTGTTTCTTTGTCGCCAGTGACTCCGACCAGAAGATACACGTCCGGGAAAGCTTTCTTGGCTTGCTCCAGTTGACGCATGTGCCTAAGAATGATTAGCTAGCATACATCCTTCGGGGCCTTCAAAGCTTACCCAAGATGAAAGAGGTCAAACACGCCATCTGCATAGACACGGACTGCCCTTCCTGCTGGTGGGGGATTCGTCTTGTATCCAACAGGGTCCGTAAGCTTTCCGATCGGCGGAGGTGCCATCGATTGCGTCTTCTCTTCTGCATCTTTAGAAGTGCTTTTTCGTCCTTTTCTTCCTATGCGATTTGCGATATCTGTGCTGCCTTCGGTCGTGTCAGATGGTTCTCCGGGATCCTGCAGATTCTCTGAGCCGTTCGGAGCTTTGTCGTGAGTTGAAGATCGAAGTCGTTTAGCAGGAGGATTGGCAGAATCTATCGACGCAGTCTTCTTGTGATGCAATACACCTGACTCTGGAGCTGTAGACTCTCCCTCTTCTCCAGATGCATCACGAGACGAGGGTTGTAGTTGATCCATTGCCGATGTCTTCTTCGCAGAGGTTAGGGTGGTAGTTCGTTTCCGTTTGCCTGCACTTGAACCTGCTGAGGAAGGAGACGACATTCTGTAAGTTGTATGATTAGGCCTGCAGATTCAAAGTGCACTTTAATGATGTGGCTCGGTCTTCGAAGATGAAAAGGGGTCGTGGTCGATTGCGTGGTAAGAACGCGTGCAAGCTTCTGACTTCTGGCTCCTGGGAATTAATATTATTTTTGACCGGGGATGGCAAGGGTTCAGTTCGGATTGCAGCCAAGTTGTTATCGAAGAACAATGTCCCAGACCAGAAAATTAATTCAATGATAAATAGGAAATAGTGAGCTATCTAAAAGGGCAACTACGCACATGTTCTCAGACTTGGAATCGATACTGATACTTGAAAACGCGTCTTTTTCTTTGCCCGGTTTTCTCGTTGCAGCAATCGTCATCGGGCTTCACGTGTGTGGCTAGAGCCTTGGCGGACGAGGCTGAGTGGCTTGTCTGTATGCGATCAAGTTTCGAAGCTTTTTGCCTACATCATATAAAACGTTGCAGGCGATGGAAGTTGGCACAAGTTTTGAAAAGCTTTAGTTCTCAATTAGCAGTCCTCAGTAAAAGTAACTGCTACCCATAATCTAGAACCCATCCTTCCGTTTTCGTAAGACTGCGATGCAAAAGAAAAGAGACTCTGACATAAACTCGCTGCGTGATGGAGATCGTAAACAGAAAATGAAAATGAAGAAATCCCGCCGCCCCTGTGAGATGCCAAATGCTGCAATGCTGGGAAGTGCTGTACTTTATGCCTCCCTCAGAAACCTACCAGCTCATTCAAGCGGCTGAGAGGAGGTAAAACGCAGTAGCTGCATTTGACTCTGCTATACAAGCACAAGCAAGCGTCAATTCCAAGCTACGCTGCAAATAGATAACCATCTTCATCAGTTTCTTAGAAATTCGGCGGGTGATGTAAGGTTTACTCCAAGTAAAACTTCTCCGAAAGAATTGGGGTATCGTCTCGTTACTTCTCCTTGCTATCAGAACCGGCCTCTGCTTTCTTCTCTGATGATTGGGTGGATTTGGGAAGAACTTCATCGACGGCGCTCTTGTATTGAGGTTCAGAGGGGTTAACAGACTCCTTTGAAGCCACTTTCGAATCTGGTTCTTGTGTTATTGCGACTGGTGCCTTGGAAACTTGGCTAGCGAGATCTTGATCTTCCTCGGTGTGATCAAACATCTCGGTGTCATCTGAATCAGTGAGCACCTCGGTGCCATCGCCCAGGAGAATGATGCGGCCTCGTTGGTTGCTTCCAAATCCCTTCGACTTCTGATCCATGTCGACATCGTAGCCACTATCGCTATCATCGAAGTTGTGGTGCACACCAGGACCGCGAAATTCAGCTGCTATGGATGTTAGTACTGCTCCGAGAATCGAATACAAACAAAAGTACTTGCCATACTCTGGAGGAGCACAAGGGCCATCTCCATTCGCGACACGCTTTCCGATCTCCTCATACCATTGTTCCTTGGTCTTTCCTCTGAGGAGTCCAATAACAATCATGGTCATATTATCACAACCGACACCACCAGTCTCGGAGTTTGATGCAAGACAGTTGTCCATCATGTTCTCGCAGATCTTAGAGAGCTCCTGCTTTGCTGCAATTCCTCTGCGAACAAATTCAACGACTGCTTGTGAAGATTGGCAATCCCAGATTCCTGAAACGAAGGTCAGCGCAAGTTATCAACTGGACTGAAGGCTCATTACCATCACAAGCAACAACTAAGAATTCGTCGTCGTCAGAGATTTCATGCACAGTAACATCTGGGAAAGCGGTGACGATTTGCTGTTCAGGTGCTAGTTCAGCGCTCTTCTTGAACTCAAAATCACCAATGGCTCTAGACAATGCCAGATTGCCGTTCACTCGACCGAAGTCCACGAAACCACCGGCAGCAGTAATTCTTGCTTTCTCGCCTAGAACCATTTTTTCAGCAAACAATTAGCGTCACATAAGCAGTGAGAATTTTACCTTCGTTCTGCGGCTTGTGGTCAAAAGACAAAGGCTTAGCTCTTCCCTTCACACCAAGAACACTTCGAGAATCTCCAGCATTGCCCTAATATGGTCAATTGACGCGCTCCAAGGATGGAAGAGACACATACCACGTATATCTTCTTTGCAGAGACAATTCCAACTGAAGCGGTGCACCCGGAAACTTCTTCCTCGTACCGTGGGTCTGTACACCACGAGTCAGTTTCCAATACCGCTATTCTTCGTGCAAATATGCTGACCGTTCAGGATTGCTCTGTCTGTGGCCAGGAAACCATCCTTCAAGGCTTGTTCGATATCTCCTTTCTTGAAAGCATCCTGCTTCGCGATGATCTGGTGGATATTCTCTCCCGCAAACTGGGCAACCTTATCTCCTCCATGACCGTCATACACTCCGAAGAATGAAAGTCTCGTCTCTCCACTAGCTGGCTTCGTCTCCTTGCCATCTTCGGAAGCAGACTGCAAATCGAGGACAGCTGCGTGGGCATCCTCCATGCTAATTCGCCATCCTTGCATAGACGATACACCAAATATTAACCGCTCATCGCCACCGCTCGCCGATGTCTGTGGTAGAAATATTGTCAGTAATCATGGCCGACGATCGAGCTCGACTGCGGCACATTATAGAGCGCGTCACCACACCAAATCGAAGGCATAAAAAAGAAGGCTCTGGATATAGTAGAGACTATTCCATCATCCCAGATCACTCAAATTGTTCCAGCATGGACATGTATCCTGCAGATATCCATGCGCACATTTTCAACTCTTCGCAGCACTGCGATATGCAGACCATGTCAAGCGGAGGCTGACAAGTGACAACAACCTCTGTCATAACAAGAAAATGGACTTCGTACCTTCTCGACAACCGGCTCGGACAGAGTCTGACCCATGGTGACAAGCTATCGCGCCCTCAGGTACCGTAGGTCGGGTGTGGAGGGGATCTTTTCGCCTTTGCCGTTCAGGAAAAAGGAAGGATGTGCGGGGTTGAGTCGCGTGGAGGGGAATTCAGAAAACGGGTAGCAGGCTATCTGTTCTGCTGCATGAGGGTTCTGAGAAGTTCTTCGTTCTTCGTCGTTGAGGGGGAAGAGTTTTCAAAGGATGTCGCGTGTGAGAACGAAGACAGGTGCTTTCAAATGACGATGAAGAGAGCAAAGCTGGTCGAGCGAGCTAGTGTGGGCAAGATTAAGCGGCAACCGGATTATATATAAAGCGGCGAGAAGTCCGGTCGGTTCGATTTCAGCGTTGCTTTGCTAGAGAGAAGTCACAATTGTTGGTGTTTGACAGTTCTTTCACAGAGTTGGAGAAGAAGGCTGCTTGAAACCCGTTCTGCAAGGTTTTCACAGTCACCCATATTGTGTGTCGCACAACAAGACAACCCCTTTCTGTTGGCAGACTCCGGGACAGCATCATCAGTGGTCTCCCATAGGCTGCGTTCGACTTCACAAGGAGGGGACAGGCTGGGATTGCATTAGCGGACCCTGATTATCTGCCCGGTTCCGCGTCTGCACTGTGGCTGATCTACTCTCGGTGGACTCGATTTTATCACATTATATATTGAGCCTTGTGCTTGCTGCTGATGCTGATGCTGATGCTGGATAGTGGGCGTCCATTCTGGGGATGATCCGAGTCCCTTGTGGCGGTCGGGGTTTGCAGCACCAGCAGCAAATCTTGGGGGTAACATTGCACGCTGACTGCGTCATTGGGACTGGGCCCAGGCCATCCTTGCACGTCAGGGATATCTCGGGAAAATTCATCTGGGGAAAGGAAGACGCAGACGATAATTAAAGGGCGGTTGACGGTCACGGTCACGGCCACGGACGTCCTGGATTGCTTGGCCTTGGTCACACTCTGTTTGTTTCAACCCATGAACAACTCCAAGCTGCGTCAGGAAACTTTATCACCAGAATTGCTTGTTCTGCGAGCAATCTCTCATCGAAATCTTAGCTACATGCTCCGACTAAATCTACCAGCATTCTAGAACACTTCAAGAGAACTTGCTGGGTCTCTAGTGCTAGAGAAGATGTGACTCTCCTCCACAATATGCATTTCCCGAGCAGCCTCACCCGGGCTCTCTTAACTCGGAAGCTTATTCGACGCCCTGCCACTCATGGGCACATCAGCACGGGCTCGCTTTGTTTCGCATCTCAAGATGCTCCACCAGCATTGAGATCTTCCGATGACTAGGAAAAGACATCTTATCAGCATAGATTCGAATGGATTTCAGAATTGATCAAGTAGGCCATTCCTATGTATTCCCTTAGTGAGGCGTACTACAACATACGGATAATCGTACTAGATATTGCGAAGCACTACCTATATCTTCTAAAGCTCAGCAATGCGTTAATTCAAGGCCAAATCTCTATATTTCTTTGTTCAAAATCTCAAAGTTGTCAAACTACTTAGTAGTGCTTTGGTAATTCAACTTGAGTTCTACCCGAAGTATTAACTCTCTACTCTCTGATTACAATTCCCAGTCTCTCTGATCCCGAAAGGTCTCTAGGTGGTGGCTTCACTCTCCTTTCTCTATAGACGGACAAGGTCAACTTTTGTTACCATTTAAATAGAGATTGCTTGGTCGAATAGACGACTAGCTAGCGGTCGCTTGACAGCTGCTTCTTGGCCTTCAATTGTTCAAAGATAGTATACATATCAAGTTTTGTTACACATAGCAGCTCTGCAGTGCTACCCAGTTGAGACGAATACAGCTGGCCTTTATTTAGACAGCTCGCTCTGAGGTTTTGTAGCGTTTGTTTACCAATTAAAAAAAGGGGGGTATTCTTCTGACAGTTATAATCAGCATTCAATTTATTTACCAACAAGCACTATTCTAGCTACTCACTGCTGCCCATCTCACTTCTGCTCACTTTATTATTGCTTGTACTCGGGTGTTGAACAAGTAAACAAGTGGAAGAGTGAAAGAGCAAAGAGAAAAGAACGGGAAAGGACGGTGTGAATGAGGGGATTAACTGGTTTTGTATAGCGCATGAGAAGGAAGGATGCATGACGTTGTTATACTTGTATTAGGCCTCCTCCATAGAGGAAGAAGCCTCTTCAGCATCATTCTTTATCGCCATTCATGTCATTCGCATCAGAGTGTTTTATGAGGACTTGCCACCGCCCCTCATCACACTAGATGAACATGCGAGAAAAAGAGTGTAAGTAGGCAGATTGAAAGGGGAAGAGGGGGAAGACCAGAGCGTGGAAGAGGTGAGAGCGAGGAAAGAAAATGTATGTGAGAGAGAGGAAAGGGCGAGCTTCAGTATTGCGCAGAAAAAAAATGTCTCCATTATTACCTTTTTGCCACTTACTTGTTTACTTAATTGCTTAACTGCCGTGGAGGTAGGCAAAAGCTAAATTATTAAGACTAAGCTGGGGTTACTGAAGGGAAACAAGCAGTACTAAGTGAGGTAAGGTGAGCAGTACACCCATTTTCTGACTTGACCAGCAAAATCATGATTTCATCAGATGTTGAGACAGACAGATACTATTCTAAGCATTGTGGGTGTTCCTCGCTCGAAAAGTACTTATCGCTCTGTTAAGTCGAGGTGTGCTAGCTTCAGATTCCAGATTTTATACATTGTCTTTCCGAAAATCCCAATGAACAATTCTCATATTATTAGTATCGAATGCTAGCTACTTCAGAGCAGAAAGCACATCCCGTAAGTCTGAGCTAGCAACGCTATGCAATGTGGAAAATAAAGCAAGCAAGTCAGGAAGCTCTGATCCAGCTCAGCCATGCAACGCCCTGAAAAGTCTCAATCAACCAGAAAAATTGTCCCCCGTAACGCCAACGGCATGCAATCATTGCCACATTTTCCATCCCTCCACCGCGGTCCCGCATCCCATGACCTTGTGTGTACAAAGCGATTGAGGATACCTCTCCATCACTCCGTTATTTGCCTATCTGAAATGTTCTTGCAAGCCCCGCACAGCATCATGCCGCAAGTGCACTCATAGGCCGTCTCAAGCTCTTTGACCTTCTCGTTCCTATCACAGATGTGGCAGTATGCAGTTCCACACCAACAAACGAATGAGGTGGGAGACTTATCTACCAGCGACTCCGGTGGTCTCACGCATGTAGAACAAATCATGTGAGCGCCAGCGCATTGCCAGGTCATACCAGTCATGGGACTATCCTCGTCCTTATCTACTGTGTCTGTAGTAACGGGTTGGATATGTCGGTAGCAAAGGTGACACTCCATCATTTGGTCTCCTTGGGGTCTGGATCTGGTGGGAACCCATACATGCTGGCAGCTCCAAGCATCAACGACAGTGCCATACGGCTCAGGACCAAAATCGTGGTCATCACCATCATAATAGCCCGCTCTCCCGTCCAAGTCGTCCTCTTCTGGCTCAGACTCATCTCGCTCGGAGTCCTCACAAGAGCCATCGCAGGTTCCGATAGGTTGCAGGCATTCCCAGCAGAAATGAGCTCCACATCTGCATCTGCGACAAATCAGTACATGACCCTAGATTGAAGGGACTTTGACTTACTCAATATGGGCACAGCCGAATACTCGCCTGACCCCATTAAGGCACTTAGGACACCGTTTGATCTTCCATTTTTTTAATTGCTCTTCGAGTGCTGGGTCAAGGTCGCTTTCAGGACAATTATCAATGTGTGCCAGAGCACGACACTTCGTGCAAACGGAGACGCCACATTCAGGACATGAAACGTGCTTCTCTGTAACTTTCCCAGTTACCGTTGGCTTGATATAGAGTCGAGTACTGATAAAGGCCGAACATTTCTTTTCTGGACAATAAAGCCTGCCTGGCGTAGACCATTCCTCGAATTTAAGCTTGAAAAGCTCAATCTACGAAGCTGTTTAGTGATCTGACTTAGTGTTTGAGGGATCTTTTACGTACCTCAGCCGGGGTGAGAAAATTGACAGCGGAAAGAGGTATGACAGTACAGCACTACAGAAGGTCAGTATTGTTTCTCACATCAACAGGACGTGTTTGAAGGCGAATCAGGTGATACAACGTTCAATATACTGAAATCTATGAAAGGGGAGAAATGCTTACTTTCGGTGGCATTTTTGACTCATTTCTGCAGGCATCGAGGAACCATGATCTGAGACAGTTCTTGCAGTAAATGCTTGTGCATTTCGTACACTTGTGCGGAAACATATCTTCACCGAAATCTTCCATGCATACAGTGCAGGTTCTTTCCACTTTAGGAGCAGGTGGCGGAGGTATGATTGCTGCTGGTAGTTGTGCTGGAGCCCGTACTGGAAAGTGTGCTGGAACTCGTGCTGGTAATTGCGCTGGTAACTCCGCTGGTAGCTGCCAACTGAAGGGTTCTGAAGATTGGACGTTTAATGGTGGAAGCTCGTACGTGGAACGTCCACCTGTCATTTGCGGTCCATTATATGTCTGGGGATCTACTGTAGCCATTAGTATTTTGCGGCGCAGTGTCTTTCGTATGCGCTCAAGATATTGTTGCAACCAAGTTGCTGTCATTGTTCGTGACGATGTAAGTACTTAAGGAAATGAAGTGAAACATGCCTGGACTTGTAGGAAAATAAGCAGGACCTCGAGCCTGATGAGTCATGCTGTGGTGATTCGATTCCATGCTTGGCACATTGGGGGGACGTATATGCGCGGTGGATCTTAGACTGGGAGTGTACTGTTCTCTGGCCGGTATGACAGCTCTGTGGCGGGGCAGCGGAAGCCTAGGCGAAAACGTGAATGGGGAAGGATGCGGATTATGATAGCGAGATGGACCTGGGTGAGGCTGCGATTGGTGATCTGGAAGGTCTTGCTGAACTTGTGGGGAGAAGAAGGTGTGCGGAAGGGGAAAGGATGGAGGTTGTGATGGAGTGCTGGCCGCCCCCGTCTCGAGCATATCATTCGAAGTTGATGGTCGACGCGGTCGACGAAGCGGTAACTCAGGCCGAGGGTGTTGAGAACCGCCTCGATGCATCTTTCTGTGAGGTGAGGCTGCCTGCGTCTGCCTGGGCACCCAATGTAGAAGGACTGCCGCCTGACGAGAAGATGTAGAGAAACGACAAAGAAGAGGGTTTGGGTTTACAATCAAAGAAGCAGCGAACAGTTGAAGGAAACGACGAAAGTGAGATCTGAACTGGACTTGCGGAGAAGCCTCGAGAACCGTGTCGGGAGATGGGACGAGTCATTTCGCTGTCAGCCTCGTCGTCTGATGGTGGCTTCATTGGCCGGTGGCTCTTGCCAGCAAATCTAAGCGCTACAACTCTATTTCACTATTTCATTCATCGTCATGGATATCGTACGGTAGCACAGATCGTTCCTACACAACGTGACTTACTTTAAGGTGTTTTTAGCAATCTCGTCAACGCCTTGTCTCGTCAAACTGACGTTGAAATAATTAGATTTAGGGAGTAGCCCCTTGTAGCTAGGCGAGGTTTCAGGGGATCGTTTAGCGATCAGCTACTATCTTTATCGCCGAAAGAAAGTTTTATATCATCTTCTCTGATCTCCCTTCACCTGAGTAAAACAAGTTTCACGTCTCACGATGCCCGACAAAGATGCGGGGACACCGAGGGTCCTTCTCGTCCGTCACGGTATGTACCTATAATTGCCGAAGGCCACTGATCTTCGATGCCATCCAAGCAAACCGCACGTGCTAGTTTTCTGACCTTCGTGCAGGGGAGACAGAGTGGACAATCTCAGGTCGTTATACGGGCAAGACTGACGTACCTTTAACCAGAGCCGGTGAAGAACAAGTCTCCTCATCTGCTCAGGTGATTGTGGGACCTAAAAAGGTCATCGACCCGTCTAAAATCACGCATCTCTTTATCAGTCCTCGCACTCGAGCTCTTCGAACCTACGAACTTCTCTTTGATGCATCTACTCGGAGGGAACTAGAAGACAATGCAGAGATTACTGAAGACATCAGAGAATGGGACTATGGCCAGTACGTCAAAGTTATAAATTCATTGAGTTTTCATCCTAAGAGCCAACTTCTTTGAGGGCTTCGTCGAGAGTTGCTGGTCAGAGAAGTTATGTGTCTCAGCTCCTCATCATCTACTTGGCTTCTAGGTCTTTGACGAAAAATGTATCCTAATTTGCCATAGGTATGAGGGACTTTTGACAGCCCAGATACGTGCAAAACGAAAGGAACAGGGCTTAGATCAGGAGCAGCCATGGAACATATGGCAAAATGGCTGTGAAGGTGGCGAATCCCCCGCAGAAGTATCAGAGCGTCTTGACAGGATCATCGCCAAAATCAGAGATATGCAAGGTCCATATATGCATGGCGAGAAAGCGGCAAATGTGGTAGTGATAGCTCATGGGCATATTTTGAGAGCATTCACGAAGAGGTGGCTTGGATTTAACCTCAGCACGAATCTTCCAATGATGCTTGAACCTGGAGCAGTAGCTACTTTATCATATGAGCACCACAAAATCGACGAGCCTGCATTCTTACTGGGTGTCAACATGGGAGCTAGCGAATGAAAAGCGGAGTAACCAATGATGACTTAGATACTCAGTAACATAGAACTTCATACAACGAGCATTTGTCTTTTCCGTTTGAGCACGAATCTAAAAACTGAAGGCTCTGCTTACAGCCAAAAAGGAAACCTGGATGCGGCTACCATCATTGGTCAAACAAAGCAGGGTCAGAATGCAGAGTCTGTGGTATAATTGATGCGTCACAGGTAGCACCAGAATTTGTGTACTGTTGAGATATCACTGTACTCCTGAAGCTTGCCTCTAAATCGATTAATTTGTACGATAGGACCAGCAGAGTGTTGAAACAACCGTCCCAATGCACAAGCAAGCAGATGAAATAAGCAATCAGCTGAAGCAGGATGGAATGGAAAATTAGTGAGAAGAAAGACAGATAGAGACCCATCAAGTTGTGAGGCAGGAGAGGGAACTAGGGGAAGGAAGCGCTAACTTACTACTTACTATATGTGACTTGCCAATTAAGAAGCTACGAGCTAGGGCCTAGGACTCGGAAGCTAGGAATTTGATAAATTAAAAAGCTGGAGAACTAACTAGTCGAAGAAGCTAGGAGAAGAAAATACTATTATCGTATTTTACAATTGTATGTGATCTACAAGCTTTGCTTTTACTAAATCATTGATATTAGATTGCTTGAAAGGTCAGAAAATTTTGAGATATCCAAATTGGTAACAAAGTGTATACACCGACTGAACATTGAGATTGTGTGTAAACTCTTGGAAGTCCATGAGTACTCAAGCGAAGCTGAGTCTGCATTGTAGAACTGCAAATTTGTGGCTTGTACAGTAAATGTCTGTCTCGACTCGAAGATTTCAAGTCCGGCCTAGGTCCCTGGTCGCAGACCAACAATGTGGCTGGCAAGAAGTCCGAAAATGATATGGAGATCTTGACCGCCGAAGGTACTTTGATATCTTGAAACATTGTACCTTGGCACCATTGCTTTTTATCTCTAAACGATTAGACATTTAGTCCATTCTCAATGACAAACATTGATTCGGGAAAGACTGTTCCACATTATTAGAGACATTCAACTCCAGCGGTGAGAATCACGTCAAGTTTGCAATCTAGACAGGAGACTGGGAGTGTATGTGTGCATTCTCAGAATGAGAAGCACCATGGATGGTATCTTCGATTATGGCCAAATTAACTATTTACTTGATTAAAACATCCTTAAACCTTTTCACAGCACAAAGCACCCAGGAATCGCCTTCACATGAGCGCCTACGCTTGACGCTAATCTTCAAATTCCAAATATTTCGTCCCAACAATATCTTCATCCCTCTTCGAGCCGAGCAGAGTACGGTGAGTGTTCTTACAAGAAAGCACCGACAAGACCAGCCAGACCCATGACAACGCTACCAGCACCAACAATCAACTCCTTCTGAGCACCGCTCTTCGCTGTGCTGCTGGCAGAGGCCGAAGCAGAGCTTCCGGCGTCGGTAGTGCTGCTAGCGACTCTGATAGCACCGCTGGATCCCGTAGTCGCGAGGGAAGCTGAATTAGCATCGGTGGTCGTGACTGGGACGGCGGAGGACACGGCGCGGGAGATGGCGCTGGTGGTTGTGGTGGAGTATGCGGAGGCGTCGGAACAGTATGTAGATTGGGAGGACTGGGCGGCGACGATACGTGGGTCGTTGGGGCAGACATTGAAGCAGCTTTAGAGAATTTAGCAAGATATATTGATGGAGATAGACAGGCGGTAAACGTACGTTACGAGATCAGTGTATTTCTGGCACTGACACGAATAATCGGTGGCAGCGCATGATTCGATGATTGCTGTGGTGCTAGCAATGCATGCCTCGAGAACAGGTTGAGCTCCACAAGCAGAAGTGGTGGGAACGTAGGAGTAGGTGGTGGAGGTTGCTGCAACCGCGAAAGCAGCCAGGGAAGAAATAGTCAAGACGGAGGAGATATACATTATGATTGAGTTGCGGAAGTACTGTTGAGATACAAAGTAACAATATCGAGAGGTAGAGGTGGTAGACTGTGAGAGTGGTATTAAGAGAAGAAGGATAGAAAAAAGGTCAAAGACAACGGGTGCAGAGTGGTATTCATACGATATCCCTCGGACAATTTCCTCATTGAAGCCATGGACTCACAGATCTCAGATGGGGGGTCCACTCGAACCCTGATTCCCCTGAGACCAATGCACGCAGCAGCTCTTCTTGGAGACGCCATTTTTATTGAAGCTCCGAGAAGCGAGGCATCTGATTGGGCAATGCAATCTTTAATATCGGCATACGGCAAGGCGTCCATAAATGTCTGAGCTCGGGCAACCTGGTCTTCGTCGGGAGCCACGAGCATCGTGTCCTTCGTTACAATATGGGGATTGCAAGACTGAAGGTCCGATATCCAGCCTATCATGGGATGTTGTTTTTGCTTTTCGTGTTCATGTTCGTGAGATCTGTGGCTGTGTACTGTGAACTGTCGAATGCGTTGGTTGTTGTGGAAGGGTCTCGTCTCCTCAATTGTGGGACTAGGCTTATCCCGGACGCCAATATTTAGCTTCCTATGCTTAAATTTGAGCCCCTGGTGCACAGCAGGGGCTTATCTGGAAGGGATCAGCGATATCATTAACGACATTGCCGTTATTGAGAAGCTTCCTTTGCAAGCTCGAACTATAGAGGGAAACCCTGCGTCGGATGGAAAATCTTCCTGAAAAAACTCGGACGTTGATGGTGTGCGTATTCAAAGTTCATTTTATTTATAGGTCTGGTCGGGCCCCAAAAAAACAATTACAAACCACGTTAATCAAGACATGACGATATTTCTTCTGGCGATTTCTGAATACAGGTGAGGCTTTTCGATTTGTATATCGATCATGATGACTATGCAACCCCAAACGCTCCGAAAAGGCCCTCCAAGTTCGTGGGAGGGAGGCCTTCCCAACTTCTGTATGATGAAAACACCGGAACTCGAAAAGGAAATACAACCCAAGCAATCACTCCTGCCCGAAACCCATCGTCTCCTCTACTGCCATCGTCAATTTCGTTTGTAATGCTTCGAGACTCTTGTAAGGCGGTAAGTCGAGTCGGTTGAAACTTAAAAGTGTTAGTGAGTGGCAAGACAGAAAGAACTAGATAGCGGTGCCACGTACCATGTGTGAGACTTCGGCAAATTATTCACTTCTCCAGCTTTCTCGATTGTAAATCGTCTGGGTCCATCACTTCCTTGAAGATCTTTGAAACCGTTGACCGGAATACGAGACGTTCCCGTTGCGAACTGAAGTAGACGTGACTTCTGTTCTCCGTCCCAACTTCTAATTGTCTGCCAGAAGAATTTGATGACCTCGTCCGATTCGGTGTATCCTCTGTAATCCGTGTGCTTCTTCCAGTCCTCGACATCGATCTCCGCAATACCACCAATCAAGAGCTCCAATTCACGCTCATCGAAGACGTTGACAAGTTCAGCCGGGATCAGCTCATGGAAACCATTGATGAAGGCTTGGAACTGTTCGTCGATACGCTTCTGGATTCTCCACTTCACCATAAGGTCAACATACTCCTTCTTGTTGGCATCTGTGACCTCAATGTCTCGTCCACCAGGTTTCAAGTCCTCGACATTAGTCTGGCCGAATCTCTCGTCTTCTGTGGAGAAGGTCTGGTCCAGAACACCCTCGATAGGATTATCGAGCATCCATTGAAGACTGCGGTGGAAATCCGCATCAACACCTTCCATGTCGGACAAAGCAACCGCCTTATTAAGCATCATCTTGTATAGAGCCCCGATGAAAAATGCGTCAAGGAAACGTCGATGGAAGATAGCCAGGCCAACAACACGGCCAATGAACTTGAAATAGTTAAGATGCTCAGGGTTGATACCAGAGTGAGGGTTGATCTGAAGCGTGTAATTGTCGTGGGCGGAGTATTCGAATAGGCAGTAGAAAGGATTGAACATCTCATGGGACAATAAGAAAAAGAACTCTCTGGAAAGACCACCATAATCGAGACCATCTTCGCCATCGAACTTGATCATTAGTCGCTTCTTCAAATCTGTAGCAGATTGACGCATGATCTCGGCATACGAGTCTTCGAAGATATGGGATCTTCGAACCTTGACGTGGCATTGGCCAGAGAGAATACGGAGCGCAGGCTGAGATCTGAAGTAGATGAGCTTGCGTCGGAAGTCACGCTTGTATTGTGGTACGTTCTGGTCCAAGGATGATGGCAATCGAGGATCGTCCCAAGTGGTTGTCTTTGTGTTATGGTCCACAAAGTATACACGTGCTGTATTTGTGAGTCGCATTTCCCAACCACTGGGCAAGGGACCCAGCTGAGATACTGGCTGTTGCTGGATAGTATTGTTGGCATTTTGTCCACCATACATCCGGATATACTGCTGCCGTCTTGGATCTACCCAGGTAGTAGTTCGAGTGTTGTGATCCACGAAATATGGTCGACCTTCGGGAGTATGTCTCTGTTCCCATAAAGGTGGCAGTTCTCCTGTTCCGGCAGTTGTGGCGCCGGTAGCCATCATGGTGGCAGCATTGGCCGTAGTTCCACCAGCTGCTGCAGCTGCTTGTGCTTGCTGCAGGTTCGGCGAGTTCGCACCGGTTCTATCTTCAGGCAAAGTTCGGTTTTGATGTCTTTGTCTCTCAACCTGGGTATTCGCATCTCGTTCATTGCGTTGTGTTTCGGTGGTACCAGAAGCAGAGGGCCGATTCCAGCTCGTAGACCTTGTATTATGATCCACGTAATAGGTTCGTCCCAGATTGTCTTCCCGTCTCTCCCATCCAGTAGGCAGTCTTCCTTGTGCGTCTTCGAAAGATCCGAAAGTTCCACCCTGTCTGGGGCCACCGGTACCATTTGTCTGACCATTCACACCCGCTGAGCCTGCGCTGCCGGCAGCGGGGGCGTGGCCTGGGGTCGGGCCGGTTGACATTGCACCATTTGCCATCAAGACACCAGACGGCGCTGATGTGTGAGATGGAGTGGATGTTCCCGGGAAAGAGGTGGTCGAAGCTTGTGGGGTACTCAACGATGGTCGACTTCCATTCGGATTATTGGCAGGAGCTAGGTTTGTTCTTGGAGGCTCTGATAGATTCGTAGATAGGTTGATGATAAGCTTTCCATGAACGACCAGGTTATCAGTGGACTTCTTCAGGTCTCGGGTGAGCATCTCTGTGAATCATGGCTTGTCAGTGGCAGCCAACGAATCAAAAAGCAATATATCACTCACGGTCCTGCCCAGACGAGAAGTCGACTACATCTCCAACTCGAACATTGATGACGCCGAGAAAACCTTGATCCTTCTTCTTGAACTTCTTTTGATCAAAGATCTGGACTGCTAGGATGCTATCTTCGTTGGCACGGCTGTATATCGTATTAGTCTGGGTGCTCCATGCAACATCAAGCTTATGCTCACAGATCAAAGCTCTCATTCCAGTATGGGTTCAAGGTCCGCTTGATGACGGTCGTCGTCTTGGTCTGCTCTCCACCGAGCGTCGCCACTGCAAAGGGATCTGGAAATCCTGGGGAAGCTATCAGCATGGGTTGTTGATGTTGACGTTGACGTCTGGTATAATACATACTGAATACATCACGCTTGTAGAGTCCATCGGCGGCAATGACTATTATCTATCAGTATATGCACCCTGTATAGATGTGGAATTGAAGCTATCGTACTGGTTAATCGCAGATTAGGCTGCCTAGAAGGGCTGTCAGTCATGATCGTGGTACCTGTTGACCAAAGGAGCAAACTTACGCTGGCAGACTCGAATCCACTCTACTGCTCGACATCTTCAAGATACGCCAAAATTGGCGGCGACGTTCAGCTGAACGTCAATGAAGAAGCTCGTGAGGTGTAATGGCAGAACTGATGGGAGGTTCCTGGGATCCTGGGCGGGCGACGGAAGGAAGAGTGGTCGTCACTTTCGAAGCGCAGAAACTGGGGCTGTGCAGCAGCGCAAGCAACGAACGGTAGGCGCCTCCCAACCACAAGGTCTGACAAAAAAATTGGTCAGGTAATTTTGCCCTTCCGTTGACTGATTATTCAGTCGAGGTCGTGATATCGAGCTTTGGGATCTCGCATCAGCAGGACGTTTCGAAGAAGGGTTCGACGCCGCAGAAGTCATAACGAGGCACCTCAGAACCCCGCTGTGCCTAGGAAAAAAGGCACACTTTTTCTATTTATATTGTCCCGCAACCTTTGGAACAATATTTTCTGCTAACCCAAATCTTACAATACGTATGACACACCTTCAACTCGCACAAGTTCTTCATATAATACAATGATTCACGTCAAACATTCACATTGGAGCCCAGAAAGCTTCAATGACGACGCACGTGCTCCATTAACGCCCATTCTCTAGGTAATTCATGAATAGGTCCATCCCCATAAACTCGGAGACCAGATTCCCCACCATTTTTGAAGAAGAAACTCAACGCATTTGCTACTTTTTTGCTTTCCAATGCCATGCCTCGCTGCTCGAGAACCCTCTAATTGCATCGTCATATCATCTTTCCTTCTAGTATGGGGTATATCCTCGTCCACGATTGCCTCTGTATCCGCCACGATATCCGCCACCTCGGGGAGAGAAACCACCTCGTCCCATGTAGCCTCGTCCTCCACCTCTGCCACCTCTGCCACGACCACGGTTCATACCAGGGACATTCGTACGCTTCGGGACCACCTGAAGGAGTGAAATGTCAGTATAGAAACAATAGACAAAAGAGGATGTCAAACCTTGAGGTTACGTCCGTGAAAGACACTCTCGTTCAAGACAAGAGCTTGAGCGACGAGGCTTGGTTCAGAGAACTCCACATACGCATACCTGCATATCCTAGATTAGCATCCATCTCTTGCCAGGTAGCGTTGATCATAAAAGATTCTTTCAACCCCAAACCAAAGAAGCAACATTATCATATAATGGGACAATCGCGGACGGAGAAATCGTGAACGAACCCCTTGGGATGGCCAGTGAACTTGTCCAGCAGGATGGTGACACGGTTGATGGAACCACAGCTCTGGAAGTGAGCCTGAATCTCCTCCGGCGACGCAGAGTAGTCTACGTTGCCGACGAAGATGCTTCTTGAATCGATGTCCTCCTTGCCATCCTGCATCTCGTTCTTTTGTTGGTCGATATCGGCTTGCATCTCTCTCAGCTTGGCTGCCTCCTCTTCCATCTCTGCAACCCGTCTCTTCATTGCGGAAATCTCCTCCTATACGTCAATGTCAGTAACAAACACGAGTCCATGTACGCAAGCGCAATGTACCTCATCGTTGCCCTCCTCTTCTTGTTGCTCCATAACATCTTCCACCACCTTAGGCTCCGTGTCGGCCATGATGAACGATGATCGAAGAATAATGCGGTCGAAGCTTGCTCAATGCAAGAACAAAAGAAGTTGATGCACGGAAGTGGAAGAAGACCGGACGAAGCCCGCTATATATGTTCGTTAGCGCAGCCTCGTCAATCAACTCGAATTCAAGCTGCGTAAATATCTTCAACAGTGAATCCGAAGCCTCGTAGCTTCCCCATCGGACAACAACGATCTTAGCTGTCAAGGGATACACAAGTGCACCAATAAAGGAAACTTCCTCTATTAACCCTCAATGATATAGAAAATAGATTATAGATATCGTACCTTTCTGCTTCAACTGCTCGACAAACTAAATGTTCTACAATATGTTGTTCATAAAAAATTATCTTCAACGTGCAAGCAAGCATCATCGTACCGCTTCGGCGAACGAAGACGCGAGGCTGCAGAAAGCTTCCGTCATTTCGAATCTCATGCCAAGACACAAGCTCAATGCATCCCACCACCAAGGCTGATCTCCATCAAAAAAACATATCCATCTTGGCAAGAACATATATCCTCACGCATTGGATCAATTGATATCCCCCGCAGAGCATTGACCGTACGATTATTTGCACAAGTGTGTACAAATCAAGGCAAAAGCAAGCAGGTTTTCCTCTCCTCTCTATCACTGGCACCGTCAACCAGTCTCAGCGCTGATAAGAGTACGTGCGCCATCAAGCCTTCTCTCCCACGTTCAACCCGCTCTTTGCGCCCTCACTTCACACATAAGAGAGCAGTCTCTCACGCGGGCATCTCTGATTCAAAACCGATCCTCTCATCTACTCATTCTCAAACTCCCATCTATCTCTTCTCTCCAGCTACCTACCCCACCACCACGAACAATGCCCTCCTCCTCCTCCGACTCGCAACCCCTCCTGGGCGAATCCTCCTCCTCCCAATCCAACAACAACAACAACACAAACACCTACCCCTCCGACTCCAAAACCCGTCGCGCACCCATCCGCTCCGCATACCGCTACTGCCGCCTGTCGGTGAAGACCTTCCTCTCCTCGCCCGCGCAGCACTACACCGTGCTCTCGCTGGTGTCCTTCGACCTCCTCGGCATCTTCGCCGACATCATCATCAACCTGTACCAATGCGACGAGGGCGACTTCGCCGGCCCGTACTGGAACGACGTCCGCGAGGGGCTGTCGATTGCCGGGTTGGTGTTTAGTTGCTTGTTCATGGTGGAATTGATTCTGAGCGTTTGGGCTTTTGGGTGGAGGTTTGTTGATTTTCTTCTCTCTTTTATCCTATCCTCTCTTATTTAGTGAAATTAGATGTTGGAGTGAAAATCATGTTAACCCGCACCAGTTACTTCAAGTCCAAATTCCACTGCTTCGACGCGGCTGTTATTGTAGCTGGCTTCATAACCGACGTCCTGCTTCATGGCGTTCTCGAAGAAGTCGCTTCTCTAGTCGTTATCCTTCGTCTCTGGCGCTTCTTTAAGATCATTGAGGAATTTAGCGTTGGTGCTGAGGAGCAGATGGATGGGTTGAACTTGAGGATTGAGCAGCTGGAGACTGAGAACGAGGATTTGAGACGGGAGTTGAAGAAGCAGAAAGGTACTTTGGATGAAGAGGAAGTCGGCTTTCAGAGTGGGAGTGGAGCTTGGCAATGATGAGATGCTACAAGTCTCAAGTCAGGAGTCACAAATGGGTAATTATGAGGGTACTGGGACGTGATAGCTTCATGACTGGACATTCTAAATAGTTTGTATGCACGTGTGAATGTACGGATTCATGAAGAGTAATATTTCTATCATACAACAATTCTAACGAAGAGAAGGGTTTCTAACGCTTCGTATGCAACAACAGCGCTTTGCGCCAAAATAAACATCGCTGAGAGAATTCTTCGGCATTTTTCGTAACAGACTCAGAGCTGAGCCTTAAATCTTCCGCCCTCTCCTCTCTCTTGTGACATCCTTTACTGGGCTGACAAAAGTGACGTGTTTGTCCTCTTTCCTCAATCGCATCGCATCACTCCCGCTTCCCGACCGATTCCTGAGGACGGTCCTAGGAACCACCTTTTCTCCATCATCCTCAAACTGAATCTCGGCGACGCTATCATCGTCTTCCTCACCAGAGCTAGCACTCTCTGCATCATCACCTTCATCGTACTCGCCATCATCACTGACCAAACTTGGTGCGTTGTTGCTTGCAATGGTGTTCGGGCTCAAATCAATGAGTGAAGGTCCATCAAGCATTTCCACATCCACATCAACCATATGGTGATGGTCCAAAGGAGTCTCAGCTAGACGTGAAGGCGTAGCATTGTTTGTAGTTGAAATGGTATTGATGACCGGAGTTGCATAAGATAACCGAGGCGAGATGCCACTTAGAGCAGGTTGTCGAGCATTTCTACCATCAACACCTTTGCTGCTACCAGGTCGACCAATGGGTGCGGGTGACATGCCAGCTCGTGCCGGCATCCGCATTACTGGAAGCGGTGAGTTTGCACCATCAAGACGAGGAGGGACAGTGATGTCTGTTTCAGCACCAGAGTCTTCATCGTGTGATGACATATCATCTAGGTCAATCTTTTGCTTAGCTTCACCAACGATGTCGTTCAGATTCCCACCAAAGCCCTTACTGCGCATGAGCTCGGAAAGATGAGGTGTGACAGATGAAGGAACAAAGCTGCGACTTGGGGTGACTAGCGTCGAGGCCGCACTTGTTGGTATCGAAGTGACACCAGGAAGCTTGCCTTGTTCGAACAATTTGGTAGAAGCTTCGATGCGAGATAACAGTGCAGCATACGCTGCTCGGTCTGGTGGAGCACTTCGGATCATTGGATGTACAAGATTGTTGATAGTCGTTGGACTCTTCTCCTCGCCAACAATGCCTCCCACTTCATCGATCTCAATCGGCTGCCCACTTGCAACGGCAGCTTCTTCGTGGCTCTTGAATTCGATCTTGTGTGCAATACGACAATGGTTGATGAAGCCCTGAGTACTGGAAAAGTTGTCACGGTGACACTCAGGACAGACAAGCTTAACCCACTGACCATCTCCACGCTTGAGAATACAAGGCCCAGCCTTCTCTTTTGGTGGCGGATAGCCGCTAGATAGAGCTTGAAATTTTTGCGCGGTAGAGCCCCTTTGAGATCTAGATTTGCTGGCAGGCATGGCTCCTTCAGCGATGCTGTACCTCGTAGAACGACCCTCCGGTACTGATTTACCGGCACGTGATTCGTCGAGACTTCGTTGCCACTCGCCCTGTGAACCGTCGAAGCTGGAATCGGGAATGAGCCACTTGGCATAATGTCTCGAGTATGGGCCATCAGTGACACCATAAGGTGCAGCCCATTGCGGAACTTTGTCCTTTTGAGCCAGGACTGGACCCACCCCGTTGCTGATATTGATCATCGACTCAGAAGCCGTTTGAGAGACAGGATAAGAAATCAAGTGACAACGACGAAGCTGCTCCAATGCGACTTGACATTTGGCGAGCTCTTGGTTGATCAGACGTAACTCGTTGTGCTTCAAGAGAATTTCCAGGCTGAACTGTGACTCGATAGCATCATGTATCCTACTCGGATCCACAGTCACCGGTTCCTGTCTTTCACTCACTCCAGCCTGAACAGCAGTCACCGGGTTGGGGACAGATATGCGTCCATCTACGACCGTGTTGGCCTTCCTCCGCTTCAAATCCTGAGAATTTCCATGCGCCGAGTCCGTCACGTCCTCGTCGACTCTCTTCCGCTTTGCGACCGACTCGACCGGAATCTCCACGACGGGCGATGTGGCAGGCGCCATCTTGTGGCCTACCACTCCATCTACCACCTTATCGCAGCCCCTGGATTCGGAAATCCAAGAAAATGATCGGAACATCCGCAGGACAAGTTGTCGCCTTGACGAGCGTTGCTGCGAGGCGCGACCGGGCGCTTTAATAGTCGAGGTGGTCAGGCAGACAAGTAATGGAGGATGAGTCTTATCTTGCGATCATGAGTTGCGCAGGACGTGGTGTGGTGGTGTTGTCGCAAAGAAGGCGATATTGGCTAGTGAGATCGGAGGGTTTCGCTGACGTCGATACGAGAGACCCCTTTAAAAACGATCGGCTCCCGAAAAGAAAAAGACCCGCCCAACAATCCAACAGTCGTGATAAAAAGTTTGTACAAGAAAGTCGTGAATTAAAAGGCGCGTTGTGAAGAAGTGGTCTGGTGCAAGAAGTGCGATCAAGACGTATTTGCCGTGGTGGCGCGGGAAGGTACGAGAAGTAAGTTGTTGTGGTTGGGCGACCGACGAGACGCTGATGTTTTGGCGCGCAAGGAGTGATGACGAAGACCTGGAACGGAGAATCAAGTGAAGAAAAGGGCGACGAAAGGGCCGTGATTACAAGAGTGGATAATCCGATGCGAAGAGGTGAAGAAGGAAGGCGACCGCGATATTAAAAAGGGGAAACAGGCGGAGAGAAGTCGTCACGAAAAGGGTCGTGGTATGTTGGGTGATTGATGTTGTAGTGGTATGAAGGAGGAGGAGGAGGAGGAGGAGGGAAAGGGAAGGGGATTTGGTGGTGATGGGGAAATCAACAGTGCAGTCCAGTGCAGGGCCAGGCAAGGCAGGGCTGGCTGGGCGGGACAGGCTGGCTGGCTGGTGGTGTTCTGCGGGCGGGCGACACGGTCGCAACTACCTCCTTTTCTCTGGCGGGTGTGATGGATGGAAGGTGGAAGAGGTGCTTGGCTTGAGCGATGCTTGGGCTTGGCTTGGCTTGGGTGAGTTGCTCCACCTGGGAACTTCAGATCCTGGTTTGTGGCTTGTGGCTTGCAATGATCCACACTTGCAGGGTTGCTTGCAAGGTGCACAAATTTAGTGCAAGGAATGCTGCCAGGGTGCATAAAGGTAAAGCGCTAACCCCCGAAAGATGCCAGGGCGTGCAGTTTACTGTAAGTAGAATAGAGCATCGGGCGTGTAACATCCATGATTGGCTGCCGGGGCGAGGCAGGTTCAAGGCTCGGTTGTTGGACGTTCTGGTGGGTGCGTTTATTCCAATTTAGTGGTGGTCCAGGGCGTGGGCGAGAATCCGGCCTGCCGTGTTCCTCCTTCGCCCTCTGGAACTGACTGAGTGAGTGAGTAAGTAAAATAATAGTGGATCTCTGATTCCATCCCGCATGCGATTTGCACTTCTGCCCTGGCCCATTGCATTTGCATTTCATGCTCACAGCATGGTTACTACCCCGACCCAACGAATAATCACCTCACTTCCACAACCGCACTCACTCAGCCAAATACCTCTCAGTGCCCGGATCTCCTGTTCGATAGGGTATAACTGGAGGACGAAGACAAAAGTTAGGACGTTTGGAGATAGATCAAACAAAGAAAAGTGTCCAGCTATCAAGATTCAAGCATCTGCTGACACGGGCGTGGGGAAGGCCAATAAGACTCAGGCATTCGATATGTTCCACACGCTGCTTGCTGCCAGATCAGACATCAGATGCCTATCTAATTTTTGTACCCGTACCTACCTTAGAGGGCTGACAGGCCATTTATTCATTATTGTACTGTATTCGTTCCTTCGTATTCATTCTCGAGGGTCGATGAGAATGCATCGATATTGCCGTCTGTTCCTGGTGCATCGTATCCGGAGTCCGGTCCTCCATCCTACCCACTCTCTCCTCTTGTCTACGAGTCTGGAGTCTCGCCTCTTCTCGCTGCGAGCAAGTATGCATGTCAGCTCAAGTCGACGATTCGAATCACCAAGCGAGCCTCTTACAGTATTCGAGGCATAGATACATACATTTCCTTCTTTTTTCAGGTACTTGCACATGTTTATTCACCCATGCACGCATGCAGAGCGGCTCCAGTCAACGGCCAGAACCTGAGACCATCCATCCTAGCCCAAGGTCCACACCCTTGCGCAGCTTTTAACGTGCGATGATTGACCAGGCTGGGTGTGTACGCAGCCAGCCGTCTCTCGCCGGGTACGGAAAAGCAGCCTTTTCGTTATGAAGAGACCGCCTTACCATCGCAACGCATGTCACTTTGGTTTTTTTTAGCCAATACAAGTTGTTCTGTCGTGTTGTGGTAGTCTTTACAACAACGAGGTACACTTTTCGAGTTACAGTCACGACTTTCTGCTATGAAAATGTCTTGGCCGGGTAAAGTTTCGGGGCTTGGAATAAATGTACGTCCTCGTTAATAGTACTGGCACTCTTACAGTAGCAAGCTTCTTATTTCGTATCTGCAAATAAGTCCCCAGCGCTTCCTTACAGCTTCGCAGTGTTTTCGATGGTCCCTAAAACAACACGCCTGCCAGCAAGTAAGGCAACCGTCTAGCTACACTATTGCTTCATGATCTTCCAACCTGATCAAATTCCTCTTCAAGTTGCAAGACCCTTTGATACTGAGGAGACTACATTCTCTAAGAATATCATTAAGTAGCAGGCTAGCGTCGACTAAGGCAACAGTCCAAGTGCAAAGACCGACTCCTATACAACTACTATCTCATGCATAATCTTTCAAGATCTAGAAGCAGTTCCGAAAAGTGAATAAGTGCAGCATGCCAGTACATTTCAAACTTGGCTCTGCAGCGTGATCTCTAGCACATCTGAACATTTATGACATCGCACTACCTTATCATCATGCGCCTTCCTTTTTTTTCCGTCCGTGTCCCATAAACCTCCCCGAGGCTGTCGATGAAACCACAGGCTGACACGCGCAAAAAGGACCCCACCACATGCATGGAAAAATGAGGGGCAAGCTGTGACAATTTTCTGACTAAAATTAGGCACCCCGCCATTGTCCCAATGGAGTGAAAGCGTTTCCTGTTTCAATATGCAGCGAGACTGGAAACTGCCACTCCGACATGCGTACAGTTTTCGAGGTGCAGGGGATCAAGTGCCGCAAAAGCTTGCTTGTCATGAAGCAAAGATGTATTGGCTTCCGTTTAAATGTTCCAAAATGGAACTTCACTAGTCTCCAGGGACAGTCCTTGCAATGCTTTTGTCTCCAAAGCTGGGAGTTAAGTGGGCTCAATTGATGCTAAGACCCTTTACATATAAATAGTAATAGATTTATCAAAGAATCTACACTCGATCGAATAATGAAAGCTGCATTTTCGATATTGTAATTATGTTAGCTAGCAAATCTATTATCTCTAGTATTGTTCAGGTTAGAATAGTCTCCAAAGAGCTATTGTCTAGTGCATTGCAAAGGCATTATCAAGTCTTTAATCTTTTCATTTATTGTCTGGTTGGCGTGATCCGCCTCTGAGGGATGGCTCTCTTTCAGACATCCTGAAGTTATGTGTAGTTGGCGAGGAGGGCTCAAAGCAGACAAATGTGAAATGTCGAAAAGAAGGGTCGGACAATCGGGTCGGCTTCGATGTCGACTGGTTGGGGACTTCCTTAACAATTGTAATTTCGTGCGAAGGCTTGTTGTCAGGCGGCACAATGCGGAACGATATGATAGTTCAACAAGTTATGATTCCATGTATGGCGTGTGCGTCTAAGTTTCTCTGGACTTTTACCACGAAGGAGGAACGTCAGTCTAAAAGGTGATCTCAGTGCTAAAGCACGTCGGACATTCATACGTCCTCGGTGGATAGGGAACGGATATTTGCAACCTTCGATCTGTCACTCTCCGGGAAGCACCACCGCTACATTCACCACTTCGAGATCTTCAAGGCTTGAGCAGAACGAAGTCGCCGACTACGAGATAGAGGTAAAAGCCCAGAAAATTTATGTAAGTCATCTCTTGTACGTCGATTTACCCAATATTCACTGATCATATGCAGCAACAAAACTGCGTTCACCACCACGATGCTATCGCACCAGACCATCGTCAACTTCGCATGGTCAAACATCAATCTTTGAGGTAGAAGCATTCGAGTTCCCTCGTATCTATACTCGATCCTAAAACCAGAGTCCAAGGCTATCCCTTCGAGAAGATATGACTGGGCAACATATTGAAAAAAAAAAGAGCAGATTGAGAGTCAAACTAACTGTAAATAGCACACTCGTGACCGTAGCAATCTACTTGATCCATTCGATCAAAGAAAGGTCTAAATTCTCCGACCATCGATACGAACCTGACGGATACAAAATCGACCCCAGCAGTCCAGGCCAGCGGCTTAGACCTCAACCTCGAATTCGCAATAAGCTAAGATGAAGAAATACGCAGTCGTACGGAAGAGACCCGCAGACGGCAACAGCGAAGGAGAAACGAAGAGGCGAAAGCCAGCCTGATGGACTGTGGGAGAATTGGTAAGAGAAATTGGAATCGAGCAGAATGCAGCAAATAGTGCCGGAACGGAAGCTGCCCTCCTCGCGGACTGGTTGATAGAGAAGAGAAGATTGGAGCTATGGTTGGAGGTGGCAGCTTGCACGTCAAGAGAGAATCGTGCCAGCAAAAAGGGCAGAGAAAAAAGGGCATTGGTTGATCGAGTGTTGGAGATACTAGAGGATCCCACACGATTCGATGAGTATGTTCTACCCGTGTCCGCCCAGATGAAAGACACCCTAAAATGGACTTTGGACGATCATAAGACGAAATATATGGTGGATATGGTGAAAGGGGAGACAGTAGAAGGTGGTGCTTGGTACACCAGAAAGGACGACTGCAGAAGACTTGCGGATGTGGCATATGAATGCTACGTCATGATCAATGCAGCCATGAACGAAACAATTGCGAGGTCCACATTGTGCAGACGGATGAATGCTGCAGTGGAGAAGTTAGAAGAGGGCTCGAACAAAGGAATAGGAGGAGTAATATCCGCGTCTGCTAGCACATTAAGATTGTTTGATATATGATTCCACTTAGATATCTACTCGGGACTCGTGCCCGAAAGAAACGATATTCTTTTCAGTGACACGCTGTGATTCCATTTTGTGAGGTATTCTTGATTAACCAGATTTGGTCGAACTAACTCCCCACCTCCTCTCTTCTACTCCCCTATCTTCGCGGCTACTTGGATTGGAAGATCTCCCGACAGCAGCGATGAAGTATGTCGTATCATTGTCCACACCTTCAAGATCCCAATCGCTTACTTCTCCAATATCAAGATCATCCATCCAGTTACTACCTTGGCTTTCCTGACTAGGTTCCGAGATATCTTGTGCTGTGTCTTCCCTCACCTCTAGAGTCTCCTCAGCTGCCAATTCTGCCTCTACTGTGCTTGTAGAGACCCTCGCTACCTCCTTCTTGGCACTCTGTAATGGAGATTCGGCTTCACGTTTTCTCCCTGAAAGGTTGGTTTTTGTTTGTGGTTCGAGACCAACTTGCTTGCCCTCAGTACCCTCCTTTTTCCGCCTGGCCTTCATCGCTCTTCTCAATGCCTTTCCAATGATGCTCTCATCATCTTGCCTCTTCAATTCTTGATGGGTGAGGAGGAAGCATTCGTAGCAAAATTCTGCCGCCGCTTGGTTGTCCATATTGCCCCACTCCTCTGACCTCTTCCGACCAATTCTTATCATTTCAATCACGTATCTTAGTAAGTGATCGTGAGTCGTCCATCCGGCACTCTCCTTCTCCTCTTTCATACCTGCGACATGCGGATACAAATATCTGTGTGGGCGGTTGGATGCCAGTATTTCTACGGTTGACCTGATTAGAGCATTCTTTTGCTCTTCGCCCGGCACTCCATCCATGTGTAGGTTCTCTTCTAGTTCCAACCAGATGGCGAGACGCTCGTATTCCTTCAGCCATGCCGCCAGTCGTCAGACCTCGTCAGCGAATCCCAACACTGACGCCATCTCCTCTAGGCTTCTGTGTGACATTCTCATGTGATCTGAGATAGCATGGTTAGCGCTGCCGCAAGTAGTATGCGCTGTGATAAGGTCTTACTCTTAGTTGATCCCAATGGTGAATTCGGAGAGTGTAACTGTTGTGATGATCTATCTGCGATGGCTCGAATCGAGTTCCGCCTTCGTTTCGCGTGAGATCGAAAAGTCAATATTCTTTTTCGAGATCTGTCGCTTAACGTTAGCGTCGCTTAAAGGGGGAGAGTAAAGACGAGCTTCTTCCTCGATTTGTCAATTAAACTGCCTCGGCGAAAACGTCTGATGCGGATCTGTTACCATTTACGATTTCACACAGTTGACAAGCTCTGGTACCTATCTCTAGACGTTTGCGAAGTCTATCTCTGCAATGAATTCACAGACGGTATTCGAGCTGGATCGTGCGGAAGTTGGGAGGACTGATACGAATATCATGAAAGTCAATTTCTTCTTCTCATGACCAGACAGTTCAATTTACAATAAATCTAGACAGTCAAGACACAAATCATCGGCATATTCATCGCTATCCTCTCCCTCGTCATGACATGCTACAGGAAAGTGATCAAAAAAGGCTACAAGGACAGCAGCGAAAAGGCTTTCAAGATCATCTACCATGAATACAAGAATATCTACGATTATCAATACGATATTGAATTCTTTGAGCTGTCTTTGGCGCTAATATAACGTTCAATACGAAAGCACCCCCACGGTCTTCGAAAAGACGGTCAAGATCTGGACAAATTCGTGATGCTAGCACCAATGCACAGTCTACAGTGCTCAGCTTTCAAGTCCGGACAGACACCCAATGATCCTCTTGGGATAACTCAGTGCGCAAATCATGTTTAGCTCGTATGTCCTCACGGCATCCTGAACTTCAAACGGCTATGCGGCTTGATGAGAACACCACACTGCCGGAACCTCCGGGAGACATTTCAAAGAGAACAGTTGCAGAACTGCGAGCAAGGTCACTTCTAGGTCGATCCACTCTATTCATATCTTTCTGTTGGTATGCCCTATTGCCTAGCGAGTTAACATTGCTGACATCATAGAACAGACATTCTCCGAGGGAGAACATTTAAAGCTACCTCGAGCTCTATTTCTCCCCTCAATGACGGACTTTTACAATGGAATTACCACGCACATTCTTGGCAGGAGGACACGATTAAACGGATTTATACTTACAGTCTTTACTGAATCAATAACTACTTTACCTTTTCATCTTCATCTACATGGCGATTGACTGAAAATTCGTTTTCCCTTGGTGATAGTTCTTATTCGATTACCAAAGCAGAGGAAAAGGATAGGGGCCAACTTCACCGATTCAGACAGCCTCTAGTTTGTATATCGCCATTTTTAGCTTACATCCTATCACTCCAATTTCGATATTGATGCTTGAACTTCGTGGCAATGATCTTCATGTGATTTGTGAGGGATGGGTTCGATATTCCCCATTTCTCGACCTCGCAATGAGTCCACTTTGTCAGAGACCTGAACGTCGTGAGGTCTCCCTAAATGTATCTCTATCCTGGATGGGCATCCGTAGAGTTAGTAATTGCGCAGTTTCGCAGCATGTCAGCAGTCCTTGATGTTGCCATTGTATGTACTTCCATTGCCACTGAACAGATGCTGCAGGCTATCTCGCAGCTCCTTACCAACTTCGGATGTCGGATCGCATAGGTTGTGCGAGTTCGCCAGCTCATCGCAAATCATCCATCTAGTCTGCCCACTCTTTTTGCTCTGAACTTCCTGCCCCACTCTCCCTGCCCCAAACTTCCTGCCTCCACTACAATTTCTTGGAAGCACAATTTAGGAGCGACAGTAAAGGTATCAATGGGATGCAAATAATGCTGATTACATAAAACCAATCCCAAAATAAGAAATAAGAAATCATATAATTCAGTACAACGTAGTAATATTGTACTGGGAACAGTCCTTGCAATTCTTTTTTTGTCTTTAAAGTTAACATTGAACATGGTGTTAAGTTGACTCGATTGATGCTAAGACTCTTTCCATAGATGGCAACAGACTCATCAAAGAATCTACACTCGATCGAATGATGAAAGCTGCATCTTCGATACTATAATCATGTTTATTAGTAGGTCCATCATCCCCAATATTGTTCAGGTCAGAATAGTCTCCAAAGAGCTGCTGTTCAGTGCATTGCAACAGCATTATCAAGTCCTCAATCTTCTCACCCATTGTGTGGGTGTGATCAATTCGAGGTAAGATGTCTTGGACATAGGTCAGTGTAAGCAGCTACGATACTCTCTGAGTCACTTACCTCCGATTAGGACTCTGCTCAACGTGAACGTCAGGTCGAGGACAGCCTTTTGGAGGACTTCAGACTCTGCCAGAACCGCAGTCAGCTGTATCTCGTCGAATGTGATGCCCCAAAGATGAAGTCGACCCAGATCGCCCAGTAAGGAACGAGAAGAAGATTTGAAGTCAGGAGACCTTGCTATTTGAGGTTCCAAGTTCTTGAATAGCCTTGTAGATCGATGATACAGGACTGGTCCTAGATTGGTGATAGAAGACTCCATCCGAGCAAATGCTTTGGCATCTCCATCTCTATCGTGGTCTTCTTCGATAACCTCTGTCGAGCTGATCTCCACCCCATCAACTTTGCCCACACCATCACTCCCCGTCTTGATGGCCAGTTCGTTCTCGTCAAGTACCAGATCCTGAATTTGTACCACGCTGCCGGGGACACACTCGGCGATGTCTCTATGCACCTCCTGGTCAACAGGCTGAGACGAATTGGTAGAGTATACACCTCCTCCATTGTGCGGGCGAATCTTGGTCTGAAGGTGCTTGACATATGTCATTATCGACATAGTAGACTCAGTCGACGCAACGGAGCCCGCGAAACTTGTTCGTCTGTGCACTCCCGGGCGGGTACCCAAAAGGTCTGATGCTTTGCCATTCCATAGCTCTCCCGGTGACGCTTGAAGACTGTCATCCTTGCCCAAATCGACAATATCCAGCTCTTTATGAAGTTTGGTAGACCCTCTGTGGCTTAATGCTGTAGTACTCGCTACCGCCAACGCGAATAACCTCACGCCCAGCAAGATAGGTTTCTTGGCTCTCGGCATTCTTCTGTCATTCTAGAGCCACCGACACCCGCAAGAGATACATTGTCATGCTAGCTTGTCGTGGGCAGCAATGCAGATGACGAAATTGAAGCCAAGCGCGTCGGTGAGCGGGACACGCTGTGCTCATTTGAGACTTGAGGCTGACAGATTGTGAGGGCAAGTACCGAAGATGCGCCTCTTTGCGAACACTCCTAATAAGTAACAAAAGCAATTTGCGGGTTCCCTCAATGCAAAGGCTGTTGTTTGTGTTTCACTTGCCTGGGCTGCCGTATAATGCAGCTAGACCACCATGGACTTTTCACAGCCTCAGCCGCAATTTCCCCACCGATCGAGAACCTCAGCAGATGAGGCGATGGAAAACGCTCCAACTTTCATTAAACAATACATCGTAGATGGAATTTGCTGTATGTCTCGGGCAAATTACGCATTTCTTTGCTTGAATACCAGGCATGGCCGAACTCGCTGCTCTAGGCGTCGTGCTGGGAGTACTACCCCTCATTGTATCAGCAATCGAGGATTATGAGAATGTCTGTCGGCCGATCGGACATTACAGGAATTATGCTCTAGAATCGATCAAAGTTCAACAGAAATTAGGCATTGAGAAAGCCATTTTCATCAACGAATGCAAACTTTTGCTTCAGACAACGCTGAGTAGCACATCTCTCGCGAACCAGATGGTAGCGGACATCAAACATGCTGCATGGAAGGACCAAGGCCTGAACGAGACTCTCACTAAGTGTATCGCCAATTATGAAGGCTATTTCAACAAAATTATCGAAGATATTCGAGCTCAGGTACTGGGAATCGAACACTTATGCCAGGAGTATGGGATCTTGGACAAGGAAGTAGTCACAACTAGTACGTCCAAGTCTCCGGTAAGTCATGAGCTAGCAATGATCGTCCATGGATAGTAACACACACTCCAGCAGACTAGCCATTCCAATCACAGGCAGTGGCTACTGCATGTTGGCAAGAAGCTCAAATATTCATTCGGGGCATCTGGACTCCAAGAAAAGCTTCTTGAATTGGAAGGCTCGAGACAGCTCTTCGTCGATGTTTCAAGCCAGATTAGAGAGTCTATCAAACTATCCTCTGCACACGCTTTACCAGCAAAGCAGACAAACCCAGGCTCTCCCAAGACTTCAGGATACGAGGCTATCCAGGAAGCTTCCAAAGGCCTATATGCAGCCCTCGAAGAAGCTTGGGATTGCCACGATGAGCACTCACTACACGTAAGGCTGGACACAAATCAAGTTTCAAAATCTTCACGGATCCGATTCCATCTCGGTCTGCGGCTAGGGAATGAACAAGGTCCGACATGGGTTGCCATTGAGTCAATATGTAAGACTTCCGAAGAACTTCTGCCGCAAACGACTCCACTTCAATGTCCTATAGCCAAGCAGACGTTTATGAACGCCTTCGGAATTCAAGATATGAAGCAACGTTCTATCCATGTCGAAAGTGTATCCCGTGTTCGTATTCAACGAAGTTCAGCATGGCACTGTCCTTGGTCTGAGGATATTGAGTCCAAGACAACCCAACAATTCGACCCTTCACATATGAACATTTCCATACGTAGCAAGATCTGTCATCAGTTACAACAGCATTTCGATGGAGATATACCATCCCCGGAATCTGAAAAATGCCTCGGGGTACTCGAGCCAGATTCGAAATATCACCACCTCGTCTACACAACGTTTGAACAACATTCAACGTCTCAATCTCCAGTATCACTCTCTCATTTCATGTCACCGGATGTCCGACAGTCCCCATTAGGCGATTTCAATCTATACGAAAAGTTTCGATTAGCAAGACAGCTTTCCGAAGCCGTGTTACACTACCACCCAACTCCTGTCATGAAGGCGCCTTGGGCAAGCGAAGACGTGGTATTTTTCGGCAATGATTTTACGGCTATAGAACAGCGACCATCCGTTGCCAGCCCACATTTGAAAGTCCAGATCAGAAACAGACATGCTCTGTCGCACTCGGAGCAGGGCATTGATGACGAAAGTTTCAGTCCTCGAAATCCCCACCTATTTGCACTCGCTCTTCTTTTGTTTGAGATCGGATATCAGACATCTATTGAGGACCTTCATAGACAATTCAGATCCTCGATGACGCACTCAGACAAGCAAAGACATTACAATCTTGTACAGAAAGTGTGCAAGAACTTTATGAGTGCAAAGACTGGGATACCCTACAAAGTCATAGTCTACAAGTGTCTCAACTGCGATTTCGGAATAGGTGAAGATGACTTGTCGAGTTCAGTGCTTCAAAGAGCATTTTATGAACATGTTGTCTGTGCTTTGGAAAAGCTTGAGAAGGAGCAAGAGGAGATATATGGTGCAGAATTGTCTTGAGATTGGAAGTGGGTGGATGCCTGGTACTTGTTCAAAGACAGGTTGCTCCTATACATAGCCTGCCATACTTAAAAAAAAGATGTGCTGAGAAGTGCTTACAAGATCAGGAAAGGGTATTCCTTCAGTATGCCCAACATAGATGTCTCCACGCTTATAGCACGCATATCAAAAGGAGGTCTTCAACTGAGCAGTGTACAGGGCGGATAATTTATATCTCAAATGGGAAATGGGAAATGGGACTATCAAGCGTATACTAAACAACTTTTGTAATTGGAGAATCGGACTCTTCTGAAAGAGGAAGAACGGCACGCATGCTCATTGCACTTTGAAGCAAAGCCTACATAAATCAAGAAAAGTAAATACGAATATCTTGCCACAACTTGATACTAGAATTGATGGTTCAGACTTTCAATTCCATGAACCCCAATTAAGATAAAAGTCTACCCTCTAATACCCATTGCCTGTGAGTGAAATATTACCCCCACGAACGAGCTCGACAAGGCTACAGACTAGGCTGAACACCAGCCTCGTCGAAAAACAACGAAAAACAAAATCGGGTTTTCCAACTGAACAAGCAGACCAACAACTAACAATGACGCGCACAAACCAACAAGCAAGAGGACAGCGAAACCGCGCATCGAAGACAGAAAATGGAAGAAAGCTCGACAGCGAGAACAAAGAGCTGAACCAGCAAGCTCGAAAAGCAACCAAAGCCGCGAAGAGAGCGAAGCCCTCGAAGGACGAGACTTCGGGACTGCAGCAGGCTGAGAAGACCAATGGGGATATTTTAAACGCCAAAGAAGACACTTCCATGTCCATAGATGAAGGGAATAACTCAGCGCAGACAGCGCAGTCCGTCTCGAACGAACACTCATCCATGAACACAACAACCAGTATAACAATCTCCCCCGACCTCGCGAGATCCCACGAAATCACAACAATGAGCATCCTGAGCTCTTCACAAATCCAACAGCGAGTCACTCGAGCACTGTCGATTCTATCCGTGTACCCCGCTGTTGCGCCTGCGAAACCGGCGGTGGTGGTGCTGTATGCGAAAGCGAGGGCTGCTGCGAAGATGATTTCTATTGCTGAGATTGTGAAGAGGGAGATTGCTGGGGAGGAGGGCAAGTGGTTTCAGTATAATCGTGTTGAGGGGGTTGTGGGGGAGCTGAAGTCTAAGGCGGGTGGGAAGGGGAAGGAGAAGGAGGATGTGGATAAGAGCATGGAGGATGTTGAACAGAGTGATGAGGAAGAGGAGGCTTTTGAGATTATGAAGACTCCATTTGAGAGGGCTATTGAGGGGACTGCAAAGGTAAGGGCCGTACCGGTTATGACGATATGCTTGTCGCGGGTACGGGTTGAGAGTTTACGGAGGGAGTATGGGTAAGTCTCTTATTACATTCCGATCGTGATGTTTCTACCCTAGGCTTTTTCTTCGTTTTGGAAACTTGTTACTAATATGGAGAACAGTGAGCAAACAAATGGTCTGGATGTACCAAAACCATAGATTCTTCTCATTGTGAATGTGGAGTTTGGTCGGATCAGGCGTTTGGTAGTGGAGTCTGCAGTTTTTGCTTCCGAATTTTCAGATACCCACAATTGTAAATGTTTTCAACGAAAACCCAATGGGTCCATTTGGGCTCTCATGAAAGATATACTTCATAAAAAGCTATGGTGACAGTCTTTGGTCATTTCATTATTCCCTGGCCCAAACGCCAAATGGTTGCCTTCAACCACCCTCCTATACACAATCTCATAATCCAAGCTCGCTTTTTCAATGCACTCCATGTACAAGTTTCCTCCACTTGCATCTTCGTTCTCGCAGCACATGTACAAGTACATCCATAATCCCATAATCGTATGTGTCCGTTAATCTCTATACAACATAACACCTCGGATGATGAAATTGAAGATGATGGCTCCCAGTAGGCAGACAGCGAGGAAGGTTGGGCCAAATTTATCGTCGAATCCTGCTTGTCCCCTCTGTCTAATTGATTTCGCTCTCCAGTGGTAGGTATATAATGCATATGCCCCGCAGAAGATGGCAACTAATCCAAACACGCATGCTGAGATGTAGCCGATCTTATCACTGAAATTCAGCATGCCAACTGATAGTGCACCGATAATGACGCTGAAGTTGAGCCATGACAGGAAGGTTCTCTCGTTTGCGAAGAAGACTTTGGGCTCGACTCGAGTTGGAAGAGCAATTCGCTTGCCTGAAAATAGTGTTAGAGAAGAGCATGATTGTTCCTTAAGTCAATTGAGGGTGGAAGGCTGTTCAATTGCTAGACAACGAGAGTTGAACATACCTGGTGCTGTCTGAAGAAGAGGTTGGCTGGACATCTTGAGAAGGGTTGGTATGCAAGGATGGTTTGGATCCCTGTGGTCGACGATTGGCTGATATGACTCGAAGTTCTGAGCTCGCAATTGACTTTTGTGAAGTTTAGAAAGCTTGTGAGTTTGGATGCAAGCTTCTGAGGCTCTATCGGTATGGAGGGGCAGATTTTGAGAAGCAGAAATCGAAGGTTTTAAAGTCAGCTTCCCAGGGTTCACTGAAAGCTTTTGTCTGCTGAACAGAGACAAGGTGGGGAAGAAACGTGCTCTATCTACGTGATATCATAGGCTGGACTCTTTAGGTTTTGAGAGAAATGTGGTTGCTAGGCCAATTGAAGTATAGGCCGGTCTTTGAAGCTTTTTGCCTATAGCAGTTAGACTGCTAATTCCCCAGACTACTGCAGAATCCCGTGACGGGACGTTTGGCTTGACAGGAGTGGTTTTCCAATTGCAACTACGAAACTCTCTTTTCCCACATCGACGAGCTTAATTTATCGATTGAATATCCTTGAGAACATTAGACAATATGGCTACTTCATCTGCCACTCCAGTACGTTTTTGCCACCGCTTTGCGCATGCCATTGTTTGTTGATGTTTGTTGACTTGCCCCTCATAGCCCATCTCGTACACAAGACTTAAGCAAATCGCGAATGATGTGAGTTTTGCCAGGGAGGAAAGGATCCCACCGAGATACTAACTCCTCTCTAGGCATGCCAAAATGCTTTGGGTAGTGCTGAGTTCTATGAGCACACGAAGACCGAGACCTGGAATACGACCATAATTGTTTGTTTTCTCCTCTTCTCCAGCAACAGCTTCCTAACATGCGACCACGATAGAACTCGATTCTTCGCTCCTTAATCTCGGAATCCTCTCCTGCTGGTGGAACTCCTTCATACAAATATGCTGTGAACAGTACTATTATCCAACATCTCGTTCCCACCTCCTCCTTGAATCGAGCAAAAGCCACGCAAGAATCAGCGCCCTCCGATGCGACAGTCACAACCAGCGATGTGAAGAGTGAAGCTACGGGCACTGATGGAAAGCCACATGTTGGACGGAGAGGAATGCACAGTGCAACAGGAGCATATTGGAATGAGAAGACGGACGGGATGTGGAGCTTCAAGTATGAAGGAGGAGAGAACAAGGGCCTGGACGTGGTAATAAGCGTGATTTGGATTGCGATATAGGCAGGAGATTCAGAGATTGATTTCGGGCGGAGCCAGACGACTTCCATTGCGGGGTAGCATTTATTCGGAAATTGGGGAATGGTATACCCAAGGCGGATTGTCAGGTGTTCATCTGTTGACAAATGTCTACAGTACATTGCATATCCAATGATCTGTGAGAGTACCATAGAATCATTCGAAGCTTTGACATTCGACTTCTGCGTCAGAATCAGTCTTGTCTGGCCCTAGTCTGCTTATTATTCTGTGCTATTTTACTCTTGTTTCTGTGGCGTTTTCTTTTTCCAAGGAGCGGACACCGGCAAGTCCTTGCCTTGTCCACCCCACGATACGCTCAGGTACAATTCGGTAATTTATCCTATCGTGAACAACGGGGCATTGCAACAATTGGTTCTTTGAAGATGTCCGTGTTTAAGCGCTGACAAACCCTGTCCACGCTGCCAACACATTTTCGGGAGAGGGAGGGACAATACAATCAAGTGACATTGCAAATATTTTGGAGCTGTCTCCTGACATACTCGTGTTGACTGACTGATGAACAGCCGGACTACCTAGGTACTGGCTTGGCAAGAACAGGTAAGGGCCGCCTTCTGGATATACTTCGGGATCAGGTCTTCACCGCTCCGGCACTAAAAGGGCTACCCATTTATTCATTAGAGTACTACTCTTTTTTTCAAGACACTCAACCACCTCGAATTGAAGCCAAGAACGCGCCTGTATCCCTTCATCGCGTCGAATACGGTGGCGCACAATCAGAATTGACTTACAAGAAACATATTCATACGCCAAAATGCACTACTATTCAATGTAAGTCTCCTTAGGGTACCTAGATACCTGCGATAATTGCGCTGGTCGCTGATACTTGCTCAGCTTCAGAGATTTGCCCAGCTTCGAAAACCTGGGCGACGATGTAATTCACAGGATTGTTGAGAAACTCGATATCCAAAGTGCCTCCAACTTAGCGCAGACCTACAGATCTTTGGCCTGGATCTGTATTCTCGTTCACGGATATGGCGCCTTGAGATTCACCTCCACTGCTGGACCGACAGTAACGAGCTCTGCTCCTGCCGCCCCCTCAGTTTCGTTCGCCGCAACCACCTCCACGAGCAGCACAGATTCTGAGTCTCATGGCAATACTGACACCGACATGACTTCATCACCAGAAGAAGAAGACTGGGAATTCGAGATTACAGCTGACCTGATTCAACGTTTGGCCCTCATTCCCAAGCGAACTCAGGGTCCTGCTCTGCCCAATCTCCCCACAGAATTACAACTCGAGATCTTCAGCTACCTTGACCAAATCGATTCCTGCTGTCTCGGCCTCGCAAGCCCCAATCTCTACGTCGTCTTCCGAGCCATTCATGGAACCAAGATGCCTCTCAACACTCGACGAATTGGTCCGAACAGACTGGAGTCTGCTTGGGAGGTTGTCGGAAAGCAGGAATGCCAGCAATGTGGTATCTACCGCTGCGAGCTCCACCAACACATCAAGACTTGGATGCCAAAGGAGTTGGAATACTGCGCTATGAAGCAAAACTTCGGACTGAGAGCAATCGACGGCGCCAAGGAGCACTGCTTTCGAGGCAAGCCAAGCAAGCCAAAGCGTTGCGGTCGCCACCCTTTGAGAACTACATCTGTTCACCAAGATGATGCCTCCTTCAGCCTTCCATCAACAGCTTCTTGAAGATGTGTTCGTCACGCGATTGCATGAAGCGAGTTTGAACGGTCGAGTTTAGTGTGGTCCTGAAACATGGGATGGGGTTCAATGATCGACACTTTTTCGCTACGCAAATGGATTTCAGGGTGCATTAGCGACGGGAGATAAGGTTCTAGATGATGTGCATGGAAAAGTCTGCATGACTCGCAATGCATGAACTTGGCGTTGGGACTGATTGCAATTGATTCTTGCTTTTTGAGGAAACTGAGCACTGGGGCGTACTGGAGAACGATAGTTACTGGCGTTACTACTTTTTCTAATACCTTTGCTTTGTCCACAGAGCCGTATGGCAGAATTGTAGAGATAGAGAGATACCATCGAGCAATCGAAACATGATTTCCAAAGTGGCGAGACCCAAATTCTTGCATGTTGCATGACTCTCGCCACCGTCGCCCGATTCACATTTTCTGCGAGTAAAGTCAGCTCAGATCTTTCTTGATCGCCACTCTGGGTTGCAACAGCCAAGTATGATTCCGAATGCCGAGGAAAGAGAGTCAAATCGCGGTCGGTTCCAGGTCTATTAGGCAACTTGAGGACCAAACGCGCCTCTTTTATCTGATGCTCCGCAGGCACAACAACCTTGATAAGCAACTTTCAGAGTACGAGAAACGGTTGCCATCTCAAGTGAGTCAAGTATTTTGCATCAGCACCCGCTGGCAAGTCTTTTCACAGTCTCCAACATGTGTTGATGTTACATGCAAAGTTTTTTTTATTGCTATTCATATCAGTTTACACAGGACCCTATCGGCTTACGATAGAAGTACAAGCTTTATCAGTCATCATCTCGCGACATAGAAGTCTCGCGTTCTCTTATTCGCAGCACATCATGCATTATTTACACGCTCAATAAGCCTACCCGAAACACAAAGAGATACAAAAGGCCTAACATGGCGACTTAATCAAATACCCAATTTCTCAAAGACCTCCTCCCAAGTCTCATACCCTCCAACAACTTCAAGAAATTCTTGCAAGGTCAACTTTGCTCTCAATGGATCTCCGTCCACGATCAGCGCCTCCCAGTCCAACTTCCTCAATCCAAGACTCGTTCTTTCTTCTTCTACAATCTGGTTCTCTCTCCACTCTTCCCGCTTCTCGATATGGATCAGGATAATTTGTGCTCTGCACCTCCTGCAGACATTACCAACACTGCCTTCGCAGATTTTCTCGACAATTCCTTTCCAGTCGGTCTCTTTTGCCGCGATCGCTTTTTCGTAGTCGGAGGTCGTGAATGCTTCATCAGGCTTGTACTTTGCGCAACTTGCGCAGTTCTTCAAATCTCCCCAAATGTTTTCTCCCTCGAGTAACTTACCAAGGGGCTTGCCCCATTGGATGGAGGGAGGAGATTCATGGAAGATGGAGTTGTACCAACCACGGTACATGTATTGGTTACACTCCGAGATCTGCATACGCAAATCTAGTGGCCACCACTTAATCGGATAGAACTTCGTACCATCAGTTCGAAATACATCCCTCACCATATGATAGACCGCGTAGAAGTATCTACTGGTAAGGCCCAAGCAGACCTGCGTAACGGGATCCTGATCCATCTGCGCTATGATATTCATATGTAGTTCGGTTGGCAGGTTGTGGAACAATTTCCGCCATCTTTCGTTCTGCCCGTGTCGTGGTGCCCGCGCGAGGGCATTTTCCGTGTTCCTGGTTCATTTAGTGGTTCTCCTGCAGGGGAAACTGCATTTCGGAGGGGAAAGTGACTCACGCGGTCGTGCTTTTGCTGCCTGGAGTGATAGCCGAGTCCAGTTCTGGGACCGTGGTGGTCTTAGTCTCGGCGAGGGTGAGGCTGCACATCGTGCCTCACGAATCTTCAGATACTTTTCTTCTTTTCTAATTGCGAGAACAGTCGTTCTTTGGTCCAGAAATATGCCCGTGGCCAGTCCTGTGCGGCACGATATGACCGAGTGACTCGTGCGGGCTTTGGAAGATATTCTCGATGTTAATTTGTTCCGGATACAACTTCGACCGATGACTTGGAGTAAGGGGATGTCGAGGGCTTTATGTTATAGAGAAGAGAAACACTTATCTCAGGCAGACAAAGGGGCGTAGGGCATCCGAACACTTCATTGTGCGTGATTCACGGGAGGTCTAAGTTCTGAATGTCCTAGCCTATCCTTTTCAAAACTTGGTTCAATGACTCCACCGAGTACCAGAAAGGCCACAGATCTAGAGACAAGCGCCCGGCACTAGCTGAAATCAACCTTTGTTTGATCTTCTCAAGCGCAGGCAGCGAGGTTTGTCGAGTACTCGTGGTCAGTTCTAGGGAAGTCGGGTCGGAGCGTGAAGTCGGCACCAAGGACAGCCCTGGATATTTCACGACTAGAAGATTAAAGGAGCACCAAACTTCTAGTGCCATCTTACGTTCTTCATGAATTACATCGTATTCAAACAATTCCTGCTTAGACGGGGCCTAGCACAAGTGGGGAGAAGTGTCATTCCCAGAATGGGTACATCGCCTAAATAACATTTGCATAACATTATAGAGACCTTCACCTGACTGGATTATGTCGTATGACGAGTACCAAATGCGTCCAGCCTAATGGAGATGTTCTGTGAAATTGACTAATTTTATCTAAACACAAAAGTTGAAGTGAGGCATTCGGATCTCAACCTAGTACCTCATCTCGTACCACGAATTGCTCCTTCCCTTACAGATTGCTCTTCGTATCTCCAACTACCATCTCCAAAACCTCGAGCACTTGCTCTTTTCTTATCAGTGGCACGGGATTCACCTTTAACCATACATCTTTCAAACAATTTTCGGCCAGAGCATCGAGCTGATTCCTTCCCACGCCAACATCTTTCAATGTCCTCGGCATTCCGAGCTCAGAAATGATTGCACCCACCACGTCACCGGCATCAGATCCCTCCTCTGTCAATCCTCTCTTTTTCAATACTTCTGCCACAGTCTCCTCTGCCCAAAGAAGGTCCAGAACTTTCTGTTGTGGTTTTCGAACTTTCTCGTCACCGTATTTGAAGTTATACTTCAAGATCGCCGGTAGCATGACGCAACTAGTCTCTCCATGACCAACACCCAACGGTCCTAGCTGATGTCCGATGCCATGCGAACCTCCCATTGGTATTCCTTGGCTCATGCCTTTCATTGACTCGACCACACCTAGCATCTCTTTCAATCTTGCATCCTCGTTCTTCCAGTCTTTCTTCGTGATAAGCAAGCTGGGTACAAGAAGCTTCAGACCCTTCGCAAAACCTTCATCGCGTTCTGCTCCAGGTTTGACCAATGAACAAAGACCTTCAACGCAATGATCAATGCCCCGAACCCCAGTAGATAGCCATATCCTCTCTGGTGTCGAGATACTCAGGGCTGGATCTAGAATGACGATGTCTGCTCCTATATCTGGGTGGGTGAAGAGAACTTTGTGGTTGTTTCGGGTATCGGTTCCCCCAGCTATGATTGAGTATTCTCCACCTGAGAGAGATGTTGGAATGTTGATTACTGGAAGCTGAGGTGGTTTGAGACCTTCTGTTTTGGCTTCGGATGCTAGTCTTGCAAGGTCATCTAGACTCGAGACGTTGTTTGCCAGTGCCTGTTGTGCATCATGTCAGTGAATCTGTATGGGATTGGGTAATATTATGAAATTGTGTCCTCGACAGCTGAGTGCAATCTCGGAGATCTACATCACTCTCCAATAGAGAATACGCTTAAATTCCCACGGAAGAACGCAAAGGGGTAGGACGAGAGTAGACTTACATATTTTATGATTTTGGCACCATCTGTCAAAGCTACAAGGGAGAATCAGTTAGTTAGTCTCAATTGAAGAACCAACAAGGCGCTCGGATACATTGAAGTCTTCAATGTGGCTTTTGAGAAACAAGTGCAAATGAGGGTCCTCCCGACTCAATCATACAAGAACAGCATGTTGTTGCAATGAGAATACTCACACCCCGCCCCAAGTGTAATAATCAGATCAACCCCTTTCTTTTCCATATCTTTTACGATATCCACAATGTCGTCCCCTATCTCTGAGTCAGCAGACTTCTCTTACCTCCCTCCTGATAAACCCTCTTGTATGCCCCAAGACGAACATGATGATATCATAGTAAAACTTTCATCGGAGGAACAGAAGGATCCATTCTCATAAATTCGGGGACGGTTGGCTTACATGGCGTGTGTGGTTTTATTCCCTTTCTCACTCCCACAATTTTGTCCCCGAGGGCCTTTTGTAGCCGAGTAAAATTATCTGTCTTGCTGATAGATCCAGAGACAATTACATAGACTTTGGATTCATGGAACGTATTTGTAATATGGTGCGCGCAAGCTTCTGGAAAGGAGAGTCCTGTAGAGATGTGAAGTTTGGTGGCAGGGGGAAATACGGGGTAGTATGATTCTCCTTGGGCCGCCATGATGTCTGTAGTTATTGATAAAAGTGTTGATTCTAATAATGACCTCCAGAGTATAGATGATGGAATAGAGATTTATAAGGCTTATGAACTGGATGAATCGTACTCGCCCTAACGCCGGTGAAGTGCGAGTTCATCCGAAATGTTTGTAATCCCTCCCCGTGATGCGAAACCGGAAACCCCGCAAGGCATGGTAATCCCTCAACCAAGGAGTTGTGAGTTCTTCTTTCAACGAATCTTGCTATCGATTTTGAAGAATTTATTCGAGTGTACCCTGAAGGTACAGATAACCACAGATTAACTAGGCTCTGTTGGACGAGACTGAACCGCGGAGCCTGCTGTCCCTGCGAGGAAGTGCTAAAGGAAGCTATTCGGAACTCAACTACGAAGGCCCCATGGTTTCTTAGAGGAGGATGGAAATATCTGAGGGCTAGATGTTTAGTATCCGTACTAAAGGTGTGTCGCGTTTGTGAGTATTGACTACTTGCGCCTGTGTCTACCACACAGAACAAGAGCGTTAGGCAAGCTCGCATAACGGGGCTTTTTGGCTTTGTACGGTGCGAGAACCCCGTCAACAGTATCCCTCAGATACTTGTAGCTTCGGAGGTTTTTGCTATATTAATGGCATGACGAATGTGCAAGTTGTTAATGAAGAAGGTATTAGTAATGATCGAGTAGTTGAAGTCATATTCGTCTTGTTGAAAGTCCTACATCAAACCGTAATCCTCCCAGAGATTCTGATTCATTGACAAACATGGGAGAACTTTGTTAACATATCAGAATAAAAGTTGTGGCTAAAGATTTTGTCACAATGACCTCGTCGTCGTTTGACACCTCAAAATAGAGAGTGACGCCGGAGATTTAGTTACGATGAACTCCAAGCGAGAGCGGCTTACTCACTCAGATGTTTCAATTCTCGGAGAAACATCCGAGGATTTACGGAAACAATGCTGCGAAGTGCAACAAAAGTTGCTGACACAGCAGTTGATTGGACAGCAGACCTGTCAATAAAACTGCCAAGCTGGCACAACGATAATGCGGACGAAGGATATTTGCAAAAATAATCAATGATCGGCAAACACAGTAATCAAGGAAGAAGTACGCTGGGAAGATAATCCGATTCATGTAACTGTAATAAATCACAGTTTAAACCCACCTGCGCCATTGATAGCTGCTGATGCTTTGACTTTGTTCCCTGACATGTCCCGAATGTCTCCTTTTCTCCCAATGACCTTAACACCGCCCTTCTTGAGATCTCCCAGAGTATCTTTCCTCTGCTTTGTCTTTTTGCTCTCAGGTCTCTGGTTAATTTCCTCACCACCACGCTTCTTGATCCTCTCCTTTTCTCTTCTTCGTCTTCTCAATTTCTCTTCTCTCGTCATCTCCTGTCGCGCAACAGGAGCACCACTCCTCGGTACAACCTCCCCCTTTTCGAAACTATCTTTCTCCTTGCCAGCCTTGTAGATCTCTTGAGGAGCGAGCATGCTCTCCCCACCATTGATCCCACTCGCGGTTGTAGGTTGCGCATCCTCCATTGCAATTGTGGCCACATCCGAAACAACAGTCAAGCTTGGGGCTGCAGGTTTTGGCTTATAATGCCAGCTGCTAAGTGTATCTAACTTGGCGCTGACGTCTTTCCACATGGCTTCGATTTCCTTTTCTTCCTTCCGCATCTTCTCATCGGTCTTGCTGATATAAGTGTCTGGGTTCGTTGCTTTGACGTGTTCCTCTTCATACACCTCGGCGAGACTCTGTTGTGGCTTGCTGTCATCAAGTTCGAACAGACCTCTCCGAGTGCTCGCAGGAGTGTTCAGAGAGTCAGGACGTCGACGAATGACCTCGTCGAATTCTTGTGCCAAAATCCGTCTCTTGATAAGTTCTTCGATACTCTCACTAATCTCAGCTGTAATCTCTGGTACTGGCTTTCCAGTGCGTTCAAAGTCCAAGTCTTCTTCCAGCAAGGAATTCATGGGTCGATCTGCTGCCCGTGCTTCGCCAGCAAGTGTCCACTGTCGCTTGGCCACCGAGGCGGCTTCGAGGCGTCGAATTTCCTCTGCTAATTTGGCTTGTCGGCGTTCATGGGCAGATTTTCTTGATTTGGGATCTGCTGCATCAACATCTGAAAGGGCGTCTTCCAAATTATCTTGATCTGAGAGATCATCGAAAAGATCTCTTCGAACATCAGCTACAGCTCTTTCCATCTCAGCTGCTTCGTCTCCAGGTTCGGCAGCCTCAGATTTACGAGCTTGTCTTTCCAGGTAGTTTGATTGCATCTCTCCTTTGCCAATCTTTCTGGGTGGCGGTTCGAAGAAGTCTCTGTAAAGAATATCGTTGGTATTATCACCAGCGGCATCAACATCTGCTTCCATTTCGTCGTCCTGCTCGCCATCATCACTGTCACCTTCTGGAGCATTGAGATCTGCGTTACCAAATGTCGGACCGTCCTCCTCCTCGTCCTCATCGTCGACATCTTCACCTTCCTCGTCGACATCCATTGCCTTTGCACGTCGTGAGCTTGACACAGGCTTCGCGGGCATGGTAAGCGGATCGGCATCCCAATCGATATCTTCTTCATCACTCGCCTCGCCCGTATATGGGTCTGCAGCTGCATCTTGTCGTTCCAGAAACTCTGTCTGCTTGTTGAAATCGTCAAGGGAGAAGAATCCGTCATTAAGTCCGTTCGGATCTTCAACAAAGACACCGGCTGCTTCTTCATCATCTTCATCGTCGTCGTAATCGTCTTGGCCCTCAAGACTATCATCAAGCCCTTCTTCGTCTCCATCGTCTCCAAGACCTACGGGGTCCACGTCCGACCCTTCCTCGTTTTCAGATTCTTCGGCAGCTCCCTCGTCATCCTCTGCACTTTCATCGTCAGAGCCAATCTCAAAGCCATCTTCATCGAATTTCAATAGTTCCACTCCGCCGTCTTTCTCTTGCTTCTCATCACTAAGGGCAACCTCTCCACCAAACTCTTCTAGAGCTCTCTCAGCATCCACCCTTAATGCGTCGATAACTCTCCTAGCTTGTTCCCAGACCTGATCGACCTCAAATCCATCAATGTGTAATTTTCGTATCTTCAAGACCTCGCCCTCATCTTGCACAACCTCCCCGCGTTTTCGCTTGCGCCTCGACTCCTTCAATCTCTCCGCTTGCTCATCTCCCAGCTTGCCAGCAAATGCATCCAGTGTCTCTTTAGCAAATGCCAAGCTGACCTGGGGTAACGAGGACGGCGGTGCTATGAAAGCATGTCTATTTTCCGGCGCAAGAGCGGCTAATATACTGTTCGCAATTGTGGTCCCATCGACGAGATTCTTGGATGCATTTTGGGTCGACTTCGAGGGTGGTGGAAAGGCGGTCATGGTATGTGAAGTCGAGGTGTTAGATGATGTGGTACTGCCTGGATTGGCCATTGCTGCTGGGGTTACAGCTATGGTCACAGAGTTTTGCTTGCGATGAAGATTTTATTTCTTATCGGGTTAAGCGCGGATCGTGAGCTCTTCTTATCACACGTGACTGATTAGATTTCTGGTCTAACCTGATTGGATTTTTGTTCTAGTGTCAACCTTTGAAACTTCTTCCAAGGCTTTCACATAACAACAGCTCTAATCATTCCGTATGAGCAATAAGTTCTTGCTGTCCAGATGTGAGAGAGAGCGGAGTACACCGTCTGCCCAATTGGCTTATACTAACTCACTGTTCCACTCTCCATCATTGTATGGCAGTGTCAAATTTTGCGTCACCATACCCGCGGAGTTGAAAGACATTGACATTGGTCTGGTCGCTTAATCATTCTTACTTCGAGACTTTCTGTTGATTCGTTATCTCACATATGTCTGAAAGGAAGCAATCGCTCCACTCTTTCCCGAGCATGTGGCATGCAATGCAGCACGACTGGGGCCTGCTAGCGGGAAAACAAATCCAGCGGTTGCCTTAGTCAAGTCCCATCTTCAAGTTGTGAATTTAGCTGGGACAAGCATCCGACTCCGAGATCGAGACTAAAGACTCAAAGATCTTCCGTTCTCAGCCGTCCCGAAACGAGCAAATCTGCAATGTAGTTAAACTGGATGCGCTGCCCTACTCGGGATGGACTTGTGGTATGTCTGCTTCCGCGGTCGCAAAGAATCCCATGTACTGTTCTCGTATTCAGCCGCTGGTGGTCCTGTGGGATGAGACTTCATGGGTACATGCATTTCAATCTCCCATTTTCAAGCACGAAGGGTCCGGGTCCGGTTGCCGGCGATGAGATACATAATACACGAAATCCAGATATTTGATTGGAGAATGGCTCAACGCCCGCGAGTTGTGTATCTGCTGCCCTGTCGGACATTGTGAGACATACATGCGTCCTGGCCGTTGATGGTGGGGTCGTGTGCTCACGACAAAGTTGCTCGCGTGACAGATTGCTGCTTTCAGCTTGGAGAATTCTGACTGCAGAATGCGACCCATCGACATGCTCTGGAACGAGCAGCTGGCTATGACAGAAGTTGCCCTCATTGTGTAGTCTTGATCTGCAATACAGGAGCCAAATACGTCTGTCTGGAACTAACAAGACTTTGGCAAAGTGTCTAGCAAATTAGAGGCTGGGAATTTCCCACTCAGAGCAGCGACCAGAAAGCCTTCTACCAATAAAGGACCTAGAAATCGGGAGGCGGGGTCCTTTGGAGGCTTAACCCTCACCTGCACCCAAGGAAATAATCGTTGTTCGGTCCAGCCTTTATGGTCGTACGTAGTTTGCATATGGAATCTTTTTCCCTTCCCTTGCATTGACAAACTTAGATCCGGCTTGCTTTATACCGAATGCTCCAATGGATGAAGCTCGCTCTCTCTGCAGTCCGTCCCACTCTGCATCGCCTTATCGTCGAAGCTGCAGAACGGCTCTCAGCTTCCTGAGTGCACAATCAGATGCCAAATTGCCAACACACTCGCGAATCCGAGATAGGGAATCAGCAAAACTATGTGTATGTAATTGATCTTTGAGTTCATGGAAATTGGCAAGGAAGGCGGAGAAGGAAGCCCGGTGGGCACAAGTTTTCTCGAAAGACTCGAGCCTTTGTAAAGGCTTTTGCTTGAATATAGGGCTCATTAATGTTTCCCGCCATCTGAGCCTGGAGGTTCAGAGAGCGACAAGTATAATACAAGTACATGGACCGGTCAATATCATAGAAAAGTACATCCCCTCAACTAGTACGAAGCATCGCCAACACTTACATGACGCCGCGTAGAGTTGCATCAACAGTTGAACACGGAACTTCCTGAAGAAAGTAAGGACCAGCTGCCGAACAGTGACACTCTTCGAGTAACCCAGATCCCAGGATACCACCCCCTTAGAAAAGCTTTGGGTCTACTGTACGGCAGCGGCATCTCAATCCGTCTGCAGTCTCAATGGAACCGGTCTCTTCTCCGCACGCATAAGTGACACCATGAACATGACAATGTACGACTGATAAAGTAGCATCAGCTGTCATTTGTGGCCATCTCTCCTCGCTACCTCATGGTGACTTTCTCCACCTTTTTTTGTGAAGTGTAATATAGCCGGTGGGAAACAGCCGGTGAGGACTTTCGGGTTCAGTGGGGCCATGTATTGCCGAGTTAAAGTAGCTTGAGACCGTTGAATGTACTTTATACCTTAGGAGTTTGAAGAAGAGAATGCCGGACTCGGTAGTCTGTAGAACTAAAAGATGGGCACGATTCTAGGTACAACGGTGGGCGCCGTGAAGTTAATTGCGCCGGGGAGTTTTCTGTCAAGTGTCAAGTATTAAGATCAATCTATCCCGCCCCAGCTTTGGCTCTTTGTGATCTGTAATTTTCATCAACAACGCGGGTTTCCCAATATCACCACCCACTTTGCCCCCCACCTCCGAACATCGCATTGCATTTGCTGCACGTTGTTGCACCCCTCCAAGAGCTCCAGCCACAATAAGCCACCACACGGCAATAAAATTCTCAAACGGCCCCAAGACGGGACTCGAATTTTGGCCCTTGTCCAATCGCAAATTCGATCCGTCCACCTGCAGCTCAGAAGAGTCTTCAGCAAATTTCTTCTTGGACCTCGCATACGCATGTGCTTGGGTCGTAGCGATTACAGGACAGTCCCCGCTGAGGGGCATACAGTACATAGATACGGCTTTCCAGTGGATTCGAAGAGGCAATCGCTCTTCATCGCAGCGTGAGAACCGTTCACTGATTTTCCTGGTACATCCAGATCTCCCAGGTGCAATTGCGCTGTATCTTCAAAGGGTCCATTGGTCTTTGTGAACGTCCAGTAGCAATCTTCGAAGCTTCTCGGGACCTTGATATATATATATATTCAGTCGAATCTCATTCCAAGTTGACGCTGCCAAGCGAAACTCTATCCTATCCCAGGACGCAAGAGCTTCCCTGCCGGTCGATAATTTCCCTAGCTCTCTGCAAAGCATATCGACGTGAACAAAGTTTCCCTGCTTGCTTGCTGCCCGGCGGGTCGCGCAGTTTTCTGCACCCCATATATCCTTTGCGTCCCCATTAATTGGTCCATCATCTTATCTTTATACAATTCACTGCTCGGGGTGAGACTTCCGCACAAAGGGCCGTTGTTACCCGTAGTCGACGATACAAAGAGGCTCACGCCCCCGGATTCGGAGACTTGACATAGAGGTTCTGCTGGAATTAAATACCGAGGGATGAAGTACGGAGAAACATTCCAAGCGCAATCTGTGCCACAATGGGCGCCATGTGAGTTCCACGTTCCTCAACATCCTCGGGCGAAACATCTCAGGTGAGACCAATGACGCAAGTTACTGATTGGGGTCAGACAACGTCGATTACAATGAACTCAAGAATCTGATCAAAGTGCACACGACGAAAGACCAGGCACAGGCAATTGCGATTCCTGGGCAGGCGGATTCGCATCTGGAGAGGTTCGAAGCGTTATTCTTCAATGAATTGTCCAATCAGCATGATCGAGTCGACCTCTTCGTCAAGAGCAAGGCCGACGAAGTCCACCGACGCTTACGTGAGTACTTGCGATAAAGACAATCCAGTTTCCCTGACGTCTGGCAGAATACCTTCAGAAGCTCGTGGTCAAATTGCTAGCACGATGTGCCGACAGTGCTGCCATTGGCAAGCCAATGTCATCGAAACGGCGAGAGAAATTTGCGAGATATGATATTCAAATCGAAAGGTAGGAACAGCTACAAAAATGTAGGGGTATCAACTGAACAATGTATAGATGCGGCGAGGACATCAGATCTCTCCAGCGATTTACTGCTGCTCAACGAATGGCATTTCATAAGATCTTGAAAAAGTACAAGGTATGTCTCTGATACCCGGTTTGCGACGTCCTTTTACATAGGCTAATATAATTATCTGCAGAAATGGACTGGGTCCAGAGCTCTTGGGGAACGATTCAATGATGAAATACTAGGAAATCCCAAGAGCTTTGTGCGTCGAGATTTCGAACCTCTTTCCTCGGAGTACACGAGTCTCATCAATACTCTTCGCGCATCGAGTCCAGACGGCAGCGGGCCTGAGACACCCTCAATATCTCGACGAGGATCACGGAGACAAAGTACACAAATACAGACGCAACCACAAACACCGCAAGGGTATTGGAATGAGTATGATCATGGCAGTGAGGTTGAAGGCAACGAGTCGTACACGATCTACATAAATCCCGATGAGGAGTCGTTCCCAGGCTCGAAGACGTTTGCGTATGTCTTTGCAGAGGTGAAAAAGCCATTTGGGAAAGTCAAAGAGTGGCTCAGCCCAAAGTCCTCGCCTGGTGAACGACAACCTCTCATCACGAATGGCAACGAAAGCTACTTCAACGAGCAACGGAGCACGATAGATACCGACGACGATGGGGCTTATGCTTCATCGAGCGACTTTCCGACAGGATATGCAGCGCATTATGCGACGTTCCCCAGTGTCCGCGATCAAAAGCATTCTCAAGCCAGGGAGATGCTCCTAAATCAAACAATGTTCGGTAGCTTTGGCGCTTCTTTACTGTTTCTCCTAATAGCAGCTATCCTTGTAGCTACAGGGAAGAAAAAGCTACGAGTCGAAGTTGACGCAGGAGTCATTGTTGGCATTGTCGCAAGTCTTTGCTTCAATATGGCTGCGATTGGTGCAGTGCTTGGCCGTCAACAGGACCTTGGGTGGCTACGGAGGTCACTCATCGCTGTGACATTTGTTTCGATTTGCATCTTCAATGGTATGCTGCTGGTTATAGTGGCTAGTACACTGTAAAAAGGAAAAGTCTAGAGGCTTATTTACTACGGAGTTGGGACATATTGGGGCGACTTCTGCACAGTATCCGTCATTAAAAGCTGGCAGATATTTTCAGTACTTTAACGTCGGCGGGTGGAGAGTGAACAGTGGTTGCTATGATGATTCGGCTTTCTTTTTTGCACGGCGGCATAGCGTTTTGGCGTTCTCAGTTCTTTCACAGCCTGTTTGGGGTAGAAGAGCGGTTCACGAAGTTATGCCCTTAGAGATCAACTAAATTCAAACTGTATATAGTGGACGGACTTCGGGGCTCACTAATGGGGTTCTATGGTCTTGATAGGAGGGCGTTGATAGCCAGAATGTGATACATATTGACCTCCATCGGCTTCTGTGTCGTTTTGTGAGTCTTTATGTTATGCCATACGAATGTCTAGGTAGGATTTCGTTTCTAGACTGACAATCCTAAGAAATTCAATGGTCAAGAATGTGACCAACATATCTTCCAGTGGGCAGGAAAGTGAAGATATGAAATCATTTACTATTCTTGATTCAGACATTCGAGTGAGCCTGGAAATTTTGAATATTGTGAGAAGTTATATGGTACTATCGGATTGCAGCTCAAAACTTCTAGGAAGGAATTCGCAAAAAAAAGATTATATGATACTTTGAGCGGGCTGATGGTATTTCATGAGAGATCATTAGATCGATCATAAGATTACCAGATGAATTCAAAATAGTGTAAATCCTGCTCTATTGCCTCGCTTAAGCGACTATTGCCCCTTTTCTCACCCACTTCCCAGATCATCCCACCTAAGATCCTACAATAACACCACCATTAGGATGCAGACTCTGCCCGGAGATGAAACTACTATCGGGACTAGCCAAGAACACAAAACATGTCGCGATCTCGCTCGGCTGTCCCGGTCTTCCCATTGGACTTGTAAACTCCTTCTGAGCTTTCTCGTTCATGGTTGCTGGGATCAATGGTGTCCAGACGGGGCCGGGACAGACAGCGTTGACTCTGATTCCCTTGTCGACGTTTTGGTTTGAAAGACCGCGGGTAAAGGCCACGATTGCGCCTTTGGTGGAGGTGTAGTCTAACAGATCGGGACGGCCGATATATGGGTTGACTGACGCACAAGTGATGATTGTGTCTCCACGAGACATTTGAGGCAGGGTGTACTTGGAGAGGAAGAAGAAGGGGTGGATATTGACGGCGAAGGTGTTGAGCCATTGCTCCCTATAATCGGATTAGTACTGCTTTACTAGCATGGAAGCAATGACATACTCAGAAAGATCAGCGATAGTTTCTTGCATCATCTGGGTTCCGTGGTTCAGAACGAGGATGTTGATCCGGCCCATGGCCTCAATAGCTTTCTCGACAGTATTTTTGCAAGCTTGTTGATTCCTCAGATCTGCTGATATCAATGTGACCTTTCCACCTTTCTCGCGAACAAGTTCTTGAGTTTTCTCTGCATCTCTTTGTTCTTCGGGAATGTAAACGATGGTAGATTCGGCACCTTCCATGGCATAGAGAATGGCTATTGCTCGGCCGATACCGCTATCACCTCCTGTGATCAAGGTCTTCTTTCCTGCGAGTTTGCCGGCTGCTTTGTAAAGTTGATAGCCACCTTCGTCTGTTGGGAGTTGGTCGTTGACGGGATCAGGGCCGGGCATATCATGTTGTTTGCCTGGGACGGACTTTTGGAAGGAGACTGGTGCTTCGTGACCTGTAAATATATTTCTTAGAAGTTGCACAATGGGTATTAGAGGTGCATTGACTTTGTACATACCCTTGGCGAATTGAGAGTCTGAACCCTGGCCAGTTACCGACTTGATAGTATCCTTGATAGAAGACATTATTCAAGATTTATCTCGAGTTACTTCGGAAAATAGAGGTATTTCTCAATGTTCGAAAATCGTTCACAAATGGGAGGAAATATAATCCTCAACCAATTTACACATCACTTCATTATAAACGTAGGGCTGGAAGTAAGTATTTTCATTCCGGACGTCAGTCCGGGCCTGTCGATGAGTAAGAGCGTTTGGTCGATGCAGATTGGCTCTCGGGTCCAATGAGTGGAGGAACCCATGGTTACAGTAATGATGTATTGATGTTTTCGGTAACGCTAGACGTCACGGACTTTGGTTGTTGATGTCGTTTGGTGTTGAGGACAGCTTGAGGAGCCAGAATGTGGCATGTGCACGCTACAGGTAGTACGAAGGTACCTTTTCCTGCCCCTCTTTCCCCTTTCGTCTGTCGTCTTTTTAAACTTAGATACTTGTACATCACAACAGAGAACTGGAAAAGTTTTACTGTATAGAAGTATTTCGTATCTCAAAATACTTTGTTGAGATTCGAGTTGCCATAGAACGATTCCTGACCCTTCTGTGTTAAAATGCTTTGTGCCGTCTCGTTGTCATCGAGTTTTATTGCATTAAAAGACTTCTATTCATCTTCCACAATCTCAATGGCATATGTTCGTACCTTCTCGCGGCTATCTGTACATTGCTGTTCGTACAATACAATGAATACTTATAAACCTAAGAGGTCGGATACATGTCAGCTCTCACACGAGCTTGAGATTCAAACATATTCTCTCGATTTTCAAAATTCGTACAACTTGTTTCCTGTCTTTTATTATTTCGTGTTCATCCGTCAAAGCTCCCAGTTGTTATTTAACTCAGTTCTGAAAAGAAAATTGAAACGGCTCCCTGTCTTTGATCTTGAGTGAACGGTTGACATCGGGGTCTTGCTTCTCAATCAAATATCAGCACATATATGGATGGGCCAACGAAAGCTTTCATCACTAATTCTCCTTGCTTCTTTATTGCAGAAGCAGTACTACGATTCGTCGGATCGAATCGAGGATCACCTGGGCGATCAGCAGCACCACCTGTAGATCATGTCACGTGACTGTACAGCTGGCTCATTTTTCCCGTCCATTTTCATATTGCGTCCCATTTGCTGCTTCAAAGCTATTAGGAGATTAGGATCGGTTTCTTAGACCTATCATAGAAAAGATCACAAATATGAAATGTCCTGGAGAAAAAAACGTCGATGACGTAATGGGCCACAGCAGGAGTTTCGCTCCTATCAGCACGGTCAGAATCCAGCCTCACGAATCGTAATTTTCCAGCCACACAGTTCTCAGAAACAATGTGGCTCATCGGGTAGTACTCCGAAACGTACCAATAACAAGTTTTGGAGCTTCACTGTTCGTCAGCCAAGGCGTCGATCAACTCCTCCAAGTATGATCAAGTTGTACAACCTGTGCCCCCCTCGTGACTTTCCAGTTCTCTGATCTTTCTTGATTGGCGAGCAAGTTGTATCAGATCTGATATGACGTCCAGAACCAGGTATCAGAGCATCCCACCAAGTCACCCAAGTTCAGGGTCCAATATCGCAAGGATTACGATGGCCCTCTTCGTCATATCGCCCGGAATTATTATCCAAACCAGTTTTGAGGCTGGAACTTGTCCTATCAACGCATAAAGATAACATGGACTGTATTTAAACGCAATTTGCAACCCCGCCTTTGGAAATCTATAACTACAGCCATGAGTACCACTTCAGATTTCCCTCGTTCCATACTACTACCAAGAACACTATCATCATTCATAGCCACGCATCCAATCATCACACCATCAACATCTACCTCATCAACAACGCTCACCAACAACGAACCACAAAACACTACCTACCCAAATACAAAACCAGAAGAAGCTCTCAAAATGCATACCCGCCGCAACAACCAACTCGTCGAGACCCGCACTACTAAGCCAACACTTATGACTCGTCTAAAGGGCCGCAACGCCAACAGTCGTACTGTCAAGACAACCACGACTATTGAACCTCGCTCAGCAGTCGGACACACCCATCACCACAACACACGCCGCTCTGGATGGGGAAGCAGCACGAGACGCAATGAGCCTGTTGTTCACCACAAGCGTCACGCCACTATGGGTGACAAAGTCAGCGGCGCAATGATGAAGCTGAAGGGAACTTTGACTAGACGCCCTGGTCTCAAGGTATGAATTCTGCAAAATCGCAGCACTGAATCTTGACTAATGCTCTGTAGGCTGCTGGCACACGGAGAATGCACGGCACTGATGGACGTGGAAGTCATCGAGTTTACTAGATTATCAATGTTATGGGACGAGTGTATTAATAGTTTGTTACGATACCCAAGATGAAGTCATGAGAGACGAGAAATTGTACTATACTACTAGCTACAAAGCTTTGTAATATTCAAAGCAGTGCAATTGTTCAGCATTATGCCTGCTTTATTATTCTTGAAATTCTGTATTTTTGTAGAAAGTAATCTATGAATCCGAGGTAATCATCCATGCTAAACTCTGATGAGCTACTTGGAAGAAAAATGATACTTGATATATGCCCCGATCCATCGTACCTTCTCTCTTCGCCGCTCGACACAGACTCCACTTACTGCACTACGTCGCCTTTGCCTTCTACTACACATAAGCAAAAGGGGTTTGAACAGTGACGCATTAGCTTGAGTCTCAGATCACATATAAATGCATAACAAGTAGAGACTTTTGTGAGTTGCGCAGCAAATGGAATTCAATACTCCAGAAAATCCAGTACTCCAAACACACCCATATGAATCCAATGAAACAAAATTCCCAAATCCTGAGAGCACCAGTAAAACCCAGTGGGGAAAAGGTATACTCTCCGCCTGTCCCTGTGACCACGCAACAAAAGAAATACCCAAATCGCAAACGCCATACTCCATCCCAACCAACCCAAAACCAGAGCCCATTTCCACCACATTAGAGACTCAACGCCAATTCAACCACTCCCTAATCCCAGAAGTTCAGATGGGAATTAGTTGGTGATACAATCACAAGAGAACAGACAATCAGTGAGGAAAGTAAGTTGTCCATCGAGGCATTGATATTCCAACGACAAGCAGATTTCGGTAGCGGTCCCATCGGAGATGAGTGCTGGGAGAGGGGAGTAGCATTGCAACTCTCCGTTGTTGGTTGAGCGTTCGGCTACGAGAGGAGCTGGGGAGGCGACTGCAACGGAAGCCAGGAGGATGGTGAGTGCTGTAGAGATATCGGCTTAGTAATATATTGAAGAAGAGGGGGTGGGTGGAAGGGCAGGGAATGAGGAGGGAGTTAACTTGAACGTACCGGCTGGAGCGAAGAATTGTATATCGGCAGGATGTTTTTGCAATTTGGTTTCGATTTGTGAGTTTGAAGTCTGAGATACTGCTGTGGTGGTTTCTTGAAAAGAAGTTGGAGGAAGTAGATTGTTGTCTGAGTGTTTGTGTTGAGATGATGGTGATTGTGAGTGCGGGAGACGACGGAAGGCAGAGCTTCCTTATATATTATTTTTTGTGGTATACACTGATGTTGAAGAGCTTGTTCATGAGATACTGATATTGAAGATCGCCGATCCTTCCTTCATGCACCAAGTAGGAAGTGTCAACGTTCATGTTCAGCTGTGAACATTTGCCTGCATCACAACAGTCTTGTGGCTTGCTCTAAGATGTTTTCGCTCCCTTGTCTTCGCGTAGAGACTGTTCTTGTTTCTATTCTGGATTTCCACTCGAGCTTCAGCTGGTATCAAAACTTTGGATGTCCAATGATGGCTCATTAGAGTCATTATCGCGATCCAAAAAGGGATGCCTCGATGGTCGCTTCTTACCGCTAAGCGAAAATGATAGGGGCGGGCGATAGAACCATGGGTCGTAGTTTAGCACGCCGACAATCCAACTATATTCTAGCTGAGGATGGAGAAATCCAATCCCATGTATTTGGACTTTTGACGTGAGATACCCGTCGTGTGATGAGCGGTTGTGCTACTTGCAATTCTACCCCGCTTTTTGTGTTACTCAACTCAAGGTGCCAGTTTTCCAGTATTTTGAGCCAACGGCTACACGGGAACTTTCCGTCCCCTCTTTGGTGAGACGGAGAGAGCAACTCCTTTTGTGAGGCACATGAGAAGAGGCAGCGAAAGTATCATTTAGCGTTGGTATCTGAAACTGGTTTGAATGTCTAGAAAGGTAGAGCAAGATCAGAATATGCTATACTAGAGACGAACTACGGGGCATAGTAGAAACGCCATACTTAGCGATACCACGAGACAGCAACTTCAGAGGTATAGAGTAAGAAGATATCCTGGGACACTGGTGCTGGTTGGCGTTTCTGAACCAAGGTAATCCACCACGGGCTGTCCCTCTGTTGAACAGTAAGTAGAATCCAGCTCGATGGACAATGCCCTGGACCGTTTCTGATGCAGTTATTGATCCTGGTTTAGGCGTTCCGCTTGTACCACAATATACAGCCTTTCAAACATTGCCATTCTCTCAAACAAGGTAGAAAATTTGAACTAATCTCGATCGAACCTCCAATATTCTTGCATCAAAACTTGGATGCTTTTGGAATATGCCCCGGAAAGTCCCTCAGACCCTTTCTCAGAATAGTAAAGTATATTTGCTCGTTTGTCTAGACTTAGAAGGAAAACAAAGCTGATATGTCCCGCACAGATGTGTAGCAACAAGGAAACCCACTCGGGAGGTGACAGCGCGTGACTTGAGTTTGACAGCCATCTGGTGGCATATATGATAATGACTCATTTTGGGGCCGACAGTCCAGTTTTGGAGTAAAACTATCCCAAAAAGGAGAAAGATCGAGAACGGGTTGGCAGAGGCAAGTACTGGGACTATGCAACATTTACTCCTGCTCATATTCGGAGATACCAGGTTCCAGAGAGCAGCCGAAGATGAGTTAGGCGGATCAAGCTGTCCACACTCCTTCGGGGTCAAGATTGATTTGCCATCTTGATCATGATAGTACACTGAACTCGAATCGAAAATGATCTCGATACCACTCTCGTATGCTGACATCAGCGTCTCAGCTCTAGCAACGAAGGAAATAGAATTGGATCTGGGTATTTCTGGATTGACTTCATTTGAGCAGCCCTAATGAGAGGAAATGGATTGCGTAGGCCCATTCAAATCTGTATGCAACATGTTTCATTGTGTATGAAAGAAACTCACACCGACATTGCAAGCCGGCTTATATCGAGTGTCGATGATTGGCCATGTAATTCGCAAGGGTGCGTTGCACAAGCAATTTGACTGGGCGCCATCGGATGGAAAGATCACAAAAAATAAAAAGTAACATCTGTCAAAGTTGCAACTCTGGAAGAAAGCATAAACTTTCAGCCAACTTCTGACATTGAATGGAATAGCCAATCATAGAGCTTTGATTTTCAACAATTGAGGGAGTAAGAGGCTAAATAATTTTTCGGAAGTGCTTCGCCTCGGCCAGCTTTGCTTCCGCGACGGATCCGCCACTTTTCTGTGCTTGTCCGGCTCTTCTCTCCACCTTCACTTTTACTACCGTGGATAACAATTGCTCATCGAAACACACTATTGAATACCCTTGAACGTTTCTGGAACGACAATGTCTTTCTCAAGTCTCGTTCAAGATCTCTCATTCAGAGATACCCCACCAAGCAACGCCAGTGAGCAACGCAGACAGATGGCTCGAGGTGCATCCTCTGCGTCGACCAACGACGATACCAGATCCCATGTCTCAAGAGCCAGATCTTATGCTAGCACTTCGGCGACAAGTGTCAGCATTTCCGGTGACATTTCGAGTCAACTTCACGGAGGTTACTCCCACCCTTTAGCTAGATCATGGCAAGCCGAGAGACAATTGACAAAGGTAAAGTCTTCTGATACAAAAGAAGTCATCAATCTGACGAGTTGTACAGTCTATGCTTATTCTACCCCTCTTTATTACCGACAACGACGATGAAGAAACCCTAATTCCCTCTCTTCCGGGCCAATACCGCCGTGGCATCAACAAGCTTGTTCCTTTCCTCGAACCTCTGATCCGCAAAGGACTTCGATCAGTCATCCTTTTCGGTGTTCCCCTCGCTCCAGGAGTCAAGGATGCTCTAGGCACTGCTGCTGATGACCCAAAAGGCCCCGTCATCGCCAGCATCCGGCTCCTAAGACAACGATTCCCACAACTCTTTATCTCTGCAGACGTCTGCCTTTGCGAATATACATCTCATGGACACTGTGGCATTCTACGTGATGATGGAAGCCTGAACAATGAGCTCTCTGTGGACCGAATTTCAGACGTTGCCATGGCTTACGCTCAAGCCGGTGCACACTGCGTTGCTCCTTCAGACATGAACGATGGCCGTATCCGAGCAATCAAGCTGAAGATGATTGAAGAAGGCATTGCACACAGAGTTGTCCTTATGTCATACGCTGCGAAGTTCTCTGGATGTCTCTACGGACCCTTCCGTGATGCTGCCGGATCCGTACCATCATTTGGAGACCGCAAATGCTACCAATTGCCACCAGGAGGTCGAGGTCTTGCCCGCCGAGCTATTGAAAGAGACATCAGTGAAGGCGCTGATATCATCATGGTTAAGCCTGCTAGTCAATATCTTGACATTATCAGTGACGCCAAGGAGATTGGCAAAAATATGCCAATCGCAGCATATCAAGTCAGTGGAGAATTTGCAATGATCCACGCAGGAGCAAAAGCTGGAGTTTTTGATTTGAAGACAATGGCATTTGAGGCTACGGAAGGTATTTTGAGGGCTGGTGCGACTATTGTAGTCAGCTACTTCACACCCGACTTCCTTGACTGGCTAGAGTCATAGTTTCATTGCAGGTTGATGAGTGTCCATGGCTGCGTATGTGTTACCTGTTGGGTTAAAAATTTCTAGGATTGCAATCAATTTAGAGAATACCCCTTTAAAATCACTGCACTGCATCAACGTGACCCTAGGAACTTTACATTGGGAAAAGTTGATTCAAAGCATCATTCTCTTGCTTCAACAACTCCAATGTCATGATAGTATCGAGCCTAGCTAGAGCGCTTGATCGGATTCTTGATAAATATGTGCCTTTCGCCATGGAGACCCTCACTCTCGGACGTGGGGCAATTTCTTGGCAAATCTGGGGTTCCGGTCCCGCGGTTAGATGGAAGATCAAGCTAGGGCCAGCCTCGTCAACTGCATTGTCCTGCACTGCATTGAGCTGCAGACAATTGTAATCATCAATCAACGCCAGGTCTACGTCTTGTGCCATCTTTCTTACCCAGACTGGATGTAGTCCAGCAGGGCAGCTTCTAGACATGAAGCACATTCCATCGGCCTTCTTGAAGCCATGCTACCGATCCCGTCGAATAGTAGTTGGTCAAGACTTGGTCCATGTTAATACGTTTGGATCACGAATAGCATGTCTTGCGAGACCGCAGAGACGGCATGCTTCCAGCAATGGCACTCGACCACGGACAGCTCTGTTCTTTCCAGGTAAGTCTCAACATCAGGTCATTTCAATGCGGAGTCGTACTGATGATCCACAGGTCAAGGAGTTCAGAGAGTAGGCATGCTCACACCATGGGTCGAAGCATTCCCAGCTACTGCGAAACCACTCGTTGAAGAAATCGACCATCTACTAGGCTACAAACTCTCGAAGGTCATTGAAGAAGGACCCCACTCCCTCCTTACCGCTACCGAGCATGCTCAACCTGCCATTATGGCCTCGTCTATCCTCATCCTGCGAGTCTTAGAAAAAGAATTCGGATTCAAAACGAACGAACGGATAGATGTAGTGCTGGGCCATTCATTGGGAGAATTCGCAGCATTGGTAGCTGGAGGATACGTTCACTTCGAGGACAGCTTATACTTAGTACGGAAACGTGCAGAAGTCATGGCAGATTGTACACGGCGAGCTTGTGCCGAACATGGTGGAGAATACGGCATGATTGCTCTAGTCACCGAGCCCGACCACTTGATCCCATTGATCGAAGCAATACATGAATTCCTAGGACATCATAGTACTGGGTCGAAGTCGGAAAGTGCAGAAGTCCCTCCCATTCAACAGGTTTTGATTGCGAATATCAACAGCAAGAATCAGATTGTGCTGAGTGGCAATATTGAGAGGATAAAGACGCTATTAACGCATGTCAGGCAGTTCGGTGGACATGATCCAAGAGCTGTCAGGTTGAGCAGTGATAGTCCGTTTCATAGTCCTCTCATGAAGCCAGCGTCGAAAGCTATGAAGAGGATGTTGGAGGGAAAGAGTCGAGTGAAAGGCAGAGAGAACGAAGATTTAATCACGTTTCCGGGAATAATGCCTTGCATCAGCAACGTTAGTGCAAGGCCATTCCAGAGCAAGGAAGATCTGAAAGATCTCTGGGTACGATCTTGTGTAGAGACTGTAAGATGGTGGGACAGTCTTAAATATTTGGATCAAGATCAAAAGGTTCGCCGATGGCTGGGTATTGGACCTGGGAAAGTTGGGCGGAACCTTGTTGGCAAAGAGGTGGGCATGAGAGGACGAGATCTTGTGAAGGGAGGTGGCGTTTGGGCTATCAGCAATCCTCCAGAGATTGAAGAGGTCCTCAGAGCTCTGGATGAGACCGAAAGCTCAAGAGACGAAGAGTAAATGTTGAAGTGTGCTCTGATACGGGGAATCTCCCTCAGCTGTATAGGAAGGGGAGTAGCAGGAACTGTAGGATAGTTGATTGAGGAGTTGTCTCGAAATATCCTCAATGATTGAGAGCAAGTCAACAAGGGTAAGATAAGGCTGCAAGGCTGAGAATTTACCGATGAGAGCAGCGACTTGGAAAATAGCAGTACATATTCATTTACAAGTCCTAATCAATACAACATACTTATATTCGTATTAAATGTCTGTAATGGAGTTTTCAACTATCATCTTCACAAGTATTGCCCTATCATCAATTTCTGACTTCAGCCTCGCCCTCTAAATTTTCGGCTGCCAAATGTCCCAAGTCAACATCAATCTCCTACAATCTCTTCCACATTAACATCGCACAATGACAACAATACCATCAATAGCCTGCCTAGGTGTGATAGGCAAGAATGTAAATTGATTTCATCCCCTTCAACTCTCAATTCTAACAAACAACAGAACAACCCCCTCCACATCTCCATCTTCCCCTCTGCGCCCACCAACACGCCCCTCCGCACACCCCTCCAATTCTCCCTCCTCCTAGCCAGCACCCTCGACATCTTCGAAGCGCGCTCCAAAGCCAACACCACCACGGGCGGCGGTCTATCCGGCGACTTCGGCCTCCTGCACGCCGTCGACGAACGTCTGGCCGCCTATGGCTTCGAGACCAACACCGGTGTCCGTTTCGTGGTCGTTGTAGACATGCGAGGACGAGCCGTCTCGGAAACAAGTAAAGGGCTCGGTGTCGGCGGTCTCGGGTTGAGGGATGGAGAAATGAAAGTCGTATTCAGGGCTATGCAGGCGGCGTATGTGAAGTTGTTGCAGAATCCGTTTTATGAGCCGGATGAGCATAGTCCGCCGACGGGGAGGGGTGGAAAGAAGATTACTAGTCGGAAGTTTGTGGAGGAGATGAAGAAGATTGGGGATACGTGGATGCCGGGTGTGGGAGGTTCGTGATGAGATGTCGTGCTGGTACTTTTGATGGCGTTGGGATTTAGGTGCATGGCAATGGCGTTGATACCAGGAATTGACAATCGAAGTCTTCTTCACAGAACAATATGATCGTGGAATGAAACGTCACCTAAATTTTGAAAGGCAATTTGGACGCAAACAATGCCAAATGCTCAACTTGTCAGTACTACCTCAGCTTCTTCCGAATGTCTGTGTCTGTGGCCTACATTGATTCAGCACAATTGAGATGAATAAAATTGGTACAATCTCACTGCTCGAGAGTGGTATTCGTACACTTGAAGAGTAGAGATTACAGTAGTCTATCATGTCCAACGCAGATCTCGAAACTCAGGCTTTGAGTCTATTTCAATGTCTTCCAGTCAGGACAAACTTTAATAGTGCTTGATATCTACCCTGAGTTGGGGCAATGATTTATATTGTTATGATTTTGGAGTCTGACCATAGTACAACTATTATGAAAGATACCGTGCTCACACCGATATTTGCAATTCTCCAGATGTCTACCAGACTTGCAAGTTGCATTAATAAACCACTTCTTCTGCCTATTACTGAGACCAATAGGATTCTAAGAGCTATTGTTCTAAGCTTGCTTTCGAAATATTCAGAAACTTTTGACATTTACATATCACAATACTTCAGCATTACAGTGACTTCAAAATAGCATGTTCGAAGTATAGTCATATGTGAAGGAAGCATTGAAGCATTGAAGCAGGATTGATTGAAGCTAGACTCGAGCGAGTTGCCAAGAACCTCTTTTAAAGCAAAGCTCGAAGCATGCTATGTTTGGCTAAAAATTCGATGCTCTAAAGCGTAAGTCATGCAAAGCCACCGAGGTCGGCTGAACCCTTACTATGTGTACAGCTAAATATACAAGTCCTGAAAGGCTACCATTTCACTTCTTTTGTCGTTTGGTACTCTCACTGACCGCACTCATCACACTAGCGCTACGCTTGCGTCCATTGATACTTGGCGCAGCACTCTTTTCCCTCTCTACTTCCTCTACCTTCACATCACCGCTGCCGGAGACTGCTTCTGGCTGTCTCAAGATTTGTTTCGATTCTGCCTCTTCTTCTTTTTGCTTCTTGATCGCAAGAATGGTATTGATCTCGCTTTGAATCTTCTCCGTGACTTTCCTTTGCTCAAGCAACAGATTGATATTCGTCAATAAATGGTCAAAAGCCTCTCCCACAGCATATGTAGGCATGATGAGACGGTGCGGAATACCCAATTCGGTAAGGACGCTAAGCATCTTCTGTTGCTGAATAGAAGATTTGCTTGTAATGGGCTTGTTAATCCTCTCAGCTCGGAAAGCTGGACCACTGCTTGTAATTCGATCAAAATGCCGGACGCCATAGAGTATCTCCTCTTCTGCACTGAGTTGACGACGCTCCGTCTGACCCTGAGATGGACCTTTCTTGTTGTTCGTTCCACTGGGGCCAGAAATAGATTCACCGCGAACAGTACTGTCACGGCGGTCGAAGCTGGCTTGCTGATTTAATCCGCTCGGACCTGCAGGACTGGTACCATCTGGGCCCATAAGTGATTTCCTCTTCTTGGTTTTGTCAGCTTGCATAAGCTGCTGAAGCAACTGCTGCAAGCCTTGGCTCGTAGTGAAGACGCCGATGTTGCCCGTGCTTGCTGGTGCGTCGAGTCTGGCATAAAGCTCTCGCCGCTCCTCAGACAACTTCTCTGACCTGGCAAGAATTCGCTTGAGCTCTATCAATAGGCTCTCCTCTTCCCTCGCTTCCTCTCTTGTCCTCTGGAAAGCAGCCTCCGCGAAAAGCTTCCGCTGAGCTTCCTGTTGAGGATTGAAGCTTGCCATCTTCTCCATTAGCTCGTACTCCGCCGCAACCATCGTCTCTGGAGCCTTGTGCACTTTCATCATAGTCGCTGCGACACTGTAGTACCGCGCCTTGAGATCCTCTAGAGTCCTAGGCTTCGAAGCCGTAACGATAGCCAGTTCGGCAGCTTGTGGATCCAGAGTTATAGCTGGTGGTTGGTACTCGTATCGATCCCAAATAACAGGCCATCTCATATCATAGTCCCGTACCATCGATACCAGATAATCCGTCTCGTCTCTTGACCAATCCTCACTAAGGAGATGCTTTTGATACTGTTCATCATTGTACTCGGCAGTAATGACCTTGACATTGTACTTCGCAAATGTAGAGTCCTCCAGCTTGACCTCGTTCGGCGCAGCCGTTCCCTCGTCTCCAGGCGCAACTGCAGGCGACTCTGCCTTCCTCCTCCAGTGCTTCAAGACCAGCGTTTCATCCTCTCTGGCGGAGTTCCTGAAAGATTGATTTTCCCACTTCGCCGCTGGTTTCCTGCTGCCAAACCTCTTCTTCTTGAAGGTTGTAGTCTCTGGTACAATTGCAATCGGATTATCGCCTCCTAGATTCTGAACCTCTCGCGCAAGACCTTTGAGAACTGGTCGCGGGCCCGTAAGCTTTGCTTTCTTGATCGGTCTCGGGGCTGCCTCTCCTGGGAGATCTAGCATGTCGCGGACATCGTGGGAAGTCATGTTGAGCCGCCGCCGCTATTCGCTATCGCGCTGCAGAAATTGATAACGTGCGCCGAAGGAAGGACTATCGGAAAAATCCTATCAAACCTGTGTAATGGAGGTGTTATTGTGAGCTGTCCTCTTGTTCGATGATGAAATAGTTGCGCGTGGAACTTTGCAATCGCGTCCATACCTAAATGGAAAGTTCCCTATCGCACGTGACAGCACCCCCTGTCGAGAATTCGTCGAGGAATCGCGAACGTGGCAGAGAAGAGAACAGCTCGCGCGACCCCTTTCACATTCAACGTCTACCCCGGGCATCGAGTCGATTAACTTCAAAAACATGTGGTCGATACTTCCACTGCTCTCGCTGAGTGCTCTGCTCGTACCTGTTCAATCATTATATTTCTACATTGACGGCACGTCACCAAAATGTTTCTTCGAGGAGTTGCCAAAGGATACGCTCGTGGTTGGCAAATACGTTGCGGAGGAATTTGATGAGAACTCGAAGCAGTGGTCAAAACACGACGGGTTGAATATCTTCATTACAGTCGATGTACGCCCCCTCATTCTTGGCAACTGGAAATCTCAGCGTCCTCCCTTTCCCATATACTAATTTCAAGCTGTAGGAAGTATTCGACAACGACCACCGCGTCGTAACCCAAAAAGGATCATCATCAGGTCGCTTCACATTCACAGCAGCCGACGCAGGAGACCACAAGATCTGCTTCCTGCCCTCCTCCAATTCCGGCAGCTCAGGATGGCTATCAGCTTTACACCCCTCAGGCGGCATTAAGCTGACCTTGGATCTGGCAATTGGAGAGACGAGCAACATCGAGAGCACAGACAAGGGCAAGATCCAAGATATTGTGAAGAGAGTCAAGGATCTCAATGGCAGACTACAGGATATCAGACGTGAGCAGGTATTTCAGCGGGTATGTATTCCTCATTGAACTTCGGTATGCACTTCGCAATATGCTAATACTCACAATAGGAACGCGAGGCCGAGTTTAGAGATCAGTCCGAGTCAACGAACGCACGAGTGGTTAGATGGACATTGGTTCAATTGGTCGTGTTGGGCATTACATGTGCATGGCAACTTTCTCACCTAAGGTCTTTCTTCATTAAGCAGAAATTGACATAGAGAAAGGAGGGAGTGGTTAAGATAGGACTGAGATAAAAATGAACTTTGTAAAGTATGGAATAGGTAGCACGGCAGGCTGGAGTCAATCACTCTTGCACTAGAAACTTCACATAATGAGATCAATTTCTGGGCAATTATTTCAAATCCTTTTCCATTCATAGAACTGAGCCCAAGAAATCTCCAGTCCGATGCTTCTATTTCACCCATTCGCCGTTGCTTCGCTTCCGAAACAGAAAAGCTATACTATCGTGAAGTCCCTTCCGCGCGACACCAAGACCAAACCGTCTTTGTATTCGAGAGCCAAAGAAGGGAATGCGATGCTGTTGAGGAAACGTGAAAACAAAATATTAGTCTTGAAGTAATCTGACATGGACCATGCGCCGGGTGGAGGACTGTATGATGCAGTTTTGTGTGCGGGGCCTGGTAAGCCAAGCTGGAGATGTATGTGACAAGCAGCGAGAGTCGTATCTGCGAAATGCAGAGAAGAAAGACGTGGGAGATGCAGGCTTCTGCCGGCTCGCAGGAGGAATAGATGTGATTATGAAGGGTTAGTCCAGGAAGGGGATTTTGGTCATAAACGCCGTCTGAGGAATGGCGATCAGTATGAGAATGTTGTGAATGGCGAGAACCGAACTGGTCATGGAGAGGTATTCATCCTAGACGAGTCAGCAACTGTTCTATGCAAGGCTATCAATATCCACTAACCGCAGCAGAGCGTCTTCATCAGCTTCTGGAAGCCCGACATCTGGGGTTCTGAGGTTCTCCCGTTCTGTGGTTGAGCATTCATGTTGGGTTGGGGCGTCATCCTCTGGGGCAAGTTGTTCGAGCTGTTCTGGAACTGTGCCTGGGTTGAGCCTGTTGGAGTAGCGACGTCTTGGAGGCCCCCCGCCGCTCCGCTGCTGCGTTTTGGAGCCAATCCGCCTGGGGCGTTTGGCCGATCGCGCGTCTTGCCCATCCCCGGTTTGATTGGAGATGGAGGCGGGGGCTGCGCGGCGTTTAAACGGGCGGCAGTGAGATGGCCTGGTGTGCTATTTCCTGCTCTTGTAGTACCATGTAATTCTCTCTGCGATGCGCCTGGGACGGCATTTGGTTGATGCAACATATGCTGTGATGGATGTTGCTTCATGGCCTCCCATCCCTTGCCATTGTTGAGCTTCATCCAGTCATACTCTCCATCCTCAACTTCACCGGTATTCTTCAACGCCTGGGTGAAAAGGTCTCGAAGATAATCGTAGTCCGGGGTATCCTCAAACCCAAGATTTCGGACGTAGCTCAGGTATTTATTGAACTCCTCTGGAAAGCCATCACAAAGATCCTTGATGGCAGTCGTTTGCTTCTTCTCTCCGATCTTCTCATATTTTTGCTTGTTGGTTGCAGCCTTAAGCCCTTGCCAGGGCAAGCCGCCTCTCAAGAAGTACATGAAAACATGACCCAACGCCTCCAAATCGTCTCGTCGTGATTGTTCTCTGCCCAGATGTGTGTTGATACTCATATATCTTGCAGTGCCAGACAACGACTTTCGCTCACGATATGGAATATGTTGCTTGGTCTTAGGGTCTCGATATTGCTTGGCCATGCCAAAATCTATGACATGGATTACATTAGCAGACTTTGACCCAGGTCGGCCAATGATGAAATTGTCAGGTTTGATGTCTCGGTAGATGAGGTTCTTTTCGTGGATGGTCTGGACTCGAGAAAGCTAAATCGGTCAGTACGAGCTCCTGTCCGAAGTGACAGCAAAACCCACCATCTGCTTCGCTACCATAACAACAGTCTTGATGGAGAACCTCCTGTTGCAGTGATCGAAAAGATCTTCAAGAGAAGGACCCAGGAGGTCGATGACCAAGATGTTGTGGAGGCCTTCTTGACCGAAATAATAGACATTAGGAATACCAGCTACACAATTGTCAACTCCATACTCATGCACATCGATACGGAATGTACTGACGGCAGCCAACAAGAATTTTATATGTTCGGTACTCGTCTCGTAATTGTGGGGCATCACTCTTTCGAGGCTCCTGAAAATGAAGATATTAACATGCCAGGCTCTGCTGGTCGTAGAGTGAGTTTTCAACGTACGAATTTGATGGCCTAGAAATCAAGAAGTTAGCATTGAAATTTGGTCTTCGGCTTTCAAGAAGGTGGGAAGAGTTGGAGAGTGGAGGCGAAAAGGGGATAGCAGAAAAAGATAGAATGAGAACCTACCACTGAGCTATTGTTTAGCAGGTTCAAGCCTTCAAAGATGACTCCAAAGGACCCCTCGCCAATCTTCTTTCCGACTCTATAGTGAACACCAACGACGTTTGACGATGAGGAACTCATTTTGGGCGGATCTCGAGGTTGAGCAGGCTGAGTCTCCAGAGGACGATATCGAGGCCGACGGCAAACTCACGCGACGACGATAGATGTGAGAATCGCCCTTTGATATCCTCCGAGCACGATGCTGGGACAGAGGAATTCCCTCTCCGCGATGGGTCCGTCGTGATACCGTACGTTGTTGAAGAAAGGATTGAGCGAACGCTCGTGAGATCCGAGCTAGTCCACCTGGTGGTCAGGCCCCCGAATTTTGGACAAGGCGCAGCAATTCAATGAATGTATTCATCAACAGTCGCACAACAATTGCGAAAATCGACAGTCTTCAAAAGGAAGACGAATTGAAGGCGAAAAGGTGTGGCCTTGCGCCACTGGAAGTCGGGAGATGGAGATATCTGAACAGAGCGTGCGGAAATGAGAAGCAAAGCAAGTTGAGCCTTTCGAAGTTCAGGTTCCGACCACCGTAGCTCCGCGAAGGCAAGAACGGTCGGCCGTAGTTCCTAAAATACCCAGCCAGCCCAGCCAGCACTTCGTCGACTTTTTCACGCACCGCTGGAGAATGCGGTGAGGAGAGACGAACCGCTCTCAGACTTTGCACTACAGTACACCTTAATTGTGAATACGGGTCTCGTCCGTCGGAATTTCAATGGTTTCCACTTTCTCGCTGTTGAGGCGGCAAAGACAGACCAAGTTCGAATAATAATATCATTCTCACGCTCACTCACTAAGTCTCCTTATCGTACACGACCACGACCACCTCGAATGCTTCTAGACATTCGCACGTACCGTCCTTCTTCCTTCGCTGAGCTCACTCATCCTCACTCCCTGGACCCTCAGCCTCCACCCCAGATCCTGCCCTCGCTCACCAGCAATTTCAGGCTTAGTGGTGACCTTAAATTGTTTTGGTTCTGATGAGCGTGTTCCACCGTGAACGATTGGTGTCTCCCCGTCTCTCCAGGGGCTGGGTCTTGCATGAACCGCAGAACTTTACCTTTGCAGCTCGGGTATCGATCAGTTGGTTACTGTTGACCGGCATCGCGAAAGTCCAGACCAGAACCTGTTTGGCAAGCTGGAAATCCGATCGGCAGCAATTGCACTTAAAAACCACTATCACACTTATTGAAACGTAATATCAAAAAAAGTTAGAGCTTCCATCCCCGAGTCAATGGACCGAAACAGGAACATCCCGTCTGCAGGAACCAGAGGAAGTCACTTTTCAATATGCAGGCAGATCACAGGTACGAGTCGGTGTGGGCAGCCATCGCATCGATTCCCCAACCCCGAGGAAAGGCGTCCGGTCAAACCAGAATGTTCCACCGGAGAAGAGACCGAGCATTCGAGGAAAAAGTAAATTTTTTCTTCTCTTCACGATATCTAAATTTACGAGCCGTTGAGATTCTCGACAAGCAGGGAGCCCCACGCTTGGGCGAAGTTAAGCCTAGCTGTCGATTCTCATCTCCGTATGATCCCTGAAGCGCCCCATCTGACTTGCAGCTTGGACCAAGAACCCCGCAAGCAGAGATGGGCGCGTTATTCGCTTGAGGGTTCTCTCATGTAATCTCGACATGAAATTTCAGTGACCATTTCCCTGCTCCAGGGACCAATAAAAACGTCTTGGACGAATCAGTGAATTCTATGCCGAGTTCTCATCCCGACCGCGCCCATATAATTCGTCCCGAAGGCAGTTCGGTATCTCCGCTATTCGATGGTTTACAAATTTCGAAACGTTTGCAAGTCGAAAGAGATTATTAGTAAGAACGTCGAATATCCTGAGTTGCTTACCTACCTATGTTTTGACGTACCTGCCGAAGTAGATGTACTACTTAGATAAATGGTGCGGGGAGAATATTGGACGAGAGTTTCCATTCTTTCATTGTATCATGTCCACTACCATAATGTACAGATCCCTGAGTGTATGATTCCTGGCTGAAATACTTTTCAACGAAGCCTCATCTGGCAGGAAAGCCATTGACTCTGAAGCTAGTGATGCAGGTAAGAAGCAGAATCTGTAGATATCTACTTGTACAGTACAGACATGATATTCGCAGTGGAATGGCTATCCAAGCACTGTGCTCGAAACATGCATAACTCTGTACTTGGACATGGTGAAGGAGGAATTGCACTGTACTCAATGTTGCAATTAGAGGAAGACAAACCATTAGCAGGAATATTCATGGAATTATTTATGGTCGTTCTCGCTCTTAGTTCCCAGTCCATCTGGACCTTGTCCCCGAGTTCCTGCTCTCTTGCCCCATTTCATCATTCCCCAAGCATGAGTCCAACCAATCTTTGGCGGCGGTTCTCGTGCTTCTCGAAACGGACTCGAAGCGAACTTCTCCCTCTCTTCCATTTCCTTACCTTGCAATCCAGCTGGTCGATCAAGCTCGATCGATTCTCCCAGCTTCACATCGCTTTCTACACGAGAACTACTTGCAGACACTGGAGACGATGACGCTCGCTCCCAACGACGAACTTCGAGCGGTACTGGGCGCCACCAACCAGGCTCCAAACGAGCATGCCACCTCGCACCACACATCTCCCACAATCGACTTCTAGCACGCTTATATGCAAATCGCTCATCTTCTCCAGTGAAGGAACTGGTCATACCGAAATCGACCGTTCGTCCATTCTCGTTGCCTTTCCCAGGAAGCGGATCAAAATCCGAGTCTTCATCTGGATCATAGCCAGTTCGTGGCTCATCCGTATATGAAGACACATTGGGTCGGAACGGTGATGTTTGGTCCTGATAGATTTCGGAAAGCGTCTCGGGATAGACTGCGTCACCGCCATCGTTTTCATCTCGTTGCGTATTTGCATCTCCAAGGACACTTGGACTGCCTTGTGCTTCTGGAAAGAAGAGGTCGTCTGGACCAGCCTCAGCTCTAATCAGGAGCTTGCAACGAGCTTCATAAAGTGCATCCAGGAGCGTTATGAGACGTCTCGCTTCGTTTTTCTGCAGTAGAGTCAAGACTGGAACTTCGTCGAGGATCAGGGTATGGAATGTGGACGCCAAAGTGATGTAGTCTGCTGGGCCGAATGTCCATCCACAGAGGTCTGGAAAAGACCAGTAGGTCACTCCATGGTAATGTCTGGGGACATGAAGCTTCCTTCCATACACAAGAAGTGTACTCGACTGCCAGGGAGTTGATTCGTTTGTGTCTGGTGGTAAGGTAGCCAGCACTGCGTCATGCCAGGCTGGTTTATCATCAGGAGAAGCCAAGAAATATCTCTTCGGCTTTGTCGCTTTTATAACTTTCTCCTCCACATCTTCGATGTTGGCGCTATCGGAATGTCCAGAATGCTGATAATGGCCTGAAATTGTGCTGGAGCGACCATCAGCTGGAAAGCCTCCAACCATCTCTTCTCTCATTCTCTCTGCGATCTCTGACGCTTCCGCATCCATTTCCTCTGCCTCTCTCCTCCTCCAATCTCGACCTCCTTCCATGTTCCATATTTCGCAACGTGCTTTGAGGACTTCCACGAACCCCGCATACTCATTATTCGAGGGGAACATTTCCAGTTTACCTTTTTCTCCAAACCCCAGGAAACTTCTTACAAAGCCTCCTCTTGGTGGTACAGCAAAATCCATACCGCTCGCTTTTGACAATTCATCAGGCATTCGATTTGAGGTCGCAACAAGCACTCCACCAAGTTGGAAGAATGTTGTGAACAGGTTACTCAAAATCTTACTTGCTGCTCTATCAGGTAGCTGAAACTCGTCTAAGAACAGAATAGGAGATTTGTCTATCATGTCCCTTGCAAGCCAAAGTAACGAATGCTCCGTGTCTCCATCTACCGCCCTGGATCCTGAACGAGCTTGTCTGAGCTGTTCTAACCGCGCAAGGGTTTCGAGCATGAAAGTGTTGAAATGCCATCTTCTTTTCTTTCGATTCGGAAGACTGTCAGCAAGGAGGTCGACAAGCATTGACTTCCCTGTCCCAACCTCGCCGTGAAGCAAAAGGCCTTTGGGAGAGTCTATGTTGATAGCAGTCTCGTGGCTCGTGAGCACACGTGTTAATGCTTTACTGTCTCGATCCGACTTATCAGGGAAAAGATGAGAAAATAATGGATTTCTCCTCAATGGGTGGCCAGGCACTGCTACCGACCTCCCATCATCCCGAGCCTTAGGCACATTGTCGACCAGGCGACTGATCGCTTTGAGTCGAGTACCATATTCGGTGTTGGGAGAATAATCTTTTAATCGAAAACTGTGAGGAAATACAGATATTAGAATGCAGGAAATGAGAATGGTTACGCAGGTACGTTGGATCAAATATATGTAGATGGAAGGGCACACGTATTTCGGACTTACTAAAGCTTTTGAAGCTCCAAAGCCAATCTATGTTGTGCAGGGTCTGGGTCGATAACTTTTGTGGCGAGAAGAGCTCGATATAAAACAAGTGGATTAGTTATAGTAAGCCCAGTACTTGCAGGACCAGGTGTTGGTAATGGCATTGCTTCATTGTTTTGTTTGTATGTTGAAAGACCTCGAAATGATCGAAGACGTCAACGACTCCAAGAAATATGTGTCACGTGCAAGTGAATTCGACGTACTCGAGTGTGGCCTAGGGAATCAAAAAGAAGTTGAGAGATTATCTGGTAGAATGATCTTGGGTTGACCAGCAAAGGGTAATTCAAAGAATGATCTCTTAGGAACGATAGAATCCTGGGTTTGAACCCATCGATCGATCAGGCTAGCGGTATGAGTTACGAGGTATCAGGAGCGCTCCGCATCAACAAGTAGCGACTCATCGATATATGGTGCGAATCAAGAGGAGCAATCATAGCTCTCATTCGATTTTAAAGGCGTACTTGTAAAACAGCACATGTTCTGAAAGGCTTCTCGAACATTGATGAGAGCTTGACCGCCTAGCCGAAAATACGCTAAGGCGAGAATATTGCCCAAGGCGCCAATTAAATGTCTAGACAACAAAACAAGCTCCGCTCAGTCTGAGATTCTGCATCGCGACTTCATCTTCAAATGACTTGAGACCATCATACACGCGCGTATCAAGCTTGAGCATCACCAGCTCATCTTTGAGGGAACTCAATATGTTCTCTCCTTCCCAGAATGGCAGTGCGCCTGCGCCCACAGTCCGCACGTCTCGACGAAGACCAAGACCTTCTGGAGACTCCATAGCTCCACCCAAGGCAAAGCGACAACGAAGTACTTTAACTGAATCTACATTCGTGGCTCCTGATGCCGCTCCCGAGATGGAGGAAGTCACAAATCAGAAAGTCGCTGCGCTGACCAAGCATGAAAATATGAAGGACGCCCCTGCACCGTCTAAGGAGATCGCAGTCAGAGGGGGAAAGAAAACAAGATCTACAGATCGAGGTAGCAAAGGCGACGGAAGTGTTGTACTGGTATGTTGATGTGCCCTGCATTTCTGCGGATATGTTCTAACAATCTCACTGTAGACTACCAACGATACATACACTGTCAGCAAGCTTCCTGCTCTTCCAGATCGTTTGCGCGCGGACGCCGCAGGTACGTATTGTATATGCACGGCAGAGGAACGGAGAATAATGATTGATTTGATTGATAGGTCGTCAACATGGTGCTATCTATTCAGATAGCGGCTACGCGCTCACTCTCACACATACACATGCCATCGTCTGGCCCTACGCCGTGAACTTGCAATCCCCAGAAACCTTTACCTTTGCGCTGCCGTTACCTTCGAAACACAGTTACGACCCCCTCCCTCTCGGATCTCTGGTCTCAGCTTCAGCGTCCTCCTCAGACCCTGGACTTGTTGTGGTCATTCCAACCACTGGCAAGATCACATATTGGGAGTCGATTTCAAGTGCGGCTACTCTTGATCTCAGGCTGCAGCGTAATGGCGTCGACTACACAATTCAAGGCATGCAACACAGCGAGACGGTTGTTCAGATCCTGAATGCCGAGTCAGCTGGCTTTGTCCTTGCATTCAGTACTGGGAGAATTGCCTACATGAGCGTTAGAGATGGCCAAGGAAGACCTGCGATCGCCGTGCAATTTCTTCGAAGCAACAACGGTACAGGCGCTGGCGGCATCTTTGGAAGCTTGAGAAATGTTCTTTCAAGTTCCAATGGGCGCGGTGACATTGCAGCAATTCGTGCTGCTCGACCAGACAAAGTTGGGGAGCGAACCGTGATCTCGGCAACGGCGAAAGGAAAGCTTCAATCCTGGAACATACAGCGGGGAGGTCATGCCACACTTAACGCAGAAGCTGAAGGACGGGAAGCTATTGTCATGGCCATCAAGCACACAAGCCCTGCACTTAGTGAGCTACTGCTGGAAACCTTCGAGCTCCTCGACTTTTCATACACCCCAAGATCTGTCAAAGACTCGCAGCTCAGCGATCGCGATGATGGAGCTCATCTCTTGCTGTTGACTTCCATGACAGATCGTCACGACTCTCATTACTTCCTCATTGAACTCGTGCTGAGTAGAGATAATTTGGAAATCGGCACCATTCGACCTGTTAAGTCCTACAAGACACCAGTGAGCCGTATAGCAACAACGAAACCCCGACTGTACCTCCCGAATCCGGCGCTTGTTGCTTACTTAGTCTTTGATCGAGCCGTGGTGGTCGTGTCCATGGCGAAACAGCCAGACTCTCCAGATTTACAACTTCGATCGGAGAGCCACTTATCACCTTTATCTTTCGAGGACGTCGTTGATTTTAGAGAGGACATGAATGTCGAGATTGTTGGGTCGGGTATGGAAGAGCCGCAAGCTCCATCACACGGCATCGAAGATCCGAAATCCCGACGTCACAAGGCCAAGCATCCTGCAGTTGTTCTCATGGTGAGAGGCGGCGGTGTTGTGCGTGTAGCAGCAACCGACATCACAAGGTTGACATCGAGCAGACCACAGCAGGTTACTGCCAAAAGCAAGTTAGAGCAAGCTGTCTTCTTTGGGACGCTGGATCAAAATCCTCTCAGCTTCGCGGTACGACCTGAGTTGCAGTTCTCAGGAGAGGAGGTTGGTGAAGCCGCTTTAGAGCTGAGTCTCGACATATCCAAGTCCGAGACACCGTATATTCCCTCTGTCCCTGCCTCGGTCGAGCAAAATTTAAGAAAGCGATCTGCAGCCTTACGAGATCTTGCCAAGTACCTCAAAGCCAGCGCAGTTGTGCTGGACAGGACCACAAAGTGGAAGCTCCTGTGGGCTGCCGAAAAGATGACTGCTGCATCGTCAATATGGAAGCTATATGACGCCAGCCTGAAAGAAAAATCGATTGGCCAGAAACGTGGGCTGCTGACTGAGGTTGTTGAGTTTATCCATGAGGACTACAAGACCGAGCCCGTTTCCGAAACTGGAGAACTAGACCGAGTACGACATTGGTTCATTAAGGATGTTTGGAATCTTGAGATTGCGATCCCTTGGGCTTACCAAGTCATCAAATATACATACCAGGACGGGAAGAAAGGTCACGATGGTATCTGCGCTTTGTTAAGCGAGGGAGACGACATGGTACTTGGCGCTCTCCAAGCTGCCTTCGATTTCAGGACTGCTAATCTTGATCTCTACGGTCTTGGAGATGAGAAATTAGAGCATGGTATACTGAAGGTCGGCTATGAAGGACTTCCCGAATTCTGGACATCGACCATCTTCACAACAGAAAACATTCGAAAGCAGGCGGAGCTGGCAGGGATGCTTTTAAAAGGATACTGGGACAAAGAAAACATCGAAGGAGAAGAACGACCGCACCCGAGGTTGGTGAACAAAGTACGACTAGAGTTCCCCGATCTACTTGATATTACGATTCGGGCGACTCGTGAGCGCATCAGATGGGACCTTTGCCAAGAGGGTGAACCATGGCAAAGCGAGGCAGAACGTATAGCTCATTTGTTGGATGACGCCCAACAGAGACAAATCGCGGACCTTGCTGAAGATCTTCAGCTTCCTGATGCTGCTGCTAACCTAGCCGAGAAACATGAGCTGTTGCCGAGTCTTGCGATGGTCCTTCAATACGGGCTTAATGTCAGTTCAGCTAAAACGCACGAAAAGGGTATCTCGAAGGAGGAGAAGGATCTTTATACACAGCAATACTACGCCCTAAGAGAACGTGTCCGACGTTGCTTCGAGAAATTCGGCTCCGCATGGGCAACGGCATTGTTCGAGGTAGATATTCGAGATAAATATATAGCCGACTTGTTCGACGGGTGGCCAGAACAACAAGACTACCTGACGGCATTCTTGCACAGGGACGAATACGCAAAGCTATCTTGGATCAATGACATTACCCGAGAAGATGACTTTGATCATGCCTCAAAGACCCTACTCAAGCTTGGACTGACTGGGGAGGATGATCTATGGAGCAAGCAAGTCGAGTTGAGCATCGGCAAGCTCGCACTTCTGGCAAACAAGAGTCCTAGTCAGGCAAATGAGATTCTGTCATCGAAGGGAGGCAAGAGCGAAGTCTCATCTGCCCAGAATCAGCTTGGTCTGATCAAAATTCAGCAGACGATCTTCAATTTCATATTGCCCAGCATTGAATCGGCTATCGACGAAAGAGCAGAGTTGCAGTTGGCGTTGGAGTCGTTTGGCAACAACGAACTGATCAAGCAACCCCAGCTGTTAGCACTTCTCAAAGAAAGTATGGACTGTTTAATAAAACACAAAGCAATGAAGGCACCAATGCTGATCGATCTACTTACGCTAATGGGTGGGAATGGTTCATTTGAAGAGCTGAGCTACCTTCATAGCCAGCAATTCTACCTTGCTCTGAAAGCTGCACGATACGGCTTGGAGAAGAAGGATGAGCAGATTTTGACGCAACGCATCATCTGGAAACGATGTATGTTACGAGACGATTGGGCCGAGATCAATAATACAGTGCAAAAGGACGATCAACAGGTGTCCGAGCAGCTTGCCAGAACAGCTCTCTACCAGACATTTAGACAGTGTCTGAAAGACCGTAAGTTTGTTTCTCCAAATGTCTGCCGAAAAACTAACAAGCATAGGTCTATTTGACAAGAGATCGGTTATCAAGCCTATGAGCCCTGAAGAGGTCTTAGGAGCTGGCAGCGAGGGCCTGGATCCCCGTTTTACGGTACTTGATGCCAGCATCAGAGAGCAGATCGTGCAGGATATGCTTGTGGAGGACGATGCACTGAAACATTTCATCGAGAAATGCAGGCTAGATCAGTGGTATGATTCGGCATTGACCCAAGCAAAGGACGATTACGATTCTGAGCTCAATGAGGAGACAGACGATGGAGGTAAAATGAACCAGATTGCGGCAAAGCTTGTCGATCTGGAGGAGGAGATCAAGGAAAGTGAGATGAAGAAGGCTGAGAGTTTGCTCCACTCGAAGCCGCGATACAAACCTAAACCAAAAGTGAACGGTAGCGTGGGAAATTTCCGGAGTTCTTTCAGGCCATGAGCGACTTTGGGCTGCATATAACGGCATTAGCAAGATGTAACAATGTTCCTCCCTTTTCTTGATACCTCAGGTCGGCGTTGTGGCAAATAGCGAAGAATGCATTGTATTGTATATTAGGATAAGACTCCAAAGTCGAGCAGGGACATCTGGACTGACCAGACAAGCACTTTTATTTACAGTGTGAACGTGCTCGTTGTACTCTTATCACGAAAACTGCTCGGAGTAAGTATACTCCAATATTCCCTCAACCTGATTTTGGCGCTTGCATATAGATTATGCATCCAATGTGGAAGGTGCGTCAATGTCCCTCCTTGTGTCCCGACTTCTCGTCTCCGAAAGTCGTCTTGTATGTTAGGACATGACCTCGTTCTCTCGATTTATCCATGTTTTGGAGCGTACCCACAGTTTTGATGGATTTTCAAACCAGTTGTCCCTCCTTCCAACCTGACGGCTTGTCATTGCTCACATCATTTGCTTTTGACTTCAAAAACGTTTTTGGCAAAGCCTAGAACATATGCCCTAGATTTCCACAATCTATCTCTAGGCTTGTTGGTGATCGAGGCATCACGAAGAGAAAAAAAGAAAGGACGGCAATACCATTAACTGAGCCAAGTTCAATGCAACCCAGGTTATAGAAAGAGTTCCTAGTCTTGACCTATGAGGAGGTACCTGTGTATGATAATGGTGTCGTATTGCAAATTTACCAAATTATCGGGTTTCTTCATAAAGGATTCGTCCAACGAAGTCGCGTAGAAAACCAACAGAGGCGGGAAAAGATGCAGCCTCAAACATTCCTGGATCACTTCCAGCCTTATCATCTTTTATGGTGTGGTTACTTTCCTTTCGTAAGAGCTGAGGGCGGTAAGTTGAAAAGAATCCTACTCAAGTACAGTTTGTGCGGTATCCTGCCTGAAGTCCGTCTTGTACTCATATTCTATTGTTCCAAATTCGTTTAATTATTGTTGATACTCAATCCGATCATGAGTTCTTTCGTGGATTTTGACGAGATCATTTACTTTTCGTTAGAAGCTGACCTCCTTGAGCTTCAGGCTGACTTCACAGCCGGTCTGGAAGCTGCTACCCGAGCGATCTCCCACGCTAAGTCGGACATTTGTGAACCAAGGCTCTTGACTAGGCTCATCAAAATGCATACAGATACTGACGTTGAGCTTGCAAACAGATCCTTCTCCAAGAAGAATAGAGCATTTGCACAACTAGTTCGTAGTGTTGCCAATGATCAAGGCTAGCTCGAAGGATGGAAGGTTTTAGCTCACGCGTGTGTGGATTGCGGCATACATGAGACTCTTATGAAAGATCGTCAGTATTTCCTCACTTAGCAAGAATTAAAGTGCTGATTGATTTTTAGTTGAGATTGGAGACAGAGTCTACAAAAGCCTTCGGATGCCATACAGGCACCAGCGATATCCTCCTATGAACGATGTCCAGTTCCACGTGGTCTCTAGCCCGAAACAAGGTTGTATCAATGAAGTAGGCCCGAAAAGTATTGGTGGTCAAAATTGGGAGAGTGATGCGGCATTCAAGAAGGCTGCAAATAATTGGATGGCACCAGAAGACTTGCGAATGGGACCTTGCCCTTTATTTGCTTGGATGGGCGTGGCAAAGAAAGTTGCACTATCAAATGACCCAAAGACTGTCAAAGATTTTTGGACTGCTCAGCTAATGGGAATTGTCGACTATGGGTTCGATAATGACGAGAAGAACATGCCAGGTGGGATCAAACACGCTATCGAGAGGACTGCTCAGATGGCAATAGAACATGAAGATAAAATGAGAGGTGTAGGCTTGGTTGGACTGTTGATGCTGGATCAACAGACTTCTAATCGGCAAATCCAATACACTTGGGCAGCAGAGGGAAAGGGTAGCTTCATCACTGGACCTGCTGAAATTTCACCCCACGACTTTGCTTGTGCTAGCTATATCGATTGTGCTGGACTCGCACCCTTTGCATATCAGACTGCCGCCGAGCACCACACTAGTCGGAAGGCCATGTTTGTTGCAGTCCTGTTCGCCAACATGCACGACTTGCTCTATGACATTGGATCCTCGAGCAGAATATCTTGTGCTAGCTACGCATACGCAACTGGTGCATTTCAAAGCGACCTTCCACAAGCTTTCGTCATTGGCACGATCGATGCTATGGCATTGGACTGCCTCCACGGAACGTCTGATCGGGAGCCAACATACGGAGAGAACGCCCTCTTCGCGACCTGTGTTTGGAATATCTTCAATGTTCGCTATCGGGCTTGGGAGAGGTTTGTGAAGTACACGAGACTTATTGCCAATTCCAGGAGCCAGTGTGCTGCTGTTCTCATGAACCATGCTAGGAAGGGCATGGTGCTCGTTCCCCAGGACCCAGGGGCGGACATTGGAGAAGCTTTTCAATCGGCTTTAAACCTGGGTAACTCGTCAAAACTGATAAGCCGGGAGGCTTTGACTGATCTTTGCACACTTCCTAATCCTGAGAAAACTCTAGCTCGTCATGGCTTGAAAGTACCAGAGCTTTGTGGAACATGCTCGATAACTTTCCGCGAGAACTTTTATCACTCTCAAGATACCATTCAAGCCATTCCAGGGCTCCTTCAAGATATCATCGACAGTGATCCCGTTACTATTGCAGCCGCAATTCGGCGTGGAGCATTATGGGCGACGGATTCGACTTCTTGCTACGATGATTGCGCTTGTAGTATCGGACTTTGGGCTAATCTCATGTCGGATCGAGCTGTGGTTGCTTTGATGCAAGATGAGCAGAAGATGTCAGCTCGTGATTGGTTATTGCAGACGTATGTTATGGGTTGTGTAGCGTTCTCACCTTTACGGCTCATTTCTATCCTTGCCGGCTTCGATGTCTCTGCGGATATCAAATTCGCCACAGGGGCGATGGGCGAAAGCGATGTAGTTGATTGTTAAAGCAGCATCAGTGCCCTGTCAGAGGTAGTAGTTTTTTTTTTTTTTAACTTTGAGCAATTACATCCGAAGAAAGTTGAGCTTTTATGGATTTCTGTTATGACTTTGAGAAGTCTTTCACTGGCTTGGGCCGTAGTTCTATCTAGTTTCACCATTAAATCAGAGTATGATTAGATCGCGAGGCCAGAATTATCAGTTGACTCCAATGAAGATTAGATCTGAGGAGCAATTAATCTGTAATGACTCTTGAATTACGTAGCTGGTGGAAACCCAACCCAGATGTTCTCTATCTCGGCTATATCAAGGAGGTGGCGCAGTATTTCGGCTCATGCCGCTAAGAATGCTGGCTGTCGCGTGAAATATATCTTGCACGCGTTTCTATCTTTCACAAACAACAACCTCGAGAACACAACAACTCATCCTCACAACACAACCATCTGAATCCCAAGATGCCTGGACCACTTCCGAAAGGCAATTGCGATACCTGCGACACCGCAGATGCCAAACTCCGCACCAACCCATTCACAAATGAAGAACAGTACGTATTATTTTCTTTCTCCAAACCTGATGGTGATTTATGCCGAGAGCCTGTATTTTGCCTCCCGAGCCATAACAACATCAACGCAGATTGACATCATTTTTTTGTCAGATCGATTTAAAGCTCAGCTTCCGGAGTTTATTATTTTATCAGCTAGCTTCCAGTGCTAATTCAGTTGAGTAGATGCGAGGAGTGTCGCGATGCCTCGATCATCGGAATCTCAAACGTCAAGTCTCGATACAACCTAAAGGACGCCGATGTCGAGGGTCTCCAAATGATCAAGGAAGCCAAGGATGCATTTCTAGGCGGACCCGACAAGCGATGGTATCTCGTGGAGGACATCGAGAAGAGAGCTGAGGAAGTCAACGAGAAGAAGGAGGCTGCCAAGAAGGAAAATGAAGCCGCGAAGCTAGAGAAGGAGGCCGCCAAGAAGGAGAAGGAGGCTGCGAAAGAGGCTGCGAAGAATAAGAAGTCGGCTGCCACTCCCAAGGACACGAAGAGGAAGAGAGAAGAGGAGGAGCCCGCGGCGGAGGAGGAGGAGGCCGATGATGAACCTGAGACAGAAGTTGCTGCTCCTGCTGCAAAGCGTGGACGTGGTAGACCCCCAAAGGCCGGAGCAAAGGCTGCAGCAAAGAAAGTAGCAGCTGCGGCTGCGACTGACGATGGAAAGCCAAAGCGCGGAAGTGGTCGACCCCCGAAGGCAAAGTAATGCAGAAGGCACAGTCATGGGAAGATTACGAGCGAAAATGATAACGTCATTCCATTCAATGGTTATGAACATATTTTGGAGGGTGGAGTCAGAAAAGTAAAGGAATGGCGATCGTTAATGCAGAGAATAATTCATTGCAGTGATCTGCTGGGGCTTTTTTTTGCTGATCTGAGGAATTCTGTCTGTTAAACATGATACCCATCGACAACAATACTCGATGAATGAAAAGCGATTTGCAAAATAATGAGCAGTCTGGTTGCTATGTGCAAGATCTATCCTTGCGTCATTATAAGTTCTACAGTGTATGCCCTGATCATATATCAGTTTCTTGCCACTCGATCATTTTACTTTAACTTGAAGAAGAGAGAACTTATACCGCTTTAAAGTACTCATTTGCTGACGGACTTCAGATCTCTGCACAACTGTCTATCTATGCAATCTCCTCGGGTTCCTGGGATGCTCAGCTAAAGTAGTGCTTGTGAGTTTCCCAAGTTTTTTGATACCAGAAACATTTACACGATAATATTGTCCCAGTGTTTGTGGGACAATATAAGTGCGAAAAGCAACCTCTTCTCAAGGTAGAAGCAAGTCCATATCGTTCATCGTGTCGTTGTCACACAATTACATCTCTCAAATCTCAATTCACACTTGAGACTCAGTCGACTTATATTGTCCGACGAACCCTGGGACAATTTATTCTGCGTTCTAATTTTACAGTAACTGTACGTTCATCCTCTATCTCTTGCAACTTCATTCTCCCTCTTGAAGTCGGACAATCACAAAGACAGTACAAGAGCAGCGTTGCATGAGAAAAAAGACGGACTTTACCATAATTGTCTTATCTGATATCTTTTCTCACAAGTTGCGCCTCCACCCACGTTCGACGATCTTCCATGACCTTATTCTGCTTCCAGTTCCTTCTCATAAGTGAGAAGTTAGGAGTGATTTTGGCCAGATCATTCGTATGGACGTCGCTCGTTTCAGAAAACCAGCAACAGGAAAACTTAGCATCCAATCCCAAGTACCAAATCCATTAATATGGAAAGTGAGCCCACAGAAACTCGACCATGGGAAGATTCAGCGTGTGGTGTCAAATCATACTAGAATACATTGCCAACAAAGAATGTACAAGAAGTAACAATAGTTAAATCTTTGAGCTCGATACTCCGGACTTGATGATGCGAGTTGTGACACTAGGCTAGCGCATTCAAAGCATCCTCAGACATTTCTCCTCATCTGATATATCTTGGAATGGAATGAAAGTAGTGCTACATATGGCTTTGACAGATTCGTCATTCTTCAGGTGGAACTTCAGTTGTCGAGGAAGACAGTTGTGCAAAAAGAAGTGCATGTCCCAACATCGGCCAAGCAGTTTAAGGAACTCATTGGTGGTTGGGTAGTATACAAAACATGAGATGGATGATAAGTGTGGTACTTCATTTGATAATAACCACACCTGCAACGTCGCAAGGTGAAGTCCTGCCCAGTGACATGCATACAACAATTTTCTCGCAGCCAATAACAAGGCAAATATTATCTTGAAAAAGAGCTCGCTGATAAGCGAGATCTCGCTTAAAAATGTATAAAAAAATATGTAAAAAAGTGCGATAAAAATAATCACAAGTTTAAAAAAAATTGTGGCTACTAAAGAAATGCCAAAAAAAACGAGTAGCTTCTCTTAGATTAAACGTGTCATCCTTAGTGCAGGGGCCATGCTAATCTTCTCAGTATCGTTTCAAGTTGACCAAAGTGCCTTTTTATCGGCGGGAGTAGAAATGCTTATTGAACTTTATGTAGGGTATCTTTCAAGGTGGCTGGCTAGTTTAGGCAACCACGCCATGCTAGATTGGGGAAACTGCCACCCACCTAACACTTTTTAGATGACGAGCGTCTGCCTAAGGCTGAAGATGGGTGTTTCTTGTGGAGCTCTGTGTAATTTATTTTGTTGCATCGCCATGGATTGGAGAAGGAGAGGGAGTGTACCGAGAACAATTATGTAGGAGTTTTCATGGCGTTCTGTACCCAGTTTCTGCAAGTGGTTTTTTCCCTTTTCAATGACCCAGGTTTTCTTGGACGTTTAAGAGTACGCTTCTGGGATATTTCGTGCTATTGTATCTAGCGCAAGTTAATGAAATCAGAAAAAAGGAAGGGATAGTCCTTCTAAATGTCCGATTTTACCCCCGAAAATTTTCGAGTAGATTCAAATTCCACAAGTACATGACGAAGAAATATAGTTCACGAAGTTCTCATGAGCAAATGGTAATGGATCATTCGCTCCTCGACGGAATTGATGTCAAAATGAAATTTGGAAAACATGCAATGAAGCGGTATCTGAGTGAAGCGGATTCAGGGGAAGCTCGCCTAACAACAACCGAGAACTCCAATTTCGATGTTTTCACGAAAATCAGCGCAATCATTCCACATCATTTGACCGTTTTTGATCAAATGAGTCTAAACAATTTTCTAATATCGCGAATGTATATGATGATTGTGATTGATGTAAGATATTTGGAAGAGTAGAAGCAGCGAACATAACCGAAGAAGAATCTATGGCACACAGCAGCAGGAAGAAATACGTCAATTGTCCAACGAGATCTGAACAGCATTAATTATGGATCTTGGCTATGTGTAAGTCTTAGTATGAGCAGCAAGTAGCATAGAATGAGATAGGTTGGGGGAAAATTTGTGGTGCACTGTAGTTCGGTAAAAAAAATTGTTGCTGGAGACACTTCCCAACAACGTGACATTCGAAAGGATGCAGGAAGAAGATCAAATCTAAAAACAAGAAGGATTCGGCAACAATGAGTTGGAGACTGTGAGAATGCAGATAGCCGCTAGGTGGTCGTTGGAACTTGGGTCAAGCCGGGATCTTGATGAGTTCGTCAGACCCGAGTTGGATTTCAAAGATCGACTACTTGAAAAAATCTCAGTCATAAGAGAGAAGAAAGGGAAGAAACAGAAGTAGTTCCTGGAATAGATATATTGGGAAACATAGATTGCATAGTGTTGGTCTTTCCAAGTGGGGCTATTAGCTGAGTTAAGCTTGCATTTTTTGGAATTTCCAAAGACCAAAATATCGATGTACAGCAAGTGAGAACTCTAAAGCCGAGACTTTCGCTAAGAATAGCTTCGCATGTACAACTTGGTGCGGGGGATTGCACAATATCCTACCAACAAACAATTTAGACAAACAACAACCACTCTAATGACCTAAGCATTGGACGAATACCTGTAAAGCAAGTTGGCTTCCATAGAAATAGAAATACAAGCATACGCGAGATGCTCTGTACAACATTATCGACTTGACAGATGTTGAAATAGGCTTTCTGTGCCGTACATCTTAAAAAAGGGTGCGGATAAATGCTAAGAATACCGCCTCGCTCCACGCCCACGTCGATCAGTCAGATCAATGAAACCAAAGATAAGGTTGTAATGTTCTCATCTCGCATCTCTTTTTTGCAGGATCTATGCAAGGAGACGTGTGATGAGATTTGAGTACCTGCGTTCCCGCGTACAACGATCGGGTTATATTCTCAACCAGGACCCTTGGCCAACCCAATCTTGACCTGTCGGCCGGTGAAGGAGACAGGAGACGTATCCCACCTCGTCATCGCGCATAGGCGCTGGTATATCCTCTTTGTATACTCCTCCAAGTAACCTAGCGTGAGGTTGCCCATCTGGGGACGACCATTCAGGGGGGCGGCGCTTCAATGGATAAATTTCGCGCCGCCAGCCTTGCAGAACCCTTGAAGACATTGGTGCATAAGCGCTTTTGCCTCGTAGCCACAGGGCATCAGCCTTATGACGCACTCAGTCCCTCCAAGTCTATCATTTGCTGTACCTGCATACTCCAACCTCTAACCACGCGCTGATCGTCAATCCTGGGTGAAGCCACATGGACCCGGATGATTCTCCGATGAGTTACATTGCTGCAAACTGTAGCGGTCTCCCGAGCGAGACGCTGGTCTGGCCGTTCTTCCCGTGCATGTCGTCCGCCAGAAGCGATCCCACAGCTTATTTTAAGCTTCCCGAGTGGTGTTGTAGGTTTGCGTCTGTACCATGCAGGTCTGACGTTGGAGACCTGAGAGATGGTGTAGCAGAAGATCTATTGAATGGAGAAAGAACATGGGGAATCTGGCTTGAGATTTCGCCAGCGTCTAAAAAAAGGGGACCGAACTTGGACAGCGCTTAAGCAACGGCGGCTACGAAACTGCAAGGTGAGTGGTTGATTCCAACCGACTCTGCTTCTGAAACCACTTTGCCCGAACAGCTGGCAATTGTCGCTACACTTATTCATATGCAGTACTTGGTCTATTTCATAATGAACAGAGGTCGATAGAAAAAAGAATTTGCGTTGACAGGAAGCGAGGAGCGATTGGACGTTAAATAATATGGGTCTGCGAATTGATGATTCGTCGGAAGATTCCCACTTCATAATATCCGAAAGGGGTATTTTTCACTTCCACACGGGGAGATACTCGAGACTTTGATCGAATGTTGGCAAATTATATCTTGTAATATTAATACGAGGCCGGTGTTGCAAGTCCGATAACAGACCCAGCAGAGCCACGTGATGGACCGCTCATCGACATCTCTGCCGCGATCGAGGGGGCCGATATCCGCCAGAGCAAAAATAGATAATTCTCCGCGTCAAATGGAGGATGATCTGTAAGCCGGGTATCTCTGCCTCGGTCCTACCCTAACCTGAAACCTAACGCATGGGAGACGAGTCCTCAAGTAAGCTGGGAGAATTAGGCCTTAGTGAGGTGGTGTTATAGGGATTAACGGGCCACTAGGCGGCTAAAATCTGTGGCCGGGGAAGCACAGGCTCTATCACGAGGCCACGAGAAATCAAGCCACTCCGCAGAATCCTTGCGAATGTGAACGATGCCTGCGACATTCTGTAGAACGTCTGCCACTGCCTGACCTTGATTGGAACCTTCCCCCGACACACACGCCACACGCAACTAGAAACGAGTAATAAAACGAAATATTTTGGGCATCATTGGAAAATGCGAAAGCGAGGCACAGCATACCTACCGACTTCAAACCCACAACTAGCTATGTAGTGGGGAAAGAAAGGATGACTCCAAGGCTGATGTTTGACGACTAGCTCGAAGGGAAGTTGGAAGAGGCAGTCACATCGCGCTTAATCGAGTCTCATTTACACTTTTTCACGACCTGTGCTCAGAAATCTCGTTCTGCTTCCGATGATTCGTGGGCAAACTGTTGCAAGGAGTACGGAACTTTCCTGCTTTGGGAGCGCGTGTCCAAGAAGCTGTGTGACTGCGTTGAGAAGTTCGATGGTGATAGAGTGGTTCATGGTCTTTGCCGGCAGTATTACATCCGTTTCTTACTCTTCACCCAGCCTATCGACGTTAGTTGCTTTTCAACTGAGTGCAATCAGCAATATCGTCATGCCGGTGTTTTGGCCAAATGCGGTCATGACCAAGTTAATCCTCCGAATCACTGTGAAGGTTCTACATTGCTCTGGCTCTGGAACTGGAACAGAGCCCTTGTTGAGGGGTAGCGAAGCGGTTGAGGGTAAGGTCTGGAGGAGCACCAGATCCTCTTCAGTCTTTTGTTCTCTAAAAGAGGACCTTAATCGGCCGCTGATCCCGGCTGCCTTGAGCGTCAGTCTGTATTTGCTTTGCCGAGCACTTCGTCTCAGACGCATCTTGAAGCGCGGTGCCCGAACTCGCCTACCTGTCACACAAGTCTTGATCGTTCCCCAGGCCAATCGCCCCCATTATCAATCATCAGTAAACACCACTCTCGCCATCACCAACAACAACATAACTATCGTGCTCCTGTAGTTGTAGCCCTCTTTTAGAACCAACAGCATCCAACTTCTCAGCCTCCCAATAAAGTATTTATTGATCTTGGTTTCACGCCATCACGAACCCGCAATTTAGCAAGCTTCACGCGTGGTTGTGATCTCCCAATTCTATTCCTGGACTCGATCCCTGCCATGATCCCATCGGAGTATTGTTTCAAAGAGACGCAGCGGGCTTGATGAATGCCAAGGGCTGGATTCGACCTTCCATCATCCTCGCCCATCATTGTCATCTTTATGCGTGCAGGGTTCGAAGCGGCAGAGTTCTTACGATGACCAGTACATCCAAAGTACCGTTTGTTGCAAATTACTCCTCCATACGTGCACGTCCGAATAACTGCATCCTCTGGCACTTTACCCAGGATCCGCGCAAGCCCATTGGCAGCGTCTCAGGGCATTCCAACGCGCCAAACGGTTGACTGGCTGCCCCTTCTCTGCTGAACTACTGCAGGTGTGCTGCCGCGGGGTGCCACAACGTACACGATGCTGAACACTGCCGCTGCTGTGTGTCTCCTGTGCTATTGCTCTCCTAGCGTAGCGTGTGTGATGTACGATGTGCGATGTTTGTGACGACGTTTTGAGTGAAGTCTTGGGCGGCGCGCGGTGCGGTTCGGTGCGGTACCTGGTGATTATCAGTTTCTGCTGACTGGCACACGCATTCTTGCATTTTGGCGTGCGCACGTCTGGAGAAGGTTGACCTCGCACGTCGTGCAGTCTAGCAGCCTTGCCTAATCGAGATAACCGCCGACGCAGCTTCGGGTGAGGGACATTGAGGCGCGTCCAATGAGGCGACCGGGCAGGGATGACACTGTCGCGGTAGTCTTCCAGAGTGTGATGTGCCTCACAAAGGGCGCTGCTGCAGCATTGTGCAAAGCGAGCAGCCGCTCAGCTGGTCCTGGAGGGCTTGGGGACGTAAGTGGTCGAGCAACAGCGGGGCGGGCAAGCAGAAGAAGCCTCTTGAGGCCTGGTCGACGAGTCGAGGTTCCTATGGCACATCTGATCTGATGTCCTGGTGTCCATCGATTGATGTGCGGACCGAGGAGCTGCTCGATGACGGGAACGGGTAGGTTCTAGCTAACTTCTAGGAGTATTATCTGTCGAAAGTCGGCTCTCCCACGACTCAAGACTCCTTGTGCTGCTGCTACTGCTGCTGCAAGTGCTTGCTCTCGAGCCCTGATCTGCCGGCGCCAGCCCGACTGGGCTAGCAGGCTTCCTTCCCATCTTTCCGAGAGAGCGAAAGACAAAATAATGTGCCCTGCCATGCACCTCATCTCGTACATACAGGACGTGCTGCTCTCCTGGACAAGAGATCCTGCTCGCTCTGCTCACGCACATATCTACCTACCTACCTGCGAGGCTATGCGGCCATATGCCATGATACTCTCTGAGTGAGATAACTCTGGGTAATCCCACACAATCCAGCGAGACAAGACGTAAATTACTTGGACGAACTTAAGGTTGTAGACGCGAGGAGAGCCGAGGGTGCTCGGAGACGACCAGCCAGCCAGCCAGCCAGCCAGGGCCCGTCTCGGATCCAACAGCGCAGGTTGTAAATTTATGTAGTGACCATGGCCAGATTCAGCGCCCGTCGCCAATGATTTAATAAAAGAACGACGCGGTGCAGGAACTGCTTCGTATGCAGGCTGGACCCTGGTCGCACTGCTCGACTCCGCGATTGAGTCGATGATTTGCTTGCGTCTGCTTGGGTCTTGGGGAGCAATTGATGGGATGTGCGTGTTTCGAAGACTAGTGTTTGGTTTGTCTGACGCAGCGAGGGCTCGGTGGAGTGGGGAGGGAGCCCGCCAGGAGACCGCCAGCTGAACCGCCTTCCCTTCCCTTCCCTTCCCCCCTTAGACGAGGTCCCGCAATAGGCGCGCGATATACATGCGAACTAGCTGGGTAGGGATTCAGATGGGCCAGGTTTGCGGGCCTGAGTCCTGGGATGCGCACCGCACAGGGGACTTTCCCAGGGCAAGGTAGGCCACCCACTGCTCGCTTTCTGGAGGATGGTACTGTACCGTGTGGTCTGGCTGCTCTGGTAGGTCTGGTACCTATGTAGGCCTAGGGTAGGGAAGGGACTCACTTCACTTTTCTGGCGACTGGCGACTGGCGAATGTGAGTCTGAGTCGTCTGGGAGGGGCACGGCAACCACCAACCCCATGACGAATGTTCGACGGCGGACCTGGGCTACAAGGGACTACGGACTCCCAGAGCGACTACACTACACTACACTACTGTGAGCCACAGGCGAGCGTCAATATATTGGCAGCAGCCCCAAACGGCTGCCATTCTTTGCCTTCTCCGTTACCAAACTGCTGGGTCTACTTTTCGCAATCCTCGACCAGACTTCCATTCTCTTCACCCCCCATCCCAGACCACTTCCGCATCATCTGAATCGATCCGGATTTCGGCTGTAGCACCACTTTCCGCACTGACTCGAGGACTTGGGTAGAGAAGCATCAAGCGCGCGCTGAGAAACGAGCAAGCAAGCAAGCAAGCAAAGAAGCAGGAACCCAGAGACGACTTGGCCGGTCCGCGTCGTTCTTCGAATTCTGTCGCGGCTGCGCCACGTGCAGGACTTAGGAAAGTGGAATAGATATACTTTTGTGTCGAAGACGGGACGTCTCGATTGTCAATTCCACGGGAGGGCCGAGTTGTTGGAAATCCGGGGCTACAACTGAGGCTGATCATCGAATGCCCGTTTTCTGACGTTCTCAAACCATTTGTTACGCAAGGCGCGCCACTTCGAATCCTTCATCACCACGGTCAGCGCTCATTTCAACGAGGGTCATCCATCGCGTTTGGTTTAGACATTGGTTTGTATGAAGTGTGAGAAGTTTCGCATAGACTCGATCCCCAGCCATCCTCTGAATACTCTTTCATTCTGTTCTGCGCCAGTGTCTGGAGTCTGGTGACCGACCGTAAGCAGCGAATCGACGCAGCGCAGTCCGATAGCGAGGGGCAAAATTCGAGGACCTGAAGAACGAACAGGATTCAATTGAAGTCCAGAAGAGTTTCGAGGGGTTAAGGCGTCTGTTCAGAAGGTTCTGTCGAGTCGACAGCGCTTGCCGTTGGGTGGAGAGTAGAAGAGACGGGAGAGGCGGGATCGATCGACACGTGAAGTTGGAACGAGTGGCGAAAGGGCGCGCGGAAAGGGAAGAACGACGAATTCGCAATTGCCTGAGATTCAAGACAGATCAAGAACAATAGAGAAGAGAAACGAGCGCGAGGAGATTGAGCAGCGACTCTGAAAACTGGAATTTGAACTTTGAACATTCGGATCCACGCGACTCGGCTAATGGTCGGAGAGGGCGTCTAACGGCAAGAGCGCTATTATCAACTTCTCCTTCCCTTTCCACCATCAATCTTCCACCAAAGTCGCAAAGACAATCTACGACGGAAACATTAGCTTTTGGTTCTCACTTTGACCCTCCCAAATCGAGAAGCTGGCTACTTTCACCCAGCTCGAGTCCGCGCCTTCGCGACAGGTAGAGGGACAGGCCTCGTTTCCCTTGAAGCTATCCGACACCACGGCGTCATTTAGAGGTCAAGCTGGTGGTGGTTTAGATCTGGTCAATCTTGCCAGGGAGATTCTAGGCCGAGGAAGCGATTCCGGAACTGCGAGCCTGTCAGAACCGAGAGTCATTGCCTCTCAGATGGCCTCGACAGAAGAGCAAAACACGAGCGGTCAACCTGATTCGCCAACGTCTCGTTTTACGGCTGTTAACAACAAAGAGCCTCCTGTGGGAGCTCCTCTGAACTCAAATGTCCCTTCGCGAAGAGGCTCGGATGAGAGGTCCAATGGTCAACCACGGATCACGCCTCCTGGACAGGAAAAGCTGACGATTACAACTACGACGACCCAAGATTGGCTACCTCCATCATCCAATGGAGATAGGCATCAATATCAGCCTTCAAATGCGTATACGGATCCTGACGGCTCTCATAAACGCAAGAGGTCAGGCTCAATCGAGCAAAACTCATCTTCAGCTAATTCATACCACACTCATGCCTTGCCATCTTCCGCCAAACAAACCCCCAACACCGCGACGACGGAGTCAGATGGCCCTCGAGAGGAGTCACTACGTCCAACTGCTTCAATTGAGCCTCGAGATCCGTATGGTTCTGAATCTCAGTACAGGCAATTCATGGCATCACAAGAGGACATCCGTGAGAACGTGCGTGGACACGATCCGTGGCACCCACGACAGTACACCCCACCAGTTATGACTTCTGATGAGCAACTTGGAGAAGTTCTTCGAAGAGCATCGCAAAGTATGGACGCTCAACGTGGTTATGCAAGTCCTGACGATGACCGTTCAGCCAATCCGTATGGTCCGTATAGAAACGACGGAAGAGAGATGTCCACACAATCTGATCCCAAGAAGCGAAAGCGAAACTTCAGCAACCGGACAAAAACCGGCTGCATGACTTGTCGGAGGCGAAAGAAGAAATGTGACGAAAGTCGACCAGAGTGTAAGTCCCTGTGCGAAACACACATAAGATGCATGGCTAATGTGCTGCAGGTAACAATTGTTTGCGAGGCGGGTTCGTTTGCTCGGGTTACCAACAGCGCGGCCAATGGCCCAAAACGGAACAAAAAGCAGCCCCGATCCCCTTGCAATCAAAGACAGAATATGAGAATTCGCCATATTCAGCTTCTTCTCCGTACTCGCAACACCATCTTGCGCAACCTCGACGGGAACCATTACCTGGATACCGTGGACAAACCCTGCGCGTCGATCCTCAACATGGTGGTCGCAATATGAACATGGATGACGATCAACCAAGTGCATCGACGATCCCCAGTGCTTCAGTCGCCAGCCCGGAGAACAACCGATTATCAGCCATTTCTTACAATGCACAGATACCGACACCGATCACAGCGTCCAGTAGTGCTTATCCAGACCGACAGCCACCGAAGAATGTGTATGACCGTGTCGGCCCGCTGCATGATCTCTCAAGGCAGGAGCCGAGAACCGAGTCAGATACTGGAACACCGCAATCTGCATCATCGACTCTACCACAGATTCTGCACCCTCAGCTACACTCGAGCAGTCCACACAGCAACCCTCAAGTTGCGGCACAGCTAGCTTTGTCCAACCTTGCATCTACCAACAGACCACGCACACAAAAGGAACAAATGCTGGCAGGTCAGCACTACTTCCCCTTCGACAAGGAACTTGTCCTTGAGCGCGAGCGATGCAATGGGGCTTGTTGGAGATTCAATAGCAGCACCAATCCGAACAATGGCGTGTCCCCAGAGGAACGTGCACGTCTGTTTCGAGACATCCTGCAGCCTCGAGAGTCTGTCATCTCACCAACTCAAGCCTCACCTGTCACACCCGTTGGTCGAGTTGGCGACAATGTTGTGGTGGAGGCGCCTTTCAACTGCGACTATGGATACAATATCAGCATTGGCCAAGATGTTGCTATTGGAAAGAATTGTACCATTCTCGATACTTGCGAGGTTGAGATCGGCGACAGATGTCACATCGGGCCGAATGTCAATATCTACACTGCGACATTGCCTATCGACCCCAAACGCAGATTGGGTTCTCGCGGACCAAACTTTGGACGGAAGATCACTATTGAGAGTGATTGTTGGATTGGTGGTGGAGTGACGATCTTGCCTGGACGCACGATTGGCAAGGGAAGTACGGTGGGGGCCGGCTCCGTCGTCACGAGGGTATGCTCATTCGTTTATCCACAATTTTAGTTTACTAACAGCGCTTTGCAGGACGTCCCATCATACACTGTCGTCTGCGGCAACCCCGCTCGAGTCAATCGAGGAATATACGCAACATGAGCTATGGATCCAGTACACGAACGATGATGCGCTCTTGCCGTGCATCAACTCTTTATCACGAGCAAACTTTCTTCATATCCACTTCGGCTGCTCGCAAACGGAAGCCGGATGTTGTTCTTTCATACCAAAACACTTGTAATTACGTATCCCGGTTTCCTTGGACTCATATGGCGGGTGTCCTTTGCATAGCGTTTGCTTTTTATATACCACTGTTGCTGCCACGGTTAATATCTCTTATTCTGGGTATGGGTCCTCTCATTGTATTCAATGAATTTTGGGAAGGGAGGAAAAAGTCACGTATACGGCGGGGTTCTTTCTCCCTAGATGAAGTTACGGACGGGATGAAGGAGCGAAGGAGGGAGGGATGGAGGCATAGATGGATGGGCTCTGGTAGCTATCGGTGCTTTTGGAATGCAAAGCCAGGCTTGGCAACGATACCTTGGATGGTTTTGCTTATGGTTGTAATTATACTGGCCTGAAAAAGGAATATAACTTTATTTCCATCTCTTGTTTTGCTTGCTTACTTGTCTGTAATATGTGTTATCCGGACATTTACACTATGGTGCATTGACTAAAATGTCTGACTGAAGGCGAGGACAATGAGGCTGAGTCTAAAGAGGATATCCAAGCCAAGAAACTTTCCTCCTTTAACGCAAGAACCATTAGAAATCCCATTGATCCCAACAAGCGGAGAAAGTCCCCCTCAAACTGCCTAGGGACAATGAACCCCCACCCACCGACGATGCAGAAAATCTCTAAACCGCTTCTTCAAACCCAAGACATGACATGACATGACATGACGTCGTCCCAGAAGAAGCGTAACGCTTATGCATAAACATCAAGCGGGTGATCCATCACAATGCACAGCGCTTGCTAATAAGCAACCGCCGCCTGGGGAGTTGGGGGTAAGCGAGCGAGGGAAAGAAAAGGGGCGAGGGTTGGGGGCTAGCGGTGGTGGTGGTGGTGGTGGTGGCGGTTAGGGATAGGGGTAAGTGTGAGATGACGTGGATGAGGGGCAAACGGGGGAGTTAGAGAGGGTGAGAGGGCTAGGGCGGGGAGGGGGAGGAGGGGGATTGTTGAATGTGATGGGAAAGGAGGGGAAGGATTAAAAGCGAGATGAGATGAAGTTGAGAAGAAAGAGATAGTTAGTTTGAAGATGAAAGTGAGGGGTCAATGAAAGTGAACGAAAATAAAATGAGGTTGAAAGCGAAAAGAAAGCTTTGAAAGCGAAAAAAAATATATATATATTTAAAAATAAGAAAATATTTGAAAGTGAAAGATGATTTATGAAAACGAAGAGATAGCTAAGCCTGAAAAGTTAAATATGATTTCGAAAGTTTGTAAAGTTCTTTAACCAAGATACACTCTCTTACTTTAAACATATTGTATTTACTAATATTCCCCGCGCAGCAGACAATAGCAAGGACAAGAATAAGGCGACATCGAGAACTAGTTTTAAAGACGACATTATTATGATGCTTTGTATGTTTGCTTCCTTGAAAGTGACGGTATCGGCAGAGATGATTGCATGATGGGAATCTAATTCCACGTTCGTACCGACAATTACAGCAAACAGAATCATAATCTCAACTTCGACATGAACGCCACGAGCAACGACGACAGAATGTTGTTTGATGATCTAAGTTGCTATGGAGTCTTGAATGTCAGACTCTTACCCCAAACATTGTCGGTATAGATGTAAAAAAACTAGATGTCAACTTTAGATCTAAGGATACCGCTTTGTGGATCGGAGATTGAGACCTACTTCATCTATGTATCATGCCTCCGACAATCATGCTAAACAGAGTAAGATTGACCGAGTCGAGATACTTTGCGATAGTAATGTTCCTGTAGATAGCTAACTTTATAAAGCATGGCAGTTCAATTACAGATAAAGGTCGAATTACAGATGCTCGAAATCGTTTCGATTATTGTTCGAACCAATGCCCCGAGATTCGTCGAGTGTACGGTGGATAATATAAAGTCCGGCAAGACCGAGGACAAGATCTTTTGAGTCTTCGAAGCAGTGGATATAGAAAATGGACTCTAAGTGTTCGCCATAGATATTGAGTCATTTGAGATTCATAGTTGGAAGGCACGCTGATTATTACAAAAGAGACGTAGGGAAAGACGAACTTGATAGATTTACAATTGCTATTGCAGGAACACAGGTCGTAGAGTATTATTAAATACTTAGCATTGGCTTAATCGGTCTACTCTTGGCAGGAGAGAATTGCCCCCAAAGCGATAATATCTTTTTATTTCAAGGCAGTACCAATGTTGGAAATTCAGTTCGAGATTGAGGGAATAAAAATATCTGAAGCCACAAGAACATTTATGCGGTGTACCCTCTCAGCCACCAGGTCTTCACATGAACGAGGCGCGAGAGGAGTTCAGTCAAGATAGTGCCACAAAGATGGCCCGATGCACTGCATGGAGAAGAAAATCGCATAGAGTTCACCGACTTTGAGAAAAGTAATTAATAGAAGCAGATTCCTGAAGCAACTCAATTATCCAAAAAAAATCGAAACACATTGCTCGGTCCATGTACCGACACTTTGATGAAGCAGCAGTGCCCTTGGACCGAACTATGAGCCTGCTCGGGCACCCAAGCGAAATTTGCATCGTGATCAAGTCTTGATCCACAGCTCGACATTGACTTGATTGAAGATTTCTTCGTCGGCATGCATATTGCTTTTCTACCCCAAATTGTTCCAGAATCAGATGTGCAACCAGCGTGCCACTGTCTTGATCATTACAACTCCACGTGACGGGAATGTCGTGATGCCCGATCTGAGACCGTCACACAGCGAAGAGACGCTGTGTCACGTACAGTAGGACCCGACGCCATCTGACGCCTCGTTGTGTCAAGAAGTTGCGCATGCAGTCAAGTTCTCTGGTTGGCATCTTTGGTGGTGGTTTGCGGAAGCATACTGTATGTGCTGGACCAGCAGTGAAAAACGCCGAGGCCCCTTAATTGGTGATCAGAGTAATCGATTCAACGAATAGCGATGGTGAGTTGGCCAAGCGTCGGATGTGGGTGACTTGGGCTGAAGCAGCGGTGTTGGCCACAACACGAGGTTTGTACTGTACTGTAAAGTTGTGGGATGAACATGAGCATCCGATTTGGCAGCTGTTTTCTCACGCTGCGTTTGTTTCTCGCGGGGACAGACAGACAGGCTGACAGGGGAGCCGGGAAAGAAAAAGAAAAGAGGAGGATCGCTTGAATGAAACAACGAGGCGGAGTCCGTCAACCAGGGGGGGATCCGAGCTGGGCTCCCCTTGGCCCAGATCCAACTTTCTCGGCAAGGCAGCAAGGCACACCGCGGAAGGAGTGGAAGAGTTCCCAGCTGGAATTTGCTCGTGTTCGTCCGATCATCGTCTTTTTCATTTCGGGATTCCAGGCCCTCGCAGTGCACTGCCGACCGACATCACTCTTGACCATCGTCCGGGAGGAAAACAAGCCATATCCGTGAATTGCATCTCGACACGGATTCGGCGGATGGGTGGGTGCATAATGATATGTAGTTCTCATTGCAGTTGTCGTGTTCAACACGTGCAGGAACATCGACACCACAAAGCGCTGACCATGGGCTGCAGGCGGAGGGCGATCCATCAGCAGCAGAGAGAGCGAGAACTCGGACAAGCAGCAGCAGCACCACCACCACCACCACCATCACCACCACCAGCAGGTGCAGGTTGAAGGAGTCGAAAAGCAAAAAAACTGCTGGCTGCATGGATCCCCGGCCTGGTGCAAAGAAAAAGCGGAATCGGCTCGTAAATCCCCAGGCACGCGTCTTATCCCATTGGGTGCCCATTCTCGATCTTGTCCCGTTCCTGAACAGCCCCTGCCTCTTCCCCCTTGCTGAGCCTTCCAACACACAACAATTCTCTCCCTTCTTCAACATCCAACTTCCCGCCTTTCTTTCTTTCTCTTTACCTCACAACCTTCACGACTTCATCTCCTCAAAAACATTCCTGTCTTTCCCTTCCCTTGTGAGACATCGACCACTGTACACTTGTACATTTCCATTCATTCTTGACGCCAACCTTCATCGAGCATCAAATCAGCCTTTCTCAGCCCCCGCTATCCTTCACGAACATACGCCAGAGACATTCTCATCGCCAGCCGATCTGCCAAATCTCACTCATTAAAGAACCAACGCATCACGCCCCGCATATCACTCGATTTCTGTACTCTTCTTCTTCTCGTACAGCACCTTCTTTTTCAACAGCCATTATGAAGTCGACAAATTTTGTTCTCGGAGCTCTCTTGGCCTCTGTTGCCATTGCTCAACCCCACAAACAATACCACGCCCGACACCACAAACGTGCCAATGCCGAGACCACCGTGATCGTCACCGACTGGGTGTATGAGTACGAGACTGTCGGTGTAACCACCACTATTTGGGTTTCTCCCGGTTTTGTTGAACCCGAAGTCACGTCCTCTACCACTCCTTCGACCACGACGATCCCTCAGGTCTCCACGAGCATCTCTCAGAGCGCCGCACAGTTCTTCCAGCCAGAGAGCACTTCCTCCACGGAAGCTCCAGCACCAACTCCATCTACCTCCAGCACCAGTACCTCGAGCTCTACCCCAAGCCCTGTGTATGTTGCACCTACGACATCGACGACAGCTTCATCTGTGTACGTTGCTCCTGTGGAGAGCTCCAGCTCTAGCTATGTTGCTCCGGTTGTGGTCCCGACTACAACCACCCCGGCTGCTGTTGTAGAGACTACTACTTCTGCTGCTCCTGCTGCTACCACTTCTGACTCTTCTAGCTCCTCTGGTTCAAGTACCGGTGTTTGTTCTTCGGGAAGCCCATGCACTGGAGATATCACTTACTACGAGGCCGGACTGGGAGCTTGCGGTTGGACCAGCGATGGTTCCACTGAGCAAGTTGTTGCTCTCCCCTACGAATTGATGGGTACCCAATCCAACGGTAATCCGTACTGCGGCAAGACCATCACCATCTCGTACCAAGGAAAGACAACCCAGGCTAAGGTTGTCGACAAGTGCATGGGCTGCATGGGCGATTCCATCGATCTTTCCAACGCAGCTTTCCTCGAGCTCGCCGAGCTTGCGGTCGGTCGTGCTAGTGCCGAGTGGTGGTTCAACTAGGTATCTAAAAGTATGTATGCATGCTTAGTAGAGTGGATCTCTCAGCACCAATGATGTTGCAAGTCGACATCTACGAATCTTCTTCAATGGGTCAATATTCTACAAGCATAGGAGGGAGACGGTCGAAAGCATTGGGAGGTATAGAAGGCGTCACAACAAAATAAGGAAAACTACATTTGATGATGTGATGATGGTGCCTGGCGCACAGTGTGAGCTTGGATCAAGCTGAAAATTAGATCTTCTTGTATATACTTAGACCTTAGTGTTTGCGTCTTGCAATACAATGTGAGGTTGCACTTTGAAAATTTGCCGTTGTGGTTTTGTATAAATTGCTTGCTTGACATCCGCTCGACTACCGGGGCAAAATCAGAGCTGGTACATTATTCGTTGTCTGTGGTCCCCAAGATATCAGACGTATAGAACAAAAATCTTGACAGCGAGAATGTCCAGTCTTTCGATAGTAATTGACTTGCAACTATAGTCTACAATTCCGGTCTGGGTTGGTAGTGTACCTCTAGATACAGGTTCACCGACCCTGGCTCCATCCAACTTTCCAGAGTGTAAGATGTGTCGCAACTTAGTAGTTGATAGGTAGTTGATTGATGGGAAGGGGTGGGGTATTTATCGACGGTCGTTGTAAGGAAGCGAGACTGGATAGCGTGAATCTTTGAAAGGAAGGAATAGAGAGCTGGGTGAGCGCGGGGTTGTTACGTGAATTTTTGATGGCAAAGAATAGGGAATTCACGCTTTGGATGTTTTGGGTGAATTGGGACATTGTACCTTTACCTAGGTAAGTTGATCGCTGAAAGGAACATAACCATTCCATACGGGTGAGGTCATAACTGTTTGCTTCAGACATCAGATAAGAAATGATAGGCAGCAAGTATGTTGGATATGCAGCATTCCTCCACGCGAAGTGAGGAATGTGGTGTACACGTTTTCTATATCATACCACCACCCCGCACTTACGACTTACCCACCAACCCATCCTCCCTTTTTTTATTGACTAAGACTAATACCAAGATGCCTTGCGGACTTCTCAAAAGCACAAAAATCCACTTTGCAAGTCTGGGCATAGGATGCAAAGTCTCAACCTCAACCCAAGACATGACAACCAACCCCACCCTCACCTCATTCCCAGACTCACGATTCCTCTCCGCCGCAAGGTAACTACCCTCCCCTCTCCTATCCCACCCACCAACTCCTCACAAAAATCCTCCCCGCCCCCCCACAAAAACCTCTCACCACTAATCCCCCTCCCCCCAGAAAATGCCAAAACCCCACCTCCCCGCACCTCCTCTCCGCCACCCTCCGAATCCACGTCCCGAAACAAGGCCTCCTGAAATTCTCCTCCACCTACACGCACGCGCACACGCCCGCGCTCAAAGACCTGATCCAGACCTTCCTCGACGAGTACGGGACCTGCAGCCAGAACAAGAATATCATGGAGGTGTGCTCGACCGAGATCAAGCTCGAGAGCGAGCTTGAGGAGCTCGTGGGCAGTTTGGGGGGTTGTAGGGAGTGTTGGTGAGTTTTCTTTTTTCCCTTTTTTTTTTTTTTTTTTTTTTTAAATTTTTTTTTAAGAGGGGAGGTGGGAGAAGGGTGCTGATGGGTGATGTGAGGGAAATAGTTCGGTGAGGATCGCGAGGCCGGAGTTGGGGTGTAGGATTTCGCTGGATGGGCAGACGGAGGTGAGGAGTTCGAGGTGGAAGAGGAGGGAGAGACAGGTTGTTTGTTTGGCGCTTGAGAGTCTTTCTGCTCCTCCTCCTCCTTCTTCTCCTACTACCACTGGTAACAACAAAAACAACGACAACGAAACTCCAACGCAGTTCCAAGATCTGGTACTTGAGCCAGAGAAAGATGGGATTGGGAAGGCGAAGATGGGAAAGGTGTACGTGTGCTGGGAGTGGAAGACGGTGAGGATGGGTGGGTGTACGGTTTGTTGGGGGACGGACTTTGTGGTTGATGCGGTGAGGGGGGAGGGGAGGGGGAGACCTTGTCTTTTGAGGAGGGTAATGAGGAAGGTTGGGGTTGTGGGGAGGGGTATTGGGAGGAGGGATTTTGCGATGAAGGGGAGGGAGAGGGTGGAGCCTGAGCAGGAGTTGAAACCTTTGCTCATTTGATGTTTTTGGGACCAGAACTTCTGGGAGGATATGAGAGATAATTCGCAGGGTAGATTGTGTTTCTTTGGACTTATTTTTGTTGTGTTAAGGAACGAACGAATGAAAGACATAACTCATCTTGGATCCTTGACCATCCTTGGCTCTTCTTCGAATAAATGAGTGACATCTGTGGAGTCGTTCATTTGTACAACAAATATACAGTTTCCTAATCATCGCCTCATCACTTTGGCGCTTCACCCTCGGCGGGAACCAAAACCTTCTTCTCTTCCAACAACTTTGCCAGCTCCCCATTCTGATGCATCGCAACTATGATATCGCACCCACCCACGAATTCTTTGTTGATATATAATTGTGGTATCGTTGGCCATTCCGAGTATTCTTTGATCCCTATACAATAGTAAGTTGTCAGCCATTCGTTCACCCTGCACTCTACATTTCTCTCCCTTTTATCTCCAGAATTTATACAAAGGAGTGGAAATGGAAAATTGTACCAGCTCTCAATGCCTCATCCTCCAACACGTTAAAAGCAGCAAACTTCTCAGGATCAACACCCTGTAATCCTAAGATTTGAATACTAGCTCGAGAGAACCCGCATTGAGGTGTCTCGGGTGTGCCTTTCATGAACAGAACCACAGGCCGCGATTCGACTGCTTTATCGATTGCTGCTTTTGTTTCTGTAGATAGCAGTCTGACGGCGAAAGGTGTGAGGCGGGACTGTGGTTGTATGAAGCGGGAGGCGAATTGTGAAGAAGAGGGACGGGTAGTTGCACGGAATGCCTTTTGTTTGTTAGACTTTGCGGATACGAGAGGACAGGGAAGGACAAACAGCAGATATTGGTCTGGCGAACATTTTGGTGGCCATGCTTGGTATGTGCAAGATACAGAAGCTGTGTACAGAATGTCGATGATGTCGGCAGCTCGAGAAATTTAGATGGGAGGCTGACCAATAAGATGCTCAGTAATCAGATGCTAGAACGAGGCTGAATATGACTTATTGATAATCAGACGAGGCTCTCCCCACTTCTTCGACAAGCAAGTATTCATTTCACAAACAATGATATTGCAACACCGTCCTTAATTTCTCTCTCATACAAAAGTGCTCTCAGAGAACTAAAGTAATAAGCCCGTCAAGATGCTACAAATGATCCACCCCGAACACAACCCAAACCACCACCCACCATTCCTAGCATCAAACCATCTCCACGACGGAAAAGCACACCTCCTCCTCGCAGCCTCCGGCTCAGTTGCCACCATCAAGATTCCTAACATCCTCGAAGCTCTCTCCTCTCACCCAAACCTCAGCATCATCCTCCTCTTAACCAAATCCGCGTCCTCGTTCCTGCAAGGCCAAAGTGCCGAGCAACCACATTTCAACACCTTCCACCGCATCAAGAACGTCGATGGCGTATTTCTAGATGAGGAAGAATGGGTAGTCCCTTGGACGAGAGGAAAGGGGATCTTGCATATTGAGTTGAGGAGGTGGGCGGATCTGCTGGTTGTAGCGCCGTTGAGCGCCAATACGATGGCGAAGGTGGTGGGTGGTTGGGCGGATAATCTATTGTTGAGTGTTGTGAGGGCGTGGGATACTACGGGGATTATTGATCCTTTGAGAATCATTCCTTCTTCACGTACTGTGGTCTCGGAAACTGGAGCAGCGGATACAGGGAATGGAGAGGTTGTGAATGGTGGTCATGGGAATGAGCTGGCGACGAGGAAGAAGAGAATTATAGTTGCACCAGCGATGAACACGGCGATGTGGAGACATCCGGTCACGAAATCTCAAATTAGAGTTTTGGAAGAGGAGTGGGGTGTGGAGGGAGAGAAGAGTGAGGGTCAAGGTTGGTTTGAAGTTGTACGGCCGATGGAGAAAGAATTAGCATGTGGAGATGTGGGGGATGGGGCTATGAAAGATTGGAGGGAGATTGTAAAGATTATCGAGAAGAGATTGGTACTTGAGGATCAAAGGACGACATCAGTGAGTTAGGGTTGAGTTGGATAGTCATCGTTGAGCGCATCTTGCATGGAGCTTTGCATGTGGCGTTGGGCTTCGGGAAAAGGTTGGTGATGATCTTCTTGGTACCATTTGCAGCGTTTGTTCACTTTATGAGCCAAAGGAGCTTCAGGCAGCGTGGAATTTACGTTGATGTTATGAAGCATGAGAACTATGCTTAGTTCTACGAGTCACGCAAGCAAATTCAGAAGAGCAAAAAATCAAGCATGATTCACTATTCTAGCCACGTCTGAAGATTTTTCAATGTTCATTGTGGCCAAATTGTAGTCTGGCGTGCCTATGATCAAAAGGAAGTGTTCTCAGCACGCGGTCAAGCTTGTAGCATTTCAAAATAATCTTGTACATGAAATGGAAATTGTCCGTAACAACTTGAGGCTGCTCATCATTTTAAGTTCTCTGTTTTGAGACTGTTCTTTCAGAGGCGACCTCAGTTAGGCCTCTCGTTAAGCGTGAGTTCCTATTCTGTCGTCGAACATTGAAGCCTCGCCTCCATCTATTTTCTCCAAACAACGCGTCCTCCAACCTCCACTCCAACAACAAGAGTCACCCAAAATCCATAACTTCACCAGACTCTCACCATGGCGCGCGAAGCCCATACTCGGAAGTCTGCAAACAAACTCATCGTCGTCGAGCCACCGCCTGAGCGACGCTCCACACGTCTTTCGGACCAGGCAGCTCCAAAATCATACCGCTACGTCTCCAACAAGCAAGCACCCAGCTCTTCCGTCCAGCGTCCTGCTCGCAAAGCTCCAGTCACCAAGGATTCGAAGAAAGCTGGTAATGCAAAGCAAAATGTTTCGATTACAGGCGTGTTCAAGAAGCAACAAAAAGTCAAGGCTGGACGCGTCAGTAAGAAACAAAAGCGCAGAGATGCTACCCCGGAGTTAGATCTCATGGATGAATTTCAAGGTCTGTAACAATCTACTCCTGCACCTGGATGGCTGAGCAGTTCTGAAGTGCTGTACTAGCTGGTGTTAATGAAGCTCGCATGCATATCTCTACTCGTGCCAAAGCTACGTTCACGTCTGTCCACAACGGGTTCAGTTCCAAGTTGCAAGCCTTCCATGGAGAAGATACAGCGTTCTTGCAACGCGTATCTGAGACTGCTGCTATACTCAGTACTCCTCTCCTGGAAGAGAAGATCGAGACTGAGATTCGACGAGATGGCAAAAGTGTTGTCGAGATTGTGGAGATAGGCAAGCGCGTTGCAGCTTTCAAGGCATTAATCGACAGCGAGGAAGCGAAATTGAAGCAAGCTTGGAAGGAGTGGGATGCAGTTCAGGAGGAGTACATTGAGCTTGGTAGGGTATTACTGCTACTCACTATGAAATCGGTGCTGATTTAGGCCAGGCGTCGATGTTTTCGGTGCGGAGCTCTTTGGTAGAAGTGAAGCGGAGGGTGCAGGGTATAAAAGAGAGATTGAGTTGTTGGATTTGGAGCACGAAACTCGTGTTGAAGAACTCGAAGAGGAGATCAACGAGATGGGCTCTGAGACCTTGAAACAAATGAAAGCTGCTGAGGAGGTAAGTGTCGACTTCCGGTTTACGAAACATGCTGACAACTCCTCCCAGGAAATGGATGCAGCTTTCAAGATGGCGCAAGCAAAACTTCTAACAACTCTATTTTGATACTGGCTTTGACAAATTTGCGATGTTTGAGATGATACAGGGGAGTTTGCTATATCGACTATCTTGCTCGGGGATTTATGGGAACCTGTTACTTGAACAGCCAAGTAACAGCATTATTACATTATGTTGTCAGCGAGCTACTTGCAGTCGCCTTACATATGATACGCTAAATAAATACACCTTTTGAAGCCTTCTGGTCTTAGCCAATATTCGCCTGGGTCCCTTTACAACAAAAATCGTCTGAGAGAATCAGCGATAATGGTATCTTGCAATACAAAGCAAAAAAACCAGGAACATGACAATGCAGACCAAAATAGTGCTAAACCTTTGGCTCTCTTGATGGACAACAGCAGCGGCTGCTCTCCTCTCCTCGCTGTCCTTCCTCTCGACCTCACTAGGAGTGCCATCCGCAGTGTGGACATCAGCTCCGGGGGCAGCCGATATCTCTACTGTGCTCTTTTTGGCTTTCTTGGCACTCCTCCTCTTCTTCTTCTTTTGACTCTTGATAGGAAGCAAGGGAGCAGGAGCATCCACCTCAGCTTGGACCTCGACAATAGTTGAAATGTCCAAATTCTTCGTGGACTTTCGAGATTTTCGAGGCGCGACAACTGTCCATACGTCCTCCACAAAGCCAGTGCAGATAGCATTCGGAGTTTGGACCCCAATGTCCTCGGTCTCTTGGGACTTTGCTGCAAAGTCTTCCGCAGCCGAGACGTTTTGTTCGGCTGAAATAGAGGCTGACAAAGAAGCAGGAATTTTTTCTTCTTCTACTCCTTCTCCTTCTCCTTCTCCTCCATCTTCTTCTCCTTGACTGGTGGGGACATTCTCATCGACTATGCCACCATTATGTCCCTCGGTGACGGGAACATCAAGCAATTCACCCTCCAGAGAAGGGAGTCCGTCTTCAGCAGGCCTTACAGTCTCATTGTCCCCATCCTGGCTGGGACTTTCCGGAGCGATCTCCGAGTCGAAAGAGTCAGGCTCCTTAGCCTGTAGATCCTCCTCCAAATCAATCTCATTGTCCTCACCATCAGCGGGACATTCAACCAGCAGTCCCTGAGCCACGGTTTCGTCGAAGTCAGGGAAATATTGAGTTTCATTGTCCCCCTTCTGCTTGGAAGCTTGAGTTGCTGCTTCCTCAATTGAATCCTCGGCCCAATCCATCAAGCTCGTTCTAGAACTATTTCCTGCAGGAATGTCCGACGCGCCTGGGGACTTCTCCTTCTGTTCTGCTTCTTCGGCGGAATCTAGGCCATCTTCTTTGGTTGCGGTGATTGTCTCTTGTGGTGCGGGGATTGAGATGTGGGTAGGAGGTAAAGACATTAAAGTGTCAGAAACTAGTTGGGTTTCTGATTTTCGGGCTTCCATGTAAGTTTGCCTCCTTCTCTTGCTCTTAGACTTGACAGTAGTCCAATCTTCCACGATAGGCTCGACACTTGCGCTCTTGCGAGGTGCGGACTTGAACCCAGTAATTGGAGCCTTTGAAATGGCTGTGATAGCAGCTGGAGGAGTAATGTTCTTGGCTGGCTTGGAGAATGCCATCGATGAACAAACGACGACCGGACTCTGGATATAGAAGTCCTTGCACTCTTCCTTTTTGGTATGTGCAGGCGCTCTGCTCTGCTCCTCCTTCCTCTTCGCAGCTCTCTCCGCCCATATGGGATGTGGTGCTGCTGCCTCGAGTACAGAAGCTAGACTTGGGTAGTCGGTGTCCGATGGAATGTAGGACATTGTTCTGGTTCTTCCTGACTAGTGTAATCGACAAGTAGGTGCTGGTACGTGTTTGTCCGTAGATTGTGGTGCGAGGGTTATAACATTATCCTGGTGAAAGATCCCAAGTCGAGGACGAACAATGAAGAACAAATGTAAAATAATTTTGAGAAAACTTCGAAACTCTAGTGTGGACTACTCTAAACCTATCATCAAAGCCCTATGGCCCTTGCCTTGATTTAAGTATAGGATGTGATGTTCGTTGTGTAGCTAAGGCCCTTTTAGGGCGACTGGGGACTTCCTAGAGCCGGGAACTAAACCACTGACAGCTCTGGTCCATTTGTTTCGAGGACGGACTACCAGAATATTGAAATCATGATGAGATATAGGATAACGATAACGATAACGCATGAAGAAATGCAAGTGGCGGGCTAGAAAGGATCGCAAATAGATGTCCAACAGACGACGCAGACGCAAGATAATATTTGCAAATAAACATTGTCTATGAACAATCGACTCGACTCTTATGCTAAGTATCTTTAATTAAGAAGCAAAAGTTTTAGATAAACGCTATCCTCCAATGTACTCCAAAAACACCTACAATGCTACACAAAATCTGCTTCTACGGATCCGAAATATTTACTTATCTTCCACCTCCGGCACGACGACTCCCCATTCGTGATCCTCTTTTCCATACATTATGTTGGTCAACCAACTCTTGACCAAATGAGCATAATCGCCACTATTACCACGAGCCATAGGAATATCCAAATCCTCGTCCTTGTAGTTAATGGCAGCGACTGGGCAGACGAAGTATGCAGTGCCGGCAGCAAAAGCTTCAATAATGCGACCATCTTTCGCAGCGTCAACCAAATCATCCATGGTGAAGTTTCGCTCGACAATCTCAAGGGATTCAAGACCACTCTGGCCGCTTGTGAGTCGCTCACGTGCCAATTGAAGAATGCTTCGCCTTGTGACGCCGTCGAGAATGATCTTGCCGTCTAGAGGAGCCGTGACCAGCTGAACCTTTCCTTCCTTTGATCGCCAGACGACAAAGAAGTTGCTTGCTCCAGCTTCCGTGACAGTGCCGTTGAGAAGCCACAGGACCTGATCGTAACCGCGTGCTCGTGCTTCTCCATTGGCCATCAAACTTGGACCATAGTTTGCTCCGACTTTGGCGTATCCAAACCCACCTGGCCATGCTCGGACTCCGTTTGTCGATGCAAGCAACCTCATTCCAGTTGGTGCGTCTAGTGGTGGCATGAATGTGGCAATAACGAATAACGTAGCCTCCTTGGGAGTGGCGACACCAAGAGCTCCTCCGGAACCAATCATTGTTGGTCGCAAGTACAGGAAAGTTCCTGGCTTTGGGAGCCACTTTGGTCCATCTACCGCGATCATAGCCTTGATCAGCTTCTCGAGCTCTGCTGGGTCGAAAGCAGGCAAAGAGATACGAGTCGACGAGACGAGCATTCGCTTGCAGTTGGCATCTGGTCTGAAGAGTCGTAGTTTACCATCGAAACCTCGGTACATCTTCATTCCCTCAAAACACTCAGTGGCGTAGTGAAGAACAGATGCGGTGGGAGCCAAGGAAAGATTGCCGTAAGGTCGGAGTTCTGGATCAGCCCAACCTGTGGAGGCTTTCCAGACAGCAGTAATCATATGATCAGTGCATTGAGAAGCAGTCATGATAATTGGGTCTCCAGGTTGAGGAACGGACATTGGACTAGTGGTCTTGGTGAATTTGAGCTTGGAAGCATCCAAAGGACGGGGCGCCATCTCGGTCTTGACGCCACTGTAATCGGTCAGTGAGGCGTTTTGAGAAAGTGCGATTGAAGTGAGAGGGTTCAATATATGCAATTGGTATCAATGGGGTGAATTGGTGTATAAAGAAATACTTACTTGCTTATCAATTCCGGGGCCGTCTCTGCAATCTTTCGAGCAACAGCAGCAGTGGTAAGCTCAGAAGTCTGTTGAACTCCATGTGGAGGGGTAATTGCAGAAGGGGCCATGATGTTCGAGTGGAAGCAGGAGAGAAAGAGTTCTTTATCGTGAAAAGATATTGAATCAATACAATGAAGAATGAAGAACAAAGAGAAGGAAAAGAGAAGGACACTTTGTAGTTCTTGAATCAAAAAGAATTTCACACTAAGTCATAGTTTTTCTCGGAGGAAAACTGCGTTTCGGGCGGGAGCTAAGATAGCTATCAGTCAACGGCCAGGGGCCAAAAGAATTTCCTGCTTGCGAGGCAAGCAATCAGAAAGATTCTGCAAGGAATTTTGCAGATACTTCTACTCCACCGATATCCGAGCTCCATCATGGCTGGCCGCTAAGATATCCATCTCAATGCTCGGCTCACCCAAGGATAGAGGGGTAAGAACTGAAGGGTCGGGAACCTGGTCACCAGGGCTGTGTCACTTCACAGACATCTGATGCTCAACGTTTCCAATTGCTTGAAAACGTAACGTGAGAGGTCCGTCACCGCTTGTTCACAGGCCGATATCGCCAATTGAGACGGCATCATGACGCTTGGTAGATCATCAGGGGCGACAAGTGAAGGGCGCAACATTGAGGAGCCGCTGGAAGAGGAGAATCGAGGAACAAATCCCATTCCGCATCTATTTTCGGCTACGTACGCTTAGGCTCGGGCTCGGAACCCGGCACGTGCCCGCGCCCGCCGCAACGTCTCTCGTTGATTCAAGCCAATGACAGTAGTTGCTGGCTTCGAACAATCAGACTGCGCGTTCAGGGTTGAATGATCAGAGTTTTATCCAATACTTCAACGTCATCTGAGGCGAGATATATTCACAATCTTTTCTCTCTGCAGCAGAAATTTCGACTCTAAACCGAACAACAGGAACTCCGTACGGCCATGGAAGAATGTGACATTTCCCAGTGAAAGAGGTCTCACCTAGGACGAGGCGAATCCACACGATTACCCAGAAGAATGGTGATATTGTGTTCTGGGGTCCTCAAAGTTCTCAAATTGACTATGCAAATGGTTTCCATATGACGAGCAATATGCTGAGAACAAAAACATGCGATCAGTCGACCGGGTTCGAATGCTCGTCTTCACTCATCCAAGATGTCCAGTGCCTTCTTCAGCCTCTCAACTTCGGCCTCCACATGGGCTTGGACCAGTTCTAGCTCCTTCTTCTCTGCTTCTCGTTGTTGCAATTCCTTCTTCAGTGCAGCCATGGCGTGCGTGCTTCCTTGAGCATACTCGAAGCCCGGTATATGGTCATTCATACCTACTATGGTATGTGTTTGAAGAACCAGATCCTCAAGATTACTGGCTTGTCTCTTCGAACTTTCGTGGCGGTTTTTGATGTGCTGTGTCAAGTTGTACTTTCGAGCAAAAGCCTTTTGCGATCTGCTACATTCCGGAAACGGACATTTGTAACCTGCCGTCTTATGCGTCTCGAGTGTATGGCGTCGAAGTCTTGCTTTATCAGCGAAGGAAATGCCACAAGCCGATTCCTGGCAAAGGTAGGGCTTGTTGTGCTCATCTTTGTGCTTCCTAGAGATTCTGAGCACGATTCTGATACGTGTTCTGGTTGAATGGAGATCACATACTTCAGATCGCAAGGTCTCGAGAACGTTTCCGCGTGGCAACCTGGCCAGGTGCAACTTAGTTGATTGGGCGATGTTTCTGCCATGGCCGTCTTTTTCTCCATTTGCTTCTTGCATTCTGGATTTGTTGGTTGTACTCCAGTCTCTCTGTCAAGTCTGTTAGTCCGCCAGGTCCTTCTGAAAGTACAAATACCTCAAAGAACTGCCATAGCACAACTCACTGATTCGGCGGCACCTCGTGAAATGGGTCAAGGAGTGTCGCATCTTCTAAGTATTGCGAAAAAATTTGATCTTGTAACATTTCAGCACTTCAACCTCCCTCTACCTGTGAAAGTGCCATGTAGAGAAAGTGAATGATTTCTCGAATGCCAGCTTTTCAGTGTAGTTTGGGGGCTTACCTGCTGGGTCAAAGTTCCACCAATCGTCTCTAGAGATCTGTATCAGAATCGACTCTTCGGAATAATTCACTGCAGGCTTGGCTCTCTCGCACGCTCAAGGCACTGCCCTTTGTCGACGGAGAGATCTTGCCGGATTATGCAACTCTAGATGCTGCTGGGACGTTCTGCTGCTAAGTGAGTTCTAACAGAAGTATAGCGATGACATACCATCGAAAGAGGGAGATGTCATCCACTGTGTATGCACAGGACAATGTTTACGATGTGTTTCGAGTTGCTGCAATGTACAGGTGATGGTGCCGACGGCATCCATTGGTCCCATTGGGCAAAATTCCATTCATACCAAGTAAGTCATGTCCTACATGATGATTCGGTCCGTCATGCGTAGCCTAAGATAGCGAATGAGTGAGTATATGCTCACAAAATTGAAATATGTGAAGACTTACAGCAATCTGGTCTGGCCTATACTCGAAGCCCCATAGCCATGCCATTCCATTTCCATTATTCCATGCCATTTCCATGCCATTTCCATGCCATACCAGTGACCCATAACCATGCCATACCATTCCCATGCCATTTCCATGCGGTTCCTATGTGGTTTATATGTGTTTTTCATGCGGTTCCTATGCCGTGCCCTTGATGTCCATTTCCAGATCCGTATATTCTTAATATAGCCATGTACCGCAGCCACTTTCCAGGCGTTCCTGGGCTACGTCGCCGTCATTGTAGCAACCTCTAGGATTATCTCACACCTACTCGATTTGTAGGACACGCACACCAAAGAAAAGACGAGAAGAGAAGAAAAAGGTAGACTAGACGTACACGAATCCACCCCCGAAATCAAAACTTTCCCAGTCCGTACTGCCCTCGAATGCCGGTCCGTTTTGTGTGTTCTCGGGATGCGCCATGTCGAGTCGAAGTCAGGAAAATAGAGAACAAAGAATGGAAGGAGAAATGGAAAGCACCTGCATTATACAGGAAATAAAATGAGGCTTCCTGTGCCGTTCAGCGCTGGTTGTCGCACTGACACATGCCACCTCATTTCCACCCAGAAATGGTTTCTGGGTTGAACTCGATTGGAATTAAAGGAGGTGGTGGCTGATCTTACCGAAATATGATGTGGGATCTTACCGAAACAGCCACATCATATTTCGGTACCTGAAAGATTTGTTGTTCCTTCTCAGAGCGTTGGACTACAGCAATGAACGAGGACTGATGGGTGAAAGGGGCCACCAAATCATCTAAATCCGTACTGCTACCGGAGACCTGTCCGCTCTATGCATGTTTCCATCAAAAGTCTGTTTACTCGCTTATGACCCGAAGCGATATTCTCCCCTTAAAAATCACAAAAAGTGCAGAAGAAAAAGAAAACTAAATTCAAGAAACTAGATCTAAGAAGCAAAAACTCCAGGCAGCCCTCTTGACCCCGCACGCTACCAGGGCGTACGGGAGAAGGGTGCCTTTGAAAAACCTATTCGGGGGAATAGGTTTTTTTGCATTGCTGCAGTATCGAACGTAGGGGGCAGAGGCCCCCCATTGGCGCCAGGCGGGATTGGCGACGGCAGGAAATGCTTATTTGAATCTATATGGTACAGGAGGCTTGTAAGGCTATGGGTGTGGCTACGCTAAGGAAAGTAGGTTAGCGGGTTGTTGTCTTTATCGATAGCCTCACTTTCACTTAGCGTGCAATGAGACTTGAGCTTGCTTCAATGGGACAATGTCGGGCGAGTCGAAGAGGTTGAACATGCTATTCTTTTGGTACTAGAGCTCAAAGGAATGTAAGGTGTCATTGTACGATTTCAGGCCGTTGTTTGTAAATTCGTAAATAGGTATCTAAAGCCTCTAATCCGGAAGAAAACTCATCTGTCTCGGAAGTGTTGAACGCCGAAATCCATGCACCGCTAAATCTCAAGTAACCTCTACCCGAATGTATTGACCTCTGATCATGAAGTCATCTTCTTCTCCTTTAATCGCTGCTCTTCCTCTAATATCTCTCTCCTCCTTTGGGCTTCTTCACCAATGCCCTTGACGCCTTTTACTCGCTGTCGTTCTTCATACATGTCCCGACTCTTCATGATCCTTTGGACGATTGAACCAGCGTTTACTTCGGAGAAATCGTGCCTGCCGATCTGTTTATAGATTCCCATAGCTTTTGGAGCTGTGTATGGATCATAGGTCAAAGGCATGAAGCTCGTGGGTCCGTGATAGACAGCATCTGGAGTGCCCCAAGGCGTAGAGGTTAGGTAAGCCTTGGTAGGAGTGAAAGGTGCTCCAAATATTACGGCGTTGATGTACTGCATATTTGTTAGTAATTTCCAAGTACGTCGACGATAAACTTACCTTGCACTGTAGAACACATAAGCCTCGCTCGTATATGTTCATGATGGGATAGTTGACTCCTTTCCAGTGATTGATAACCTCATCGTCATGAACACCAGCGACGACAAAGACCGGTCCATAATCCCCACCTTTGCCAACTCTCTCATCAATCGCTTGCTGGCTGTACCACCCTTCATGCGCACCCAGCTTCTCTTCAGCTTTGATAACCTGTCGAAGGAATTCGATGTGGCCGGGTGAGAATAAATCAAAGCCTCCATCTACATAAACAACGCGCTGGCCTGGTTTTGGTTGTAAACCTTGGCAAAGATTGCTGAAGATACCCTTCTCTTCGGCTGTGGCGTCTTCTCGAGCTTCAATTGAGGCATTCCAGAACCACACGCTAGCACCCGGCTTGAGGCCCGTCTCATCCGTGGCGTACATCTTCATCCTTTCTGTTAAATCGTGCCCTTCAGCTTTCCTCTCCGCTTCAGTCCCCGAACCTTCTTCACCAGCCAAAACTCGAGTCAAGGATTTGATGAAGTGTGTGCGAGTACATAGTAGCATTCTACCGACCAGATCCGTGGTTGAGATGCTCGGAGTCCGCTTCACAACTTTGAATCGCCCAGCGGCCTTCACATACCGATAACAGTCCTCCCCATTACTATCTGAGGTGATATCGTCCCCATGCACAACGTATTTGCAACCAAAGTGTGATATCCACGGCAAGGAGGTAACATACGGCGCGTGTGGTACAGCCTGAGTGACCCATCGACATGCATCCACCGCAGCGACTCTGAATCCAAAATCAGCGATTGTCTCCAAACAGTGCGTGTTTTGCCGTTACCGTTCTTCCAATGTCATGACCGTAGGACCTTTGTTTTCTAGGATTGATTCGTCGGAGTGAATGCCAACGTAAAGTTCGGTTCCGAGTTGCCGTGCTTGTAGCATTGCTCCGGCATGGCCTATGTACCGCTGTATCAATATCTGAACCATTAAGACCAACTGGGAAGCGTACCATGGTGAAAGAAGTCCCAGCAGCCATCGACCCAAATCCTCCCCTCTAGAACCTCAGGCGCAGGCTCTCCAGCTGGAAGCTCTTCTTCAAGCTTCGTATCAGTCATCGTGAGATTGTGAAGTCGTTGCGATGATCACCAGCAAGGAAGTTTGCACGATGAATATTTACCATCGCGGGGTTCACCGCCGCCCCGCCGTCCACTTTGAGTTTAGTCGCTTCAAATGACTGGCAGGGTGGATCTTGTCTCTTATTCGCAGTTGTTCCCGGGTGGCTTCAGGGCACAATCTTCAGGGGCAATGTGCGTATCAGAATCAGTTGGAGTGGCTTGGTGAAAAGACCCCTGAAAGTTTCGAACATCGACGAGGAGGATATCCTAGTTGGTCTTGGTTATTGCGAGAATTATGATTGATCCCGACGTGTAGATGGATATATAGGAAGCTGAAAGGCGTAGTTTCGACCCTGTCCTCCATTCCACAAGACTTTCCATACCGTAATAAGGCTGTTTGAGTGTCAATCATGCATCTGGCGCCTATTTGGTCACTTTCTTTGCTTTTCAAGAGGCGCTCGACCTGACATTGGTCCGGCACTGAACGGTAGTGGAAATTGAGAAACGTTTCTTTCTTTTTAGATCTCGACTTGATCTTCGCCCATGTGGTTTCCTGCTTGTCATCACATTTTTGCATCATTATTCACGAACCCAGAGGGAAAGTAGGATCGAGAAAGTAGAGAGCGGGATGCTGAGAATTTTGGCGGGACCAAAATATTAGTGGTACAGTGCCCCTGCTGCTGGCAGATTGACGGGCTAGCCCAATATGCACCGCTCTACGGCGTCCTCCTCAAATGGACCATCGACTGGAGGTCTGTTCAAAGGGGGAAGCATATTTGGGGGCAGCAGCAAGACACCAACAAGACCGAGCACCAGCAGCGGATCTCCTTCGACGCACAGCGAGTCTACGTCGACGCTTAGTAGTACGACGCTGTCCAGATCATCCACCTTCTCGAGGAAAACATCCCTCTCTTCCACCCAAAAATCCCCACAAGCCGCCTATCGGATTCGCAATTCGAGCGTCGCCAGCCCAGAACGAAGAATACAAACATCTGCCTCGCAGTATACGGACAAGCATCCATTGCCTGGACCAGCGCCAAGTAGGCAGGAGGTCGAGCAACCAAAGTCTGCGGATAGTTTCAGACAGGTGGTGGCCAGCGCCGAAGCGGTGCGAACCCCAGGCTCGGGAACAGACTCATTTACTTCAACAACACCATATGCAAATATGCTCGTCAGACCCTCAACGGGCTACCAAGCCACAGGTCCCAATGGACTGCCAGCGTTTGCACCGATTCAACCTCCGAGTCCTACATTAGAAACCATTACATACCAACATATTCAAGAGACTTCGTCGAAGAGGATATCCACGTTAGATTATTTGAGAAAGGCGTAAGTATTTCTAGTGAATGCTGGCTTGTCAATACAAGCTTCAATGGCGTCAATTGCTAATAATCCTTACAGGCACGAAGGACGAGTCTATTGGTTCAATACATTATTATTCAACAAACCCGATTTACAACGAATGCCATATTTCGACTCCAGGAAACTCGCCCGACGAGCCACGAATTATCTTTTACTAGGGCTCTCACTACCAACGATATTAGATCTCAATTCCTCAACTCCAATGGAATTCCTCAAAACACTGAATGCCCTACTTTCCGAATTTGAGTCTTTTCAACAGATACATCCCCCAGACGGCTCCTCATCCTTATCACGAGGACGATTTCCACAAATGTTCAAGCGTGCAACCGGCGCAAGCAATAAAGGACGAAGGCAGAGTTCAGCAGCAGAGATAGGTCTACCAATGGGCAGTGATTACGACTCCAAGTCCATGAATAGCAGCATATCCTCATCTGGCGCGGGCACGGTAACATCGTTCGCGATCAGCGAGACTGATCTTCTTCCCGGAGAGGAATACACCCATTTATTAACACCATCGTTACCTTTCGACCCGGACTTTTACGAAACTTTTGCGACGTTGTGTGACGTTCTTATCGACTGTTACACTAAGCTTATGAGTCTGGTTGGTTCTCCGAGGGAATGTAATCCAGCGGTAGCGGAGATGTTCACCAAGGCCGACCAGAGAGTGAGGAAGATTATTGTACAAGGTGTTGTCAAGGAGTTTGAGGAGAGTAGTAGGGCTGGTGTGAAGACCGAAGTGGCTGGTGTAGGAAAGGTTGTTTTGGGAGGACTTATGTGAGTGCATATTTGCATGATACCAGGTTTTGGCGTTTTGGGATTGGCAACATGATTCATGGCATGAAATGACTGATATGATCATCCTGTATGGCTAGTAGAAGATTTGCATCATTATGCTCCAAGCTACATAAACATAATACAACATATCCAATTGATAACTTTTGCGTCCAAAGCCTAGACGGGCTCTATGAACCACCTCGCCAGCTTCCTTTAACAGTCAGGAACCCTATATAGTAGAGACGCCCAATAAAATTCTACCATGTTAAATGTCCGACGACTAGGAATGACTTTCGCCTTTGATAAGTCCTCTTATAAGCTAGAATATTCAAGAACTCTTTACCAAATCTACCAGGCCAAATTTCCTCTCCCAGTCCACGAAGCTCCGACTCTCGATGTAACCTCTCCTTAATCTCATTAAAAGGCATTCTACAAGCGAGCGGGACCGAGTTGGTAGAGCTTCATACACTGTTGCTGGATATGATTCAGAGATGTCCTAAAGTTGACTAGTTGAGCAGTCTGGAATTTTGTTGCATATCGCATTCCGAGACCACTGAAGATCTACTTGAGGTAATGGAGATCTGCTTGAGAGCAGTTCAAAGTTCTGTTGCATATCGCAGAAATAACTAGAGACCACTTGTGAGTGCTATGGTGATCTACTTCAAATCTATTTGCATTTTTTGTTGCATATCGCACAGATCACTAGAGACCACCGGAGATCACTTGCCAGGTGTCAAGTAGATCACTTCACAGCTGCGTGCACTTTGTTGCATATCGCACAAGACCACCAGAGGTCCACTGCCAGGCGTGAGGTAGATCTGCTTCACAGCTGCCTACACGTTTGCTCTATGTCACCAGAGACCTGGGGAGAGAACTTGAGAGTCCCCAGGGCTGAGCAAGGCTGGTTGAGAGCTGGTTACCAGAGCTGTAATCAGCTCAAGGTCACCCTTGAGCTGTGTAGAGCTGACTGTTGAGCTGTCTGAGGTTTTGATGAATGTCGCTCGCAGACCGCACAGAACTGAGCTTGGATCACCTGCGAGCTGTTCAGAGAGCCGAAGTAGACCTGGCTGCAGATCTGTTTACGGCCACGGCCCACAGAGCCGTGATCAGCTCTAGATCACCCATGAGCTCTACTAGAGCTGAATAAAACTGGCTGCAGAATTATGTCCTACTTCAGCAGCTCCCCAAGTCCAACGGCGCACACACCAGACACACCATGAGCTGTCTCGAGAGCTGGGACAGATCTGGCTTCCGATTTGTCTGTGGCCACCTTAACAGCTGTCACCAGCTCTCGATCGTCACTATCTTTCAACTGTCTTGACCGGATTTTCCCCATCAGGCCAAAATTCCCACCACACATAAACACAGTGAGCTGGCTGCAGCAGATTTTTGTATACGGTAGAAGATCAGGGGAATAATCTTATTCAAAGCTCTAAGCACGCTTCTTCGAAGTCTATTTTCTGCCGAGAGACAACCATCATATAAGGGGTGGTGGGAACACGGTACGATTTTTTCTTGTTCTAAGTGACCCGGGAAGTTTGGGACTTTGATTGAATAGATATGTAAACTGGGAGCCACACTATACTCCGCAACGCTCTGTATCAGTATGGCGGCTCGAATTATGTTCTAATTCGTGCTGTCTGCGGGTGTCAATGGCCTAGCGATCTTGGGACAAAGTAGTTAGCTCGGCAGCGTATACAAGGAGTACAGCGCAGCCAAGAACTGGACAACCACCTAACAATTGCAATACACCCTGGGTATTTGATGAAACTTGAGAGGCACTGAATATTGTTTGCAGTGCGTAACTTTTGTGAAGTCGGCTTGGTCTTGAATTCAATTACCAAGGAAATAGACCCAGCACCCAGGAACTCGACACTCAAAATCCAACGACCAACACAAACAAAAAGAAATAGAAAGGAATCGCACGATTGTTCGCTCAGTTTCCATAACGCATGATAGTCATTCATAGGCGCTCCGCTTTTTACACGGAGACACTTCAGTGCTTGACTCTATTTTGGTAATCATCATCGAGAACATATGTGCGTGCTGGGGGTCCAGCTCCTTTGACAGAGCTTCTGAAACAACATGCTTCCAACTTGAACAGGACCTGCTCAGAAAGCAGGCCTAGAATGTGGGTTCTTATCCTCAGCAACTGTCTCCGCTTTCCATAAGCTATGGACTCAAAAGAAAAAGGAAGTGAACTTCTCGCATCAAGAATAAGCCCCATCGAGTTACCCCTCTCACTGTTTGCACAGCAAGAGAAAGGCAATCGCATAACTATCGTTCTCGACGAAATGCCTCCAGCGACCAGAACATCCTCGACGATCCAAGAACAGTCCAAACACCTCCCACAATCCCACCTCACCAAGTCCCAATAGACGTCGCGCAAGGAGCTCGGACTCATATCTTCATCCATATGGTATCCTCAGCTAAGACCGTGGTCCAGAGATCGACAAGAAGGCAGTACAAACGGTATGTGGGTGGAGGAGTCGAAGAGGAATTGGTACTGGAGAAGCCGCAATGTGCTTCTATGGCGGCGTGTTTCCACAATCCTTTCAAAGAAAGGGTGTCCGGGGACTTTCTCCCAAAGCAAGAAGAAGCCATTGCTGGCTGAGAGATCGGAAGATCTCTCTGTTTGTGTGCTTCGAATGCGATTCTTTGAGCGAGAGTTGAAGAAGAAAAAAAGAGTCGTTGCAAAATTGAAAATATTATTTCGTAGCAAGCTAGCGCGGGACGCTTCTTTAGCGTGAAAAACTGGACAGGGGTCCGATTGGCCGGATCCGGCTTCGCGACCTGAATTTGAGAACTCGAACTCTTGAAAGACCGTTGCCTGAAGAAAGAAAGAGGTCTGCCTTTCTCTCGCGACAACGTACTTTTCTTCATAATCAAAGAAACGTTGGAGCGCCTTAGGAACAATCGCCATTCTTTACATCCACGCAAGCACGCAGCAGATTGAGTCAAGATGTCAACGCTCTTTGGTTCTGCGAGTTCGACGAACACAGCAAATACACTGGGTGACTTGGGCAAGGACGTCGCCTTGACTTCCCCACCTGAGGACAGCGTTTCTGATATCAACTTCTCTACACAAACCCAACATCTGGCCGTCGCTTCATGGGACAAGAAGGTCAGAATCTACGAGATCGCCGAATCTGGAGGAAGCACTGGGGTAGCTGCTTTCGATCATGAAGCTCCAGTTTTGAGCTGCCACTGGTCACCTGTAAGTTTGTCGAGTGTTTTATCTTCTCCTCCAACTAACATGTTCGCAGGATGGAAAGAAGGTTGTAGGAGCAGGAGCAGACAAAGCTGCGCGGGTGATGGACATGACCACCCAGCAAACATCCCAAGTCGCCGCACACGATCAACCCATTCGCGTTGCTCGATTCTTCACACCAGTTGCAGGAGGAGATGCGATGCTTGTTACGGGTTCATGGGACAAGACCATCAAATACTGGGATCTGAGGCAACAGAGTGCCGCAGCTACGGTTCAGTGTCAGGAGAGAGTCTATACTCTTGACGTGAAGAAGAACCTCTTGGTCGTTGGTACAGCAGATCGCTATATCAATGTAATCAACCTTAGCGACCCTACAAAGTTCTACAAGACTTTGCAGAGTCCTCTGAAGTGGCAGACTAGAGTAGTCAGTTGCTTTACGGATGCCACAGGTTTCGCTGTCGGCAGTATCGAAGGAAGATGCGCCATTCAATATGTTGAAGAGAAAGACGCTAGGTAAGACTACCACGTTCAAATCACAATACGAAATACTGACTAGATTCGTAGCTCTAACTTCTCATTCAAATGCCACCGAGACCCACCCCAAAACAACATGACCAACGTCTACTCTGTCAACGCCATCTCATACCACCCACAACACGGCACCTTCAGCACCGCAGGCTCAGACGGAACCTTCCACTTCTGGGACGGAGTTGCGAAGCACAGACTCAAGGGATACCCTACCACTGGCGGAACCATCTCAGCAACAGCTTTCGACCGCACTGGAGCCATTTTCGCCTATGCTGTCAGTTATGACTGGAGCAAGGGCTATGCAAGCAATACACCACAATACCCCAACAAAGTTATGATGCACCCTATCCAAACAGATGAATGTAAGCCCAGACCAAGCGTCAAGAAGCGGTAGACAGTGAACACTAAAGCACATACATGGTATGATATGGGTGGAAATAGAGAAATCAAGCAAAAAAATCCCACTGTATTCTAGATTGGCCATTATTTGCACCTTTGAAGGGAGGACGGAAAATGATGGACGTGAAAGGCTATGCATACTGGCGTTCCGGAGGAGATGTTGCAGCGAATGAATACCAAGGAAATCAATACCTTAGATAGGCACGAATGAAGAAAGTACGAGGATTTGAGTTTCCCAGACATGATTATGTGATGTGGACCTAGCATATGGCTACAGATTCGTATTTGATTCAAGTACATTGAAACTGCTTGAAACGCCACGCCCGATGTGTAAATGCTATTAGCTCTTCTCACCCTGCCTTCCTTTGCCACCTACGTGGCCGTTTCCATGCTTCTCTCCAGCCTCGTCATCGCTTGCGCTCCCCACACTGTAACGATCCCGATCCATGTCTTCGGTAGGTGTTCGTACGTGCAGCTCGTCTAACTCGCTCTCATCAAAATCTGCTGCTTCCACATCACGGGTAGCCCTCTTGTTTCTAAAACTCTCCAAGCCCATACCGCTCCTAGTAGTTTCCCGGGCTCCTCCAAGTGACATAGGGGCGTCGCCTCCGAAAAGGCCCCTGTATCCCTTTCTTTGGCGGCGATCCTTCCAGATGTAATACCCCCAAGCTGCTGCTGCAATAATGACGATGACAAGGACAACTTCTCCCGACTTGTAATAAGCAGACCATTTAGCAGCTTCAAGTTTTGCCGCCTCGGCCTCTTCAGCAGCAGTGCTATTGGGGTGGCCACCAACAGAGGTCTCAAGACCTTTCTCACCATCGATGCGGCTGTCTGATGGTGTTCCACCAATGCTACCAATATCAACGCCCATGAAACGATCGAGCATGTCGCGTGACCGTCTTGCGTAGTCGAAGGGGACCATGTGGGAGGAATTATAGAACAGGACATATGTCAAGTTCCTCGCCTCTTGCCAAAAGCCTGCGGGCTTTCCTTCAAATGTCCAGGATCTTCTTGGAGCCCAGGTGCCCGGAGACACTTCAAAACCCTTTCCTCCATTCCATTGCATGTTGCTAATCAGCTCTTCTGTTCCAATATGATTGCAAATGAGATCTTCTGCTCCTGAGAATAGGACAGTGGGTACTTCTGCAATGAGATCGGGTAAAAGTTGAATCGAAGGCTTAGAGTTTGCGGCTCTGAAGGCGCTTCCAACAGCTCCGTTGCATTCAGTCCAACCTGTTCGCTTTCCCGGCGAGACATGTAATGCTTCGATAACATCCTTTCGACGAAGATACGGAGTAACATCGACCAAATCCGGAGGCCAATTCATTCCACAGCTGGGATATGAATCCTTCAACCTTACATCGTACATACTAATATAATTGTCAGTCTAAGAGCTTGCTCAGAGGAATGGAATAACTTACTTGAAGCATTGTTGGTCTGCTGTGATGGTTTCTCTCAAGATATCCTGTAATATCTGCTCACAGACGCCGATATCAACTTTATCTTTCCCGCCAGTTTCTGCCAGAGCTTTCAAGCAAACTGCTTGTTGGGTTTCAATCCTCTTCGCCGACTCAGACCCATGCGTGACAAGTCCTTTCTCATATGCGAATGAGAGATATGCTTTGTATTGTTCTTCTGGTGAGATCCAGCCATTACCAATGAGCATTCCTTTCAATTGCCATTGATGTGCTGCCCCAGCCTTATTGCGATCTAATATAGCCTTTGCGATGTAGGGAATGTGTTGTCCGGCGTAGGATTCTCCAGCAAGATATAGATCGTCATGCTCGTATTCTGGAAACAGAGCGAACCACTTTTCGAGGAAAGTGACAAACTGGTTGGCCATTTCCGGGAGCTCGTGGACATAGGAGTCTGTATCAACGTAACTGTATCCGGTTCCAACGGGACTGTAGTTCATTTGGTTAGCATTTTGTTTTCGAGATGCGCGATAGAGGAGAGGAAAGTCTCGAGAGATTTTAAGAGAAGGGGAACTTGCTTATCAACAAACATTACGTTTGCAAATTCATCCCAAGATCCATCCTTAAGTTCGAGAACTCCATTTGGTCCAACACGGTATGGACCAATTTCCATCAAAGCACCACTGGATAGGATCAGTAGTGTTCCAATAAAGATGGAAAGGGTTGTCTTACTCTTCTGAACTGCATCCAGGACCACCATTCACCCAGATCTAACACGTCAAATCATGTACAACAACCTGCTCAATACTCAACTTACCACAGTTCTCTGTCTATCTCCAATGTGTCGATTCTGAAAATGCCAAAAGAACAAATGCTCGTTGTGCTGCATTCCAAGATCGATATGCCCAGCATGCATCTTCAGCAACGGTCCCGCAGGTGCTCCAGGCAACGAATGGACGAAGTAGTCCGCCTGACTCTGTGCGAGAGTCGTCGAAGCCATCATCGATATCGAAAGTGTCCATTTCAGCAACCGGCTTCCCAAACTTCTTTGTAACCTATCCTGCGGCGTATTGAAGAGCCGCATCGTGAACGATCCCCGAGGAGGCGGGTCCCTATTGAAGAAACACTATGATCGCACTACTCATGAATAACGGAACATGAGCCTCTGAGTCTAAGAGTCGCTTTGCTGTGAAATGGTAGCTGGTCGTTCGTCGTTATCTTGGTGAGAGGTGGCCTCGGAAGCTGCGACACAGTGCCGCGTACTGCAGGCTGCTTCTTTCTGTTCTTAGCGCGAGGCACGGAACTGCTCCTTCCAGACCACAGAAGGTAAGTAGATCCTCTCGATATTAATTTATTGATAAGGAATACAATTGTATGTATTTCTTTGAAAGAAATCTACAGAGAAGTTCACGAGAATAGGTTCTTTGTGAATCTGCAACCTATCATTGCGGACCCCTGTTTCTACCCGAAGTCGGCTTTCCTTGGCAGTCTAAAAATGGTAACAGAGCGCAACAACACAGAGATTCACACCAGGTACCTTCATACATGGACATCTACAATACTACATAACCCTATTATCATCGCCTTCAATACAAAATGGCAGCCGAAATAGAGCAGCAAGCAGATTTCGACCGTCACTCGGACCACTCTTTGACCAATGACAAAGCTCAATGCGGACGGAAGTTTAGAAGTCGTTTTACTAGTCAGATGTGTAACATAGCACGACTCGCATTTGGTGAGGATGTCCGTGGGACATTGGGGAGATTCAAGATCAATATGGAGAGCACATCTTCAGCATCATTCAGATGAACTTTGTATGAGTCTTGCTGATCTCGAATGCTGTCGATGGGACTTCATCATCCTCTTCCTCGTTTGTTCCAGTACTTGTACTAGAGACCTCTTTCAAAGGAGACTTGAGCTCACTTGTACTCGTCTTTGGAAGTCTCGAAAGATGCATCCTTTTGTCTTGGTCCTCCTGGAAATATGCCAATCTCCTGATTCTGATGCAGCTGCGTTCAGTGTGAAAAAAATGTCATTCACACTCGTTAAGATTGCGGGTACTCCAATGACTTCTTATTCATACCCCCCTTCTCGAAGACAACATACAATAAGAACAGAACCCTCGAAAATCGTACCGAGAGATATCGATGCTGAAGCTGTTGAGTTGATGTAGATGCCTTGGTCGGATGAACCGTATAGGTAATGTAAGTAAGCTTCCAAGCTGCAACATGTTCAAAAGGCTAAAGGAGGAGCGAATATCAAGAGCTATTTGGGTATCATTGTTGCCTAGAGCTTTGTCCTAGTTACACAGGTACTTTCTTGAATTGTACCTCTATAGCTCTGACCATAAGTTTTCATGTTCCTGCTCTTCTAGCACTCAGAACAAATCGCCGAATCCCTTCTCGGAGTCTTTCTTGATCAAATCAATCATGCCCTACTTGCACTTAGCATTTCACAGCTAAGCATGGCGTTTTTACATACCTCTGGCATTATTGAAAGTCCATCTTTGCCCTTCACGTACCGGAAAGGCATTTCAGTACTCTCATTCTTGTTAATTCGAAGCTCTGGGTAATCAATGTATTCGATATCATCAAGCGGGACTATCAATTGTTAACAAACATTGACAAAGGATGAAGTCTATCCTTACCTTTCTCTTGTACCACAAGCCTCGTGACTCTGACAGCAGTGTCTGTGGTCATCTGCTTTGGCCCGAGCCGCCGACCTTCAAACCCCTTCTTCCTCAGTTCTGAAGTTCGGTCTGGGCGTAGTTAGTTTTGCTATACCAAAGTTCTGTGATCTTCACATGCCTCGCGGTGGATCATCCCCTGTTGCAAGGTCAGCTTGAGTTCTTTCACATGGAAAATTCTCGTGTCTTACCAAGTATACCACCAAAAAGAAACACGTCGAAGATCTCGCTATCTTGAGGACTCAGCTCCCTCGTGGCTGATGGATCAAGCAAGCAGACACGAGACTTGTCTTCAGCATACAGAGTCTCCACGCTCCGTCCATCTGCCGTGAAACCAGGTACAACTTTCAGAGCCTCCGGCAACACCAAAGTTGAAGGTATCGACGATAAGCAGAACTTGGCACCAGCTTCATGTGACTCTTTGGCAATAGTAACATACTCCAACTCAGACCAGGGACCTAATTCGTCATCCAGATGCTCAACGATGTAAGTTTTACTCGCCATCTTAGTGGACAGTGACACGGGAAGAGGTGTCAGGACCAAGCTGCTGGGATAGCTATCGGATCATCTAGGGAAGAAAACCGTCGAATAGAAGCGCTGAACGTCTCGCTGACACCAGACAAATCGGAATGCTTGGTCCGAATTGTTGACAGACTTTGGTTTTGTTGCGGGGTAGTCAACGCTGGTGCTATTTGGACCAAGAGACTGTGGGATAAAAGGCTCAATCTCCGACTCGTGCAATACGCTCGACGAATTCCGTGGCTCAGGCAAGGAGATGAGAAATCGTAAGATATGCGGGAGTCGATCCTGGGAATTTGATGCCCTGTGATGCTACTTAGCCAATGATGAATCTCTGCTGGACAATCTTTGCAGTTTTGTGTTTAAAAGGTACAGTGCGGCATGATACATAATTTATTTTGTGACAGAAGTGCAGACATATGGTGACACCTACGTCAGTGACAGGCTATAAACGCCAAACGGATTGAACCAAGCATAGACAGACTATGAAGTTCGAAAAGAGGCTGTTATTGTACTTTTCACACCAGAGATAAATTTTGCTGCACGAAGACGACCCCTCTGCTCTCGTACTTTTTAGCGAGCCACCATCCGCCCATCTTATCAAAAGACTGCCGAGGGCTTGGAAATTCACCTCATCAAATCGGACGACAATATCACAGTGGCTCCTACTCCGAAAAGATTCGCCTTCAATCATCACAGACGAGACATTCTATTCGAGACTGCGCGAGACATCCGAAAGACATTCTCACCCTGACGATCGCGGGCTACGATTTGCGAGCTACCCCTCCCTTTGATAGCAGCGAATAAGGCACTACTATCGCCAGGGTTCCTTCTAACTTCTTTGTTTTGACGACGACTTCGTCACTGGACAACGCAACTTCGGGGCTAAACGAGTCACAACATTTCTGATCTCGAATTCCTCGATAGAATCTTCGAACCATCAATCCACGCAAATCTGCAAGACTCTCCCAAACCCTACAAAACACACAACCGCCAACATGAACCCCCTCATGAAGAAGAACAAGGTCGACATCGCAGTAAGTACAACCCTCAGAATAATCTGATAAAATAAATGTCAGCACGAGACCTCTAATACTATCTACAGTCTCTGTCTCCCGACGAGCAGCGACTCTTCCGCCTCTACGGCAAGCTCCCCTCCAAGTCCGACCACCTAGCCAAGCACCTCAAGGAGCGCAAGTACTTCGACTCCGGCGATTACGCACTCTCCAAAGCCGGCAAGGCCAGCTCGGTCGACACTGGCAGCGTTGGCTCCCAACATCCTCTCCCCGAGAACATCCCCCACCTATCGTCACCCGGCGTCGGCAATGCGAGCCAGGGCGGTAGTGGCAATGGCAACATTCTCCCTGGTGGACCGGCTGGCCTGCAAAGCGGTAGTCCTGTGAAGGAGAGTAGCTTCTTGAACAGAGAGACGAGCGTTGATGAGGTCGATGAGAAGGAGAACAAGGACGAGCGTCTCAATGCCAGCGCAAGCCCACCACCTGCTAAGGAGGGCATCCCGATCCGAAGATAGACCTGTCACGCGTGGATAAGGGCTACATTGATTGTGGATTGTGTTGGGATTATGATTGACGGTCGATTGGCGTTCGGGGATTTGATATCTGAAGGCTCACTGGGAAGGGTTTCGATTGTACATGGTTTTTTTCTTGAAGGCGGGCGATCACGTCAAAGGATCGAGTCACACTGTATGCTGGTACAAAAATCACGATGCAGGATTTTCTGTGTAGATTTGTTCATTGCTTTTTTCGTTCTGTGAATGTTCGCAGAGTGATATCATGACTCGTGTGGCCGTAACTTTTCCCCTCCCCAACGCCGTGCAATGCAACTCTATTTAGCAGTTTACAGGTCTAGAGACTTCAAAGTCATGGCTTTTGCGCCATCAAATGTCTTGTTTCCACCAATGAATCCAGCGGCATGAACAAAGACACCTCCAATGACGCCAGCAACCTCATCCAATTTCTCATCTCGGAATCCTCTCCAAGCTTCTGGCAACGGCTTTCTGCTCTCGAATGAGTCCTTGCTGACTGGAACACATTGGATTCTCCACTTAGCATCCGGCGTTGGCTTCTCTGGGTACAAAACATAGAGAACCTGAGCTTCACCGCCTTCCTCAGCCTCCAAAGTGTAGAGATGGTCCTTCCATGGTACAGATTGGCCGTCAAACACCAAGATTCTGCCCTTCGGGTCGTACTCTAATCGCTTCGCGTAAGCAGCATGCACAATATCTCTGGCTGGCAACCACGATCTGGTGTAGTAGTCCAAGTCCCTAGAGAACTCTTCGCCCATTCTCGTGCTGGCAACCAAGAACTTCTCGTCCTCAACCTTCTGTGCCTCGACAGGATCCGAAGGAGTAGGGTCATTCCAGTTTGGATTCAGTCTTGATACCATTGCTCCCAGAGAAAATCCACCATCACTGAACTTCTTCTCAATCCCAGCTGCTTTGATAGCTTTCGTATCATAAGCTGAAATGCCATTGTCATGCGCATCCAGAGCTTCGATGAAACTCTCGTAGATCTTTCCCCAGATGATGTCAACCTCCTTCGCTTCTTCAGGGACGCCCAGATGTTGTGCGATAATTGCTTTGCCAAAGTGCATGTAGACTAAGCCGGCAGACGAGAGCTTGGTTGGACGATTGGGAAACGTGGTATCGAAGGTGCGCTGATGGTGATCATACCGATTGGCAGATGCATCATACTCTCCACCTACGTCGACAACGGTGTGGCAGGTCTGGAGAAGAGCTGGATCTCGAGTGCGAACGAGTTGGGAGGAGTGGTAGGTGGGAAGAAGGCGCAGCATATAGACTGCTAGAGCTTCATCGGCATGGAAGTGGCCATTATGAGTGCCGATAGTGACGGGAGAGGTCTTGAGTCTCTTTGCTGCTGTTTCTGCCATCTTGGATATGTTGCGAAACATACAAGAACGTGGAGGATATTCTTTGGCTGTGTTTGGGTTTGTAAATATTCAAAGAGGCGGGACAATCTGAAATGCACCTAAAGAAAAAACGGTCTAGCGCAGATTGCCTACAGTAGTTTCCTCGAAGATACACTGAAGCGATCACAATTCAGATAAATTTAGGAAAAAAAAGAGCATCGGCAAGCTGTCCTCTACTTGACCTCGCCTGGATGGAATTTAAAGTCCAGAACGTGCCCGGAGAATGAGTCCTGTAGAGATCTCCAAATCATAAGAGACATTTTCGTCCTGCGACGACTTGGAGGTCTGCTTGCATTTTGATCTGGTCGATCTCAAAAAATCAGGGCCCGATCCGCCATTTGTTATCAAACCCCAGTCTTTCCCAAGCACGCGACAAAGAGATCATTGGTGCAGCCTGCTTTTGGGTCAGGCAACTTTTGCACCACCATCTCCAGCACCAGTCATTCTCAGAAAACCAGAGTCATCCAACAGGCAGCTTTCAGGTAGCACAGCTATTGTCCATTTCACGAGACTTTTCGCGTGCCGATAACGAAGTGAGCGCCTCGAAACGCCTGATAAGAGCAAGAGCTCCAGATTTTGGAAGGGCGACGACGAAACCGCGACGAGAGCACATATAACGAAGAGAATATTGGCAACCATCCTCTGCAGACGCTCCCGACGCGTTTCGTTTTCTGTGGACGCTTGATCAAGGCGCCGAATACCAGAATCTCTAAGCTGGGCGCGCTTCACCGCACGCTCCGGCGCCCACAGCGCTGATGTGGTTCTTTCGGGTGCTGTCTTCTGCGATTTTCCTGCTCTCGATCATCCTTTCGATACCTATAGCCTTCGATGTCGGGGGACGAGATTGTGGGCTTGCGTTCTCGCTCAGCCTGTTCTACTTTTACTTCTTTTACTCGACGATCAGGTTAGCAACACCAGACAAGTCGAGAGTACGATGGGCATTGGTGCAGATGATCGGGATGGCACAGTGGGTGCTGATCCCAGGCCTGTTAATATGGAGTATGAACAGGTTCGCAGTGGATGCAAACAATAGCGGCGACTGGGTCGCAAGAACATTTGATGGAAAGAGGGCACAACACTCAACAATCCGGGAATGGATATTCGGAAGTGGAGGATTACTGGAGATGATGACTATTGGAACCTGGGACAAGCTTCTACGATACTCAACGCCATTTTTCCAGCTAGCAGAAGGGTTTTGCAGTCTGTTAGTGATTCAGGCTGCAGGTCAGATCACTAGATGGCTTGTCAACCGTGGAAGAAGTGATATGTGGATGGTAAGTTGGCCATTCCAGAATTATTACAAGGCTAACAGATTACAGATTGGATTACTCGTCCTTTCAGCCTCGATCATATCTAGCTCTGTCTACTTCCTGTGGCGGATCATGAACTTCCCAGAGATCGGCAATGTCGATGCTACTCTCATCGGAGTCACAATAACTTGTGCTGTCTTTCTCTGTGCGTGGGGAATCGGCAGTGGGCGGGGCAATCCGGTCGAAAGCTCATTGCTTTTTGCATACGTGGTGCTGTGTATCTACCAGATCTTCACCGACTATCTTCCAACTTCGGAGCCTCCACCGCCTCCAGCTCAACCAGACTTTCCGCCTTTCCCGCCTATCATAATGGCTTCATACAGCACGCTTGTATACATCTTGTCGACATTACCGTCCGCCGTTCTTTCGGGGTTCCAATTCCTATATGCCGCCTTTCAGACCATCACACCATCTGTTATCATCTCTCTCGCTTATAGAATATTCGTATTCTACTCGGCAACTCGAATTATACCAGCTGTCCGAGAATCTGGTGCCCGAGCTCTATCTCAAGAGCCTAGCCTTGAAGATAGCGATGGAGCTGGCAAGATCCTAGGACTCTTGAGCTGGTTTAGCCCTAGTATTCTCGTGGCTGTCTATACCAGCTTACTCATGCAACACTTCTCAACTACTTCCGCAGAAGGAAATAACACTGAGTGGTGGATGATGCAAGGTGGAGACGCCGGAGGTAATGTCTGGCGATGGATCAACGTAGCTGCAACAATGGCACTATACGCCTTGGAGCTATACCTAGGCAAAGAAGAGTCGGATGACTCATTGACGAGCCACTGGAAGACAGATTGAGCAATCTGCAAATTTCCTTTGTCAAAGGCACAGAAACGCTATTCAAACGACAAGGCGTCTGGAGTTGAGAAAGGGGGGCTTGATCACTACGGGTGGATCAGATATAAAAACGAAGAGCAGAGAAAGGTTCATGGTCTCAGGACCAAGTACAAGGAACCAACGCATCAGACACGCAGAGATGTCTAAACAGAAATGGAGGGGCATTTGTGCAACTTGGCGTGGCGTTACGGGACGTTATTGAGAGGTCATTTGGCTGTACAGATTTCGGTACGCGCATGTTCGTGGAGCTAGGCTCAGGCTGTGTCTTGCAGCAAGCATGTCTTCACTTTGAGGATACCCTTTTTTTCGAGATCCATAAGATCTTGATATACTTAATACACATTAAGAAATGATTTCAGCCCAATTTAGTTCTCGTGCAATAGAACCTTTAATGTGAGGTAGAGATTTGCGTGTTTGAAGTTCCATTTCTATAGATTTCCCGCTCTCTCTATAAAGTTGCTCGATCCAGTATGCATGGCATATCTTCTGTTGTGCGTATGTGCAGTACGAGCGTACTGTACTGTAGTCCCATTTACAGCGGAGCAATACAGCCATACCTTTCCTGACTCCCATGCTACTGTCTTCACCACAACGGCCCAGCTACAGTGTGATTAAGCGCACACATATACAGTTATCAATATGCTCTCAATTGTTCTCCCAATCTTGCGAGAACTAGAAATTCATAATGCACGTCAACGCAGTGACCAATGAAGAAGAAACACCCTTCTCCGAAGGAGCTCCTCTCCATGCAAGTCAGTAAAGATCGCATCCACCAAACCCCATTTCTCCCCAAACGTGGTCGTAGATATCGTATGATATGGGCATCATGAAACCCGACAATTGGCCGAGAAAACGTCGTGTAATGGCACTTGTTCCTTTCTGGGCCAGACAACATGCAGAATACCGGATGTGGGCGGCCAATGGAAGAGGCACGTCTGTTTACATCAGACCATGTCGGACTTTGAGAATCGGTGGCATTCTGCTCCATGGGTTCGTGTATCTTGACTTTGAGGGTTGTGCTTGCTATGTAACTTTGATTGGAGCCCAAGAATGGGTATGAAGTGGCCCTTTGCAGGTCCTTGTGGGTAGCTACACTTGATAGCTTCTGTGGAGATAAGCCTTGACTTGACTTGATGTATCTACTTACATTATAGCTAACTAGCAGGAAGTCAACATCCTCTCCAGATCGATTGTTTTCAGTGCGAAAAGTAAGTTATATAGCGGGCCTTGATAGACTGTACAAGACCAACGACGCTAAACATTAAGAGAACACAAGTACTTCTTGTTTCAAGGTCAGATTGCAATCGAGGCACATGAACAACAATACTTTTGATGCAAACCGCGTTTTCGACAGAAATAAAACAACTTTTTGGCAAGTTTTCAACCAGCTTGAAAGTTGCCATGAGGTCCTTGTACATGAGAAGAAGGGAAAAGTCTCACTAGACTGCGCCTCGAGTAAGATGTGACAGTTTATCGCAAACAAGATGTTCACTCTTATCAAGCATTTAACCATTGAAATAGTAAAGTATTGGAAAATCGATGAGGCGAGGGAAGTTGTATATCCTGTCGCCCCATATCCCTACCAAAGATCATCCAAACCACGAGACAAATGACGCACTTGCATGCATCCATCAAACGAAGCATATATCGGTCTCATATATCAGACAGCTGCATTGAGGAATGAGACACGCTCATCAGAAATCCCAACAGCAGCAAAATAATTAACAGCAGATATGGTGGGTGTTGATCTGCAGCTTTTTCGTGGATCTGCAGGGTAATAATAAGGAAGAATGTTTAGAGGAATGAGGACAGTCGAACTGTGATGGTAGAAAGAAGGATCTACAGCTCTCCTTCTTCCAAAGTCTGATACAGAAAGCTATCCTCGGGGGACAATACATGATATACCTACTTGACCTGAAGAGAGAAAGGTGACCTGCGTTGGGAAGAGCCAAGCCCAAGCGAGGCCAACCAAGCTCGCACGAGCTCGTTATGAGACTACCCAACCGTTGCTTGCCTATAGAGCATTCGAAATGATATTATGTCGTTCACATTGGCTGATATTTAGACTCTGATGCACAAGAATGACACTGTGGATATCTGACTTGCGCGTTCCTTATCTGATTTCCCAAGATGGGTCGACCAGACACTCGCCAAGCTCGCCAAGTTGCTTCGGACTCCGTAGGGGAACGGCACTCAAGCGGCATATGATTGGAGATGACTGAGCTGTGCAGTCAATTGATGACATGCTGTCCCTGTGAGATGAGGCCAGAATGGTGAACAGAGAGAGTTTTGCAATACCGGTATCGCAATGGGACAGATGAAGTATTTGAGCTACTACTGCATCTGTTTTCGATATCGCTTCATCGTCTGTTCGCTCGGAGGGTTTTATTGTGACTTGTTGACCGCCTCGCAAACGTTGACGAAGGCTTGTGCTCTTGCGATTTTCCAGGCAAACAGCAGCGGGGAGCCATCCGAAAGGGCGGAGTGGGTCGCTTCTCGGTGGGTTTTTAGCACTGGAAGCTAGACAGGGGGAGGTGTTCAACAGAATCTCCAGATGCTGGTGTGGCCTGGTGTGGCCTGGCATGGTATGGCATCGCATAACTCTCTCCAGCTGATTAACGTCCGTACCATTCCATTCCATCCGCATCCTCCCAAGCTACCTACATAAAACGGAAAGGGTCTCATCCCATCACTTTTTCATAATCTCAATCCAAATAAATTGAACCCCTCTCCCACATTCTGCGTGTTTTCTTCTTTGTGATAACTTGCCGAAGCTCGTGGTCTCACAACACACCACTCACCCCGGATTCCCCGTCTCCTTATCTCACCTCCGTCCCCTTCAACCTCAACACAACACAACACAACACAACACAACATCAAATAGCAGCGCACAAAATGTCGAGAGTTACACCTCCCGTTACAAAACTCACCCACGCGGTACGCAGAATCAGTACCAGCTCCAAAGCAGCTCGTCCTTCGACACTTCTTGAGTCGTCCCGTTCATCCAGATATTTACCCCGCAACACCAAGGCCCTGAAAGAAGAATGCAAGAAACGCCAACTCAACTCGACCGGCAACAAGGCCGAAGTAAGTAAAATCATCCGAATCCATCTCAATCATCCTTCTCCAAGTCACATAAACTAATTCCATGGCGTTCCAGCTCGTTGACCGACTCGCGGCCCACGACATGCTGTCCACGCACCGAGATTACCACAGCATGAGTTCCGGTCACCGACCCACGACTCCATCGGTCCCAGTGTACCACACCATCCCCTTGATGCAAGGCTTCCAAACCTCTGCCCCAAAGCAAGCCATCAACGACATGTCGACCATTGACTTCTTCTTCTTCCCCGAGATCCCAGCCGATCCTCCTCTCAACCCGTTCGCGAAGCTCCGCGTTCCTCTCCTGCCAGATAACTACAACCCCGACCGCTCGCCCGGTACGCCGCATGCCATCGAGACTATCGATGAGGCATTACCCAGACCTGAGATCCACATCGTTGCAAGTCATCCCGAGGATGTCATGCCTGCTACTATCAGTGAGGTGGTTGGCAATGACGGATTGGACATCGATCTCGCATCGTTAACGAAGAACTTCTCGAGTACTGCTATTAAGGAGCTCAAGGAGAAGTCGTTAGTTGGTGAGTTGTGGAGTGGTATCGTTGACGATGTTCTCGGTCCCAAGAGTCGTAAGGTGGCTGTTTAAGCTCGTTGGCGATGTTATGATATGTGTTTGATTTGTTTTGGTGGAAAGCGTTGGAGTCTTCAAATACTAGTACCAGCTGGCTGAGAAGCAGGAAGGGAACGTTCGGTCTTATCTCGTGTTTTAAGTTCATTCATCTTTTGCTCTTACTTTTATGTTGTTATTCAGGTCGCGATATTCTCCCCGAAATTGTGGTTGAGACGCACCGATTGAGAGAGTGGAAAACAAGCTTCTGGTGTTTGAAGTTATTGGGTGTTTTGATGTAATCTCGTTATTCTCCCCAGATTGAGGTTGAGATTTGCAATTAACAGTAACTGCCACTCGTTGTCCCTTTCAAACTTATCATTCTACCTTGTCGTCGATAACAACATCGGACTTGTTTCGGGTATGAATATGTAATGCAATTATTATCACATGGTATCACAGCCTTCCACCTTCGCATCGTGAATTCTTCTTGCTCTTGTATATTGACATGAAGGCCCACTTTCATCAATTAAGCGAGACCCCTATTGTTGTAGACCAGACCCACTCTTGGCCGGCGTAGTGTACTCACCTTCATAATTATAGTAACAGTAGTTTCCTCAACCTTCTTGCAGACTCGCCACGCGATTTCATTTCATTCGGTAGCAGTCCCCTAGCCATTTGACCGTAGGAGGGTTCTTCCCGATGCGTCAACTTCGCTTGGTGCTGGTGCATTTTTACAATGTGTGCGTCAAGGCCTTCAACTAAATCTAGGTCTGCATAGAAATTTCGAGGCTGTAGAATTAGTGCTGCTGCATGCATGATAAACATCTATTGAAACCTAGACCCTTATATTTATTTAGAACCGAAGTTATGTTGTTGAGTGGTGAATGGCCGGTGTTGAGGATCATCGAGGCTAAAGCTCAACAGAACAGATAAGAAGCAAGAGCATGTGAATATCATTGGAAAGTACAGCAATCAGTGTATTCTCATTTCTATTTCTCTCAAGTTCTATTTATCAAGAACACTTGAGCTTTTGAGTCAAACTTTTATGAAGTCAGTACCACTGTGTTTAGTTGTCCATATCACTAAGATGAAAGTTGCACTTGACAGAAGCCGGCCTCAATTTCTAGTCATTGTGGCCTAAGCCGGAGTCTATATTGTTGATCAGCTTGTTGGATTCTGTCTGCAGATTCAGACATTCTTACCAACTTGGATTCTCTGTCCTGTCAACGATGAATTCTTTGCAACGTCGATATATGCTTGAGCACAATCATCGATATCCGTCTGTTACAGTTAGTTACTTGGTCTTGCAAGCTTCAAGGCTAATGAAATTACGTCTCTCTTCAACCAAGCCTTCTCCTCCATCTCCGCTATAGACTCCTCGCCATACCTAGCGCCCTACTCCTCATCAGTATTTCACTCTCTCCTGTCTCGTCTCTCAATCACAAAGACAACAACTCACCCACTCAGTCTTCAACAACCCTGGCAACACAGCATTAACCCTAACCTTCGGCCCTTGGGTACTAGCAAGACACCTCATCAAGTGCAACTGCGCTGCCTTGGTAACCGCATACGGCAAACTACTCCCTCCCGGAATCCTCCCTGCAATCGAGCAAGAAATAATGAGCATGCCTCCTTCGGGGTTGGATTTGAAGGTTGGCAATGCTTCACGAAGGAGGAAAGAGTTGGCTTTCACGTTGACGGCGTAGCAAGTGTCCCAGTCTTCTGTTGTTGGGGCCGAGAGGTCGGAGAAGGTTGAGAAGCGAGTGTAGCCCTGGATATGAGTTAGAGCAATCGAAATTGGACAGAAAGGGGAAGATATACGGCATTAGAGATAATGATATCTAGGCCGCCGAGTTGGGAAATGGCTTCTTTGACTGTTCTGTTGCAATCTTCTTCTTTACCCATATCCTGCCACATAAGTTAGCCAATTACTTTCCCCACAACCCAGTAGCCAAAGATCCCTATCCAGACATCAAAAAGCAAATAAACTCACACCCTGAATCAAAACAACCTTAACCCCCTCACATCCCTTCAACTTCTCAATCCGCTCCTTAACACCATTCGCCCGCTCCCCACTCGCATTATAATTAACAGCAACATTACACCCCTCCAGCGCAAACTTGACACAGATCAACTCCCCCAGACCCCTAGATCGTTATCGTCAGCTCCACGCTCCAAAACCAGGCGTCCAATGAAACGGTCCCAGCTCGACGACCCCGCATTTTTGGCTGACTCGTGAAAGTTAAAACGTACCTGGATCCACCAGTGACGAGGACGTTGCGTCCTTTGAGCGAATACGGCATTGTCGCAAGCAAGTAAGTTTACGAACGAGAGAATTGCTTTTGCGTTTCGGGGAGGAATGAGTTCTTTTTGTGGTTTTTATTTTCTGGATTGCTAAAATGGGAGGGTAAAGGATCGGTAGTGAGGTAAGGTGGGGGTGAGGAACCACAATGTCGGGATTACTACCTCGGCGATGAATCGGATTGGGGATGTCACCCGACTTCTGGTTTACGGCATGGCTGGGAATGGGTGTTTCCCGGGTATCGGGAAAGTTGATATCATTGCCAGCAGTCGAAGCTTTGTATTTAATGTTTGTCGGATTTGAGAAATCAATCATCACTGGAAAGCATGTTTACTGGGCAAAACCTCTATGCCTTTCATGAGCTAAAGTACAGCTGGTCTTTATGGAAAAAGAAGCCAGTCAATTCATCGATGCCACGATGTTGATCCGAAGTTATAAGCCTGCTATCCGCCTGCAGAGAACATTTATGTCTGCCTGATATCCCACGATGATATAGCAGCGACTACTTCTTGACCAGTATTACCAAACCTAAACACTCTTGGCCTTGTCATCCTCATCGATGCTACCATCGGAGCTCTCGGTATTGACACGACGAGTAATAGGAAGCTCATCGTCATCCTCGACCGGAGCACCGTGAAGCTCCTCCTCGAAGACTGGCTCTTGCTCGACATGCTCAAACTTGGTCTTGAAGTCCTTCAGGCCAGCCGTATAGGAGCTGCTGTTGGAGCGGCGACGGGCATTGGCAAGATTAAAGCCTTCATCTTGGACTTCCTCACCATCGAGACCCCTATGTGTAGTGTGAGCCTTGTCCTTGGAACACTTTGCCTCTATCATGAGATTGTGGTACTAACCATCCTCCCTTTCCAGCGCCGTTCTTCTTAATCTTCTTGGGATCAGAATCGACATGGCCTGACTTGGCGAAGTAGCGAGGGAGATGCTGTTGAGAAATTGAGTTAGTGAGTTGACTTGGATAATGTCAAAAGGAAATACGGATATGAACTGGGGTTGCTTACTTCGGTAGCAGCGGCAGTACCATCAGCCAATCCGGCGTGGTCTAAAAACAAAAGGGATCAGCTTCACATGTCCAGCCACAGAGTGATAATGAAGAGATAAGAGCATCCATGTTGGATGGAGTGAGAGCTGTCGAGCAGAGATAATGTAGTCGAGGACAGCCAGAGTTTCAGAGGGAGGGGGGTCTCCATACCACGGTCATTGAATTTGGTGGTCTTTCCCACTGTTACTGATGTTAGCAGACATCCAATGAAGATGGCGATTGAGTTGTTGAGGCCATGAAGCAGACCTGTCAACAAGTGCAATTGGGAACAAAGGGATGGAAGCTGACACGGCAGGACGCGGGGTAAACACAAACAGAAAGCTGGCTCACTTACTGATTGCTGTTGAGAGGTTGATTGAGGAGCTTGGAGATTGAGATGGAATTTGTTGTGAATGTATTGATCTTTGAGATTGGATGAAGGAGAGAAGTTGTCGAAGGTGGAAGAAGAGGAGGTTCTTAAAGAAGTATGCACGCGAGTCCCATAGTTTATCGCGTGACCGATGACTGGCTGTCGTCAGGGCAGGTACCTGTCCAAGCTCCCCCAATCACTCCACTTGTCTTGCCACCCACGAATCACTTCAATGCATTACTTAAAGGATAAAGATCCGTTGCTACGATTCCCATTGCTCGATTTCCCTCAACAATGGACAATGAGGGTTGTTCCCGAATTCCTTTCATCTCAAAGCTCACGAGAGCTAATTGAAGACAGAATCCGGGGAAAGCGGCGCCGTAAGACCCACTTCTTCTAGCCCCTCAATTAGCGCATTCTCTGGCTGGGTCACGTTGAGTGCCGTCATTTTGCCGGGATGCGATCGATTTCTGGAAGTCCTCGGCCGATGCCGCTAGGTTGCAATTCTTTGAAATCAACTTCTCCGCGAAGGAACTCTGAACTTCTGCATAGTCGACGCACCGCAGACTCTTTAAGAACCTAGGATCATCTTCTGAGGAGATTCATCGACCGCATTCTCACACCAGAGCACAAGCGCAGTCCAGCCAAGATGGCACCCGCAATCATGATCGACAATGAAGCCGATTTCAATCCGGTTGTCTCTACCACAAAGCCCTCCTCCTCCTCTAGCCTGCGAACTCTGCTCCTCGCCCCCCCTTCTATCTCCAGTCATGAGGAGAATCTTCGCAATATCCTCGCATCCCATGACCGCTCTGTTACCGACTTGCAAATGCTCGATCGCTTGTCTGCGGGGCTAGTCACTCTCCCTGACTCGGCCTACGATTTGGTCCTCATCCTCACCGACGCAGATGGCACGAGAACCGAATCTACGCAATTGCTTAGTCGAAATGTATTTGATCGCGTTGTGAAGGCATTGAAGGGCTGGGGAAAGCTGCAAACACAAGATGGGACTCTGGGACAGGATCGTCACAACGGGGCAGAGATTCACGAGCTAATCTTAGCTGGACTGGTTGCCGATGGTACTTCCTGGGTTAAGCCGGACTATGGCGTGCACGGATTTGTTTCTCTACGAAGCAAGGGTAAGGGTGCTGTCTCTGATGCTGGTCCTCCCGTGGCAACTACAACCGTTCAGGTCAATGGCAAGAGAAAGAGTGTAGACATGACTGGAACCAAGCCAGCTGGAGTTGGATTCGTCGATTTCGGCGACGACTTTGGAGAACCTATCATTACTGGGGAGGATGACGATGATGATGAGTTGATCGACGAGGATACTCTACTCACTGAGGAGGATCTCAAGAGACCTGCCAACGTCCGTAAGTCAACACTATCCCTTGTCGTTTACCATACGCTAACTGCAGAAAGCACCTGAGTGTGTCCCACGAGTAGGCAAGCGTCGCCGAGCATGCAAGGACTGCACCTGCGGTCTCGCCCAGAAGCTTGAGGCCGAAGATGCAGCCAAGAGAGAGGCCGCAGACGCTCAACTCAAGACGCTCAAGCTTGACTCCGATGATCTGGCTGAAGTTGACTTCACGGTCAAAGGCAAAGTTGGTTCGTGTGGTAACTGCAGCTTGGGTGATGCTTTCCGTTGCGACGGTTGTCCTTACATCGGCATGCCAGCTTTCAAGCCTGGTGAGGAAGTTAGACTTTTGAGCAATGACGTTCAACTGTAAACTTCTTTCTCGTTTCGTTTCGTTGCTCGTTTGGGGGCGTTTTCTTAGATGGTAAGGCCGGAGTGCCTTTTGCATAGATCGGCTCGTATGATAGGAATCTGCCGCGGCGTTGCTTTTATGATGGTGAAGGATGGAGAAGAAAGTCATGGCCTTCGAGCATCTTTGCATTCAGTACATAGCAGAGACCAGTATGACTGCACATAGCGACTATCCTTTGCAAATTCGTATGTGACCTTCACTAAATGAGTACACAGTCTGAACTGGAATAGTTCAGTCGACAAGGTTCGATGGCTGAAATAGATGTCAATGGAGATGATTGATGAACAAGACAGAAATGTACAAGGCAGCACAAATAGCGCGGACAGCGCGAACAGCGCAAATCGCACTATAAGCGTAAACTGCCCAAACACCACACTCTTCAATTCTCAATCACAAGCTTTGGTACTGACAAGAATTACCTTCAGTTCTCACATATAAAAGATCGCTATTCCATTCATGCTACAAAAGTATGCTTCGCTCTGAGCTAGTTCAGGACGGTGATTGTATCTTATGCTAGAATATCCACAGTACCTTGTCTTCATCCAAACAAGTTCTGCGAGTTGAACTTTAGTCAAGTACCGAATTCTGCGGTATCTTCTTCTTCGGCGACTTCAATTCGGTCTCAGGGTTAAGATAGGGACTAAGTGAGATGGGAGCTTGGCCAACATTAGTGAATCAGCCAATCAAGGATCAAGCAAAGCCAAACTATGGATGAATTGAAAGTGTGGGAAAGATGAAAGTAAGAAAGTGATACTTCATAAACTAGTTGAAAGCAAAGCTGAAAGTTAAGGATAGCTAGTAAGTGATATTTATTATGTGAATCTGACTGGAATCAACATAGAACATAAGTGAATTGCTGTCCCACTTGAGTTTTTTGAGATTCCAACATTGTATTAAATATTCCAGTGTATAATTTCAAAACGAATAGAACACCAGATTACAAACATTTCAATCAAGAAAATGAAATATCTGGGACGCTGTCATATCTGCAAAGTACGAATCAATTCCAGACATCAAACAACTTCCGAGATCAGTGCAGGACCGAATTTCAGATATTTAAAATTCGATAATTACCCAAGTTGGGAGCGATATTCCGAGACTTTGAATATCCTTAAATGTCTGGATTATTATCAGATCCTGAGAATATACATTGCAGCCAAACAACCAAGGGCACATAAGTGGCACGAATGTCAACAATGCAAAGTTACCTACGCCTCTACTTCCAGCTTTTGTGGTGCAAGCCAAAAGCAGGAAATCTGAACCGAAAATCTGACAAAAAATCAAGCTTTGCTGGTCTCGATTACTAAGACTGGACCAATGTTTGTTCTGCTCTCAGGTTGGCTAAAAGGTCCTCGAAATCAATAGGATAGGAGGGATTTCCTATTGCATTCGAGCAGGAGCGACTATTTCTTAGCTGCAGATTAACCATAAATCTTGTCGGGGCTTGGCACCACTCAAAGACCCTGTCAGGCGCCACACATCCCACGATCTGTCTTCGACTCTTCTGCAAAAGTTTGCCGCAAGCGCAAGATACTGAATCCTCGAAGTCGAGGTACAGAAGCTGAGCCTCGAAGAAGATACTGTTTGTGGTATATCCAACTTGTATCACAGCGAAGAATTTACATCGAAGAGAGAGAACAATTTGACATACCTATTTTCGATGATGTTTAAAACATACGTCTTTTCCTTAGCTGCTTCTGAGATGTCTCATTCACAGCCGCGAAGAGCATCCATATCGAGGCGGCCAGCCCTGATGTATGTGGCTGATATTCCCGTTCAACAACAAGGTACCTTGGAATTCAACAAACATCAAGTACTGTACTGCGGTTCAAATCATACCCTTTCCTCAAATCATGCCTTCGTTTTCCGGTCAAACATCAAGTCTGCAGTATCTCGCAATGGATTTGAGACAGCTCAATGGACAAAACTTGACAGTCATTCGATTATTCGAAGATCAATGACACAGTTCCCAGCTTGTTCCAAGGCTGGCTGCATGTCGAGCAATCCTGTTTCAAGATCGGGATCTCAAAGCTGAATGGCATGGAGTTCACATCAAACCTAGTTCTGCCAAATGCACAGACGGGTCGTTCAGTACCTTTATCAGCACTAGAGCCTTAGCAGAGATATGGGCTGTCTTTAATATTGCAAGCTGAGCTTTGATTGGCAAACATAGCAAGCCTCCACCCCCACTAAGAGGATCTTTCCCGGAATATCTGCAGAGTCTTTTCCCATCAACGTGGATAGGCTACTGATTATGAAGAGGACTAAAGGAGATGTGCTGGCATTCCTTCCTGATATCATCCGTCAATCCCCACAAACTTCCCAAGCGTCATTAAATATTCTATGCTTTCTGTTTTAGAATTACTTTGACGTGTTCAAAATAACTCTTTTCTCGAATACAGAGATGTCTTCCCTTGTGAAGCAACTTCTCAAACTGCTGTCTGCAATCTGGCTGTTCTCCAATACCGTTGCTGGAGTAGGGAGGTTCACAAATCCCCCAGGTCCAGACGGTGCGTTGACATTGCACATCGGACAACAGTACACGATAGAATGGGAATATGCTGAGAACACCTATCCCGAATTATCCCTCGGACTTATAGCGGAAGCAAACGGCAACGTATTTTGGCTTCTCTGTGAGCAGGGTCTCCTCCAAGTCAGTCATGAGCACCCTGCTGATCTGTTCTAGCAAATGAGATGAACTATACGTCTCAGAATTATGTATGGAATCCGATCACACTTGGCAATCGCATCACTCTTGCCCAAGGCCATACTTTCAACTTCCTCCTTGTGAACGGCACAAAGTTTGGCGAGCAAGTCCTCAGCCCAGAATTCGCTATCACCAATACAAACACCTCCTCCACATCGGGCGCAGCTACAGCTACTCCAACAACACTGAGCACACCAACCAGCTCCTCCTCGCCATCTTCTTCGTCGTCAGGTCTTTCAACAGGAGCAAAAGCTGGCATTGGAGTTGGTGTAGCAGTTGCAGTCATTCTCGCCCTCACTGCACTCTTCTTCGCTTTGCGATATCGCAGACGCGCGAAGCAGAATGAGCGCATGAACAAACGGAGAACAAGTATGTGGATAGTAGTGTGACAAATTTGTGCTTTTATTCACCATAAGACTAAAAAGCTTAGCTATTTTCCATCCTGTGCTCATTCTCTGCTGATTTAATTCACTCACCTAGCCTTACCACTCTCCGAACCGTTCTCCGCCGCTAGTGAATCTATAAATTCACCTCTTTCGGTCCTTTGCTCTCCGTTTTCCACTCTCCGCCCTCCATTCACCTCCCTCGGCCCCCGTCCTCCGTCCTCCGTATTCCGCCCTCCGTCCTCCGTCCCTTCTATATAAACTCCCCTCCGGCCTCTCTATAATCCGCACAAAGACGTTCCTTAAACGAGACGAATATAGGAACAAATGGCGGTGATATTTGGAGTGTTATCCTGGCCGCGGCCTTAGTTGTGTAGAGCTAGTGTAGTTTGTTATGCTAGGCTTTTTCCGTAGCGTTATTTGCTATAAAAGATTATGGGGTATTATTGTTGTTAATTAATTTATTATTAATAATAATTAGGTTATTATTGTTAAGTTTTAGTATTATTTTTTTTAGAAAATAGTATTATAACTTATTCCAATCGTTTTGCTTTATTTAAATCGAAAATTTATTATAGAAGCTTTCATAGTCCGTATCATCTTATTTAGTCGAGTATAGTTGCTTTCCTTCTTTTATAGCATTAGATAGAACTATATATCAGTATAATTAATGGTCGCTATCAATGGATAGGAGGATATTAGACCCATGACTCCAGGCATGCAGCTACAACCTGAGTTGAGCAATATTAAAAGACAAAATAGAGTGCATGAGCTAGACCAGGAGGCCGCGAAGCAAGTCCATGAAGCGCCTTGAGTGAGAATTGGGATTGGTACATAAACTAATCTTAAGTATCTTAATATAGTATGAGCATACCTCTGAGGTGTATATCTCTGGTCGGGTGCTTTGTTGAATGGGAGGGTTTTCCGTTTCGACTGTGTGTACATATTCTATTTGCACACCTCTGTGACTTGACCACACCCCTGTACCATTTTATCTTACAATCCTCCGGTGTCCTGAGCTGCGACAAACTTTATTCTTACAACATGATACATTTAGTCCTCCGTGGCGTTCTGGTCCTCGTCCTCGGAAGTATTTAAATGCACACTAGCTTCTTCGCCCGGTGCATCACTCGCCTCTTTCATGCTCTTCGCTATCTCTCTGTCCTTCTCTTTTCTCTCTCTCAACCTCTCCTTTCTTGCCTCAGCCATAGCTTCAGGGAAGAACTCCCGATGTTTTTCAAGGAGTAGAGGCGACCAATCAGCCTTCTTCAGATCCTCCTTGATCTGATTTCTCTCCTTGAACAATTCATCTGCTTCCCTCCTCTTCAATCTCTTTTGCTCTTTAATGTCATTTTTGAGCCGTTTTCTCTCCTCTTTCGTCATATGTTCTTCCCTTGCTCGCTCCTCCGGCTCAAGTGACCTAGCTAAGCGGACTGGCTCGCGAAGTCCTTCTAACAATTTCCGTTCTTCCCTCTTCTCCTCTCTAATAAGAGCCCACAAATCTTTATCTTCTTCTTCCTCTCTCTGTTCCGGCGACAGAGTCTTTATCCATTCGTCTCGGGAAAATGTGTCTGTATACCGCGGATTGTATGCAGCGAACCATCTATCTATGCCTTCAACCGGCCGGTACTGTAGTTTCCACATTCCTCTCTTGCGATACCTCTTCATTGCAGCAGCAGCAGTCCTGCGTTGATCGCCTTCGACGGTTATTTCTTTGACACGGAAAGCACCGTCCTTGACGGCTACAATGATAGCATGTCCGTCTTCAATATAGAATACTGGGGCCATTTCGCCGTTTGTGACAGTGTCAATCATGTGGTAGACGTTTTGCCCTGAGGACGCCTCGTTTTCTCGTGCGAGTTGTCTTTCTCTAAACTGTTGCCAGGAAGCGAATGCTTCATCTTCGGTCTGGTCGGATTTATACTCTCCGGAGGCCCGCCAGGTATCAAATGATTCTTCGTCGGTCTGATGGGCATTCAAAGTAGCGGCAGATTGCGACGAGCCATCATCGCTGAGTTGGCTATGGAATGAAGCAGTGTTGTCTGGATCAGACTTCTCTACGCTGTTCATGAACCAACGACCAGTCCTCCACTTCCGAACCATCTGATTAATAGCAGTTGGTCGCTCTACCATCTCGAAGTCATGGAAGACGAAACGCTTGGTGATATTTTCGCCAACATAGAGGATACTCCATAGTGGCCCAAGTGCACGATGACGCCGGTCAATTCTTGTGAGGGAATCATTTCTATGCCAGTTGATATGTCTATCCTCTTTGGTGATCTTTGGGGCGTGTACGAGTTGATCGGGAGGAAGACGACTCTCATATGTGCCCTTGCCTTTATTGATCAGAGGTGGTATGAAAACTCGATCTCGCATCCCGTCTATTAAAAGCTGTGCTGCTCGAGGAGTCATGTGGTCTAGGAGCTCGGGGTAGGTGATACTGGCGGCCCGCGGGATGTGGACTTTTCTTTGAGCGAGAATGATGCCGTAATCAAACTTCTGTGTATCGAGAGTCTGAAGAGTGACGCCTGTTGTTTTGGCGTTCGTCATAATTAACCTCTGCAGAGGTGCAGAACCTCGATGATTGGGCAGCATCGACGGGTGGACATTGAGGCCTCCATACTTGACAGCTCTTATAAGTCGAGCTGGGATGAATAACCCAAATGATACGGCAATGATGAGGCTTATCGATTCACCATCTGGAGTGGGCAGGTCCCATCCTGCGAACGTATCTCGTTGGTGGATTGTGAGTCCCAAATTCTTCGCAGCTTCGTAGATTGGGACTTGTTGCAAAACTTTCATTCCTCTCCCTGTCAGTTTAGGGGGTCGACATAGGACATCGATAGACTCGATAAAATCGGGGTTTTTCTGTGATTCGGCGTGCAATGATTGCAGGCAGGCAATGCTGAAACTATCCGAGCCACAGAATAGAATTCTTAATGGTTTTGAGATTTTTTTGGTGGCGTAAAATCTGCCTTGGTGGAGCAAAGACGAAGGAAATCTTGAAGGCCTCCATGCATTTCTGATGAAGAGAAGAGGCATCATCATCAATAGATTCCCTGAACCTTATAGAAGTGAATCTTTGTTACTCTTGTCAGGCCATCACATTGCGGTGGGTTCTGAGCATCCTGGCAGCTTGTTAGCATATGATGCTAAGCTTTTGAAGTACGCTGTATATAATGAATATAGAAGAGACGAGGTAAACTAAACAATGTAGGAAGTCAAACCCGTACGAAACAACATCTATCTAGGCATATAGCGCTTTTCATACACTCAAGGCTCAGGGGCACGTATGATTATCGCAACTTACAGAGGCTCTCTTTTCTTCAAATGAGTAAAAACACAAGATAGGAGGCTATGATTAATCGATTCAGTCAACAAATGTCGATTAAATATCTTTGGAAGACTTTTACTGCCGTTTAATGCTGTGAGATGAAGATTTGATGCTGTTACACGTGATATCAACGAGCCGAAACATTTTTGGTCTTTTCGTTCAGTACCTCCGTACCCCTGTCGACAACAACGGCAGCTCACCTGCATCCCTGACATCACCGTAAATCAGGACGGCACGACCATGGCCATAACCTTGACTCGAGCGACGGAGGTTTGCCCCGGCCCCGATGCTCGAGAATAGCGCTCATCAAATGCGCCTTTACGTGTTGATCGTCTGCGCCTCTACTCGGTACAGCTCATAAACATAAGTATCTCTCAAAGAATAACACATCCTTCTCACGATCGAAGATGCCATGTCTTCTACAGTCGATCAGTCCCGGACGGTTATTCCTGCACAGCTAGGATTTCTGGCGATCTATAATCCAAGCCTGGGCACCTCGGATGAGACAATAGAAAACCAGATTGTTTATTACTCCTCTTCTTCCGAAAATGCTAGAAAGAGCAGGCAAACAACAAATCCGAAGCAAAAGGCCGCCGACGATGCAGCCAAAAGAGAGCAGCAGAATGAACAATTGCGGCAGATTGGCCTTGCCCAAGGCATGGTAGAATTTGGCAGAAGTTTTTCTGACGGAATGGCGGTGGACACAGTCGAGACTGAGAAATCTCGTATCATACTCCATGAGCTGGAATCAGGGTGGTGGATCTTGGCTGTCAGTGATATCTATCCATAATTGAAGCTTCGCTGATGACCTCTACAGTCCATCAGCCTGACTGTCCTACCAGTCATTGCCAAACCGGCCTCCATCGTCAAGGGCAAGAGTTCAGAGCCACAAGAGGCTGTTGAATATTCCTCTCGCGAGGTCAAACCTGCTGTACTACTACTTGGAGACCTTCTTCGAGCACATGCGACCTTTCTTCTACACCACGCTTCTTCGATGAGCGCTCTCTTCGTGCGAACGAGACGGTCAAAATTTGTGGGCTTACTTGGTCGATACTGGGATACATTTCTATCTACGTGGAATGTCCTCATGCATGGCAATCCAGCAAACAGTCTATATGGAGGGATCAAGATTGCCGCTTGTGGCGAGCTCGGTATGGGCGTGGGCGAAGAAGAGCGAGGTAGCGGGGAACGTGAAGTTTTGGAAGGATTCGTTGGCCGTATCGACGGACTGGTAGATGTGGTAGTCTCCAAATTTGGAGATGTGCATTCTGGTCAAGAAACACCGAAAGCAGAGCAACAACAAAACCTCCGAACAGAACCCACGTCTCCGTGGCTTGGATCTGGCAGTGAGCCTGCTGCGGAGGACGGTGCTATCTTTCTAGGTACTGGAGCATTGTCAAAAAAATCCCTTCGCTATGTTACTCATTGGATCGAGGATCTCTACAGATGGGGACCGTATGCCTACGGCGTTACAGAAAATCCTACTTCCATTCGCCATAGCAAAAAGTCGAAGAAGCATCAAAATCGTGGAGAGAGCCTTGCTCTCTCCCCCGACACCATCAAAAAGTCGCGCCAGGTCTATGGTTTGACCGATCGTACCGATTCTGAACAGCCAAGCCCTGACCAGGATGACTCGATGGCAACAATAGCTCCACAGCCTATGGCAGACAGTGATGCTTCAGCGGGTAGTCCGAAGCCTAAGAAGCACAGACCCACTTTTCGTCGTGGGCCTGGCAGCTTTGCAAGTAGCGGTAGTGAGACTGGGAAGACGAACAAACTTGTGCAGTATCTAAAATTTGGGTATGGCACACACTGGACACTTGGCGGGTCATCTTTACGAGAAGATGAGGTTACAGGAGCCCCAGGAGGGAACCCCGAGACGAAGTTAGATGCTCAAGATCCTTTGCCTAAAGGTTTAGACGCTGCAAGACTTCAAGTAGATGGCACGGATGAAGGTACCATGTTCCAAGTGGATGACTCCAAAGGACATTATCTAGTCGGGCTCATGGGAGATATCGAAAATGAGAATGGGGATTCTGATGACCAAAATGGCGAAGGCTTGAATGACACCAACATCGAGGACCTCAACGCCAGAGTAGTCTTGCGCACATTAACGCTTGAGTTGGAGAGAGAAGAGGATGCCCGAGCCGAAGCCGACATCAGCATTGATCTTGGCCGTAGCGAAAAGGACCATACATCTTTGCATGCTAGTTCTGATCATACTGGCACAACAAGCTCATCATACGACAGTCAGGATCGAAACAAGACAAAGAAACTTCGTGTGGTCGTCTATGTTAACAGGCCATTCATCTTTGTCTTTCTGTTCGAGTTGAGAACTGATGCTCTGGCTTGGAATAACCTTTACCGTGCCATGCACTATCAACTTGCACCCCTCATCAAACCATTGCTGTCATCTACCACATTTCGAGCTTCTAAGCCAGATATCACTAATACTGAGGATTCCACAACGCCTATATATGACCTCGTTTGGGACCCGAAGTTGCTGACGATCCGCTCGACCATCCCAAATATACCCGATCCATATCATGCTCAGACAGACCCTTCAGTCTCCTTAACATGGTCCCGCATCGAAGCGTTGAACACTCATATGCAAATCGTTAATACTTATATCACAAGCACTATGGACAGATCCGAGCTGGAACGCACTTGCAAGACCAGTCGTGGCTGGTGGGTAGTTTGGACTAGAATTCCCGAGCCAGACTCGACGCCAACGGTCTCTCTCGCTTCAGGACAAGTGAAGGTTCCTGGGCTGATACATGAAGACAGCGGAGAGACTGGACCTTCAAATAACTTAGAGTTACCGCTTCACCAAAAGTCTCGCGGAGGGAGCACGAACGCTTCTACAAAGGTGTCCAGTATGTTCTCTGGACCAGCTCATCCATTCTTAGAAGCCCTTGCCAATACTGGGCGTCAGAGTCCGAGGGATAAGGAAATATTCTTGATCAGGAGAGCCAGTGACCATGCTGCTTCCAAGTCGAGAATGCTAAGCGGCTCTTCGTTCTCAGGATCAGAGGGTGGTTGGACAACTGGGCCTAGTAAATTGGCTCAAGGTATTGGTGTGGATACTAAGAGGTACATCGAGAGCCTTTTGAACCTCAGCTGATAGAAAGAGTTCCTGTCAATAGACCATGAATAACATGGACATTCTATACTGATGCAAGTCTAGCGCTACGTCTCTGTCTACATCGCCGCATGTCCATTTTCCCTTTAAGAAGCCATTTCTTATAGCCATACATTCTCAAAACAATCCGCTATTTCATCTCCCTGGAACCTCGAGCAGAACACCTCCGTCAATCGCAATAATCTCCCCATTGACATACTTATTCTTCATCAAGAACAATACTCCCATTGCCATCTCCTCATCACTTCCAGCTCGATTCATAGGCACATGACCCTTCTCCTCAATCTTGCTCTGCGGCATCTCACTCTTCTGCTTCTCATCACTCTCTTTCGTCGTCATTTCGCTAGGAAAGTATCCCGGTGCAATGCTGTTGACTCGAATGCCGGCTTTTTTGAACTCATAAGACATGAGTTTGGAAAGATGGACGGTCGCTCCTTTGGCTGCATTGTAGCCGAAGTGTCCTTGTGCGTGGCGCATTATGCCGGACATGGAGGATATTACTATGACGGAGGAAGATAGAGCGCCGTTGATGGAGTGGGCAGCTTGGAGAAGAGGGAGGAAGGAGACTGTTGTGAACTAGAATCAAGTCAGAGTCTTGCTAAATCTGGATGTGGAGGAAAGACATACGTATACAGCCGATACATTCGTATTGAATGTATCGCTCCACTCCTCAAAACTCTCACTGTTGATTAACCTTTCTTTCAACTCTTCTGCGTCGGCACTTTCTGGCTCAGCTTTGGGGCCTGAGATTCCGGCGTTGCAGATCAGAAGATCGATATGCTTCTCCTTCTTGCTGATTTGGGAAACGAGGTTTTCGAGGTCGGACTTCTTGGTTACATCGCAGGGTCCTACTCTTCTTGGTGTTAGCTTGGAATCGATACTTTGATGATTGGGTACAATTAGGATGGACTGGACTGTACTTACGGGATGATCTCTCCACCTTGGGATGGTGAGTGGGATTTTGCTGCATTCTCCAGAGCTTCCATTCGACGACCTGTGATGTAGACTTTTGCTCCGTTTGCTGCGAGAGCTTGGGTTGCCCTAAAAAGCATAAGCCACGTATAAAATTGTTATAATGGAAAGTCCTACATCAGACCAATCCCGGTGCCGCCTCCAGTAACAACGCAAACATGACCCTTGGCAGAGAAGAGCTTCTCTGCTCTGAGACTTTCTGTGGAGACCATGTTGACTATGTAATTCGGATTGGGGAAAAAGTTTGGTTTTGAAGAGTGAGTTTGGAAGAAACGATAATATAATATTGGAGACTGATTTTGGTTTTGAAGATGGCATTCTCAAAAGTCGATGTCACAATTCTTTCTTACCCCTCTTACATCATAATCTGGGGTAACGCCGCTTAGTGCCAGGAACGGAATCGAGCCGAGCCTACCCTAGTAAACCTTGAGACTCACTCGAACACTCGTATTTTGTTATGAACAGGGGCTTATTCGTACTAATGCCGTAAATGTCCTAGGATCTGAAGGTTGATTATATATTGTAAAAGTACATGTTCATAGGGTAGGGAGGTGAGTACAATATTTCGTAAGACATTATTCATTGAGTAGAGTCTACAGACTACCATTACTGCTTACCAGATATACCATCCAAATAAACTATCGCTGTACTGCTTAAATTCACGGTCTTACAGATCTTCAATTGAAAGCCCCAGGCACAATCCCAGTCTGTTGTCCTTGTCCATCCTCTTCTTCCAATTCTCTTGCTAATTCTCGATCGACCGCCTCGGCTTCAGCTCTCAACCTGTCCGCCTCCCTCCTACACTTCTCTGCTTCTTCTTCCAATTCCGTGGCCTCTTCACACATCCTCAGCTTATCTTTCTCGGTGATGTTCCGTCCAGTAGCTTCTTTCCTCAGCATGAAAGCTCTTGTCTCTTTCCTTTCAGTCATTGCAATCATTTGCGAAAGCTGAGAATGGATCTGTTCTGCACTCCTTGACACCGGATCCGAGAAATTCATGTCTCGTGCTCCAGAAGCATTTCCAGGCACATAATCATTGTATTGAGCCAACGGCCAGTTGCCGTGCATGGCTGCCATTCCTGGAGGGCCATGAGGGAATAAACCTCCCCTAGGACCACCGAATGGACCTCCTCTTCCACCAAACGGCCCGCCCCTACCGAAAGGTGAGCCTGGAAATGCGGGCATGGGTGGTGGTGAGTGCATATGCTCCGGGAATCGAAGATCTGGCGATCCTGGACCCATGGGCATTGGACCCATCCTCCCACGTCCCCAACCACCTCTGCCCCCACATCTAGAGTCCTGATTCCCTTCTCTGCGACCCTCTTTCCTCATGCTTTTCCGTTCTTTCTTGAGAGATCGTTTTTCGGCCCTGCGAATACGTCTTGCCTCTTTACGGTGCTTCTTTTGTGTCTTCTTAGCTGCCTTGAATCGCCTCATGAGGTCCTTGACTTCGACACGGAGCTCTTTCACGTCTTGGTCAAATTGGCGGGGATTGTCTCTCTTGGCATTCTTGAGGTCTTTCTTCAGGTGTTGGACAGCTTCTCTTGTGATTGGTTGTTCGGGATGATTGAGCCAGTCCAGTAGAGATTGCTTAGCAACTGGGAGTTGCTGGTCTTTAAGGTCTTCGTAATCTGGTAAAGATCCAAGCGAAGACTCTGAGCCTGATGAACTCGAACTAGAAGAGCTTGATGAACTGGAGACAGATGCAGAGCGATTGCGTCCCTTGCCGCGTCGTCCGTGAGAGTGAGATCGTCCTCGATGTCCATGTCCATGATTTCGGTCTCTTAGATGTTCGCGCATGTCTCTCTTGAATTCGCGTTTATTGAAAGATCGCCCTCCCAAGCTCACTCCATGATTTCCGGCATTGAACCCTCGAATGCCTCCAAGGCGGAAACCATTCGAGTCAGCGACTAACAAGTTCCCGATTCTGAAGCCTTCAGAATCAGCTCTCAGGCCGTTCTTCCCAATGCGAAAGCCGTCATTGTCTGCAACAATAGGACCCATTCTGAAACCTTGAGTTCCAGGCTTCAAGTTTCCTGCTTGAAGGAAGTTGCCAAAGAAGCTGCCTTTGCGACCACCCATTCTGCTAGAAGAAGGCTCGCCTTCGTTCTCGTTCTCATTCTCCCACGGAATCCAGGATCCTGGCATGTGAGATCTCTCTTCCTCACCAGCAGCTATCTCAGCATCTACATCGATAGTGGAGATCTGCACTCCGCGTGGTTTGAAAAAACCATCATTCCACTCTGTGACTGTAGCTTCCACCCTGTTCATCATGCGAGGTGTATGTGGCGATCGTAAAGGATCAAGCTGTGCATCCACTTGGCTGATATCAGACCTCGACCTATTGTCACGTCCCAACGACAGATGGGACATTCGTTCATCCATCTCAGCCTTGAGCTTTCGATCTGCGACGTCATTGTTGACGCTGCTTGCATGATCTGGAAGGAGATGGTTGACAAAAGTCTTCCAATCCTGCTCGCTGATATCCTTTGCTAACAAGGCTTCTGGGTATATGAGATCTTTAGGGTCCGTATCGTGAGAGACTGCGATTCTGTAGACTTCTACCGGGCCGGAGTAGGGGTTATGGGCAGGCCGAGAGTCGAAATATGCGGTGGCAGATGAGGAGGATACATGGTCCAGGTCTTCTCCCTGCACTTGATTCTGATGAATAGAGCTTGTGGGAGAGTATGGTGGTGTATAGATGGTTTCATCTACGGATGATGCTGTAGATGGAGGCGGTCGACCAGCTACTGAAGCTGCGTCCGTGTGGGAGGTTGCAGGAGTGAGGATGGGATGTGGTGGTGTTCCTGCATTTGAGTAGATGTCCGTTTCACTGTATGGTGGAGGAGGAGCTTGTTCGTCCATCTCGACGAAGATGGTTTCAATCAGGGTTGCTTACAACAATAGCAAGAATAGTAAATGAGCGTGCAATAGATAGCTCTTCAAGTACAAGTAGCAAACTTACGATGATCTGACATCTCAAGACTCTTTCTCATGTGGGAGCGACTCGGAGTAATATCCAGCACACGGCCGTAGAATGGAACAGAACGAGGCTCAGCTAACTGTGCCTCTCTGCCCCTCCATTCGCTAGTCAGCAGTTTTGATACGCGTCCCCACAGATGATTTGGACGCCTTGCAAGGCCAATCTTCCAATAATCACTCCCCAGTCATAGGGCGCAAAGCTTGTGGCTAGGGTATTTATGCACGATGCAGACGGGAATGACGTGGGCCCGAAGGCAGCAATAGCAATGTTCCAACGGATAACAATCACTCCTGTCTGTTGCTTCAATCATTTGGTCTTCTTATGGACACCGATAATCTTACAGAAGTACAGTATGAGGCTGTGTCATCTTGATATGTGGCCTGATCGTTGATAACACACAAAGCCTTGCCAGCGTTCCAGTTGGCGCAGAACTTTGTCGAGGTGCGACAAGAATGTCAATGTCAAGATTTGTCTGTCGCTCTATGATGTCTGTTTGAATCTCCTTTCGTTGTATCAAGGTGAGTGAAGCATCTGTCTAAGGCCTACATGGGAGCAACTCTCTCGTTGTCCAACTCCATCTTTCTCGGCAAAAGTAGGAACAAGAATTATCAAATTCTCACAATATTCGAGACCCCGAAATGTTATCAAGTATCATAAAGCTGGGATAGAGAACTATCCCAAAGTAAAGTCACTCGCACATTAGAGATCTTTCTGCAGATGTTGTAAGTAAGGATCCATGAGATACATCTGAAGTGGACTTCCTCACGAGGCGGGGAATTTTGCATTCTTATCTACCATGGCGGAAATGAGTGAACTCCCCAACATTCCTCGTTCTCATTTTATCAATTCCTTTGTTCCATTTCTCACTAGAAAGTTAAGCCCGAATTGTTCTGGAATTTTTTTCCGCGCAATTTATTGTCGTCTCGTCACTGCTGCTCAGAATTTGATCATTTAGCATTCAGTTAGTTTTCAGGAACACTTCGAACTGCGCAATGGCTCCTATCTATGGATTCTCCGACAAGACTCACCAGTTGCTTCCGAATGGTATCTATTCTGCCAGATTTCTCTCGAGTGATAACACTCATTACTAACATGTTCAATAGCGCAGCGTGTTTCCAAAGTCCAACGCTTCTCCAAACTTGCACAAAAATACTCCCACCCAAGCAATAGTGATTGTCCGCGAACCGTGCTTTCTCACTCACCTATAGCTGGGACCTTCAAGTCTGGTCTAACCCCTTTACCCTTGTCAGCTACAGGATGGACACAGGACCAACGTCTGATACACAATTACCAGAAGCGACGGTTAGTTGGCTTCAGCTCCAGCGATATGGAAAAGTTGGGCGCGCTTGCGGCAATACCAAACGAAAGATTTGGCGATGATAGCTCGCTGGAAGCTGTTACGGCGGTAATGAGAGTAGACGACGGTGCTATGAGCTGGTTGGTACGTGAATTCTACCTTATTGATTTTTAAAGCCTCAAATGCTCGCTTTCTCAGAAATCTAAGGAGTCCGCATTGACTTGTTCGCAGGATAATCCAATCCATCCGATGTATGATAGAGAGAGATGGGTAAAGTTGTCCGAAATGCCGCTGCATTCTGCGCCTATACCTGTCAGAGGCGATGCTGAAGGGTACTGGTTGGTAAGTTCATTCAGTTTGTCAATCTGGGATCGATAATACGTTAGTTTTGCGTCGGCTAGTAAGATAACATCGGTCCTAACCACTTCTACTGTAGGCCGAGAATCCACATGTTTGGGATATTCTGGTACCTTGCTTACGACTCGCAAGTCAGGTATGCTTTCTTTTTTTTGCGTATGCGCTTGATCATTGTCTCTACACAGTCCTCGGCCTGCACAATTTCCAAGACTACCCACATGAAATTTAGCTCTAGCCTTGCGGTGGTATAGTGTCAACAAATGTTTTACTAATGGGATCAATCCTTGGGATAATAGATGCTACAGCATGCACACATGGTGGGTTGGTAAGTGATTCGATCCTTGAACATCTAAGAAATGAAGTTTTAGTACGAAGAAGCTAACCTTAAACAGGTGGGATGGCCTTTTAAACTTGAACTTGAAGCGCATAACGACCCTCGGAAGAATTCCTGTTGATAGGCGCAACTTGCCGCTTTATACCTTCCATCCGAGGCCTGGCTTCACACCTCTTGATCCTGCCAATAGAAAGGAGTTTCACGAAAAACTCGCCAAAATAGTGCCCAAAATCAAGATTCGTCTCATCTCTGGATACGCTGCCAATGAACCGGGAGTTGTCGACGAAGAAGTATGCCTGTATGGAATATGCGGTAACAACCTACTTCCGAACACAGGCACCATATTCATAAATGTATCTTCCGAACTTTTGCAGGTACTTTCAACAGGTCACCTAAATTCAGATGAGAAGTAAAACCCCCCTATTGTTGCTATGACACTATACTGAGCCTCCGCTGAATAGGAGGCTAGCACGATTCGAATTTGCAAATACACTTATGCATGAAACTGCCGTAGGCTACTCCATTTGAGCGGGAAGAAGAAGTTGCTGATGACCTAGCATGCGGTGTGGTACGCCCTGAGAGACGACTTTCAGAAGACGAAAAAGTCCAAAAAGCCAACGCACGGAGAGCCGTACTTCGAGACAGAACCTCTGCAAGAGCTTGGCTTTTCGCTGGAGAATAATGTACGTTTAGACCTACGGGTTGAAAGACACTTTTAAGAAAATAACTTGCTTTAGATGTGGGGTGGCGATCCCAAATCACTTTCATCATTCGGTGTCAATGCAGCTGGCGGTCCCGGTCTGCCTTCACTAGGTATATGCAAATCCAGTTGGTTCCGCGAATGCAACTCCGGTTATGACAACAATGACAATATTCCACTTGACCCTCCTGCTCCCGTACCTGGCCAGCCTGATCTATATTACATATCAGATTAGTAAGGAAACCGGCTTCGTATGACCGTATTGCCACTTGCCGCTTGTAGTCTTATCGCTTCTTGATGTCAATATATGCTAATGACTATGTTATTAGCTACCCCATTCCTACAACCTGGTTCATCGATTTACAGAAGAAAGATAAATGGGAATATATCGTTCGAAAAGTTGGCATTTCAGCCACACAAATGGGCCCTACTACTTATGGCATGAGAAATAAGACGAAGATTAAAGACCCGCGAAATCTACTGCAGATTTCAACGCCCTTGACACAGCTCCAAGGGTAAGTGTTCATTTCTTGGGCTTGGTTCTTGATCCGGTTGTCGTACTCACCAGCTTGATTTTGCCTTCTCTGCTCTTCCTTCCTTCCTTCCTTCCTTCCTTCCTTCTTTGTTGGAGAATAAAATTACTAATTCATCCTAAGCCTATATGTTCTTGGCATGCAACGTGCAGATATGACTAGCCTGGAAATCGCTGCTTTGGAACAGGAAGTTTCCAGAGTAGAGAAAGCGATCAAAATTTTGAATACAGCCAGCATCACGTTCTTAGCAATGTATCCAGATAACGTTCCTGTACGCGCAACAACCGCACCAGCCATAGACAGAAGCCTGACAAGGGAGAGATACCCTTGCGTCAGTAAACGCTATGAGGAGATCAGACAGTACTGCCTTAATAACCGCAAGCCGTTGCAACTGGCTTTTGATAGTATGGACTTCGACATCCCGGAGCCGACAATGTACAGATACATTTTGAACCAAGGCGGCATCACAATCAGTCCGACTGAGTTCAGAGACTTTCTCCATTGTTGTCAAAGCAAAAGGCGATTATTCGAATACCAACCTTTTCCAGGGCCTGGTAAGTCCGGCTTTCTCGTTATTGTGTCGGTTTTCGTAGAGCATTTTATCCCCTTCCCGTTCTTCTGTTGATTTCTTTCCACCTTTCAGCTTTGACGAATATTCTCAAGAACCATGTTGACGATTTTGATACCACAGGGATGATTACCAAAGTTCCCAATGGCTGGCCAATAGAGACACCTTATACAATTCCTAGTCAACGATTAGCAATAGACGGACAATACTTTGATGATGTTCTAGAGACATTCGAAAAAGAAGGATTTCGAACGTCATTGTATAGGATCTTCGGGGAATTTCGCGATGTGGACATCGAGTGGCTACGAAAGTTTTTGGGATTTTGGTTTCCGGGTAGGATACTGGACAGCGCCGGATTTAGGGACATAATCAATGACTTAGCGATAGACAACACGGACATATTAACGTCAGTACTTAGTAGAGCCCTATACCTATCCAAGAAATATGCTGACGCGTGTTCTTCGCAGACTTGGTCCCACAGGTATTGCAAGATTTAGATACCCGATTGCCGCGGCGGATCGAAAGGCAAATATCACGCCGTACACACAGGATAGACGAAAGAGGAACCCGCCAAGTAATACTCCTAGTCCTACCACAACTCCCGTGGGTAGTCCTAGCACTACCCCTCTCGGTAGCCCTACCACTACTCTAACTGGTACTCCTATCGTTTCCGCTCCTAAACCCTAGAGTTTGTCAGTATACGTATTTGGTTGGATTTCTTCTCATGGGCAATACTTCTTCAGAGAGCAAATATTTTTGGATAGTTTCTGTTTTTGTCTATCTAGAAAGCTGCTCAGCTAAATCAAGCAATACTCTTCCGGAAATCTGGCTAAGAGTCCACCCAAGTGATTAGTGATTTCTTTTGAATTTGCTGCATCAAGGTATTTCGAAATGATGGTGTGTCTATCGATGCTCGTACGTGATGCTTCAGAGCCATCTCTTTAAGCCACAGAAGCCACTCCTGAAAGGCAAGTCCAATCTTGTAGACACAAAGACGATTGATTCATTTATGCAAACGCATGATCCAAGATTGAATAAGCAAAAGAGCTATCCCTTAAGTTTTGGACAAAAAAGGTTCTATACTTTCACAGTATCGATTATCGATTGCTGTTAATACATCAAAGCCATCTCATCTCACCACCCATGCGCTGTTGTTGTCAACAATCACCCACCTACCATCCACCCGCTGTTGTTGTCCACGCTTGTTGACCATTCACTGCCATCAGTCTCCCCATTGCGGACCTCCGCCCATCCTGTAACTTAGCATTCGTCTTCGATGCTCCAACTCCCATGTTCATACCCATAAACACAACAGGCCTGTGAGTGTGCAATGAAAACTATCTATCGATAGGAAAAAGGAAAAAGAAGAAGGCCGAGCCGAGTTTTTTTTTAGATCTCTAGACGACGACGACGCTAATGAGTCGCTCTATGCCTCAGACGGTCATGTTTTTTTTTCATTAGGTGAATTTGCTTTATGTCAAGAAGGCACGGCTAAGAGGCCATTTTCTGTCTTGGACGACTGTGTCTTTTCAGAGGTGAATTTCATCTATTGTAAACGCAAGGCTAGTGAATTATTCTGAACTTGGGACGATTGCTGCGTGCCAGTAGACTGGATTCTCATAGGATGGTGGAAGCCTCCCACGCAGGTTTCAAAGAATACATATGAACAGAGGAACTGGGGTTGGGACGCTCAAATGCCAAATAAACGCTAGCAAAGGATTAGAGGTATCTAAGCTGTGAAAGATATTCATGGAACAATGATCTCTTAATCAAGCTCAGTGAGGGAAACAAGGATTGTATGGTTTCAAGTTTTACTCACCTCTAAATTCTCCACTTCATAGTGACTGTAGTTGGCTCAAAAGGGTCTTGTAGTTGCATTTCTTATCTACGCTAGTTTAGTTTCTGTCAATGTAACTCAACGCATGCCATTCTCTGCTTGAATGCAGGACTGACAAATTGTGCAGAAATGCTTGACTAACAATTACACTATACATGGTGCAATGATGAAGTTGGCCAGTACCTCGATTCCTCGGCACAACCTTGCTTTCATCTTGGACCCCTAATGTCACAAGAGCTTCTCCGTCCTAGTGAACAGTTATTCTGGACGGGATATTCTTATCGTGGGTGAACTCGTGAGAAGCACGGTGATTATATGCCGTCTTCCATGATTCTGCCATGAGCAGCGCTCGGGAAAGCAGAATGACGTTTTGCTTCACTGACTGCCGTTCTAGTGTTCTCTCAAAATAGTAGCTCCGGATTATTGAAATTGACGTCTTCCGGCTTGTAATGGTCTGCTACAATCCTGTACAAGTACGAAGGTGCGTGGCTACCTCTGTCAAACTATTAGTATGAACGATTGCGAATCTTGAGGTATAGCTTACAAATTCGTGATGTAGAGGTCGACCAGGTCTGGAGGCACGTAGTCGTATAGAGGATTGTCCACTTCCATCTTCTCCACCAGCGTTCCATCCTCATAGCCAACGATACTTCCAGGATCACCATACTCTATCAGAGATTCAAATTCGAAAGGGTGTTCTGGGCTAAGCTTGTAGACTCCACTGAGAACGATGACCGGCGTGCGGTGAGCTTTCGCAGCTCTCGCAATGATTCTTGCACCTGCAGCAGCTACCAAACCACCATTGGCAATGACGGCATGGGTCGCAAGAATCACCTTGTTGACTCGAGACATAATCGCAAAGATCGAAGCATCTGTCACGAGAATAACAGTAATCCCAGCAGCCTGAAGAGATTTCAAGTACGTCTCTTTATCCTCTTCTTCACTTTCGGGGTCCTTCATCTTGCCCATAACTGCCAAATGTGTTTCTTCGTGGTCATTTGGGTATGACTCTGCGATGATAACTGTGAATTTCCGTTTATCTGCAGCCTTGAGGAGAAACTTATACACCGTGACAGACGAAGAGTGCGTTAGAATGACCTCGTTAGAGTGAATGTGCTCTAAAGCATAGGCCGCAATTTGATCATCAACCTGCTCGAGCTCGTCAAGGATTTCTTCGATGCCGTTAACTACCTCTGCCCTCAAATCTTTCGTTGAATTGATCATCTTCTCAGAGAGAGCGAAAGGATGTGGTGTGGAGTCACCGTGCGGAGAATTTGCTCCTGAAGGTGTAAGATTTGGCGATCCTGTGGCAGAGAGTAGATTGAACATAGACTGCTGCACCGGAACGTTGTTCGCCACGGCATAGGATGTGTGGGATGTCATTAAAGGTGGTCGAGTAGTTGGTCTGTCTTCGGTAAAATGAACACCATCGGTAGAGGCAAATCGGAGTGAACTTGAAGGGGGTCGTTTGGTGGTCGTCGGCGCTGGTATGCTGAATTCAAGTTGTGGAGAGCCTGTGGCAGAACCGGAATCGCTCCCCTCATTTTTCCTGTCCTCATTCCCCTCATCCCTGATCATACCGAGAACTCGCCTGACAATGTTGCCGACAGCCAACTCTCTTGGTTGAGCCTCCACGAGTCTCCGTCCCACATCTTGAATATGTGCTATCAGTTTGCCGAGATCTGTCCACCTATCCCTCGCTACTACTATGCGCAGCAGCTCAGCAGTAGCCATGGCACATGGTCTCGAGTTCTTGATCTGCCTTCGCTTGAGTAGTCTGAAGCTGGTAAGCAAATGCGTGAATGTCAACACCAAGCGCGACCTACGAGATCAGATTTTCGATGGATGTCTCTACAGAGGCAGCCTTGAGTGACTTCTTGAAGACCGTAAGATTTGGCGCATAGCCTTTTTGTGTTGGAGTCATAATTGAGGATCCCAGTGCCGTGAAGACAGTTCAAGGTTCACAATACAACTTTGAAGGTGTTAAATTCGCGTGGAGGGGTAGTCTGCCAGTGAGTTAGCTTGAGGATGGGGATCTTGGGACACATTGTCTAGGAGTTTACTAGAATTAACTATACATACCGATAATTTGAAGTTGTATTGCAGGTACAGCTCAATGTTTCGCGACTGTTACGTTTCGTGTTGTTCATCCTTGTGTTTCCTTTCGCGACTTTTGGAATGACTCTTTTTTAGAAATTCTCCCCACGTTCACTCCGTTCCGCGACAGGGATCCGAGCACGGTCCCAAGCTAGGTTCGCAACTTCAAGACAGCAATCCTTTAGAGACAAAGCCATCCCGACTGTATCTGCTACCTAAAGCTCAGTGAAGTCTACGCCATCCTTTACCTGCCCAACTCTGCCTCATTCGCCTCCATTGTATTTATTGCTGCTGTTCTTCTTCAGCGTTTTGAAGCCTCGGCGCACGACCTGCTGACCTGACGTAAGGTGGAAACAAACGAAGGTTCTGGTGGAGGAAGTCCGCGACGAAATTCCAACAACCAATATCCAACATCTGCGACCTGCGGAAGATACGATACAATAGTGGAGGGCTTGGATTGTGCCTCCAGTTTCCAGGCTGAGGGCCGCTTGAAGCGCCTCCCAACACCGTTTGACGGAATCTTAAGAAGTCCTCCTTCATGGCTGCGATAGGACGATGAACTCTTTGAACATTCTCTCGGCACGAGTGTCGCCGCAGTCCACTCCTGCACCTTCAAGAAGCAATTCGTATGGAAACATCTTTTCGTCCGCGACAATAACTGAGGCAAGAAAGAATTCCAAGGAAGACGTCCTCAACGAGAAGACGGATGGTGCGGACGAAGCCCTAGATCAGGATTGTAACGATGATAGGAGTATACTTGAGACAAGTCCTCTATTAGAGAGGGTGGAGGACATAAAGCAGACCTCGGAGTCAACTGGGTGGCTGCTGATCCCGGCAAGATTTTCGGCTGCCTTCATCGACTCAACACGCTGGATCTTTTCTACTCTAGCTGCGCCAGGTGTATATCTAATTGCGTGTCTATATGATGAGAGAGGAAACTTTGCGCCTTTTACACAAATGCAAAGCGCCTTCTCTGGAGGTGGGAGGCGCCGGCCGACTGCACAGGCATCAGGATCATCCTCATCCGCGGACGATGATGCGAACACTACAGGAGAGAAAGGGATTGGCAAAAGTATTCCTGCTAGACGAGGGACGGGGAAAGGCAAAAAGGTAGTCTCGTCGAATTCCTCTTCTTCTGGGCTGTCGTCCGAATCCGAATCCGAACTAGAGAGACCCCAGGACGAAGCAGAACAACCTGCATGGAGCTCAAGCCGTCACAATCGATCAAAGTCATTGCAAAATTCCGACGAAATTGCTCCAGCGAGACGTTCCATCCGAATAAAGCTTCACAACGAAGACAGTCTGCGACAACGAAAGCACCGAAAAGCGCAGTCGACAAGCACGCAGAGTAATGGGTCGGGAGCTATAGCTGCCGGAGAGATATCTCCAGCAGCACTGAAATCCCCCACATCTCCAGCTTCCTCGCTGTTGATGACGAAGTACCCTCGTGCTCCAGCACCACCAAGGCCTTTGATACCTCGCAGGCAGCCATCTTACACCCTTCCCGAGCCACCGACTGGTAGGCATACTCAGAAGACTCTTATTCTGGATCTTGATGAGACCTTGATTCATAGTATGGCGAAGGGCGGGCGAATGAGTACTGGTCATATGGTTGAAGTGAATATAAACACAGTTGTTGGGTCTGGAAATAACGCAAGTCTTGCGCCTCAACACCCCATCTTGTATTATGTACACAAACGGCCACATTGTGACGACTTTCTACGGCGGGTAAGTTTGAAGTCCAATCAGTGAGGCACCCTTTGACATGTTTCAGGTGTGCAAATGGTACAATCTCGTCATTTTCACTGCTTCGGTTCAGGAATACGCAGACCCAGTCATCGATTGGTTAGAACAGGAGCGCAAATTCTTCTCAGGCCGGTTTTACCGGCAACATTGTACATTTCGACATGGTGCTTTCATCAAGGATCTGAGTTCTGTTGAACCAGATCTGAGCAAGGTCATGATACTCGATAACAGCCCTCTGAGCTACATGTTTCATCAAGGTAAGAAGATTAATGCTGGCAAACCTCAAACCTAGCTAATCAGTATCTAGATAATGCAATACCCATAGAAGGCTGGATAAGTGATCCCACAGACAACGACCTTCTTCATCTTGTGCCATTACTAGAAGGGCTCCAATACGTGACTGATGTCCGGGCCTTCCTTGCTTTGCGTGGTGGAGAAGATGGAAAGCATATAGCTTAATATAATCATACTCTCTTGCTCTTTTACCTTCTGAACGTCTTCAATTGCCTATGATCTTGTGACCTTAGGATGGTTTTCTCCAAGACTGTGGAGCAAAACATGCACCACGAAAAGATGTAAAGTGAATAGTGGAAAAGATCCCAAACTGCTCGGGTGCATTGCAGCTCAAGATTCGACTAATAGCCCTTGTTTTGACGAGAACTCTTACTCATTTGAAATAGGTAATCAACTTCCTCCACTTTTCACGATTTCTGAGAACAAAATATCGCAATAGTCATGCTATCAACATGCATCACTAAACTCATATGCCTTTTATGAAGCTGAAATCCAATTTTGGTGATCGAAGATGCGGGGTACCACGTGACTCGGTTCCGCCCCTCTATCAGAATCACTTTTTTTTGGTAGCTTTCGTTGTGACTCAATCCTCGCCAGAACACCGGAATTTCGATTATGATCCGATAGCAAGACACAAAATCTCTGCCATAATTGCAAGAACATTATCTCCATGCTTGATTTCAGGTAGCAGCTTGCCATAATGCAACAATTTTCGACTGGCGGGACAGAGGTCAAGGCGCAAGGTTGGTATTCTTTGGGCTACATTGAGATCGCTATGTGTGCTGACTTCGAGTTCAGTCGTCGACAAAGTGCCCAAGCGATTCAAGGAGGTAAGGAGAGTCTCTGGGAGGTGGATCAATTACTTACTTCGCAATGTAGCTGAAATTTGGCATTCAATCCATTCAAGAGTACGCAGCTCACCTTTTCCCCGAAACCACTGATGCTGATATTCTGCGCAGTGTCTCCGCACAAGCTGTCATCGAGGTATCAGATAGGATGCTCTACGATATCGAGAAGATGCGTCGTCCTACGCCGAACGGAGCCCTAGATGCAAGATTGGTAGGATTCCGTGTATAATACAAAAATAAATTTTGGCTGACGGTTATCGCGTTCTCAGGGAATATCGAGCAAGACTGGAATATGCGAGACATGTGGCGAAGGACTCCACAATTGTAATGGACATTTCGGACACATCAGACTTGCTCTGCCGGCATTTCACATTGGGTACTTGAAGTTGATCATGAACATTCTGCAGAACATCTGCAAAGTAGGCTGAAACTCTGCTGCTGGAGAGGCTAGAAAGTAACACTTTCCACAGGATTGTGCTCGAGTGCTTCTTACCGAAACCGAACGCCGAAGCTATCTTAAGGAGCTGAGGAGACCCGGCATCGACAATCTAAAGCGTACCCAAATCTGTAAGAAGATCAACGAGCAATGTCGCAAGGCAAAGACATGTCCCTACTGCGATGCGGTCAACGGTCAGATCCGAAAAGTGGCGCCCCTCAAGCTCGTTCACGACCAGTACCAAGCTTTCAATAAGTCGACAGCGGCCAAGAAGGTTGCTCCTCGAAGCCTAGTGACTTTTCACAACACCTTTGAGGAGGCGAAGAAGAATAATGCTGAGATCGACAAGCATCTTAAGAAAGCGATGGACGATCTCAATCCACTTCGAGTGCTGAATCTTTTTAAGCAGATCACCCCAAGTGATTGCGAGTTGCTTGGTATCAACCCTGCCGAGGGACGGCCTGAAATGTTTATCTGGCAATTCGTTCCTGCGCCTCCGATATGTATTCGTCCTTCCGTTGCGCAAGAGAATGCCAGTACAGAAGACGATCTTACTACAAAATTGGCTGAGATCGTTCACGTCAGCTCTCTTATTAAAGCAGCTTTGCAGAAAGGACAGCCTGTGGCGACGATTGTGGAGCAATGGGATTATCTCCAGCTGCAAATCGCCATGTATGTGAATAGCGATGTGCCAGGCTTGCAACAACCAGGGTCTGGGAAGGCAATTCGAGGCTTTTGTCAGCGATTGAAGGGTAAACAGGGTCGCTTCCGAGGAAACTTGTCTGGAAAACGTGTTGACTTCTCTGGCCGTACTGTCATCTCCCCCGATCCGAATCTTGGAATCGACGAAGTTGCCGTACCAATTCTTGTCGCCAAGAACCTCACATATCCGGAACGTGTTCAGCGACATAACATCGAAAAGCTGCGGAAATGTGTACTGAATGGACCCAATGTGCATCCAGGAGCTCAGCAGATTATGAAGAAGGACTCCGATCACAAGATCTCTCTGAAGTTCGCCAAAAGAGAAAATGAAGCCAAGCATCTTAGAATTGGTGACGTGGTGGAAAGACATCTAGAAGATGGTGATATCGTCCTTTTCAATCGTCAGCCCTCTCTTCACAAGCTCAGTATTATGAGCCATTATGTGAAGGTCAGACCGTGGAGAACATTCCGCCTCAACGAGTGTGTATGCAATCCTTACAATGCTGATTTTGATGGAGACGAAATGAACCTGCACGTCCCTCAGACTGAGGAAGCTAGGACAGAAGCTATCAACTTGATGGGTGTCAAGAACAACCTCTCGACCCCAAAGAATGGCGAGCCAATCATTTCAGCAACGCAAGATTTTATCACAGCTGCATATCTTCTGAGCAGCAAAGAGAATTTCTTTGATAGAAAGACGTTCACAAATCTCTGCATGTATATGGTTGACGGTAACACCCATCTCGACCTCCCACCGCCGGCTATTTTCAAGCCAGAGAAACTTTGGACTGGCAAGCAAGTCTTCAGTGTCCTTATGCGGCCAAATTCAAAATCACCAGTCAAAGTCAATCTCGATGCCAAGTGCAGAGACTACAAACCAAGTCCTGGCATGACTCCTGACATGGACCCCAATGATGGTTGGCTTGTGGTACGAAATTCAGAAGTGATGTGTGGAAGAATGGACAAAACCACTGTGGGCTCTGGCAAGAAAGATTCCATATTCTACATCATTCTTCGAGATTTTGGACCTGATGAAGCAGTCATTGCTATGAACAGACTCGCCAAGCTATCAGCTCGTTACCTCACGAATCAAGGATTCTCCATTGGCATCAGCGATGTGTACCCGTCGGCCCAGTTGAACGAAAAAAAGCAGGTTTTAGTCACGGATGCATACAAAGACTGTGAAGTATTGATTAAAAAATTCAAAGAGGGCAAATTAGAGAAGGCCACCGGATGCAACATGGAAGAAACTCTGGAGAACGCCATATCCGGTATTCTCAGCAAGGTTCGACAACACGCTGGTGAATACTGTATCGAGACCTTAAGCAAATGGAACGCTCCTTTGGTCATGGCTAAGTCGGGGTCCAAAGGTTCCACGCTCAACGTTGCCCAGATGATAGCAGTCGTCGGACAGCAAATCATTGGAGGCCAACGTGTTCCTGACGGCTTCCAAGACCGCAGTTTGCCGCATTTCCCCAAGAATGCTCGTCAACCGCCTTCCAAGGGTTTCGTTAAGAATAGTTTCTTCACAGGATTGACGCCTACTGAGTTCCTATTTCACGCCATCTCCGGTCGTGAGGGTCTGGTCGACACAGCAGTCAAAACTGCCGAAACTGGTTACATGAGTAGAAGGTTGATGAAGTCTCTTGAAGATTTGTCCACCCAGTATGATAATACTGTTCGCAATTCTTCCGGCATCGTCGTCCAATTCCAGTTTGGTGCTGATAAGTTGGATCCGCTAAACATGGAAGGTTCTGCAGTGCCTGTTAACTTTGAGCGAACATGGATTCATGCTGAGAATCTAACTTGGAACAATGAGGACGAGTCCCTACTGCCATGGGAAGTCACAGCTGAATGTATCGAACTTCTCAAGCCCGAAATAGCCAGATACGGTCGAAAAGGCCTATTGGGGGACACGCTAGAATACGATGATACTTCGAACTACGGCATCGACGAGCATGAGTCAGCTCGAGGATTTCTTCAGACAATTACCAAATTCGTTGCAGGTCTGGCGTCACGTATGGCCAAAGCCAGACAGAGAGCAGGTCTCAACGAATTCGAAGATGATCCGGAGATTTCGGGCGATCTCCGTGAAAATTCCGATGAAGAACCAGAAAGGAAGGAACAAGTTGAGCGTGTGGCTAAAGTTTCGAAGGCAACCCTGCAAATGTTCATTGCACTCTGCTTGAATAAATACGCCAAAGCACACGTTGAGCCTGGACATGCCGTGGGTGCCGTCGGAGCCCAGTCCATTGGTGAACCAGGGACCCAGATGACCCTGAAGACTTTCCATTTTGCTGGTGTCGCCGGTATGAGTATCACCCAAGGTGTGCCACGAATCAAGGAAATCATCAACGCCTCCAAGGTCATCAGTACGCCTGTAATCACATGCCCATTAATGAACAAAACAAACATTCCGGCCGCTCGTATGGTCAAAGGCCGTATCGAGAAGACGTACATTCACGATGTCATACGATTTATTGAAGACATGTGGTCAGCCAAAAGTGCTACTATATGCCTCTCGGTCGATATGGACGCTCTCAACGACATGCACCTTGGCATCACTGTCGAAGGTATTGCGGAAACCATTTGTATGAACAAGAAGTTGAAGATCAAGTGGGGTGATGTTAACGTTGACCAAGACTGTATCTTTGTCAATGTTACTCATGAGAGTGGTGGGAATATGGGAGCCCGTGGTGCAGCTGCCAAGAACAGGCTAACACTTGACGAGGGTGGATCTGATCTTCTGCTTCGAGTCAACCACTTGAAGCGTGCCTTGCCGTCTCTCGCAATATCTGGCTACCCAGATGCCACTCGAGCTATCATTCAGACTTCGGAGCAAGGTGAGAATACTGTTCACGTTGAAGGCTATGGACTTCGAGCATGCATGACCACAGAAGGCGTAGTTGGCACAGAGTGCACGACCAACAGCGTCATGGAATGTCGCGACGTCCTCGGCATCGAAGCAGCACGAACCACTATTGCAAAGGAAATCGCCGCCGTCATGGGAGAAATGGGTATCGACCCTCGACATATGCAACTGCTTGCTGATGTCATGACATATAAGGGTGAAGTTCTCGGTATCACTCGTTTCGGTCTCTCCAAGATGCGAGACAGCGTTCTGCAACTCGCCTCTTTCGAAAAGACTCCAGATCATCTTTTCGATGCCGCTGCTGGCATGAAAACTGATCTTATTGAAGGTGTCAGTGAATGTATCATCATGGGGCAGACCATGAACGTTGGTACTGGTGCATTCAAGGTAGTTCGAAAACTTGGTCTCAAGCCAGAAGACACCAACACGAAGTCAACCGCTTTCGAGGATGCATGGCGATGGGATCAGGCCGAGAGAAGAAAGGCAGCTAGGCGGGCTAAGACTAACGGTCGCTAGACGGAGATATGATCTTTGTGATCTGGGCATTTTGTGATTTACTTTCATAGCGTGCATAGCAGGCTGGAGTTCATGTGCCAATTGGGCGACTGGACATATCACGGCGTTCATTCAGTGGCTAGATAATCATCCAGATTCCCGAGTAGAGTAGATTCATGTATGAGAGACAGCAAAAAATAATGGGTATCCATTCTCATAACTTCATTCTTACAGACGTGAATCATGTCAAAACAAACTCCCCACTGAGACCTTCAAACCACATTATTGGCTTTCCTACAGACTTATGATCGCCGTAGTACTTTATACGATACTGCCCAGGCTCAGCCCAGCTTTCTGTTTCCCATACAATTTCAACCTCGCTTGTACCGAGAATTTCACTCGTTTTCTTCCAGTTGAAGATCAGAGACCAATCGCTATCATCTCGCACTCTCGTCCACCTGCCAAATTCGCCATCTAGTTTTTCTACAGCTGCATATGTTTGCTCAAGCCGAAGATTGTTGCGAGGATTGGCTCCTACAAAAGTCGCTGAGACAATGTCTCCAATCGAGTAAGCGGGTTTGACATCTGTCTTCACATCTCCAAAGTCCTTGAATAGTGGTGCGCCATCATATACAACTCCTGTGATGAACGACAATGATCTGTTGACATTGTCAGGAGGTGATGGGCCAGGCTCTGGTTGAGAAGTTGACGAAGCGCTGAGGTAGTGAAGATAGGTAAGGGTGAGGTTGATATACGCGTTCAAGGTAAATTGACCATAGAGCGTAGAGGCGCCCTCATATCTCTGGATACCATACTCTTCCGGTGTGGATATGTAATGAGTGTAGCTGTTCGCAGGCCCACCAAGGACAACAATAGGCTCAGCAGAAGCTGACCCAGACAGTGCCTGAGCAGCAGCCGAATCGTGGATTGCTTTCTTCCAGCGGCGTCCAGCCATAGTGGTAGCTTCGCCAGGACTGACTATGATCATGAATTGGCCAGCTCGAAATACTTGCACATCTACAACATTCGGTGTCCACAAGTATGGTGTGCTGATTTCGCCAACATCCAGCAGAATTGGCTTTGGGAAGTGGCATCGCTTTTGTTCCTCGGTAGGTTCCTTGATGGCACCAGAAACGACTCGCCAAACTGGAGAAGCATTAGGTGCGTTAGGATCGTTCTGTGTGAAGTCAAATGCACCCGGGCCATCTGATGTTCCAGCAGCAAAGGAATACCCTAGGGCAGCTGGGCAGGTCTGGACATAGCTTCCATTTGCGAGAGGGAAGCTGAAGTTCGACATGTCTTGGAATGTATGGAACGACTTGACCGTGGGTCCTGTGATGGGAACGCCAACAGTCCCAATGGTGTCGTACAAAGATCTGGCAGGCTCGAATTGCCTCCTACCTATTTCAAAGCAAGAAGAAGCACCGTTGTCTTTGACTCTGAAGAATGGACCTCTAGCATGGCAGTGTTGGCTCTTACCGTCACTGCATGTGCTGTTTTCGAAGGTGCATTGATCCCCAGATCCATCTTCACACCAGGCTCCAAGGACATTTGGACTGGTATCTCCAACACTAGCTTGCGAAAAACCAGCCACGAAGTCGTCCGCAACATTGTCTTCTGCCGAAAAACTCTTCTCGAAAAGATCCGCAGCCACTCCTTTGTTATCTCCAGAGATAAGAGTGTTGTTCCCCAACATGGAAGTTCCATGGGTTGGAAACCAAGTCAAGACACCAGTACTTTTGCCATCTGAGGCTCGCTGGAACTTGAGAAGCGTCAAAGTTTTCTCAACTGATCCATCGTCTTCAATACTCTCGTTGTATTTTACTCTTTCAGATTCTGGGTTCTCAAGGTAGGCGTACAGACTGCGGTTTATATTTGCACCAAAAACTTTGGTAGTACCAGCAGTCAGATACCCAGGCTGCAGGCTCATGTGAGCTCGTCGTATAGACAGGATGGCACCATCAACTATGGCTCTGTAGCTTTGCTTATCAAACCCCTTGCTGGTGATCTGAGGCAGAAGGTAGTTCAACCAAGCTCCAGGGCCAGAATGTGAATGTGTGCCAGTTACGGCAACATTGTGCTGTCCGTAGACATCATAATCTGAGCCCAATTCTTTCAAGCCATTGAGTATACCATATCGCACGGCAGTATCTCCAGATTGCGTGTCCAGAACGAGATATACGAATCTATCCTCGGGACGCTTTACATCTCCAACAATGAAAGCTCGCGAATATAATCGTTGTCTTAAGCCTGAACCGAGTTGTTTCGTATCTGCGTATCCCATCATGTTGATTTCCACAACGGGTCTAGAAGTTGATTAGCCCTGGCATTGGCATTTGAAGGAATACAGCATACCCAGTGATATCTGCCTTGCCCACACCAAGTAGGTACTGACTTCCCTTCGAGGTCGCGTGCTCCCCATTTTGAGCTCCATAGCTATCATCCAAATCCAAAAACCAGCTATATCTCTGCCTATCCAGTCTCGTATGCACAAAAGCCGCATATGCAAGTACCAAAGCTGCAACAACAGCAATAATTCTTCCCAGAGCTCCAAGATTTCTTCGCCACCTGGGAACTTCGCGGGGCCATTCTGGTTGCGCGGAAGGACCGGCCTTCGAATTGTAGAGGTGGTCCATTTTATAAAGAAAAGTAGAATATGTAGGTTCGAGGATACCCTCTCAGAGGGGGGTTAAATGGAGAAGTTAATTCATCGTCATTGTTCGAGCTTGTGATAGCACATTCGTAGCTTCCGCAAGCTTGTTTCCCGCCCGAGCAATTGGGTCGCTTACTTAAGGTTGTTTGAAGCATTCAGTTTCTTGTCCTTTCAAGAACTTGAAGAAGACCCCTCCAAGAGGATTTCAGCTCGGAATGGAATTTGCTCAAGAATATATGGCTTGATGGCTTTACCCAGATGTCCGTCTAATGAAGAATATCTGGGTATCCATGTACCGGCATATCTCAATCACTAGAACGTAGTGAAAAGCACTCTTGCGGCCTTGAGCGCGAGGCTGCAGTGGATGTACCTGCGCTGTGGAGAAACATCGACAACGGTTTGACTCACCACCTACATCATGAACAGCGTCTCACTATACGTATTGTTGGACATGTCAACAGTAATTGAACTCATCCTCAATGTCTGGAACGAGAACTGAACTTGCGCTCTTGAAACTGACTACAAAAGTAAAGGGGATTGGAGTCACGTGTCATCAGCTTCAACTACCCCTTTCGGGTATTTAAGCACAAACCATCTAAAATACCCCAATATCAAAATATTGCTCCTCCACAACTCTGCCAGCAAAAACCAACACACACACACAACTCTCCAAAATGCCACTCACAAACGCTATCCACGAATCCCTCCCCTACATCGACGCGGAACCCACGCCCGCCCAACGCTCTGCAGCCCAAGCCCTCATATCCCAAGAACTAGGCTCCCAACCGCAAGACCACCACCTTTCCCTCCCACCCCTCCTGCCCTCCACGCTCTCACCCGCCATGGAAGCCGAGCTCCAGCGCGCTTCTACAGGAGAAAAACTATCCTCCATCGACACCACGCGCTACGAATCCCTCTCTTCACCCGCCACAGCCTCCACCCTCCGCTCTGCCTACATCTCACAAACCTACCTCTCTTCCCGGTTGACCAACCTGTCGTTGCTCGAGAAATACGGGAAGAACGCGTGGCTAGTGTCGAACTCGCAACTGGAGGATATTCTGCGGGGACTGGAGCGGGAGTTGGAGGAAAGGAAGAAGGAGATTGATCTTGTGGTTGTGGAGAGGAAGGGCGCGCAGGAGGCGGTGGGTGGGGAGATGAAGGGGTATGAGGAGGCGTGGAAGAGGGGGGTGGGGAGGGTGTTGGAGACGGAGGTTGCGGCTGAGGGGGTGAGGAGGGAGATTTTGGAGAGGAGGAGGGAGGGTGCTAGGTGATTTGAGAGGATGGATTTGGGAGTTTCGGACTGAAGGGAAGGATGGCAACAATTGAAGAGATGCTCGTCGCTAGCACTAGCTACATCATAGATAGCTATGTCAAAAGCGGGGGATGAGTGATCAATGAGCTGGGTGTACAGCTGCACGGCGTTGGTGGATCAAGAAATGCATGGTACGGCGTTTGGAAAATACCAAAGATTTCATTACAGACCACAAGCAACTGTCAGAACAGCTAGCTCTATAATGGGCAAACTTCAAAAATCAAAAGCACAATAATTCATCTTGGAGACTAATCATTGAAAATGTTTCATTGTCCTCTCTGCATCAAAGGTATCGGAGCCAATAAAGCCAGTTGAACTCGTGAATGAACGTAACCATGTCTAACGCCTACTAATAACTTAAACCCCAAGTCCAAACATCGTTACTTCTTGTGGAGCGGATCAATTTCTTCCACTCCTTCATCATATTTCGTACGTCTCATAATGCTCTCGACTGGACCCAGCAATCTCTGGAAACCATCCTTGCCTAATTTGGCGACCTTCACTTCTGTCTTACTGATGACACTGGCGGCTCTGGGAGCATCGTTCAGTAAGGCGAGCTCACCAAAGTAGTCACCTTTGGTATATTGCTTTACCGCACCTTGGGTGCCACTCTTGTAAGCTTCAGCCTGACCACTTTCAAGGAGATAGAAAGCTTCGCCAGCATCACCTTCCTTGATGATTGTAGTGCCTGAAGGATACTTATGTGTCTCCAGCGCATCTGCGATCTTCGATCTCTCATACTTCGTAAGTGACGCCAGAAGGGGAACTTCTTCTAGGAAGCTCTCGTACAGACGGCGACGTTGGAAGGTTGAGTCCATGAGGATCCGACGGAAGGTGATACGATCAAGAGCCCAAAGAGTACAGCCGGCTTCTGCTGACATGACAGTAGCTGCTCTGGGAGCGTTATACATGAGGGCAAGCTCTCCAAAGGAACCACCAGGCCGAATAGTCGCGACTTCCTCGCCCAAACCTGCTGGGCCTGGTTGCAATGAACCACTCTTGTTGACATAAACAACGAAAGAACCCTTCTCTACCACATAGAAGTAGTCGCCTTCGTCTCCTTGTGTAATGACCTGTTCGTGCTTAGTTAGTACCTGCGGCTTCAGACAAGTACAAAAGGTGCAAACGGTGCAAAAGCAAGAACAAATATCGTATCCTTGAGCACATACTTTGATTCCCTTTGCTGGAATTGCTTTTTCCACCAGAGCACCCAACACTTGAGCACTCTGCTCATCGTCCAAGTGGCTGAAGAGGAAGTTGCCAGAAATGGACTTCTTTAAGCGCTGCAGCTGTTCCTCGGTCTTGTGGTGGAAGGGTGGGGACCAGTTGTCGTTGGAAGCAGCTGTTGGATTGAGTGATTCAGCAGAGACTGATGTTCGTCGGCCCATTCCATACTGAGATGGAAATCCATCTGCCGCCTTGAAAGACGATGGTGGACCTTCTCCAGAAGCATCACCGCCAAATGGCGCACCGAACTGACCACCACTGTTGCCGAAGTTGAAGTTGGGAGAGGTAGGTGAAGTGATTGTGTCAGTCTCGTCCTCCTCCATAACCTTTGAGATTTGTCCAGAACCTACTTGCTCGCCCGCATTTGTAGTAGCTCCGCCGAATGGGTTGGAATTTGAGCCGAATCGGCCAGGAAATGTGCTGCCAGACATCTTGGTGCCTTGGGTATTGAGAGACGAAAGGAAGTGGGAGCGTTCGAGCTCGAGCTGTCGAGTGAAGTAATTGGCGCAGAATTGTATCAAGTCGGTCGGATTGTTCTTGAGAATCTCTTTTCTGAGGGAGTCGATCACGTCGAGAGAAGCAGAGGAAAGTGACATCGACAGACCCTAGTCTCGTCTCGGAAGCTCAATGGCAGTCGCTGCAGACGGTTTCTGTGTTGTTGAGGAAGGGGCGACTCCAGGAATTATTCGCGGGACTCGCTCGTCACTCAAGCAGGCAACAGCTACAATCTAGGGACGTGATAACAGCATTAGTCAAAGACTTTGGGAGATGCAACGATTGATAAGGAGTGAGTGGCTGCCATGGAGATCTTCCACGAAGTCGCAGGGACCCGTGAGTTGGCACCTATGACCATCGGCCGTCGAGACATGCCGGGATGACAGGATCGAGTATGCTTTCGGAGGGGCAGCTGCATAGCAATGCAAGCGAGGGGAACTTACAGTACAATGGCAATCCCGTTCGCATCAGAAGATGACAATATGGTCGACGGAGGTCGTGAGAGCTCGTGGGCACGGCAGGATAAAGTAAGTGATGGAGGGGAGAGAAGTCTCGCTAGGAGAGAAGGTGGGGAGCGGAGTCTTGATTGGGTGTCGAAGCTTAATGGAAGCTTCGAAGGTTCGATTTTCCTTCTGGAACAGCTGCAGTCCACTCAGCACGAGGGACGAACGAGGAAAATCGCCGCAGTGCAGTGTCACAGCCAATAATGATCTTGATATGACAGCGGCAAACGAGCAATCAATCAATCTCTCCTCCACCTCAGATTCCCCTTTTGCCCTCGGTGCGGAAGAGTGCACGTCGACCAGCTAATGCAAGATAAGATGAGTGTCCGTGTGCGATGCGATGGGGATTTCGTGATGGACTAGGGTAGGTATGTCGGTATGGAGAATAAGCTCCAGGAAGTGCAACACCCCTCTTGACCAGAGGGGGCGGTGAGATGCGATCATGACAGTCAACATTCGTGGTGACATAAATAATTCTTTCTCACAAAGAAGTCGGCTTTCCATGCATCAGACTCCCGAGTCATAAATCAGGAACGTCTCACCTAGACCATCGACGATGAATGTCGAGACACAAAAACCGCTCTGCTGATTATGAGAGCTCGAAACATACCTATTCAAGACTGCTGGTGGGTCCCGTTTCTTCATGTCTCAATTGAATCTGGCGGGGTCGAAGTTGCAACGTTCCTCTGCAGTCATACGAAGTACCGTGGTACATCTACAAGGTCAAACTCACCTTATCAAGAAACTGTCAAATCATCTATGTTACTATGCCGTACAGAGTTGAGGATAAGTAAAGAGATGAATAGCTTTCTCTTTCACAGACTTTGTACCTAATGTAGAGCTGAAGCCAACTGAGTGTGAAGGTTTCTGTTCGTACAGAGCAACGGAAGTAACTTCTATCGACAATGGAATCAGACGCCTGGAGCGGCGATAATAATACGATGTCAAGCCTCTCCTGATGAATCCTTGCCTGGAGGTCTTCGGCTCCGTGCGTCATACCTCGACGTGCTCCCCACCGATGCAAGACAGAATGACTATGAGCTCATCGGTGTCAATGTCCAACAAGTGGCGAGGATCTCTGATGTGTGAGAACAAAACGACAACTCATAATGAGGGAGTAATATGTGCGCATAGTATAGTTCATGATATTCAACGTGAATGCGAGTTTCACTGCTATCTCAAGGTGTTGAACGCAGCTGCAGGGGAGCTTTGTAGACTGTAACACTAAAGCTACTTAGCGCCACTCGGCCGGCCTTCCAATTTGACTCCTCCCTCGGGCACATCTGATTTTCAACCACTTCTCAATCTCAATCTCCATCCACGACACATCCGTCGACACATCTTCTATCCGCTCCCAACTTTGATAATTTGCATCGCGGTATCTGTGTAATTGCACTGCACTGCTCGTGGACGAACACCTTCCGATATCGACCCCTCTCAACCAGTTCGAAAGGGATTCTCAATTCGCCAACCCGATACCGCAATTACTACGACTTGTCAGAACACATCTAATATACAACAATCTCAAAGATGGGGAGCTTCATATTCAAATGGTGCGCCTCTCATGATCTTTTTAGACCTCGACTTAAGTTTGCTCAATCCCCCAGTCGTGTCTGCGTTGTGTAGCTGCTTCTGCGCATGAGCTTATCAAAGTTTCACTTGTTCTGTCTCTCGCGAGATGTGACACCTTCAAGCCATGTTGAATGCGTGACTGACATTCAATCGCAAATAGGGACCATTCTGCCGATGAGGTCTACGTGACTGGTACCTTCGATAATTGGGAGAAGACCGAGAAGCTGGTCAAGACGGGCGATACCTTCGAGAAGGATGTTACTCTGCCAAGCGCGGCTGAGAAGATATACTATAAGGTGCGTGAAGGATTTCAATCTGCTGAATTTCGTGCGTCGCGGCTTTGGTGAAGCTTCGTTGCCCCAACCTTGAGCTATTGCGTCGTTATGTGTCTGCCTGCGCCCGACGCCAAGCAGTAATGATTCAATACGGGGTCTGCTTCGCGAAAATATGCTCCCCTCATCTGGAATGCTCCTAGGCTTTATCTGTGGAGCTTGCCCTGGACCCTGGCAATACATCCTAAGATATGACGCGGTTTCACCACCCAACTGTCATGGAGCGGTGAAGCTTCCAAGTTAAAAAGCATTTACAGGGTCAGCTGGCAGGCAATGGCCCTGTTTGAGATTTAGGTGCTTGGGCCACGCCGCCGCCTTGGATGTCGCCTATTCCAGACCCCGCTATGAGCTGAAGGAGCTGGGCTTTTAAATCCAGCCTCCTTCTTTTTCTTCCTTTTACGACTATCTTCAATTACAATTATCATATAGCTAACTCCTACTTCTCCTACAGTTCGTTGTCGACGGCGTCTGGACTACCGATCATACTGCGCCGCAAGAAAACGACGCTTCAGGCAATCTGAACAACGTCCTCACTACAGAACGAATCAAGAAACATACACCCGAGACAGCCGGAATTATGGCTGGCGTTGCTCCTACCTCTACGACTGCCGATTTGGCAAAAGATGTTCCCCTTGAGAAGGCTCCACTTGAGAACACAGCTTCCTCAGATCTTCCCGGATCCTTCCCCGAGACTCCAGCCGCAACCGAAAAAGGAGACTTTTCTGTCAACCCTCTGCCAGCAGCAGATGGCGCTGTGAACCCTATCAAGCTTGCGCCGGGCGAGAAAGTCCCAGACCCAAGCATCTTTACAAACAACACTGTCACATCTGGTGTTCATGATGACCCAGAACTTGTTGCTGCAGCGAAAAAGGCTGAAGGAGAACAAACCTTCGGTGTTTCCCCACTTCCTGCTTTCCCTGGTGCTGTGAATCCAGTTACTACCGCTCCCGGCGAGAAGATTCCAACTTCGGAGAAGCTGACTGGAAATACTATCAATTCCTCGGTTACCACTGATAAGGAGTCTTACGAGAAGAGTGGCGGACTGGGAAACGCTCCTGTTCTCCCCCCTGTTGTCACTCCTACCGCTGAGCGAGAACTCAATGGCACTGGTGTTCTGGACATGCCACCAGCAAAGAATTTAATTCCCGAATCAAGCTTGCCAATGGGAGCTGCTGGTGTGGGAACTTTCGACGCTAGCCCTACGATACAATCATCTGGTCCCCAAAGCACGACTGCCCAGCTTGCTGCTGCTGTCCCTCTCGAATCTTCGAAAGTACCAGAAGTTGTAAAGGAAAGCCAACAAGAAGCCGGCTTTGCTCCTGAAGCAAGCGCTGTACCAGCTGAGGTTAGTGAGAAGAGCGCAGTTGAGAAAGAACTTCTCAACGAAGTTCCAGAGGCTCCAGCTACATCCGAAGGTACTGCAGGAAAGGGCACAGATAAGTCAGAGAAGGGTGTCACGGCGGGCGAAGCTGCCGCAGCTGTGGGTGGAGCGGCTGTTACTGCCGGAGGAGTTGCTGCTGCCTACGCATCTAATGCTGCCAGCAGTCTCCCACCATCAGTCACTTCTAAGCTCCCCGAGTCCATCCAAAACTCTATTGCGGCGACGAATGCCAAGGCAGACTCTCAATCCACCGCTAAGGATACACCAGAAGTCGTGAAAGAGTCGATTGCCGAATCTGGCCAAAGCCCAGAAGCTGCTGCCAATGAGAATGCTGTTCTGGAGAAGAAGGCTGTTGAGAAGGAGTTGCTGTCTGAGATCAAGCCTGAAACATCTACCGGCGAGTCTGCACCCAAAATCACCTCGACTGGAACATCTGGCGGTCTCAATGCCCCAGCTTCTGCAGCTGTCGCTGGCCAGCCAATTGAATCACGCGATGTTTCACCAGGGACTGTTCCAGGATCGCACACAGAAACTCAGACCGCACCAACAGTCACTTCGGGTGTAAGCGCTACCACAACAACAGACAAGACAAGCGCTGCACCCGCCACCCCTGCAAAGAGCACGGCCGCTACCCCTTCAACTCCTGCAAAGGCCACGCCAGGAAGTAGCAAGGCAGGCGATAGCCCCGCTAGTTCCGCTACCGACAAGGCCGACAAGAAGAAGAAGCGAACCAGCTTTTTCGGAAAGCTCAAGGCCAAGCTTTCCCACAAAGATTAAAATCTATAATCTTTTGAATCAGAGACCAGATGCAGTAATATTGGGGTGATCGGAAGACGGAGTCCGAGTGTACGATATTGACAGAGCGCTTTCCTGGTCGCGTTGTAATGCTGAGGACCTAGGAGGGATGGGCGGAAGATCTTGCTATGCGAACGCGAAAGTGCTTATTGATACCGATTGGAACCGATTTACTCTTGCTGCTCTTGCGTTTTTTGTCGTTGCCTTCTATCTCGTCTTAGGTTGTCTTTTCGTTCCAATACCATTTTCTTGTTGTTTTTGCGTGCATCATCATCATCGTCAGGGGTTCATGCATATGACTCTCTGATGAAGGAGGAGAGCAATGATAATGGCTTGAGGTGGAGCGGAGAAGAGGAGAAGACGTGCGTGGAGGAGCGATTGTGTGTTGGTGTGTGTTTTGGAAAAGTGTAGATAAGATGTGAAGTTAGTTTGCTATGCATTTCGACCTTACATCGATTTGGTTTTCCTTGATGATAAAATCTTGTGACCATTAGCTTCGTTCATGGTATGTATATGGCTCTCGAAGAAAACTCAATTTAAACCCGTTGATGGTGAAGATCCCGTTCACTCAGCTACTAGCGCGAAATGCGCTGTTCGCGCTGTTCGCACTATTCGCGTGATTTGCGCAGTTTGCGCGTTCTGCGCGTTATGTGCAAGGAGTTTTCAGAAAAGTAAGATACTCATTAACTGCAACAAATTACAAACATTACACCTCTACACTAACGAACATGGGGACAAAAGTCCGTGCGTTCAGGGCATCAGAATCATGAATTTTATTAATTAATTAGCTGTAGACCAGCCACATCGCTTAATTAAGTCGTGTACCCAGAAGTCCTGCTGCTCAATAAGCCCATTGATCCATTCCTGAGGAATTTTGTCCCATTCTTCTAATACTGCTACAACCATTTGAACCTCAGTTGTTGGCTGCCTTAGGCGCCTATGGAGAGCTTGTTTTATTCTCCTCCAGCACTTCTCAATAGGATTCATATCAGGGCTAACTGCAGGATGGGGGAATAGAGTAATACCCATAGAAGTACGCCAAGTAGCACAAATATTGCTAGTAGTCTTGTGGCCGTGAGCAGAGTTGCCGTCTTCCATGAACTGAGGGGTCTTCCCAGGCCCCAAAACAGCCGCAAAAGCAGCTAAAAAATCCTGAATATAAGGCTTGAGTACTTGAGCAAGGTAATCAGTTTGTGTAAATGCCCCACTCTTCCCAGTTCCATAAATGTTGATCAATGGACTTTTGTATCCGTAGCCTACAGCACCAAAGAAGTGTACAGGAATAGTGCCACCTCTATGCATTTGGAATTGAATGCAGTCAGGATGACAGCGTTCCTTCTTATTCCTAATACACCTCTGCTTGCATTTCTTCCCTCCAACTTGAAATGTGACCTCATCTGAGTACAGTATCTGACTCCATTCCCAAATAGTCCAAAACATGTGTGCTATCCCCCACAGCCACCGCGCATTGGCTTGGGTCTTAGTGAGGTAGGGCTTTTGGTAGCAGATACAAGAGTAGTATCCAGCTTCTTTGCAGCGGCGTTTGAGGGTCTTGACAGAGCAAGAGAGTTGCAATTCATTGTGTATTTGGATCCAATTCAGCACTCTAGTTGCATGGTCGGTGCAAATATACTCAATAATATCTCTAACCTCCTGTTTATTGAGGGATTCTCTGGGTCTCCCTGTGCGTGTAGGGCGCGCTCTTTTAGGCACATCGTATAGTAGGATCTTCCTAACTGTGCTGTCTCCTAGGTGGTAGTAGCCCTGGAGCTGTTGCAGGCCTATTTTAGCGAATTTGAAGAGCCGGCGTATGCCCTCTTTGTGCTTGGTTCTGATCTCTGCACCTGGGAGACGTGGAGACATAGGTGGAGTGGTAAAAGGATCCATAATGGTGGAGTTGTTGATAGTTTAGTCCTAATGTGAAGAGTTTTAATTTCGAGGTTCTACAGCCTGAACGCACGGACTTTTGTCCCCATGTTCGTAAGTCCACATTAGGCAGACTAGTTGAGGAGAACAATGAGCCCATGCCGCTTGAATTAAGAGCATCCTTTTCCTCTCCCGACTCCAGCAATACATCATTTCCTCTTTCAAGATCTAAGACGGGGGATAGATCCAATACATTTAATCGAGGTTTTACGTGCTTTCACAGGTGCTGATGTCGATGAGCTTTTCTGGGGTTGTAAAGTTTGTAAATGTTGCAATTGTAAATTTTTTTGCCCGCGGTACTTTGAGAGGATGCTTGTGGTCGCGCTCAAGATGTAGAAGTGAAGCGGAGGGGAGAGAGAGAAAACGAGGTCTGGATTTCCCCGCAAGGTGAACTTCGGTATGCATACCCCCATAGATCGTCGAAGTTCATTTCGATCATTGGGCAAGCTTCTCTATGTTAAGCACAGAGATGTAGTTTTGGGAGTAATTGAATCCATTGTCTTCGAGGCAAGTTGTAAGCATGTATTCATGTTAAAACAGGACTACAAAAGACCAGTGACAGCCGATTCTGAAGGAAGACAAATGGGATAAGAAGTGGGTCTCGAGTTTTTACGCCTAGTGGGAAATGAAGGATTGGTTGTAGTAGGTATTGAGATATGGAACTTATGGGGGCTTGGAAGGATGTATGTGGAAGATGTGAAGGGGAGGGTTGTATTTCTGGGATTTTCTCGGACTGGAGAAAGAGGCGAGACAGTAGGATTCAGTTTCTCTTATCAGATTTGACTTACTGGATCAGTATCAAGCAATAACTTCATTATGGCAGTTTCATTTTTTTGAAACATTGCCCTGCTTCAAATAACGAGACGCACAGGGGCGTCGTGAATGAAGGAAGCTTTCTTCTCATTCTTGGCTCAAGTCATCGTTACGCGTCCCCAGGAAAATATCAAGAGGTGTTGAAAGGCGAAGGAAGATAGTACACTCAATCTCTATGAACAATTCAAAAGTCGCTTCACAGGCACCGCTACATCCTCAAGACAAAGATAGTATAAACTCTTGAATTACTACTGTTTTATATCCCCAACTATATACCGAAAGGGAACGTCTTTAAATGCAACCCACCCACCGGCCCACCTCCATCTATCCCATCCCATCCCATCCATCTATCATGCAAGGGTATCTAAAACCAACGCACGCTATGCTTTCATCCGTGTTGTCTGCCAATTAAATCCCATCCTATGTCATCCCCAAAAAAAGAAAAATGCTCCTCCCACCCAAAAGTATACAAGTATATATAGAGGTAAGGAATGACAACGAACCCCAAAACCCCAAGAAGTACGAACACGAAGAAAAGCAAGAATATTAGAGTGCATGTTGAGGAGAAAGGAGACGTATATAATAAGGAGATGATAGACAAAAAAGAGTAATAGGACATATAAAAAAACACAATCCAACATTAATAGAGACCATTCGTGTCGATCTCGTAACTCTTTCTTTTTGTTTCATCCGTCTCATAACCTCGTAAGAAAAGCCCATCTCTCTATCCCAAGATAAGAAAAGGAAAACCAAAAACAGAAAGAAAAACACCTAGAAATGAGAAGAGAACACCAGAATGCCGCCCAAGAAGTGTTACAAATAGAAAACGTAGGAGGGAAAGAGATCAAAACCATTTCCCACGAACCCCTTTCTTGATCTTGCCAAGTACCACGATAGCATCGACAAGATGACCAGATTTGTTGCCCACGCTCTCGATCTCGAGACGATGGCGGACAGCGTCGATGACACCGCAAGTATCGCCTTTTGTGTTGGCGATGCTTTTATTGGTCCACAAGTCCTCGACACTCATATCGAGAATGGCGTTGGTGTAATTGAGCGCCTTGAGTCTTGTTTCGTCGGAGAGTGAGATCATGTCCACGTTCATGTTTGAGACGTCGCCGTCTGAGCTGCTGCGAGAAAGTGCTGCGGTGCCCAGGTTCTGGTACTTGTGACCGTACGCCCAGCAGATCAAGGCGCAGACGTACAAGGACCAGTAGTCGGAAATGGAGAGCGTGCTTTTGATACGACCATCTGACGAAAGCGTGACAGGTTGAGAGAGGACTTGGGAAAGAACTTGGCAGGCGTGATGGGTGGCTTGTGCGGCAGCGAAAGAGGTGGCCCATGTTTTCAAGCGGTACTGTGCGTCGTGAAACTCGGAAGGAGGGGTGATTTTTTGAGCGAAGACCCAGGTGTCACCTGCAACGGCTAGGAGACTGTACAGTGGTGTATTATAAAGCGCAAGATATGTGAGTGTATGTGGCGATGTCGGAAATATGTTCATGAAGGTTTGTAGATCGGGATGAATGGACCCGGGGACGAAGTTGTTTGGATAGCGAGGATCCTCTCTATTAGGTAGTTTTGCCGCGAACCAGCATATTATGAGAGATTGAGTGAATGGAGTTGTATCGGCAATTGGTTGAGACGAAAGTTCTTGTTCGATTAGGTGAAGCGGTTGAGGTATATACTCAGATCGCTGGGTTTGCCATTCTTCTGTTGGAGTAGTGGCGTTCCAGAGGCTATCTGGGCAAGGGAGACAGATCAGAGACCTGATATTCTCACGGCTGGCGCGAGAGCGAGATTGTTGATGAAACATGAATTGATGAACATCAAACATGAAGCAAGCACTAAGGAGACGTTGCCGTGATTCATTTTCGAGCCATTGGTACCAATCACTAGTATCATCAGGGCGTGGCGCAGGAGGGACGCGAGTATCAAGCTGAGGTCCAAATCGACCAAGAAGAGCTTCAGCAGATGATGCAACTGCTGGGCTCTGACTTGGCATTGATATTGGGCCCTGGTCTGTCTCGCTCAATAACTGGAAAAGTGATTAGCATTTGACTTTTCTTGCGGTTGTGCTTCACTTACCCTGACATAGAGTGCTTCAAAGGGTCGCGATATTCGAACAGTTGTCTTTCGTCCCCGGAACCGAGTGAAGATCTCGGTCAGCAGGATTGCCTGCATGGTATGAAGATCCCAAGATGGGCACTACATTAGTTAGCATTGCCGATCTCACAGATGAGAGGAAGCAAGGTCGCCATGATGTTGATGCTCAATATCATACACGTGACCCTGCTTTTAGAGATGATGATTTGATGAAAACTGACTCACTAGCTCAATGCCTTTCTTACAGAACTCGTTCAACTCGGCTCCTTTGGCGCGTGCTTCGGGTGAATCATGATACTGCGTGCCAATTGCGGCCATAGCAGAGGTAAGTAGATTGCTTTGGGTTGAGTCGAAGGTAGGTTGGTGAATTATGGGGAAGGATTGGTGAAAACATTGCCAATACGTGTTTAAATACTCGTCAAACGAAGGCTGTGGTTGGAAAGTTGGTGTAGCATTTAAAGCGAATGAAGTCAATTGTTGGGGCTCCACCAATTCCTTCTTTCCTCTAAGGATCTCCAATCCGGAGTTGTTGGAATATCTTGGTGTAATAGATGCTGGAAAATGTTGAGCCAAAGGCTTGCTAAATGTCGGAAGGGTTGGAGTACCCACTGATGATGGTTCCATATTATAAAATCCGTCTACTGAGGTAGGGATGTTCAAGAGATGTGCTCGGGAGACAGGTGTAGAGATTCTTGGCGACGAGAAGGGTGTTTCATATGTGTCAAGCAAGGAGTCGACAAAGCCTCCAGGACTCCTGATATCCTGAGGAGTGCTGGTCATCCCGTGAGTCCAGTATGGCGCGGCAGCTGGGGCTGGCCAATCCGGTAGGGTCGCAGCCGAGAGGGATCGACCCCTGGTATAAGACAACTGTGGACCAGTATGAGAGCCGTCAGATTGCGTAGAATAGGTACTGCTTGATGCTGAAGAGCACCAGGGTGAGTTACTGTAGGAGAGTCCTGGATACCAGCTATCTTCTGGTATCCTCAGCAGTGGTAGTTGGGGAGTAGTGGTGTAGTTCATCCCTCCTTCAACGTATGGCTCGTCCAATCCTGAGGCCCCAAAAGTGTTCTGGTTTGACATTTGGTTGCCGAAGCCACCTGGTTGTCTGTTCGATGGTCCTACCCCAGGTGAAGACACTGGATATGAATCCGCATCTGGCAATTGAGCTTGGCCGGCAGTTCTCTTGTGACCAGCGGACCCCTGGAAATTGATGGCCTGAAAGCTGCCTGTAATGGTATTGTAGCTGGAAGCTGTCAAATTGCTTCCGTCGCTCCCACTGGTTCGTGGTGTCATTGATTCCTCAGGCGGTGCTTGTGTCCCAGCTCCAGAAGGCCCAAGTGAAGGTGGCTCGACTTTGAGGGAAGGTGTCCTGCTCTCCGATGCACTTGAAGATGCTCGACTTCTTGGATCTCCAGCTTTGTAGGCTTTTTCTCCTTGGGTTTCACTATATTCTATTAGCATCGCTTCGTGGCAGTCTGCAGATTGAAAACGTGATATAGCGCATCGGTAGATTCCTATACTTACTGTCTGTGCAGATGTCTAGCTAGCAGATCCGGCCGATGGAAAGCCCTTTCGCAGTCTTCAAACGTGCATGGATATGCTGGTTTCTGATGGCTCAATTGGTGGCGTCTGTAAAAGAAAGTCAGAAGCGATTTCTGACACTCCACCAGAAAACTCTCACCTCAAATGCTCTGCTCTCGTGAACGTCTACACCAAAAAGTTAGCAGTCACACATAATTGCAATAGCTGGGTCCCAAAACACACCTTTACCGGTCTGCATATATCACAGGTGTGAACCGGAACTCCCTTCTTCGCTCTACTTAGACGTCCGGTGACTGGCGTATATTTGACAGGCAGATCTGCCACAGGCTCTGAGCCTCTTGGAGACTGCTGAGGACTTCCAGACATGCTCGCCTGATTAGAGCCTCCAGCTTGGTACCCCGAGGTGAAGTCCATTGTCTCTCCACCAGCGCTACTCCGTCGCCGAGCAATGTTCTGTCGCGCGGCGGACGATTGACCTGCTGGCTTGGAGACTCTGTTTGACTTGCGCCTCTTGATAGGAGTCTTGCCTTTGCTGCTATCGTCAATGGGCGGGGAGGGTGACTCGGAGGTCTGAGCGATGGTGGGATGGGAGGCTTGCTGAGCGGCTTCCCTCCTTCTATAGGCCTGGGACTCGAGCGGCTCTACGTCGACATCCATGATGTGTTTGAGGCTCGACATGATGCTAGAACTCAAATTGGAAGCAAGAGTTTGGTGGTTCCTTACAGCCTTGCACAGCCCGACTGGAATAGATATGTCAGGGGCCAAAATCTCAGTGCAGGAACAAAGATGTGTGAGTCGAGATCTTGGTAACTGTGTGTCCAGGTGCAGAGGCGCGAACTTCAAGGTGTAGTAGCTTTTTTTAAGAATGACGGCGGAGAAGCAGCTTTACTTCCAATATCCCCAGACAAGTGCGCAGTAGATGCACAAAGATAGCAGCACGTATCGCAGGGCATTCTTGAGGGTCGTGAGTATGTTCGCGAGAGAAAGCAGTGGTGGAGGAGGAGGAAGATGGAGGTCAGAAAGGCTGCCACTGTGCCTCGCCCCCTTGTCGACCAGCCCCGGTCCGGACGAAGAGGGGATAGTGTGGTCCTCTACCCAGCAACCGGTTCTCCAAGCCAGTCTGTAATAAGGTGTAGGATACTGCACGAAGGAGCAAGAATAGCCAATGATGGGCCTGTTAAGCGCTGTGGTCGAGGGACGAATGCTACCCTTTCGAGGCATGGCTCAGGGCTGCTGGGCCAGTTTATTCTTACTACTTACTGCAGTACCTACTTCTACCTTCCCGAGGTTCGCGAGAGCGTGCTACTGTACCGTACTGCTAGTAGCGACAAGGCTATGGATCAAGCATATCTCAAGGGTTCTTCAACCGCACCCTGCCACCCCTCGCCGTGGGAAGGGAAGGGAAGAGAGCGCAGGGAAGGGAACGGGGGGGGAAACTAGGGCCAGACGGGCAGTAAAAAGTATCCGCGCGACCCACCACGGCCGTCGAAGCGTCAAAGCGCTAACCTTGTAAGGCGTGACAGGCGCGAGACGACTCAGACGAGGAGGATAAGCCACCCCTTTTCCCTGTATTAATCCATCTGCATATTGCGAATTTCATGGTTCCGTTGTAAGCGCGATGGTGGGACCGGCTGTAAGAAGCAGACCTCCTGCTGGCTGCAGCGCATGCAGAGCAGAGGAACGGAAAAAACAGAACGCAGAAAACAGCAGCAGATCGCTGGTGATGGTTGTTGGGTCGGCCAAATGCTGATTCGAACGGCCGTTTCTTGAATGTCAGCCAGCAGCAAATGATGTATGATTGCAGAGACCAGTGCGTAATAATAATGGCAGTCAGAAGAAGTGGGCGGGGGATTGGACTGAATGAGTGAGTTTGGGTGAGGTGAGGTGAGGTGACTTGAGTTGGGTGAGGGACGCGGGTGAGTAAGCTCTCTCCGTGCCCTGTACCCTGCGCTCGAAAGGTGCGGGCCGGGACACACTTGGTGGTGGACTAAGACACCAACCAACCCCCGCTTAGCCTCGACGCCAAGGGCTATTTTGGGGATTTTACTTGCGCCTCTTTCACCTAGAAATCCCATCCATGCTCCCATCCTCTCCCACTCCCATCCCATCCCATCCCATCCCATCCTATCTCCCATCTGCTCTTCTCCGCCCACAAATAAAAATCCATCTCTTTCTTTCGGGTCGTCGCCCGGCGCACCAGCTAATGTACTTTTGCGTATTAATATCATCATCGTCGGACAACCTGAGGAGTGAGGGAGGTACAGAGACTAAAGAAAGAACAGAACCGAACCGAACCGAACCAGCGCAAGAGCCAGACGAGTGGACTCGCGGGCGCATAACGGGTTTCCTCTTGCCGTCTCTCCGCTTCCTCACCCACCGTTGGAAAAACGGACCTACAGTAAGTATCTATTTGCTGAGGGGCACAGGAGGAACCAGGCCCCCGGAATATCTGCACCGTCCGAAAGAGGGAATGAGCAATGCGAGCACTCGTTTTGACACTCTGCACGACCAAAACGTGACGTCTGTATCTGACGGGCTCGTGGCTCGTAATCCGGGAGTAACCCGCCATGGGACGCCCCCAAGTGCGCTTTAGCTTTTACTTCACTTGCGCTTCTCTCTCTCTTGCTCTGTCCAAGACTTGATAGAAATGTTCTGGATGGAATCCGCTTGAGTTGAATGAAACTCGTCGTGATGATTTATTTGCGCAAGGTTGGTCGCAATATCTTCATCCATGGGGTTTGGGCCAGGTCTCTCCCTATTGGAGCACCGTACGAGCTGTCTAAATGAGCTGATGCTCTTTTTTGCTGCATTCATACATAGCCTTGCCCGAAAACGGCGTCATCTCCCAGGAGAGAGAAAGAGAATCAGCAACCAATGGTAAAAATGTTGGTCCCAGCCACGTCTGAAGTTTTGGTTGCAGTGCTGCATGCCATGCAGGACCAATGAGCTCGCATCGTTCGGCGTGAAGGATTCTTCAGCATCCAAGTCCCAAGTCGCAAGACCAGGTCGTCCCAATTGAAAGATTAACCTCCTGCCGTGCATGCTTCTGATCCGAAATAGGCGGTGTTGGCTGCAAGCATTTCCCCACAGGGGATCTTTTCCCGAGTTCGGGGAGGGTCCGAGTTGGAAAGACGTCCGGATATCGAGTGGTTGTGATCTGATAGATCGTCATCTGATCTTCTAAATCTGAATCTAAATCTAAATCTACAGTTCAGCTGGTATCTGTTTCTCAGGAGAGTTTCGATGATGATGATGATGGCTGTCTCCCTTCTGGCGCCTGACGATTAGGTTTCGAAGTTTGAGGTAGAGTTTGAAGATACTGGCGACGACGGGAACGGGGGAGCTGTGCCATGTCTGCTGCTGTACTCTGCCTCCCCCTAGCATAACAGCCCAAACTCAAACCTCCTCGTGCTTGGATCGCCGAACTGCACATCGTCAGTGACCCTTCAACGACTTTCTCTGTGATACTGGTTGGCCTCGGCGGCTATTTCGATCATCAGCAGCATCATCGATGTCATCGGCCCATCTCTCAATCGTACAATCTATCAATCAATCAATCAATCAATCAATTGATCCCCCAATTGTTGACACTGCCACCGCACAGCACCGCCATCGATTCGATACGGTCCGGCAATTGCTATCGCGTCGCGAGATCTCTGGGTTTCCCATCCTGAGAAACGAAACAATGCAGCCAGGGCCACTCGTCACAGCGCAGCAGCAGCAGCAGCAGCAGCAGCAGTAGCAGTAGCAGCCGACTCCAACATCGTATCTGTGACCTGTATCCCCTCAATTCCGTGCCGTACGCACGCAATCATCTCAATCCATGGCCAAGTGGGGTGGTGGATGTGGCGTATGTGTCGCGATAGTGGCTTCTCTCTCCGTTGCGGGTTGCGGGAGACTGCGCCTCCAGTCAAGCCCTCCACCAGTTGTCTCAAAATAAGTTTCATCCACAGAGGTCGAGTGCCGCGCCCAGCGTACTGTACCTGTACAAAGACCGCCGAGTTTCCTCGCGTCCAGTCCAGACGTCACACCCCCGATGGCATCTCCCGCTCGGTGGCCGCATTGAGAAGGAGGGTAGGGTAAATAGAAGGATAGAAGGGAAGTGGTGGAGTCCCAGGGGGAACGGTCGGGGGCCAAAAGACCTTCTGGAAGAATAGAAGCTTCTTCCATTTGGTCATTCCCACGTTTCGACTGCTGCACTGTGCCTTTTCTTGGATGCGAGGACCCGACAATCATCCCCCCGCGTGCATGCAGAACTGCACCGCTGAGTGAGAGGTACAACACATCGCACATGGCATCCATCCATCCACACACCACACCAGCACCCTCGACACCACCCCTCCCCCCCCCCCCCCAATCTCACCAGAGTAGTAACCGCTATTGTTTTATGCACGGGTGATCAAGCTCATCTGAGGTGAGAGCAGCAAGACTCCATTTGTGCAAACAGGTGTCCTTTGTGCAAAACAAGACAAGACTGTCTCACGCAGGAATGGAATCTGATCTAATCTGGCCCACGCTTCCGAACGTCTTCGAGAATATACACCGACCGGCTGACGTGTGGGTACGTGGTGTCCTCCTCTGCCTGAGAATTCGGCAACGACAGCAACACAAACAAAACTTGGTTCGGAGATGTCATCAGTTTCGGAGATCGATCGACCCGTCTATTCTCAGATTCTTAAATAATATATGACCTAAGGTCACTCTTGGAATCATGTCCGTCTCAGGCAGAGATATACTTGGCCTTTCTCCCATATTCCACTCCCCTATGGGTAGATATTTGTAGCCAGCGGTAAACCGGTCGCCACGGTACATCGGTACATTTACGTACTTCAACTCTCCAAAATAGGCTCTGGTGAAGTTACACATGTATGTGTTCGGACCACGAGGGCTACTTCACTTTTGCTCTGCTAAAGTTAGCATTCGGTATCTTTTTGCCAAAGCAACAAAACAATAACTCGCTTGATAAGCATCTCGCATTTCAAACAATTCTCAGCGCCATCGCTCAGAGGCATCACAAGTACGAGCTGGTCAAGATCGAGATCTATCCCAGCCGTTATTCAACACCACATAAAATGTTTCAAGCTGAGCGTCTTCCCGTGTTTGGGGGTGGATTGTTGACTTCACAGCCATCAACGGGAAATGCCATTATCCAAGTCTCTCATTCCATCTCACGGACTCTGTCCTGGAGAATACTATGCACAATATTGTGCTGCGGCGGCTTTCAAATTGATTTGCAAGACTCCAGAAACGGCCGAGGGAAAGTGAACTGCCACAATCGAGGCGCAATGCTCAAGTCTCACGGATAAACCACAACTATTGGCTTATCAGCAGGAATGCACTCCTTGGATTCGTATTGGTGAGTGCTCTATTTCCAATCAGGATAATGGTCTCCTGGAATTATCTGGAGTCATGATCTGATTCCTCCATTTGATATCCATGTTTCCTCGCTTAACAGAGAACAAATCAGAGCGGGGTGAGAAGACGTTAACAAGAATGTACACGGAGAAGATGGTGATGAAGGATCTAACAAAAAGATGAAGCAGAAAACAGCGAACAATGAGAAAGAGAAAATGTAACAAACAATGAATCGAATACTTGATAGAACAAAATCATGAATGAAACCTAAATTCCAAATATCACAGTGAGGCCACGTGTAAACCATCTCCCCCCACCACCTCACTCTTCACCACCCTCAACACCACCACCAAACCAACAAATGCCTTCCAAACCACCCCTCTCAAACCCCAAAAATGCCTCCTCCTCCTCCTCAAACTCAAAACCCACCTCCTCAGCAATCGGAGCCACCCTCCTCATCGCCCAACAATTCGGCTCCCGCGCCCTGACATTCATCGTCAACCAAATCCTCCTCCGCTACCTCTCCCCCTCCCTCCTCGGCATCAGCACCCAGCTCGAAGTCTACTCCATCACCGTCCTCTTCTTCGCGCGCGAGAGCCTCCGCGTCGCCATCCAGCGCCAAGCAGACATCGCTGACGCCTCTCCGCGCACAGAAGATGAAGACGAGAAGAGCAAGATCCCCAAAGGTCACGTGGATGCGCTGACCTCGGCGGGGAGAACGCAGGCGATCGTGAACCTGTCGTACATCTCCGTGTTTCTGGGAGCGGTCTTTGCTGTTGTCGTAGCGTGGCTGTATAGCTGGAGCTTGGCGGCGGGGGATCCGGCCGTGCTGGCGACGCCGTATTTCCCTGCTGCGTTGAAACTGTTTGGCCTGGCGGCTCTTGGGGAGTTGTTGGCGGAGCCTTGTTATGTTGTTGTGCAGCATAAGTCGAGGTTTGGGGTTAGAGCCAGGACGGAGATGATTGCTACGGTGTTGAGGTGTCTCGTTACGTGTGGGTCTGCGATCTGGGCTGCGAGGACGGGGAGGGATATTGGGGTTTTGCCTTTTGCGTTGGGACAGTGTACTTATGCTGTCTCGTTGCTGGTCGTATACTATGCTAGTGTGTGGTCAATAGCTTCAAGTAATAACTTCTCTCTGTTTCTCAATAAGATATACACAAGGTACCCATCCTTACCTCATCCTTTAATATATTCTTACTAAAGAAACCCAGCAACCCCTCCTCATACCTCCTCTCCTACTTCTCCCTCCCCCTCCTCAAGCTCACCGCATCCTTCTTCACCCAATCCATCCTCAAACACCTCCTCACCCAAGGAGACACCATCCTCATCTCCCTCCTCACCACCCCCACCACCCAAGGAATCTACGCCCTCGCCTCCGCCTACGGCGGCCTCATCGCCCGCCTCCTCCTCCAACCCATCGAAGAAACAACCCGCAACCACATCGGCAAGCGTCTCTCGTCCCCCTCCCAACCCTCCGTCCTCGAAGTCCGCCAAACCCTACTCCTCCTCCTCAGAACCTACATCCTGATCTCCCTTCTCCTCGTGACCATCGGTCCTTTGCTCGCCTCTCCCCTGCTATCCCTCATCGCCGGATCCCGCTGGACGTCGAGCGGCGCGGGCCACGTGTTGGCGATGTATTGCTACTACATCCCCCTCCTCGCCATCAACGGCCTAACCGAAGCCTTCGTCTCGTCCGTCGCCACGCAACGCCAGCTCGGCGCGCAGACGCTGTGGATGTTCGTCTTCTCGTTCGGATTTGCGCTGGCTTCTTTCTTGTTCCTGGGAGTGTTGGATTGGGGCGCCGAGGGACTGGTCGCTGCTAATGGGCTGAATATGTTGGTGCGGATTGTGTGGGCGTGGGGATTCATGGGGACGTATTTCAGGGGGTTTGGGACGCGATTGAGGGTTAGCGAGTTATTGCCGAAGCCGGTGAGCTTGGCGGCTGCGGTAGGGACGTGGGGTGTGTTGGTACAGGTTGAGAAGGGGTTTAGTGGTGGAGTGATGGATTTGGTGAAGGGAGGTGTGGTGGCTGCTGGATTGGTAGTTGTGGTGTAAGTCTTGTTACCTTTTCTGCCCCTGCTACAGTTACTGATCAGTGAGTGTATAGTGCTATTGCTGAACGAGCACATTTTATGGAGTGTTATCGTGAGTTTAGAGGGCAAAAGGCTTGAATGGACGATCTTCGTTCTATAGACTATTGGCTTAGAGCTTGAATCATACAATAGACTCTTCGGTCGTTCGTCAGTATCTCAAGATCTGAACAGCAAGGCAAGAAAAGATTATGCTGCAACTTTGGTTACAAGCTATTTGATAGCGTAAAATTGCTAGGGGGCTAAAAGCTCAACAAATTAGATTGCATAAGCGCGTCTGAGCGATTGATAGCTTCTCAACTATTATAGGACGGTATCAGGCTGAGAGACAGTCGCAAACACGCAATTGCCTCGAGTGTTCCCAATACTTATAGGTTGAGTTTAAGAATATTCGGTTAATATACTGATATACCGAATGCTTGGATCTCCTACTGAAACTCAGATTGGGATATAAGTACAATAGTGCGTAGTAATATTGCTTCAATCGACTCCCCATCAACGGAGCACATAAACATTGACTTGTGAATCCAAAGCGAGCCCCTGAGCGTCCACGTGACAATGAACCATGTTGAGCAGCATCATCGGGATGTGTTTGGTGGCAAGATCATATCATCATTAAAGCTGCCGTAAACCCGGACAAGTACCACCAGTCAAGGACCGGCTTTTCGATGTCTGTCCGCCCACTTTGTTGTAGTTGTATGATTCTGACGTTAGGAGGGCATATTGCCGAGGAAAGATGTTGGAGCAATACCAAAAAGTCCTTGCAAAAGTTTCAGACGGTTGCTCGTTTCCGGCGACCTTTAGTCGCTTGTATCTTGCTTGGGATCCATTCCTTTATTTCTCTTGCGGTCTTCTTGTGATACGACTTTAGGTGATGGAAAAGCTGCATACGATTCGTGAAGATCCTCTGAGGTTGTTTGCAAGAATTCTCTCGAGAGGGCAAAGTATCGGCTTGTCCAAGTCATTATGTGCTTTACTTCGGTGGTAATTGAAATCATAGGCGTTGTGGTATATGATGCTGGATTCCTCGCGGCATTCCGCACATTGACGTGGCACGAATGTGTGCACCTTGCAGATATGGTTCTGCAGACGTTTCCAAGTGGTATATGCCCTTGGGCAGCGTTGGCATTGGAAATCCTTTTTGACGTCCTGTAGGGACTTATCGATACCTTTACACGAGACTTGGTGGGAGTCAAGATGATAAATAAGACGAGATCGGAACTGACACGCTCCAATGCCACAACAGAATTGAAAAGGCCTCGGTGGATCTCTACTGCCTCTAGTCTTATTTCTCAAAGTCTCTGTAATTGTCCGACGATCGTAAGTCTTGGATATCCTGTCGCGAAGTTTGGAATTCTTGCGTACATCGATTTTGGAGAACCAGGTCACGAAAACATCTGGGTCAAGAGCAATAGGGTTGAGGTCATCTTTTCTATTCGAGATGAAATGGTTGGAGTTCGAGTGACCAATTTCGTAAGAGACGTCGAAAAAGTTGTTGTGGACCGAGCCTGGTGGTGTCTTCATACCCAAATACCTGCCTTTTTGAGGCAGCGAACTCGTGTCCCTAGATATATCCCCTACAGTTTCATTGCAGTCAGAGCTTTTACTGAGGTTATAGACTACTCGGACTCCGTTCTTTCTGCCCGATTTTGGCGATACATAGCTTATCCCTGCTTTTGCCATGCCGTCAAACCTTCCTATTGCATGAAGTAAGATCAAAACCTGCCCTGTTCCTGTAGCAACAAACCGCCTGTTACTTTCAACGGCTTGAAGTCCACTGGAGAGACCGATATTATTGGCACGTTCAAGTTTTCCAGGAGACTCGGGCAGAAACGTGGTATTTTCTTTTTCTCTCTTGTCTTTTAGATAGATGCTAGCAGTGTTTCGATGAACTCCATAGGGGCTGTCTAGCACGCGTTGTCCAGTGTATGTGTCGATACCTGAAGCTGCACAATGTTTGGAGTGAACACCCGGAGCGTCAGATGTCTGCGCTGAATAGTCAATACAAAGTCGGTCAGCAGGCGTCTTCTTGACAGTATCTTGTCCCAATTAGCCATGTGCCTTTTCTTGTAGTATATTGGTTTTACCTTGATGCAGAAGTTCATCGCCATTTCTCTCCCGAGTAAAGTGATCTCTTCCAAGTGCATCATTTTCTGTTGAAGTTGTTGTCAGAGGCTTGCTGATGCCCTCTATCAAAGCTATTTCTCCTATATGTCTAACAAGTTGCTTCCGTGGCGCTGGTGTCTCCCCAGGAAGCTCAGTAGCAACTGGCATCCGATAGACCACAGGCCATTTTGGACGTGTCCATTGCAGACGCTTGTCGGATTTGTCGGCAGTGTGTCGCAGGACCTCGGGGAGAGTGGTGCCATGAACATGACCAAACCGGAGCGCAACGATCATGAGTAACTTGATGAGACACACCGCATTCCGGCCATTACTTTGCATAGGATTAACAAGTATGACTTCTTGCGGATAATACTTATCATCTCTACGATAGTCGATTAGTTGACCATTTAAGGGATGAGGATAGATGATTGCTCTTATCATGACTTACAATGTGATTCTTGCTCTCAGATTTTGCACAGTAAGGACTTCACCACAATTTTGGGCAGCAAGAGTCAGCTCTATATCCTCCCAGCGTAGATCCCTCACCATCTGGCAGATGTTCATGCCTTTAGCTGCAACAACCGACATCAACACCACACTTAGTAATTTCTGGAGAACTCTGTCCCATGAATGGCATCCATCTGATATGCTTCTCTGGAGCAACGTGTTGGCACTCAAATGTAGATGCCGATCTTCCAAAGCGGTCTCCCACCAGCGAGCCTTATGATGGACGTGAAGATCGTGAATTTGTCGACAAGGAAGCTCATGAGTACCCTTCTGATCATTGCGTCGAAAGTTCAAGGATTTGTTATCAGTGTTTAATGATCGTTTCAATGTGGGATGATATTCGACAACGGGTCGTCCAGCAAACTTGTGGGGTGCGAGCAAGGACAACCTGATGACCCTTCTAAAGGAAAGAGCCATATTCTCGTATTTGACGAAACGAGAAAGAGCTTGAACCAACAACCTGAGTAAACTCGACTTTCATCATTGTCCTTTCCTTCGTAGTCTAGGAAAATCCGACTGACAATTGTCGGCTTTGAATTTCGCGACTGCTTGTCATGCGGTCTGAATGTCCCAGGCTCGGTGGATGGTGTTGATGACTGCCTAGGATGAGAAATCAGGATGAATAGCTTCGCAACAATGCAGACAATTCTTAAGGTAACGGTCAAGATCTATGACATGCGAAGACGCGCCGGGAGCCGTCCTGCTGGGTTGCCTTCCCTGTCAAAACAGATATTGTGGCGTAGGATCGTGGCTCAAACTTGCTCCAGTGTCTTCGTCCTGAACGGGAACCTCAATCAGCTTCTCTAAAAAAATTTATTTGGCCTAAAGCCTTGACATTCTCAGAAGAAATGTAAGACATGTTTATTCCAGCCGCACTTGCAGAGTTTTCAAAACTAGACCTAGTCAATCAAAAATATGACAAGTCGAAAACTGGCTTCTGGGGACTGTACCTAGTATATACGTTACAAAACCCAAATTCTTTGAGTGCATTAAACAATTTGAGATATTCTATTGTAGCTGCGATACAAATTCTCACATCAACTCTGCCTAGGATATTCTGCGAATCATAAGTATGAGAAGTCAGTCAATCATTCATTGTACCTCTATGCAATCAATCGACAAGTTTCCATTCGCAAAAAAAGACACCAAAAAAGCCATGCCAGGAGTTTTAGCCACTCTAATGCCATCTAAATGGATTTAGGGGATCGGAAAAAGGAGAATCTAGGCTGAATCCCTCGAGACAGAAATCTAAACAGACGTCTAATCAAAAGTAATCTTCTTGGCCTTCTTAGTCATATCAACATCCTTCGCGAACGCGCCGTAGGCTTCGTGCTCCTTTCTTTTTACAGTCGTTCCGAATTTTAGTAGATCTGCGGGCACATCTTGGTTTGCTGCTTTGAGAACGTTGATGAGGCTAGTGCTCGGTTAGCGAGGGTATTTAGTGCGATATGGAAAAGGGGATTCTTACGCTCCAGATTGAGCCTTGTCATGCTCAGTAAACAATGTGATAGCCAATCCTTCCTTTCCAGCTCTTCCTGTGCGCCCAATTCGATGCACGTAGTCCTCGACGGTCAATGGAAATGTACAATTGATCACCTGTAGCAATTAGTTGAGGCTCTTCAAAGTTTGAAACTATTGATATCCCGTTTAGCGAGGGCAACGTACCAATTTTACAGCAGGAATATCAAGACCCCGTGCCGCGACATCAGTTGCGACAAGAATCGGTGTCTTCCCTTGCTTGAACGATTCCAAACTCCTCGTTCTTTGTTCTTGACTCAGGTCACCATGAATTCCAGCAACTCGGTAGCCCTTCGAGCGGATGAAACCCTCAACTCTGGTAGCTTCCTTCTTGTATAATGCGAAAACAAGAATCCTGTCGTCTTTCTGGGCCCCGCTCTGATACTGCTTCAATAGTTGAAGAAGTCGGAATTCCTTATTTCGTGGGTCCACAACCTCGACCTTCTGGACAATGCGAGTATTGGCTCGTAGATCTCCCTCGGGATTATCACCGATGTTGATACGTACAGGATCTGTCATGAAGGTAGCGGCCAAGGATCTCACGGACTCTGGCCATGTAGCAGTGAACATAAGCGTCTGTCGTTGACCGAGCGATGGTGTTGTATTAATGATCTTGCGAATCTCCTCTTCGAACCCCTTATCAAGCATACGATCTGCTTCGTCTAGAACAACGTATTTTGCCTTGCTCAAATCGGCGCATCCTTCGTTGATCAAATCGTTCAGTCGACCAGGCGTAGCAACCACAATATCAGCGGTCTTCAAGGATTTACGTTGCTCCTCCTTGGGTACACCACCATAGACACAGACAGCCCTAAGTCCTGAAACTTTGGCTAATTGCATGATCTGCTCGTAGCTTTGCATAGCTAGTTCTCGTGTAGGCGACACAATCACTGCTCTAGCGCCCTTATTTCTCTGGCTCTCGGGTAGAGAGAGTATGCCTCTGACACATGGCACTGCGAATGCCATAGTCTTTCCCGAACCGGTCTCTGCAACACCAATCACATCTCTCCCATTGAAAAGATGTGGCCATGCTGCCGCTTGTATAGGCGTGGGAGCCTTGAAGTTCTTGAAGGGAGCGCGATGTGCGGGGTCGGTAATAGGTAGGTAAGAGAACTTGGTCATAGGACGGAGTTGGTTAGAGGAGGAGAGAGGATCGGTGATCGAGATGAAGTGTTCCGCAAGGAAGGAGTCGATTTCCGTTTGAGGGAGTGCTGTCAATTCTGGATCCTCGACGTAGCTATTGCTTGCGCTGCTATTCGATTTCGAAATAGTGCCGTTGGCAGATCCTCCATTGACAGCTAGCGCATTTGGCTCTTGAGGAGTCGAATCTCCTGATGATTCTTTTCCTTCTTTCTTAGCCTTCTTCAATGCCTTCAATCTCGCCTTTTCTGCTTTCTTGGCTGCCTTTGCGTCTGCTTCTTCTGGTTTCGATTCGTCCTTTGCGCTTTCGGACCCTACACCATTGATTTCTGCCTCACCCTCTTGTAACTTCCTCAACTTCTTTAAGCGCTTCTTCTCTTTCTTGGCTGCCTTCTCCGCATCCACATCTGCCTCTTCCACAGTAATATTTGGATTTGCAGACTCTTCGACTTTGGCCTTCTTGCTTTCTTTCCGACTCTTTTTGGATGCTGGGGTATTTTCTTGGGCACTCAACCCACCATTGGAAAGTTCCGCATCGTCCAAAGTTCGTTTGGCCATATTTGCTGTTGCGCTCGGTATTTTGGGTGGAATTTATCTTGAAGGCGGCTGGCGATAAAAAGTTCAGAATTATTTTTTTGATGATAAGCCGATAAAGACTTAGCGTCACACTAGCGCAGTATCCAGAGTTGGGTTATTATGGGAAGAAAGATTTGCTTAGGCATCTCGACATTTATCAATTCATGAGGGGAGAAGGTCATATGGATTCATTCTGAATTGGGTATTTTGTTAAGTCCATTGACGGCTGGCTTCAAAACCAGCATTTGTACATACAGTTCCCTATTCCCTCGCATGAATTGAGAAAAGTGGTCGCTCATTGCTTTACTTTGCCTTTGGCTCCCTAGAAATCGATGCTTGCTTTTCGGTTTTCACCGTTGCATTCAATGTGTACTTGGGATACGTCCAATTTTGTAAGTCCTCGCAATTGCCAGGTCCCACGTCACACATTGGTCAAATCGCCCAAACGCCTTGCCACCTAAGATCCCAAGCTCAAGCAGTTGCTGTCTGAGCCGCAGTTGGCTCCATGACGGTTTCAACGTCAATCTTTGGCATGCTTGAACCAGTTCCACCAAGATCCGTCGATCGAGCCTTAGGATTCTTGGTATAGTAATTTGAGATGGCTGACTTGATGGCATCCTCGGCGAGCATAGAGCAGTGGACTAGTAGATGGTTAGTAGATGATATTGATCAAGGACGAGCCTATGACGTACGTTTCACAGGTGGTAGGCAAAGCTCCTTCGCAATCTCTGTATTTCTCACTCTACCAGCCTCTTCCAAAGTCATACCTCGCACCAACTCCGTCAGATATGACGACGAAGCAATGGCTGAACCACAACCGAAGGTCTTGAACTTGACATCCGAGATCGTGTTGTTTGTAGGGTCCACCCTAATCTGCAACTTCATCACATCGCCACACGCAGGAGCTCCAACAAGACCAGTACCAACATCTGTATCGGTCTTGGACATGCTTCCCACATTGCGCGGACGGGAGTAGTGGTCAAGGACCTTCTCGTGATACTGGCGTCTACCTGCAACAGCGACAGACGGAGATAACTGCGCAAGAGCAGGTCTCGTGGCGGGACGAGTTGAGGCCGATAACGCTCTTCCGGCGACGCGGGGGACGTTCAAAAGCGCTCTTCGATACATCGTAGAATGCGCAGGTGTTTGCGAAGTGTGTGATAAGGTTCGTAGGAATTGAGTAGTTGATCGCTTTGATCGAGATGTTCAATGTTGTGGATCAGACAAATCGAGGTCGATGGAAAGTAGAAAATGGAGGTTCGGAGGGCGTTGATGCACAAGTACTTTTGCTATGACGAATTCTGCGTAGCTTCAACGCTCTATTTGCTAATCAGATCCTCGCAGAAGCGGAGATATGTGAAAAGGATCCACAATTTTCCGAATTTTCGGATATGATTCGGTCCCGAGAAAGACGCTAGTTACGGTCGTCATTGCCATCGCCGACACGTGCTAACGTGACCTTTGTGGACAGGACCAAACTTCAACGCGGGCACCAGTGAAGAAAGTCCTAGATATTGTGAGCCTTCTGAAGTACTATACAAGACATCGAGTTTTATATTTTGACTTGTATATCATGTTACTTTTTACCATTAGGTAAATTTTTTGTAAAATGGAAGTGAGCTTTGCCTGCGCCTTGGGGACTAAATTTTGGCCTGCAAGCTGCGTTTGAGCTCTCTGAAAATCACCCCGCGTTCAGCCTTCTGTTCTTTTCCTCAACACAACACTCAAACAACGCAACCACCGCATATCATCATGGCGTGCAAGCATGTAAACGCACCTGGTACGTCCCTTTCAGCTACTTGTGATATTATCTGCCGTGGAATCCCAGCACAGTATGAAACGTCCGTCCGGAAGGAGTCAGTATGAAGATATGCACTTCTACTGTGTCACCCACCATATATGCACTCAGATTGATCATTTGGAGCGAAGCTGATAAGTGGTACAGAGCTGCATCCACCAGGCCCCTCACAGTCTGTCTATCGAGAGGACTGCACCCAGTGCTTTGATTCTATCGTAAGTTTGCCACTACCTGTTAATGCTTGATCATTGTGGGGCTGTGACTCTGCGAGACTGACTTTGAGCTTTAGGACGATCTCACTGGTCTCGACGTGTGCCTTTGCTGCTTCAACGGTGGTTGTACTGGTCCCAGGCAGCATTCCGCTCTCCACTATGTCCTCAGAAGCCATCCTCTGGTCCTCAATATTCGCCGAACACGAAAGCAAGTGGTACGTGACGAGCCTCCACAAAAGATATCGAAGCTAGCTATTGCGGCAGAGACCGAGGCAGACCGTTACGATTATGAGACGACCGTCAAATGCTACGATTGCAATATTGACAATGTAGACAAATCAAGTGGGAAGCTCTCAGCTGTTGTTGATGGAGTCATGAAGGCAAATACATTCTCAAGAAAAGAAGAGGTCAAGGCATGGGAACTAGAGATGACAAGCTGTGAGCATATTCTTCTGCTCCAGCAAGAACCCGCAAGAAAGATCGAGTCTCAGCTTCTTGGACACTGTTCTCTCTGTGACCTTCAGGAGAACTTGTGGCTCTGTCTACATTGTGGTAATCTGGGCTGTGGCCGTGCTCAATTCGGTGGCATTCAGGGACATGGTCATGGACTAGAGCACAAGAACACAACAGGTCATGCAGTAGCTGTGAAGCTCGGCTCGATTTCTCCCGAAGGCACTGCGGATGTGTTCTGCTATGCTTGCGACGAGGAACGTGTTGATGAGAACATTGGGGCACATCTCGCCAACTGGGGTATCATACTCGCAGATCGTCAGAAGACAGAGAAGAGCTTGACCGAGATGCAAGTAGATCAGAACTTGAACTGGGATTTCACGATGACGGACGAGTCTGGACGAGAGTATGAGAAGCTCTACGGTGAAGGCTTGACAGGATTGAAAAACCTTGGTAATAGCTGTTACTTGGCTAGTACGCTCCAATGCCTCTTCTCTTTGCCCCAGTTCAAGAAGCGTTATTACCTTCCTGAATCTGACCTACCAACTGTTGATGATCCCGCACAAGACTTGGAAACTCAGATGCGAAAGGTGGCTGATGGTCTTCTTTCTGGTCGGTATTCTAAGCCTGACCCGGATGCTCATTCACCAGAAGGATCCAGCGAAATCCCTTATCAAAGAGGATTAGCTCCAGCTATGACCAAATATCTTATTGGGAGAGGGCACGAGGAGTTTTCGACAATGAGACAGCAGGATGCTTTCGAATTCCTTCTTCATGTTTTCAAGCTCGTAACGCGATCCAAGCATGAAGCTCCTTTTCAAGACCCGACTCAAGCTTTCCGCTTTGTCATGGAACAACGGTTACAATGTCTAAACTGCAAGAAAGTACGATACCGTACTGATGAGCAAGACAACATCTCAATTCCAGTACCTATCAAGAAAATTTCTCAACTAGCTGATGTTCTAGAGGCGGACAAGAAGGACGAGTATGAACCAGTCACTTTGAAAGCATGCTTAGACGGTTTCACGTCGACCGAAATCGTCGAGCTCACCTGTGCCTCCTGCGGTAGCAAAGACGGCTTCTCAAAACGCTCTCTCTTCAAGACTTTTCCAGAGGTTCTCGCTGTCAATGCCCGACGATTCAATATCATCAACTGGGTTCCTACGAAGGTTGACGTCCCCGTCGTTGTTGATGACGAGCCCTTCCTTCTTGATGAGTACAAGTCTCCCGGACAGCAACCATCCGAAGAGCTTCTTCCTGAGGATGCTAGCGACAATAAGCCCTCTTTCGTAGCCAACGAGAATGCCGTTCAGCAATTGGAAGGCATGGGTTTTCCTCGCAATCGTGCCGAGAAAGCTCTTCATGCTACTGGCAACTCGGACGCCAATGCGGCTATGGAATGGCTCTTTAGTCACATGGAAGATCCTGATATCGATGCTCCTCTCGACCTCGGTGGCGGCTCTACTGCAGCCAGCGGAAGTGCTGATCCGGAGAAGATCGAGACGCTTGGTGCGATGGGTTTCGGGCCCCCACAAGCTCGGAAGGCTCTGAAGGAAACTGGGGGAGATATGGAGCGTGCTGTAGAGTGGCTATTTAGCCATCCGGACGACCAAGGAGAGTTCGAGGATGAGGCACCTGCTGTTGCTGAAGGCGCCCCGAAGTATGTCCCTGGAAGTAGTGATTTGCCGGCAAAATTCCAGCTTCAGTCCATCATTTGCCATAAGGGAGCTAGTATTCATGCTGGGTAAGTGTTCCGAAGCTTCATATCCTGATGTCCTCAAATAATCTAACGTATTCGCAGTCACTACGTGGCATTCATTCGAAAGCTTCTTGAAGGCGAGAGTTCCCCGTCTTGGGTCCTTTACAACGATGAAAAGGTCGTCAAAGCCAACGATGTTGAGGAGATGAAGAAATTCGCATACGTCTATTTCTTCCAGCGTCAATAATCATGGCAAAGCTGTATCAGCATTGGCGGGGTTGCGGGCGTACGTGAGGTAATGGTGATAGATGGCAAAGTCGGTGACTAAAAGTGATGCGGAAACAGTCATTACTAATAGCACGGCAAGGTATAGCATAGACATATGAATCAGATGAGATGAGCAATGCATTCATGAGCGAATTATCATGGATCTCGTGATGTCTCTAATGTCTAATTAGTCATTGGTTCTTCTGCGACATAGTGCAGATATGCTCCCAGTAGCTTGATGCCCTCGATGTAGTTCTTCTTATCCAGTTTTTCGTTGATAGAGTGGGCGGCGTCGGTAGAGCTACCCATGGGAAGGAGAAGGACATTCTTGCCGGTTGCTTGCTCGAATGTCAAGGTAACAGGAATACTGACAGTAGTGTTAGTAACAAGGCCTGTGACTTCTTACAGCTGAAAACTTACCTTCCACCTTCTCTGGTCAGATCAGGCTTGACACCCCAAACTCTTTCAGTAGCCTTTGCAGCAGCAGTAAAGTTCCAGTGCTTTGGGCTAGCAACCCACCACTTTCCAGAGTGCTGCAGCGTGCAAGTCATCTTGTTCTTGCTGTTCAACTTCTTGAATTGCTCCCCAACGTACTTGTAGACTAACTTGTCGACATCCTCCGGCTCCATGTTGGGAACTGTTCGGATGGAGAACTTTCCAATGACCTTGGCTGGAATGACAGTCTTGGCACCTGGTTGTGAGAAAGCACCTTCGACACCGTGGACCGACAGGGATGGGTATCTCCATCGTGCCATCAATGTCTTCTCCTTGTCAGGATAGATGGAAGTTTGGCTGCCAAGCGACTCGTAGAGGTTGTCCATAGTGAAAGCAATGTCACCATACAGAGATTTTTCGTCATCTGTAAGAGGAGCAACCAATTCAGCAAGCCCTGGAATCTGAATCTTGCCATCAGTATCCACGAGGCTGGCAAGAACACGCATGAGATCAGTCATAGGCTCTTGAGCTGTTCCACCAAACACACCACTGTGGAGATCTTGACCTGGACCAGAGATCTCAACCGAGTAATAACTGCAGCCACGAAGACCATAAGTCAGGCAAGGTTTCTCAGTTCCAAGCCAGTAGTTATCCGAGATACAGACAGCATCCGCATCAACAAAGTATTTCTTAGCTTCTGCATTGATGAAGTCATCCAGACCCTCTGATCCATATTCCTCCATACCCTCAAAGCACATAAGCAGGTTGACGGGGAAATCAACACCGGCCTTTTGGTGAGCTTCGATTGCGTTCAACCATCCCAGAACTGGTCCCTTGTCATCGGTGCTTCCTCGACCATACATTCGTCCCTTGGAATCGACTGTGAGCTCGAATGGTTCGGTTGCCCAACCGTCCTCCTTTCCTGCCGGTTGTACATCATAGTGGCCATATACCAGAATTGTTCGCTTCTTCTTGTCGTTTCCGTATCGTGCAACCACCACGGGAGGAAGCTCGAGGTGCTCCTTTCCTGGTTGCTTGCCTAGTGGTCTTTGTTCGACTTCTGCACCTAAAGCAGTGAGTCTGTGAATTAGATATCAGCATACGTAACAGTACATGATATGTACTGTGCTGGGTGTCCAGGAGATAGGAGATCATTCTTACTCATCTGCTAGGAACTGCCCCATACGAACAACATCTGGTCTTCTTTCTTCATCTGCAGAGATAGAAGGAATAGCAACCGCCTTCCTCAGTCGCTCAATGAAGTGATCAGACAGCGTATCTACCTGCTTAAAGTAACCATCCAATTGAGGGGCCATATTCTGTGCCTGGTGTGACCGAATTGATTCAGTCAAATATGTTCGGAGTGGGGTTGGAAACCGTGTAATGGATGTTCGTGAGGTCTGGGAAGCTCGAGAATATGCTGCACCAATTCTGTAGGTACAACTAGTCTTCCTTAGAGATCTGGATAGGAACATGAAGCTGTTGATGGTGGGGTAAACCCTTGCTGAGAAGACAAGAGCCGCAACTAAGCGCGGTGGATGACAAAGCACAGGACCCTTAATCACCAGTAATTGCCCGAATTCGTGGCGCACAGGCCATCCCCACCAAAATTATAAGGGGGCCAGAAATCAGTTAATTGAGACTATATACACCTGAATTACCATAATGCAGTCTTAATAGGCTTTCCACCATTATTAATAAGGCGCGCGCATCGCCTAGGCATCTGGGAAATTCGTTTCCGTACTTCCGTCATTGTTACTTTACTCCATTCCTCTTGTAAAGCCTCCTTGATTTCCTCCTCAGATTGGAAGATCCTATGCCGTAACCTCTGCTTAATTATGTTCCAGATAGCCTCGATTGGGTTTAGATCAGGGCTCTGGGCAGGGTGCTTTAAGTTAACAATCCAATTATTCTCCTTAAGCTGCTGCGCGAGGCCCCTTTTCCTTATGCTGTGAGAGGGGTCCCCATCCTCTTAAAAAAGCCACAGTTCTAGGTCTCTTATACGTGCTTTTTGAATAGTATCGATATAAACTAGCAAGAGACGCTCTGTATAGTACTTCTGAGTTATGGAATTACCCTGCGGCTTAATGTTGACTTTGTGAGGCTTCTGGGCTTCCTAATCCGTAAGTCTGGCTTGGTATTCCTCTGGCGTTTTAGTCGTTGGCCGCCGGCGAGGCTTAGTAGGCATTGGGGGTTGTTCTTCGTGCTCTTCTTCATTATTATAGAACTCTAGCTTCTCAGCCTTATCAAACCAGGTGACCCACACAGCCACATAAAACTTGACTCCCTTCCTCTCTCCTCTCTCCACAATATTCTCATCATCGTACCGTGTCCTAAGCTCTCTAAGTATCCCAGGAGCTTGTTGTGCCGAAGGGTCAATATGTGCTTTATTGGTAAAGAATATATAAGACCAAAAGTCCTCCATTGTCTTATCCTTATGCTTATGTGCATAAGCTACCCGTTCGTCCTTATTCCTGGCCGAGATTTCCTTTTTGACAAATGTACACTTATAAAACTGACCACCATTGGTATACTCTTTAAGCTTGCGTTGTAACTAGCGCTTCTTATAAGGAATTTTATGATAGGCAATCTGCGCTTCGTACGGCTAATTTCGGACAAGATTTCTAGCCGGATCGACTAGCTTTTTACACATAGCTTTTGTGACTTTTGAGGGCTTTCCAAGCTTGCCTGATCTCCCGCGTGTATATCGATAAGCTAAGATACCCATATTTTCACATTGCTTAAGCCAGCGTCGCGCGGTAGACTCAGTAGTGCTTTCATCCTTTGCGATCTGGCGTAGCGATTTGAATGAGATTTCTTTGTCGTACGCTGTGAAGAACCTAGTCTTTTTGATCGTATCAGCTTCGTGGCCACTAGAAGGGCCTGGCGGAGGGGTAATGCGGCTTGTGCGACGTGTAGTTGGGGCCATAGTGAGTGTTTAGAGTGATAATAGATAAATCGCAAAAATCGCGTTTCGCGATTTTTGGTGTTTTTGGCCCGTGCGCCACGAATTCGGGCACCCACTGGTGAATGATTCTCACATCGAAAAATGTTCCTGACTTAACACGTTCATTGGTGCAGTACAGCATAACCGTACTTATTGCCTTATCAATGTCGCAGAATTCCACGATGAATGGAGCAAACAACTTTCACGTCAATACAGCATAAACGTACTTATGGCCCTATCAATGTTGCAGGACTCCACGATGAATGGGACGAAGAGCTTTCACACTGAAATGTATTTCAAGTCAAATCAAATTCCATTGAATGTCTGTCTAACTCAGAAGGCGCAAGTGACAAGATCCTCTTATTCGTTGATGTTTGCAATGTCCATCCGTAACTTGAACATCTATTCCTCAGCAATTTCGGTCAGCGCCTTCTTGCCTGTGCCCTTGCGGAACTTCTTGGGAGCTGGTGCATCCTCATCGTCTTAATAGCTCTTCGTCAGTTCGAACTTATGAGACAGAAATGTAACTTACCATCGTCAGACTTGTTCTTTTTACCAGCAGCCTTAGCAGGGCCCTCAGCACCTTCGCCCAAAGCCGCCATCTCGCTCTTTACCTTCGCCCACTGATGTCCTAGCGCGCGGGAGCTGCGACCTGGCATTTGGATGTCGGAGATCTTCGGAGCCTTGTCGCTCGTTACTTGCGCAAGAAGTTTCAATACGAAAGTGTACTGGTTGATGTGAGCACTTGTCCGTGTCATAAGTAGTGGTTTAGACCTACATTCTCCTCCGTGGTCCAAGCCTTCTTGCTGGAGGTTTCACCTTGGTTACCAGACATTTTCTGTTATATCAGTTAGAACTTGCTCCCCCGAAGATGAGCTCGATAGGATCACGTAGCAAAGAAGGGTGATCATACCTTTTTGAGAAGCGGATCTGAACTTGGACTTCGAGTAGAGTTGATGATAACTTATATTCCTGTTAGCAAGGAGTTGATGAATCAGATATGTCTGCGATGATGTATATCACCGCAGAGAAGGGTCCAGAGCATTCCAATAATCGTTAGTGGACATGGTCCAGTTGCTTCCTGATAGAAATTAGCAACCCTGGGCATTGTCTATCTAGATTAAGGACTATATGAAACTGCCACACAAGGTTGGAAACCATCAAATATATCAGGATGCCAACTTTACCATGTTGTGGACAATGAATTCGAATGTATCTGCACTGGGCTAAATATCGTGGCAGAATCCAGATCCCCGAGCCATTAGTGATCTTCATAGGTCATTCCTAAGCTTAGAAAAGCGTGGCATGAATTCTAAAAGTACTTGACATTGGTATAGAGAGGAGTTATGTCTTAAAATGTATCACGGATAGAAGCAACCTGCCCAAGTCTGCACCCATCAGTCACACTTTCCCTATCCCAAGCTTAGTAATAAAAATATATACCGTCCATACAAACAGTCCAGGACAGTATGTTCTTGCAAGAACTTTTTTGATAAAGCAGGGGATTTGAGACCAAAAGCTAGAATGTCCAGCCCTCGTTTGAGAATCAGCATACACAATTAATCACACAGTCGAAAAGATAACACATGTTTTAGAATTTGAAAGCCGAGTAGATTAGGAACGACAAACACCAGTATGCTTTGGAAATGTGCATTTTACGGGAGACAAATGTAGTATCACTGGGTTTGTCATGGCTTTGGCTATTAAAAATAGTCTCATTATCGAGCCCACACTAACTAATTTCTAGAAATACTGATATCTTCTTGATTGATTCCTCTTTCCATTGTACGACCTAGCGGGTTTGATTCATGAAAGGGTTGTTCAGTGGCATGTTTCCCAAGGTTCTGGGCAACGGATGGTAGGTAATTCGAGGAAACAAATGTGGACCAATCCACCATTCCCCGTCAAATTGTCTTTTCTCTGCTCCTGGAAATGTAGGTGGCTTGAGGAACGGAGTTGTCAGTATACGCATGTAACACCGTCCTTTACCTTCGGCCAGAAGCTCGTCAGGTATGAAATGGTTACGGGCCGCACAGCGGTAACCTTCATCACTGGCACTTCTGAGCCATCGGAATCCGGCCGGACACGGTGCCAGGTCTCCACTCTGAAGTTTGGATTGAGCCCATTGCTCTTGCTCTTCCCGTTCCTTGCCCTTGAGCTTGTTCATATGTATTTGACGAGATGCCATCTTGATGTCGTATGCTGTGGTAAAGGACGATTTTTGGCTAGCACCTGACGCAGCTGCAGCCTCCCATTTCTCTTGCGATTGTCCGGATGAGGCTGTATGCGCGGTCCGTCTGTCAGAAGTAGATCCGAAAGTCCTGCTTGAAGATGGGCGAGAGGAGCTTTGCTTGCTGGAGCTTCTTTGTCCTGTCTTCGAATGAGGATGTGACTTATCCAAATTGCTTGGTAGGTAGTTGGACGTGCTCTTTTGACAGAGTCTGCAGCCGCGTCCTCCACACATTTGGCATGAGATTCTCTGAGACATTTTGTAAAAGCAAGGGACGTTCGAGGATGATGAAAGAAGTGATTCTGCTTGAGTGTTGGAAACTTGGTATCGTTTTGTTGTGTCAAATGTGGTTTCCGAATTTCAAGTGCAAGAGAATGTAAGAACTGGGAGGTTTTTATGTTTAGTGAACCCTTGAAAACACCTGAATGTTCAACTTCTGTTCGTGCTTTTCATTCAAATCGTTGCCAAATAGATGACGTAAAGAGAATCTGACAGTAACTGAATCATGATTTGCCTGTTATTCAAGCATTGTTATCCTCTCTATGCTGTTAAGTCAGGTGCAAATGCGTATTGCACTGAACCTGCTCTTCCCTTCACTGATTCAGTTACTTCCAGGGACTACTCTGATTCAAAAGTAGTAATTATGCACGCTATCGTTATCCACTAGAGCGCTCCCCATAATCATCCCACTATATCATCCATGCAAGGATCTGGGTTTTCTGCACATGAACTCTTTTCGTGCAAAGAAATCTTAGTACAGCAAAGAATTCTGGCGTGATTCACAGACTCCACCTACTGTTTTCAAATGTCGAAGATACCAGTATTCGATTCAAAATGTGACCACTTATCTTTGGATTGCCCTTGCGTTGGTGATTGGAGAGAAAGGTGAAAGTTGGAAACCTGACCGAGTCCTAAAACTGGGAATTAGTCGAGCAATTAGACGAGCCCCTGAATCATCATGGATGGCTTCTATGTGGAAGTTTATGATGAAGTATCAACGTTCCCCTTCCCCGTTTGATATCCGTTCAGCAATTCTTTGTGTGGTAATCATTTAAGCGTCGGGGGATATGGAAAGACCAGCCTTACTCTGTGAACAGACCACGTAAGGATCACACATGCCCTGCGCACGTGTTTCACTCTACATCTGAGCATACTCTTATGAATGTAACGGAAGTTGATTTTGATTCACTGATAAGTTTCTCCATCTACGACATTAAGATGATTTTCCACTTCACATCTCCTCCACTTCCCCATTCAACAAAACATCTCATGTGAGCCAAGAAAAATACAAATCCTAAATACGAACTATACAAATGCACATACAGTTTGTACCACTCTCATCATCATCATCGATGTACCCTCCGCTCTCGACCAATACGAGCCCCGCACCTGTGGTAATTGTGGTCGAAAGCCCCATACCTTCTAGGAACCAGAGGGTCCGTTCGGAAGAGGAGTCGATTTTCGCCTCAAGCCGAAGAAGCTGAGGCAAGGGCAGCCCCCTAGTGGTCCCTTCGGACACTTAGCCTTCGAGGCTGCTGAAGTGCGAACGGCTTACAATATATGATCAGCTGATTGGCAGAAGGAACAGGAAGAGGAGAAGTGGCGAGAGAGGGAGCACCAGGTGCCTTTGGCAGGGCAGACAATCTTCGCCGCGCAGTCGAACTAGCTGAGGAGAGAGCAGCTCGTGGCGGTCCTTTTGGGCACTTGGCTTTCTTGGCCGGTGAGGGTATGGACGGGTATCTAGGAGGTTATGGGGTGCTTCCAAATGGCTCCGACAAAGGCTTCGATGGCTATGGATGGGATCATTATGAGAATAATGGCTTAGGTGGAGGCCTAGGGTATGAATCATTTACCTTTGGAGGCTTCCAGAGAAGAGGAGGGCCTCTGAATTTGTCTTGTATATATAGCTACCCGTGCGAGTATTCCCGGTACATCGCTGTGTTACCAGTCTCCTCCAGATCTGCATGTGACTTTTCGAGACAATGCACGCAAAAGAATCTCATTATAGTTGAAACGACTTTGTACATTCATTTATTACACCGGGTATGGTACTTCCTTTTCATCACCCTCAATCTCAACAAATCCTAACCCCATGCTGGCCGATCTGAAAATCTAAGCCGTGTCGTTGCTTTCCATGCATAAATCCTGAACGCCAGCCAATTGAACCATGAAATCTCATCTCCTTTTAAGAGTAGACCAGAGATTTGCCCCGCCCTATATTTCATTATTGAACAAAATCAGACGAAAGCCACCCCAATCTATAGTTAAAGAAAATTTCTACACAAACAAACATTAATGCAAAGCATATCAATCGTAATCATGAGAATTAATAGCCACGGCGCCTAGCTCTTCCAGTGCCCAGGTCGATGTTCCTCAGCTCTTCCTGCAAGGCCCAAGTATCGCCACCGCCCTGATAAGACGGGGCGTTCTCAGGAATCTTCGCTGGAATTGGAGGTGCAACAGGGGTAGCTCTGTACGAGGGAATGTGCTGATAAGGCGGAGTCTGATTTTCACTTGAAGTAAAGTCCATAGTGTTGGCTCTTGGCAAACTTTTCGGCGCATAGCTGTTATCCTGATACGGAGTAATAGGCGCCAAAGGACTCGAATGTGGCGCAGGTTGGGCCGACACTCGGTTTGTCTTCTTCTGTAAGCGATTTCGTCCTGCGGCCGGTGTCGTCGGCTCCGATCCGGCACCAGTCATATAGATCGGTCCCATGGCAGACATGGACTGGGGCCTTGCAGCTTGTTTCAAAGGGCGACGACCAGTAGCAGACATCGGAGGGCCACTTGGAGGAGGTCGATAATTGCGGTCGGGTTGCTGAGATGCATACTTGGGACCTTTATGCTCTAGAAGAGGTGCATAATTCGACTCGGGAATATGATCACTAGGGTCGACCTCCCGGCCATCGTGGGTAATAATCTTTGCATCTGGATCCGCTGCCTTGGGGTCGTATACTGCGCTGATCGAAGGCGTTGGCGCAGAGCCAGAAACACTTGGATTGAGTGCGTTGTAGGAATCAGGGCCGAATGGCACTCCAGAAAGTCGCCTCTGGTCGTCCGAAGGACGTGGTGCCGGACTAACCGATTTACGAGCCACACGAATATCAGGAGAGATAGCACGAGGTTTGATGGGTGCAGTAGTAGCAGTTGAGAAACGACTTTGCCGGTCATCGTATGTCGCTGCGGCAGGAACGTAAGCATCCCCTTCAGGTTCGTGGTACCCAAGAAGTTTTCGACCATTTGCCTCATATTGGCCTGGGCTTTGATTTTGATTCTGGTACTGAGGTCTTCCACGCGAAGAATTGTTACCACTGGCACGTTTCTCATCATAAATTCTGTCCGATATCTCCTGGGCGATAGCGGGATCGTAACCAGCCACAAGTGTAGCAGGCACGGGTGGGATACTATAGGATGAATATGCTGCTGAAGGGTCCTCGGACTGACCCCGTGGCCGTTGCTCTTGTCGGGGCATCGAATTGTAGGATGTGCGCGAAGACATGGAAGCGTCGGTATGTGACCTATCTCTAGAACGCTCTCGGTAAGATGATACTTGAGAATTTGTAGCAGAGTTATATCCTATTGAGCTGCTAGAGTATTGATGGGAAGGTGTTGGCATGTTTGAAGCGCTATTGCGGCCAGATGCAGCAGAGCCTCCCCTGTTAGTTAGGTTCAAAGGAGCAGGAGAAGGCACTTCATCGTATCTTCTATCATATGACGAAGTGCGCGATCTCGCATTCCTGGGCTGCGAATAACTGCCACCACCTGGTGACGGTGGGGCGTCTTCGACAGTAGGTTGCATAGATCCATAATTCGTGCTATAGGCAGAATCATAAGAGTGATGACGAGGTGGAGATTGCTGGTATCCACCATTACCAGACCTCCGAAAGTTGTCCTGATCTCGTTCTGGGCTATAAGCCTGATAAGATTTACTTTGAGCATATGCTGGCACCGAACGGCGATGAGGTTCATGGGATGGTGGATTAAAAGTGTTTGGTGATCGAGAATCTGGTGGAAACCCGTAACTACCTTGTGATACCATCGCTGAGCTTGGGCTGGCCTGGGAACTTCCATTTTTGCTCCGGTGTGCTGGTGGGGGAGGTGGTGGACCGCCAGGACTTGGAGGTGATCCGTACTGATCAGGCTGTGCCATCTCATATCTTGCGGCGTAGCGGGGTTGAGGCTCAACGTCGGAACTCTCTGCTCTGTGCCTGTAACCATTTGCATCCCTGCCAGGAGTAAAATCGGTCCGTGCTGCAGGGTCGTATATCTCATATCTCTCATCGATTATTGGACGAGAAGCTGGTGAGGCAGCAATAACACCTGATGGTGGGCCGTAACCATTTGCAGGCGACCTACTTTCATACTCTTGTGAGGGCGAGAAATGCGGCGGAGGCGTACTATATTCGACACTTTGCAATGGCGATTGGTTTGGAATATATGATGGACTTTGATAACCTCTTGTGGGCGTATGAACATGCTCTGGTATAGCGGATGGCGGATTTTGATAACCTCGTGGAGGCGTGGGAGCTTGATCTGGGGCAGCCACTGGCGATTGGTAACCTCGAGGAGGAGGCGTAGGCAATTCCGTGGCTGTCGGGGAATAATAGCCCCGTGGTGGCGTTTGGCTCTGAATATGATCCGGAATGGCTGACGGCTCTCGATATGCTCGCGGAGGAGTTGGAGCATGATCTGGAGCGACTATTGGTGAAGGCGGATAACCTCGAGGGGGAGTCTGAGCATGATCGGGGATAATCACCGAAGCTGCAGCTGGAGCTCCAGAGACGGGATCCGATGGTAGTGGTCTCCTCTTGACTGGCGCCTTGGGCTGTCGAGGTCCTTTGAGGGAATCTCTGCCCCCTTCTTCCAGATTGCTTGAGCCAGCCTGCCTCACTTTATCTTGTTTCTCTTGTTGCGGTCGTGTGTCGTAGTAAGTTATCTCGAGTCTGATCTCTCCAGCGTATTTGCCTTTGCAGCTCAAATTATGCCAAATATCGTTCTGTCCACCACCTGGCACAACGACCTCCTTCAAATCTACCCATGTTTCTCCAATCAAATCGGTTTTCTTATCGTCGTTGAATACGGAGACCTTCAATTGGTAATAGTCTGGTGAGTCGTGAACTGTATATCGAAGCTCTTGGTCCCTGTACACCATATTAGAATTGCAGCAAGGTACAGATTGGATTTTATCTACCATCGCGGTGTTTGGCCTCCTCGACGGTCGGTCTCTGTCTTCTTTGCTTCCTTGCCAAGCCTTGCAGCGCAATACCTAGTGATCGAAGAGTTAGTTATTGCATACATTGGAATATGTTAGGAGTGGATGTGGATGGATATTCTTCAATTCGGCTCAACATGCAAGATAATGGAATGGGGGTATTCTTACGGATCCTGCTTCCCTATTGTCTTTCTGTTTGGGAGATTCTTCGCGCTGGAGAGAACATAGCATTAGTGATGCTCAACCTGTAAAACTTTGGATCCGCCATACCGATCAACAATAACAACAAGTGTGCCAATCTCCGGACCATCAACGGTCATATCAGAAAAGATACCCGCCGTATGGTGTACATTGTTGAGCCCGTTCACCTTCATTTTGGTAGCCATTGTGCTCGCAGCCTCGAGGTGGAAAAGTCGTGTTGATAGAGGCTCGGCGAGTGACGTTGTTTATTTACCGCGAATCGAAGCTCTGCGTGAGCATTATTGAAGGGATGTTGAGATGTTGAAAAGGCCTGGCAGATCCGGAGGAGTATAACGAACGTGGAGTTGCAAAAGGAAGGAGTACGGATGGATGTTGCGTTGCGTATGCATGAGGCTGCTTGGAGAGCTTCAGTCGTGAAATGCTGGTGGCTGTGAGGGAAGCGAGGGAGGCTGGGACAATCGATTTGCCGCCTCCTAGGGAACAAACTTTCAATAAAATATTTCGACCCTTCAGACCAATTTGAACCTCATAGATTCATCTGCGAAGATTCATCGCAACTCAATTCAAGTTATCGTCAGATTTTGCGATTCCAATGTTATGGTCATTTTAGTGATGTTTGCGTACCTCGCGCGCGGTCGGCGGGTCAGCCTGGCGGAACACGATGGCGAACTTTACAGGGATCACCTGCCTTAAAATGGAAGCGCCAAATTATCCTTGTAGCAATCATCAGGGGGCGATATAAAACTCCGAACCACCATTCCCACACAGTATGAGTACATAAAGACCAGTGGCAAAAGACTACTCCTTCGGATGTACTTCTTTGGAGAACTTTTTGTATTATTTCTCTAAATATGCATTACCTTGACTAAGTACTTGAGATATCCCTAATAAGCTCGTACATGCGGTGAAGAGTTTCATCCAGATTTACTCGTCATTTATCCTAGCAATCCGATCTTGTCGTGTACTGCGTTGAAGGCTACTACTTCTTATCGTTTGATTTATTTCTTTTTCGCCATTAGCAGAGGTGGTGGACTTCAAGGCAGGAACTGGCTGGCAATAGATCAGATAAGACGGGGGCTGGAATTCGAGACATCTATTTGATATTTCTCTCCTTGAGAGTGTAACCTTAAGTGTCCTGCGAGAGCAGAGTACTTAGTATAGAGTACCCAAGAGAGTGATGAGGTGTACTCTATCAGGTACCACACCGAAGTGAAGCCCTGGATCCCAGCACGGCACCCTGCATAAGGATGACTCTATATCCATGCCCGCTCTTTGTTGGTTTGAAGCATAGTTCGATGTTGGTAAAGTGCGCTCCGAATCTAGACAGACAGGTACCCTTGGACCCAGGTGTAGGGTACGCCATCCTTTTTCCCAGGCGAGCTTTGGAATTAGCCAAGCGAAAGAGATGACTATACTTAGACTACACGACTAGCAAGAGGCTCATATACCTCACATACGGATCTCAAACAGCGGTCTTTCTTTACACTTCTTTTTGACGGGTTCGTCAAAATGCAGTGGCCTAGCACGGCATCCCCTTGCGAGACAGACAAATATTCGGACAGGAGAAGGAGGTGCTTGTGATGGCAGGCTGGTGGAATTCCACAAAGGTCTCTTCGGTGGAGCGAGAGTGCTGATGTGCGAGCTGAGATGAATGTTCAGGATTGCGTGAGACAATCAGAAGGACGATACTGATGTGGATGTGACGCAGAACCGCCTTCCTCGCAGCTCTCCTGCACGAAATTCCCAGACTTCCAACCTGAGACTCTACAGGGAATATCTTTCAATGTGAGAGTACACAATGAATGTATCAGACTAGTCATTCCGAGGTCGAAACAGGACCAGTTATTAAAAAGAAGAGTGGTGGGATGCATAACATCAACCACAGTCCGACGTCTTCCGTGATACCCAACGTCACAACTCCCTGAGTTTATTGTGATAAGATCCAACGAATCAATCTTGTGTTAATTCTAATCTGCTTAGATAACCTGTACCCGGCTCCGCCGAAAATACTTTGTCAGGATAGGAACTCGGTTCGAGGTCAACACAATTCTTGACAACGTTCAATCGAACTGCGAGACACATGTGTTAGCATCAAAGTCCAGATTTGTTTTGGACTTCTACATTGATCATCTTACCAGAGGAATCTCTGAAGCCATCGAGGAGCTCTTGGCTCTTTGACGTTCAACTTAAGTCCCCCCATTTGAAAGTGAACGTCCACCAACACCATCAGCTGATAACTTCCATGTCCCAACCCATCAGCTATTATGCATAATATACTTGAAGCACTGTCTATAGATTCACTCGTTAGTATAGTCATGAACTGAAGCCCCAGAAATTGGAATGTCCTCCGTCTTCTGTGTTTTGGTTGGGTTGATGGTCCTCCTCCAACGAAGACTGTAGGATGACACGCAGAGCTTTTCGAAGCTTTTGGAAGTGAATGAGGTCGATATTGGACTTGGTAGACATGAAGGGAGTATGGCTTGGTATTTTCACTTCGTGTAAGCTCCTCAGTTAGGTGGTTCGGATCGAGTGAATAAAGACCCTGAAGCCTGTATGAGCGGATTGAAGCTCAAGGGTTCACGCGACATAACAACTTCGCAATCTCGTCCTCTAGAGCCTCGTAGACCATTCTGATGATCGAAAGTCTGTAGATCGGAAGGAGGTTCGAGGTTCGTAAGCTGGACGCTCGTACATGTTGGGTCAGATACGCTTCGTAGGAGCTTCCAAAGCTGTTCGTCCTGGATCGTATCGATTTTCGTCTTGTAGATACTTCCAAAGTCCCATTCTGTGATGAATTGTGTCCGTGAAAGGTATAATGTCCGCATTTGGCCTGGTTCTCGGTTGGAAGGAGGCTTTCGGGTCCTTGCCAGGAATGGAAAAGTATCACATCCCTACAACAACGACCCCTGTAGATATACTTGGATGTAGAAAGTGCTTCCAAATAGACTTTACAATGTTTTTGAGAACGTCCCCCCTTGATTACTCGCTTGACTATCATGATTCACGACTCGCTGGAATTAGCACCCAGAGCGCCCCAGAGCTCTTCATCACAACCACGCCTCCTCAGAGGTCCTGCCCAGCGGCAAATCAATCCTTGTAGCTTATATATACATCCTGAGTAGCTCTCAGTATAAGCTCCCTTCATCTGCGGTTGATTCACGACTCCAAAGGCGATTTCACGGCTTCAAAAGCTCTCAAAACAGGCAAAATTCACATCTTCATATTCATGCTCCCGCTGTCTACTCAATGTCTCTATACACTTATATGACCTCCCTGAAGCCTCTGTACTCTTTTCAGGCCCCTTCTCAGCCTCCCTGGGCCTCATTCAGGGCACCTCATCGCCGTCCTCTTGACCCACAACCTCCATTTTGCGAGCCTCAGGCGTCTCTCCTCCTCCTGCTCCTTCCCAATTCACCTCGAAGCCTCCATTTCAGCTCCACTGCTGGTATTCTGAGCTCTACAATTGGGTGAAAGATAGCTTCGACATAGAGTTTGACCTCTCTGTTTAGCTTCAAGCCCTCAAGTATATAAGAAATCTCAGTTCTCAGCTTTTCAACTTTTTTCCTCTTTTTTTCTTCACGGTTTCTGATTTTCACTGCTCTTGCTCCACAGAGTACTCGATTACAGACACTTCTTTCTTACGCTCACACACACATTCTACACTTTCGCGATATCATGGCTTCAATTCAGTACAGGCAAGAGAAGGGCATGTTGCCGGCTCCCTTACTGCTGTCGTTCATTCACTGACATCGAACAGCGTTGAGGGCTCATTACGAGCGGGTGAGTTGACTTCCCTTCACTTCACTGTTGTCGTTTTGAACTTCTTGTTGTCGTTTTGAGCACCTTATTGTCGACCTTTTGTCTTGCTTCATCATCGAGTCTTGTTTGTTGCATGTCGCATTTCTTGCAGTGTTCAATACTCGACCATGAGCAGCAGTCTCATGGCTCTTGTACTCATACCTCGTCGTCCCTCAAGTGTGGAGAGACAGTTGGTGATGCTATTCCGAAGTTTTGATTTTGATTTTCGTCGTCGCCATGTACCTCGCTGTCGCTCCAGAAACTTCTGACTTTCGGACTTGTTGTTTGAGGAAAGAGCACTTCGAGTGGGTGAGCTCCTTCTCTCGCAAAAGGGTTAGCGAGACTAGCGCCACCTTAGCGAAAAGCTTTCCTCAAGTCACATGCTTTGTCCATCTCTATGACTTCAAGTACTGTCAACTCCACCCTCTGTTGATCATGTTCCTTTCATTGTCATGTTCTTCCATTGTCATGTTCTTCCATTGTCATGTTCTTCCATTGTCATGTTCTTCCATTGTCATGTTCTTCCATTGTCATGTTCTTCCATTGTCATGT